CCTAACCCTAACCCTAACCCTAACCCTAACCCTAACCCTAACCCTAACCCTAACCCTAACCCTAACCCTAACCCTAACCCTAACCCTAACCCTAAACCCTAACCCTAACCCTAACCCTAACCCTAACCCTAACCCTAACCCTAACCCTAACCCTAACCCTAACCCTAACCCTAACCCTAACCCTAATCCCTTTACTACCTACTCTTATTAAAGAAGAGATCTAGACTACCACTATAATATATATTTTAGGTTAATAAATGAATATATATATATATATATATATTAAATAAAATTATAAACTAATTAATTATAGAATAGTAAGTATAGTAGTTTAAGGAGAAAATATATATAAGACTTTACTATCTTCTCTAGAGATATATATATCTCCTACTAGGGAAAAATAAAATACCTCTTAATTAAGGGAATATTATACTATATTCTATAAGCCCTATATTAAAAAATAGCCCTAATTTTTTAGATCCTTGTAATATATTTTAAATTAGGGCTAGGGCTATTATAACTAGAGAAATTAGTAATAAATCTTTAAAAAAAATTAGAAAATGAAATTTCTCAGTGAATATTTAATATATTTAAATAAGAAATATATTAAAAATAAGCTTATTTTCTAATTAATAAGATGGCGCGAGCCATTTTTAAAAATAGTAAAGTTTTAAAAGGTGGTGAGAGTTTAAACCCTAATTTAAATAGGAAAGAATATATATTAGTAAGCATATTATACACTATTTTAATTGCCTATTTTCTAGGAATTAAATGGTAGTATTTATATGGCTGTAGCCCTACTAGATAGGGTGTGAGAGAGGTAGAGAGATGGGATGGATTGCACGGGCGGATTGCACGGGCAGTGGGAAGCGGCAGAAATGTACCCCAGTTTGCACGGGCGATTTGGGTGGTCAGTCCCATGCAATCCGGCCCGATGAGTAGGGGTACCCCCCTCCCGATCGCCGTGCAATCCGGACTCTCCCCTCTAGAGATATAATAATTATCTCTAAAGGATAATATAACCCCTATATATTAATATTTTTAGATTCTTTTATTAATTTTTCTTTATTTTCCTATCTCTACTCTGCCTCTATACTTAATATATATTATATCTATACTTAATTTTATATAATACTTTCCTCTATATATAATTAAGTATATAGCCTATCTAATAGAGCCTCTATTAACCTACCTATACTATATAAATAGAAACTTAGAAATATAAAAGTTTTATACATTATATATTATATAATTATATACTTATAATTCTTTATATTAGATACCTAGCTTAGTTAGTCTTAGAATACTGTCTTAGTCTATATTACACTAGTCTATTTTAGGATAAATAAGTTAAACTTATAAGTAATAAGTAGAGTTTAAGTAATAAGGTGAGTTTAAGTTCAGATTTAGGACTTATCTTAGCATATGAGTAAAACTTGCGAGTTTTAAGTAATAAGTTTAAGTCCTACCTTCCAACTCAACTTGTGAGTCGAGTCCTAAATCTCTACTCAAACTCGACTCGTGTGACACGCTAGTCCTCTAGATGGTCCTCTATATGGTATGCTAGTGGTATACTATTCTATGTACTAAGATATATACTACCTATGCTGGTATACTAAATGGTATATTTACTAAGATATGGTACCTATATACCATATCATATGAGTGTGGCGGTGTCTGCCAGATGGTAGCCATAAAGAGCATGATAATAGTAATTCATAATTCTCCACCATAAGAATATCCTTTCCCCTTGACCGCCTGATTCTGCCTGATGCGGTCACTGATAAAGGTGCCGTAACACCTAAATCACTATCTCCAAGCACCTCCGGCTCCCAGTGCTTTACATGCAGAACAGATAAAGGATGACTGAGTAGAAATTAACAAATAGATTAGATAATATACGCAGTACAGCCATACCTTATATTTATAGACGGACGCTGCCAGATAAAAGATAATAATACATTATCTAGAAATATAGTAGGCAAGCCAGTACTCTAGCATAGATTACTAAATTACTATTTAGATAGGTATTTTAAGTATTTTTAATAATAGTAGCTATAAAATTTTAAACTTCTCTAAGAAAGTAAGGTCCTCAGAGGTATTTAGACCCTAAGTAGTAAATCTCTCTAGCCCCTGACACATTAGGCTTAGTATACTCTATGATGATCACATGACAACACAGAGGGTCTGAGGTCACTTGAGGTAAGGGGACCCCCCTCCTGATCGCCATGCAATCCAGACTCACCCCTCTAGAGACTGAAAATCGTGACAATCTTTATTTCATCGATCGGCTTAGTTTGTGGCCTAGTCGGCCAGATCGAGTCTAGCCCAAGACCCTTTCGGGAAATTCCAACTGCGCTAGCCAAACCCGCCCCTCCCCGAAACAAAAAGAGCTCATTAGGGTTTTCATCCTCCAAAATATCTCCAACTTCATCGCCAAAATGGTGACTCTACCGATAGAGATCATCTCTCGGATTCTGTTTTTTGTCTTGAATAGTCCACAAAAAAAGCGTAGTAAACAGAAACCTTCCCCCGTCAAACTCGCCCCCTACACAACAATCTCTCGCCAATGGCAGGCCGCCGTGGAGCCACTGATTTGGCGCCACATGGGTGTATATCAGTCACTGGGTAAACTACAGGAGTTTACAACAGGCAGATCAGATCGACGGGCCAGGGTGGCCTATATCCGGAAACTAATCTGGTCACCGGATATCGACTGGAGTGATGTGGGCGACAGAACAGAGGGAGATGATACGCTGAAAGCGACTGTCCTCCCGGTGTCGTATAATCGGCAAATTTGCAGTCAATTGAGAATTCTCTTTGATATGCTGGACGGATGGAAAGACCGGCAATCGAATCTTGAATTATCGCTTTCCGTCAGCGATGAAGAGTATGCGTGTGAGACAGATATGGACACCACCCTCGAGGAAATGGCATCCTTTACGACGAACGATCTCTGGAGGCGAGCTTGGATTCCTCATTTTTTCCAGGTGACAGAGGATAATGTCAAGGATCTGCCGATACTCCCCTTTGTCACATCGTTCACCATGGATGACGATCGTAACACTCTATCTCCATCGGCTTTCTTCCACATGCTCTCGCGTTTTCCTCGTGTCAGTCATATTTCGGCCGCAGAGAGTGGGGATCCCCCTAGCGCTGCTATTCTAGGTCTTCGCGAGCGACGACAAGGTACGTCCTTCATCATCGTCCCATACATAGCTAATATGGGTAGATGTCATCAAGTGTCTGCCTCTGGTACCAGACACAGTCAACACATTCAAATACCAGGTTGGTTATGTAAGGGAATTAGCACCAACTCCTGCCTACAGTGCAGCCAACTATCTATACAACGGTCTCGATCAGTTCTCTATCGCCCTGAGAACACTGAGCATGCGCCTTCGCGAACTTCGCCTAGAATATGTCCGAGTCAGCAGCTCTCTCTTTTGGCCTTCTCAAGATGAAGGCACTAGCCAAACAGCTCCATGCTGGCCCAACCTCGAGGTCCTGGAAGTTCTTGAAGTACCACCAAACACACCCGACGGTAATCTACCCCAGTCCCTGTTGAAAACAATACTAACCCGTAAGGAACATGGATGATCCGCGAAGAACCCGGCAAAATATGGAATGATGGAGAACTCCACCTACCAGGCTGGGAATACGAGACCTACTACTTCGGCCCACTGGGTATTATCAACAGCCACGAAGTCGACAAACTGTATATCGCCATCGCCAAAGCAGCACACCAAATGCCACGACTGAGGCGGTTGTATCACTTATTCAGAGGCGAGTACGAGAGCAGCGAATGGCTGGAATTTGAGCGGGATGACACTGGAAGTGCACGGTTGTCTATCAATAGCCAATTTGAGTATGAGATTGGGGAGGGGGTTATCGCGGCATGGGGGTTAGGAGAAATGGCAGATGAGTTCAAGAAGCGTCACCATATTACGATGGAGAGATGGCCTGTTCATGATGTCTAGGATTTCCATTGTGTGTTGATAAGGCGGATATTTCATTAATTTTTTAGACGTGTCTGCAGGGGTTGACAGAAGAAAATACCCCTCCCATGTCATCATTACCCTAACAGCAGTCATCAAAATGGGCCATTTACCATCGCCAACATAACTGCACATTCTCTTATCGCGAATCCTCATTGGCAACAAATACGCCGCAAACCTGATTCTCGATCACAGCCTGATCCATAGGTGACGCGAGCCCCGATCTGTATGCAAGGCTGCGTGTACAACCGAGTCGGCCTGACCGAGAGAATCTCATTTTCAAATTCTCTCAACTGGAGATGATCAGTACACCATGTCTAGCTCATACGTTTCTATGCCCTCACTGACGCTCGGGGTCCATTGCGCCCGAGAGATATCGAAATGACCAAGATGCCTTGTTATATTAATAAAGAGGCCCCGCGGTGTGGTAGGATTCTCTTATCTAAACTCTGTTTTATTCTAATGATAGGCTCAGATACATGCGTTCTCTGTTTCGACAAAATGAATTCGAAGGCCATGTACCGGAAACTACCATGTGGTCACATCTTTCACAAACCATGTATCGACAAGTGGTTGTATGGTGAGGATGGGAGTTGTCCGATGTGTCGACGGACATTTTATCATCTTCGACTTCCGTATTTGGTTGATTATTCTGGTGTTGGAGATGAGGAAAAGAAAGAGGAAGGAGGTGGAGGAATCTATTTTGTTTTTGAATTTCCTTTAACAATAGAGTATAAAGCTTAGATGGTTCTGAATGGTTTTATAGTGGGGAATATGGATTATTGGGTTAATATCACTCCTCACGATCTCTAAACAAACACCCCTTATTGAGAATATAGATCTCCTCCTCATCCTCATCAGCAAGTTCAGTCAACGAGTCCTTCAACTCAGCCACCTTCAACATCGTATCCTCATACTGCTCAATCTGAATCTATCCATCCTCACGAACACCCCCAACCTGCTCTTTCCAAAGATTCACAACGCGATTCACCGCAAACAATTCCTCCTCCTTCTCGAAGAAGCCCTCCATTTCAGCCTCTGCGAACTGAGCAGGGCAACATATTCCCTCTATATCAGGGAGGAGAGGCCAGTACTCAATCATCCGGATTAAGGAAGACTCAGGACATCTGTACGAGATATGTTCTATATTTTGTAAGATTGCAAGAGGACTTGTTGGACGGAAACGGTCTTTTATGTGAACATATAACCAAGAGGAAGACTCTACAATTTGTCAATGACGCAAGCTGTGTATTTGCTCCCGACACTGAGTCTCCTCTACAACCTCACCTGGAAGTCGATATGGCAAGCAACAGCTGGAAACCCATGACATTTCTGCGATTCTAGATTCCTGGGCGAATGGCCCTCCGTTTGGAATGAATTTGCTTGGTATGGGACTCGGAGGAGTGTAGTGTCGTGATAATATATTTATCTAAACTGCCTAACTACAAAGCCATTATATCTCGTAACATAAACCTGCCTCGCATTTATTGCTTCTCCAAAAATACGACCCTGCTACCATAATCCGTGTCAAAAGGATATTGCAATCCCATGTTCATCAAGGTTTGACCCGAATAGGTCCCATTTCCATCAATACTGTACATTGCCTGCGAGTCAAGTCCCTGTAGTCGAATCCTGGGTGTGGCATGGTTCACATTCGGGCTGAGTTGGAAATAAAACAGCACAGCTTGTGAACCATCCTCAGAGATGAACAGAACAGCCGGCCAGTTGGACTCTTCGGGAAGACTAAGCCGCCACATATCTCCATTGAGCACGACGGGGTTGACCTTTTCGGCCAAGGCGATCAGCTCAGGAAGAGCAGCCTTTTCGTCCTCATGAATCTCAGTGGGGTCGAGTTCAAGGCCAAATGATCCACCCATCATGGCGACATGACCGCGGAAGGTCACTGGAATGGTACGTCCGGTTTGCTGGTTCGGCACGGCGGAGAGATGAGCTCCCATCGCGCTGGGTGGGTATGCGAGCGAGGTGCCGAGCTGGATGGAGATGCGCTCTACGGCATCGGTATCGTCAGAAGTCCAGATCTGAGGGAAGAACTGCAGCACACCGGGATCGAATCGGCCGCCTCCAGAGGCACATCCCTCCCAGAGGACGTTGGGGAATCGAGATGTCAGAGTGTCAAAGACGCGGTACATCCCCAGCATGTATGCATGATTGTTGCTCGGCGAGGGCATCTCATGGACAGCTCTGTTGTGATCCCACTTGACATAAGTGATATTGGCACTGTTGAGAATGTTGGAAACAGAGTCAATGATGAATTGCTGGACTTCAGGCAATGCGACATTCAACACAAGCTGATTCCGTCGCTCTGTACGGGGATACGATCCTGCATGGAGAACCCAATCGGGATGTTCGCGATACAGACTCGAATTGGGATTGACCATCTCCGGCTCCACCCAGATACCGAAGCGCAATTTGTCAGACGAGTTTGCAGCCTTCAGATCTGTGACATTCGACACCAAAGGCGACAGACCATCAGGGAATCGTGCTGGATTCGGCACCCAGTCACCCAGACCAGCAGTGTCGTCAGTGCGCGGGTACTTGTCGCCAAACCAACCGTCATCCATGACAAACAGCTTCGTTCCTAAATCAGCCGATTCTTGTGCCAGCCGGTAGATGCTGCTCTGGTTATAGTCGAAGCTGAGTCCCTCCCAGCTGTTGAGCAGCACGGGCCGGTCATCGGTGGCGAATTTGCTCTTGATCAGATGGTTACGATACAGGCGATGCAATGACCGGGACATGCCACCGATGCCGTCTTTGGAATAGACAGAGACACATTCGGGAGAGGTCAGAGTGTCTCCCGGACCGAGAGGCCATGATAACTGGTTGGGATTGAAGCCGAGTAATGCACGCGTGAATCCCTGGGAGCCTTTCTCGACATCCACAGCGAAAGACCCGGTGTAGACGAGGGAGAATCCCCATGCCTCGCCCTGGGACTCGGTGGTCGAGGGATGCACGAGGGACAGGAATGGGTTATGCAGATGAGACGAGAAGCCCGCGGTACTTCCAAAACTGTGTGACGTTAAACCTGCCTGAATACAAGGAATGTTCAGCTCACCTCTGAATTCCATATTCAACCTTGCGACGTTCCCGACGGGCCTCTCTTGCCCAATCGCCTCGAAGGCTGATCATATCAAGATCCTCATAAGGCAAGTCCACACTCAGACTGGCCAATCCCTCGATCGTGATGTTTCCCGTGCCCTTGTTGGTAATGTTGACACTTCGCACAATGGCATCGTACTTGGGGAAGACAGAGTACGTCAGGTCCGCTGCGACAGAGCTGTAGTTGTCGTAGAGATGCACCACCAACGTGCTGACATCCTGGTCGTTTCCAAAGGTTGCTGGCAAACCAGATAAGGCAGGCTTTCCCTTGACGACCGAGTAGGATTGATACTGTAGGTCGGACACCGTGTAGCCAGCAGACTGGCGAACACGCACGGCGGGGATACGGAAATCGCCTCGCCCTGAGTCTGGGAACTCGCGGCGAACACGACCCGGCATCCCAACCCATCCATTGACTTCGGGTGTTGGCTCCATTGGGAGAGGACCGGTGATGCTGCCACCAAAGTGGTCTGACAGCAGATCACCGGTGCTGTTGTCTACATGGAAGCGGTAGGACACATTGTCGCCATTGAGAGTGAAGGCAGTGCCATCAACAACGACCGCTGCAGCACACAATTCTCAGCATATTTTGGATTCGAAATATAGATGGCTGGTAATAACTCACCGTTGTCGTTTGCAGAGTTTCGGGAATTGGCAGCCTGGCAGTTGCCACAAAGCGCCAAGAGGCCGGCAATGGTCACCGTGGCACTCGATAAGCCAAGCATCTTGCTGTGTGATGAAAGGAATGAGTGAATTGATTGCAGTGGAGCAATTGCATGTCTTTATACTTGCTGCCGGTGAAGACGACTCATCTTGATTGGCGTTGATATTTCCCAAAGCAATTGGCTGCCAAGCTGCTGGGCGTGATGAAAGGGCCTATTCGACGGCATTGAGTGTCGGCACAATCCCCGCGTCCTTTCCTCTCACGATGGAGCAGCAATTCGAGTCCGGCCAATGACAGGCAGCATACAATGCGGGGTTCAGCAATGCGGAAGAACATCGGGGAATTTCGACAGAGAGTTACGGGGATACGCCCGCTTGCGGAGTTGGCACCGAAGTGACGTCTGTGAAGGACAGTGGGCATTGATCGGACATTATGCGGGATGCGACATTGGGATCGACATCGTGGCATCTTCATTATCATTGAAACCGAATACGCCCTCCTATCTGGCAGATATACACCTCCTGGCCTGGATCCACTGCCAACGACACCATGTGCTTCCTGACACTGACTATCCTGCTCTCTGGGGGATTCTTCAGCATTGCAATCTGCTCTCTAATCCTCTGCGCTTCATCCAGACACTCTTTTGGAATCCGCTCCTCTGGCATCGTCACCAATCGCATTCCCTCCAGTCCACGACACTGCAACGCGTCTCGGTACACTTTTACCCTCCAATCTTCACCCCAAAATGACTCCGAAATACGCTCGTCTTCTTCATTCCCTGAAAGCATCTTGAATGCAGCTGCCCACATTCTCCGCCATCGCTTGCACTGAAAAATATGCGACAGCGTATGCTGGTCCGCGGCGGAGTTATCTGATGTGTATGGGCCTTCTTGCAAAACAGGAAACCCCGGGTATCCCTTTTGGCAGAGCCAATCAGGAACACAGTACTTGATATACTCGATGCGTGTATCGATGTCGAAAAATGGTAGCCCACGTTGAGGCGAAAGGATTGCTTCCACTCCTCGGCCGAACAGCTCCCCGTAGATGAGGATTTGAAACGTTGCGCGATTAGCGTCTGTGTATAATGTGTTGGGCTCGCTGACGCCACCATCCCAAAAGTCCTCGTTCGCATACCACTGCTCGCCTGCCATTTTGTCGATTTTATCTGAGAGAGGGTTGATGATGTCGAAGCGGGAGAGATGGAGACGGCGGATGTCGTCCATGGTGAGGCCGGCGTGGTCGAGACAGAACTGATACAGCCCGTCGATTCCACCCGTAAATGATTTCATGAGAAGGGCAGTGCGTTCGGCATTCCCCAGTGCCCAGTCACTTGCCTGACGGGCTGTAGCGGCAACGAGGAAATGGGGATGAGGAGAGAAGAAGGTGGGCGCAGAGGCATCAGCCAGGCGCAGAATGGTGGATGGACGTGCTTTGGAAAAATTGTCGCGTAAAAGACGGCATGATGAGGCAGCATTGGTGAATGTCTCGATGTTGTCGATGTAGAGGGGGAGACGCGAAATGATCTCGTTGGGGAGAGCGTAGAGCGACATGGTGGATGTTATGATGATCTGTCCGAGAGTTGTGCTGTTCTTATATTTATATCTGCAGAATCAGAAATAAATGAGGCTGAATGGAGTGTGGCAGTGATGGCCCATCAGTGGCTGAGTATTGGGGGCGAAACAGAAACACTTGTCGCAACAGTTCATAAACTATCTTATGTGGATAAAAAATGATAGATGATATGGAATCAAGTCGATATGAAGCTGGCAGATCCTCATTGGACGTGGAAGCGCCGAACCCCGCCATAATGCTGATCACACCTTATCACCAGACGATATTGGTTTGAATGTAAACATCATCGAAAATAAATATCCTACACTTTGGCAGTTGTTTACGCATTGAGGAAAATGAGTTTTGGATACGGTATTGGCGATTTCTTGGCTGTTCTGAAGCTGGCCAACGATGTTCGCAAGCGCTTTTTCAATGCTCCAGCGCAGTTCAAGGCGATATCAGAAGAGTATGCTCTGAAGCCAATATTGTTGTATCTAGCTGATGGAATCAAGCATCAAGAGTCTATCAAATGTGCTACGGGATATCGATGATATTGAACCAAACAACGGCTTAAATAAAGCACAAAAGGACAGGCTGAATGAGATATCCCAGGGATGCCACACTGTACTCCAGGATCTCGAAGGAATGCTTGACAGGTACCAGGATATTGGCAATGGTGAAAAGAACATACAAGGACGATCACGGCGGACGTGGAAGCGACTGAAATGGGATACGACTGAGATCAACGGACTTCAACAGCGAATTTGCGAGCGAATTGATGGATTCAATCTGTTTCTCACTGGGCTCAGCGTGTATGCGTCTGTCCTTTAAATTCCAGCATTCACTGACTATCAATAGCCATGTTAGCCTCGCGACAAAGGAAATAACTATCCAGACCAAACACAGCGTGGACCGAGTGCACGAATACCACGATGACCAAAAGCGCGATGAAATGCTCAACTGGCTCAGTTTGAACACATACGCAGCTCAGCAAAGTGACCTGTGCAATCAGCGAGAAGAGGGAACCGGGAAGTGGCTGCTGTCCACAAGTGAGTTCCAGCAATGGGTCGATGGCAGGGAACAGATGCTGTTCTGTCCAGGAATTCCTGGAGCTGGAAAGACAACCATCGTATCTGCCGTCGTCGATCATCTGCATCAGAAGTATTATAATGTGGCGTATATATACTGCAATTTCCGACACCAGCAGCAAAGCGTTCTAGATTTGCTGGCATGTATTCTCAGGCAGCTGGTTCAGGGTCAGCCATTGATGCCAGAGATCTGTCAGGAGCTCTATGAACAGCACAAAGACAGAGGGAGTCGCCCATCATTGGATGAAATCAAAAGAGTCCTGCATACAGTCACAGCCGACCTCCATAAATCTTTCGTTGTGATAGATGCGTTGGATGAATGTTCAAGCCATGTAGGATCGCAATTGCTCTCCGAAGTCTTCAATCTCCAAGCGAAACATGGTGTGAATATATTGGTGACATCACGATATCTCCCAGAGATTACATCCCAATTCGAAGGACAGCCGTGCGTCGAGATTCGAGCAAAGGTGCAAGATATCGAGCAATATTTACGCAGACAGTTTACACGGCTTCCGGCATTTGTGGCACGAAATACAGCACTCCAGGATGAGATTGTTGCTATGATTACAAACGCTGTTGGTGGAATGTGAGTCGAGTCTGAATGGGTATAAGAACAGTCTAATGATATTATCAGGTTTCTGCTTGCCAAATTACACGTCGACTCGCTGGTAGGAAAGCCATCACCAAAGGCGATTCGAACGGCATTGTGCAATTTATATACTGGAACGGATGCTTACGATTATGCCTACCAAGAAGCAATGCAGCGGATTGAAACACAATCTGTTGATCAGAAAATGATGGCAAAACGCGTTATATTGTGGATCACTTGTGCCAGGCGACAGTTGAAGGTAGTAGAGCTTCAGCATGCTCTGGCTGTGGAGACTGGCGAGCCTCGATTCGACAGCGAGAATCTCCCAGATCCAGTAGACATGCTCTCGATATGCGCTGGCCTGGTGACGCTGGACGAGAACGGTTCTTTCATCCAATTATTCCACTATACGACGCAAGAGTACTTTGAGCGCACATGGGGGCATTGGTTTCCTCGAGCCCATGAAGAAATCGCAGCCACGTGCATCACGTATCTTTCCTTTGACGTCTTTGACAGCGGCATATGTCCAACGGAACAGGCATTCAGACTGCGCCTACGAGATTATCCATTATATAGTTATGCTGCTCATAATTGGGGCCATCATGCTCGCGTCCAGCAGGTCGACCATGAGCTCGTGTCCAAGCTTCTAAATAACCCATCCAAGGTCGCTGCTTGTGTCCAAAGGCTTCTTGTAAAGGTGAAACACTTCAGGCATTTTTCATATCTGAACCAAATCCAAAAAGAATTGAGAACGTTGCGCCTCATTGCATACTTTGGGCTGGGAGAGCAGATCAACTTGGTTGAAACTGGCGCCAAAGCCGATGCTAAAGAGACAGACAGCCGAACACCATTGCTATGGGCAGCCGAAAATGGCCATTTAACAGTGGTTGAGCTTCTGCTGACGATGGATGTGGATATAGATACCAGAGATCTCGTACATGGCCAAACCCCATTGTCACTGGCTGCAGAGAATGGACACGACGACATTGTCCAGCTGCTGCTTCAAAGGAAGGCCACGCCCGATTCAAGAAGCAGCTTTGGTCGAACTCCACTATCATGGGCAGCAGAGGATGGCCACGAAGCAGTGGTCAAACTTTTGCTGGACTCCGATGTCGATCCGGACTCGAGAGACGACTTTGGCCGCACACCTCTGCTTCATGCGGCAGCAAACGGTCATGATAAAGTCATTACACTCTTGCTGGATAGGGGAGCCAGCCCTGATGCAAAGGATACACAGGATGGCCGATCAGCACTCTCCTGGGCAGCAGAGAATGGGCATGCTGGAGTCGTGGAGGTCTTGCTTCGATATGATGCCGATGTACATTCCGCAGATGCAGACAATGAACGACCAATGTATCTGGCAGCGAATAATGACCATGAGGCAATTGTCAGAATGTTCCTTGAGAAAAGCATCTCACAAGGACTGACTGCAGAGGATGGCCAGACAGCGCTGTTCTTTGCCGCAAGCAAAGGCCATGAGTCTATCTTGGAGCCTCTTGTTGACACTGGCGTTGACCTGAATAGCAGAAACAACGTGGATGTTCCGGCATTATGTTATGCTGCGTTACTTGGACATGACGCTATTGTGAGGATTCTGTTGGAAAAAGGAGTCGAGACCAATGTCAGCGATAAATATAAGCACAGTGCCCTGGCACTTGCAGCTGGCAACGGACATGAAAGCATCGTCAAGCAGCTTCTAAATGCCCATGCTCAAGTCAACTCCCAGGATTCTGAGGATTGGACACCGCTAATGTGGGCGGCATATGAGGGCCATGGGTCTATTGTGAAGCTGCTGATTGATGCAGCGGCTGATACGAATCTATGTGAGCGACATGGACGCACGGCATTGTTTCGGGCAGCAGAAAGGGGCTTTGAAAGCATTGTTAAACACCTCTTGGATGCAGGCAGTGATCCAGAGAGACGAGATGCCTGTGGACATACTGCTTTAATGTGGGCAGCTGCAATTGGAAGAGACACTGTGGTAGCGTTGCTGTGTTCAGGATATGCCGATGTCACCATCAAGGACCGAGCGGGACGAACAGCCTTACACGCAGCAGCAGGAAATGGACATCTCCAAGTGGTTAACACATTGCTTTCGACAGGCCAAGTGGATGCTGATCTGAAGGACACGTTTGGAAGAAGTGCCCTAGGTGTTGCTATGACGAGAGGAGAGGAGGATATTATACAGGCCTTACAGCAGAAGGGGAATACTCGAGATGAAACAAAGATCACCAAGCGTTCTGTGACCAAGGTTAGATTACGATGTGACGTCTGTCTCCAACCCATACCCGACAAGGAGTTTAGCTATCACTGTGACAAGTGCAGTGGTGGTGACTTTGATATCTGCCAGGAGTGCTTTGGTTTCGGAGGATTCTGTTTGGACCAGAGCCATCAGCTGGCCAAGCGTGTTCTTCAAGGTACAGCATTTGTGGAATGTACTTGATTGATTTTATGTTTTTGTCTCAATTACGCATCAGCTGAAGCACGGAAATGAATTCCAGTGGATGCAATGATCCACTCCAGTCGATAGCGTGTTTGCTAGTATGTTAGATCTCAAAAACCACGGTTCGCCATACTATTGCGTCGACTAGTGTCGCTTTCCGCCGAGTGTATATTTGCTGGGACAAATACCAGCGACAGTCATACCCATTCTTTTTGTGTTCAACATGCGTTTTCTTCCCATCAACCTGTCCACCATCCTGGTGGAACTGCCTAATCTCGATCAGACACTGGCACTCTTTGCTTCCCTCCAAGCCCAGCCGATTGCTGCCATCCAGGAAATCGTTCCAGCTGCCTGCACCCTACTGATCAAGTTTCACTCGGAAACCGTCACTGCAGAGGTTCTGACTGCCCAGATCAGCCAGCGAGATCTCTCCACTCCAGTTCATCGGGTGGACCGCGAGGTGGAAATCCCCGTCCACTATGACGGCGAAGACCTTGCCGCGATTGCTGAGCTCACGGGGCTCAGCGTGGACGAAGTCATCCAACGCCATACGAACAGCACATACACCGTGGCGTTCTGTGGCTTTGCACCCGGCTTCAGCTATCTCGTCGGCGGGGATCCCCGGCTGAACGTGCCACGCCGCTCAAACCCACGAACTCGTATTCCAGCCGGCTCGGTGGGCCTGGCGGGCTGCTTCAGCGGTGTGTATCCACAGAGCAGCCCAGGCGGCTGGCAACTGATCGGCACCACATCGGTGAAGATGTGGGATCTGAATCGCAGCCCGAGCGCGCTCCTTCAGCCCGGCTATCGAGTGCGTTTTGCCGATGCGAGAAACAAGAAGATTGCCCACAGTGCCACTTCTTCCACGATCCCTTCAGTAACTCCTGTCCGCGAGAGCACTCCACATTTCAAAGTCCTCTCTGCGTTTATCCCCGCGCTGTTTCAAGACCTCGGTCGGTTGGGCCAATCAAAGCAGGGGGTATCTGCCTCGGGTGCCTTGGATCGACTGGCTTTCAAAGCTGTCAACCGGGCCGTGGGCAATCCAGCTGAGACGGCGTGTCTGGAGATCGTCTCGGGCTTTTCGTTCCACAGCAATGGCCGTGCCGTCGTGGCCTTCGGTGGGTCATCCTGTCCAATCACCGTCCAGGATGTGCGCGGCCACGAGATCCATCCCACAATCTACCAGCCGATTTCTGTGGAGCCTGGCGATGTTGTGCGACTCGGCCAACCGAAAAAGGGCATGCGATGCTATCTCGCCGTCCGTGGTGGCTTCACCACCGAGCCAGTCATGGGCAGCTTTGCTACCGATACGCTGGCTGGTATCGGCCCAGCGCCAGTCACCGCTGGCGCACTGCTGGGCCTGGCAAATGACACCCACGGGCTGACCAGTGTGTCGCTGAGCCAAGGCCCGGCCTTCGATCTGCCTTCCGCTGGAGATGTCGTGACTCTGGACGTGGTCCTTGGGCCTCGCACTGATTGGTTTACCGACAAAGGGCTCGAGGTATTCACGCAGCAGCTCTGGAAAGTGACCGCACTATCCAGCCGTGTGGGGATGCGATTGTCCGGAAATGCCGCCATCGAGCGCAAAGACATCACAGTTGAGCTGCCCAGCGAAGGAACTGCCACTGGCGCCATTCAGGTGCCCCCAACCGGCCAGCCGGTGCTGTTTCTGGCGGACCATCCGCTCACTGGTGGATACCCAGTGATCGGCGCTGTTGCGGAACATCATCTGGATCTCGCCGGCCAGCTTCCGGTCAATACAAAGATCAGCTTCCGCCCCATCACGGCTTTTTCCGAAATCCATCCTGGCTGTCAATCATGAGGAAAGTGTTGATTGCTAACCGTGGCGAGATCGCCGTGCGCATCATCCGCGCCTGCCAGGATACTGGCCTTTCATCTGTCGCGGTCTATTCCGATCCAGACGTTGATGCGCTTTTTGTGCGACTGGCAGACGAGGCATATGGGCTTTCTGGCTCCCGTCCAGCGGACACCTATCTAGACATCGACAAGCTGATCGCCATTGCAAAGCGCTCTGGATCGGACGCCATTCATCCCGGCTATGGGTTTCTCTCTGAACATGCGGAATTCGCACGAGCTGTTCTGGACCATGGCTTGGTCTGGATTGGACCAGACCCCCAGGTAATCGAAGTCCTTGGTGATAAGGTCACAGCCCGCCACGTGGCTTTGGGTGTAGGAGCCCCTCTTGTCCCGGGCAGCAATGGACCAGTGTCCAATGGATCAGAGGCGATGGCTTTTGCCCGCCAGTATGGCCTCCCGGTTGCGATCAAGGCGGCACACGGCGGGGGTGGACGAGGCATGAAGGTGGCATGGAGGATGGACGAGGTAGAGGAACTGTATCAATCCGCCGTGCGTGAAGCAACAGCAGCCTTTGGACGTGGAGAATGTTTTGTCGAACGCTTTCTCGACCGGCCCCGGCACATCGAAGCCCAGGTGCTGGCTGACAGGCACAACAATGTCGTTGTTCTGGGAACCCGCGATTGCTCGCTTCAACGACGATACCAGAAACTGATTGAAGAAGCCCCTGCACCATTCCTTTCCCCAGAACAGCGGCAAAAGATCCACGATGCCGCCAGATCCATCTGCCTCGCAGCCGGTTATTCAGGAGCTGGCACAGTTGAGTTCCTTCTCGGTGGGGATGGCACCATATCGTTCCTGGAAGTCAACACTCGTCTTCAGGTTGAGCATCCCGTGACGGAAGAAACGACCGGCATGGATCTTGTCGTGGAGCAATTCCGCATCGCCGATGGTCTGCCACTCTCCATCACCGAAACACCCACCCCACGCGGCCACTCGCTGGAATTCCGCATCAACGCCGAAGACCCTGGCCGGGGGTTTTTGCCCACTCCCGGGAAAATCACTGCCTTCCAGCCACCCTCGGGCCCTGGCGTCCGGTTAGATAGCGGCGTTGTCAGTGGTTCCAACGTGCCTGGAGTCTACGATTCCCTGCTGGCAAAGCTGATTATCTGGGGCGGCACCCGGGAACAAGCCCTTGCTCGCGCTCGCCGTGCTCTGAACGAATTTCGCATCGATGGAGTGAGCACTGTTCTGCCCTTTCACCGTGCAGCCCTGGAGACACTGGATTTCATTGGCACTGAGGGCTTCAAAGTTCACACGCGATGGATCGAGACCGACTTTTTGTCTATGCCAGAGGCCGCAGCACGGCCTCTCCCAGCCACAGATCCTTCGTTGATTCGTACGCATCTGGAAATCGATGGCAAACTGGTGTCTGTTGGTCTACCGAGTCTTCTGCTGGGTGCTCTTTCCGGCGCAGGCAACAACGTCGTGTCGACAGCTCGGACAGAGAAGCGAGACAAGGCGGATAATATCTCGGCGCCAGTGTCAGGGATACTTCAAGCATTCAAGGTTGAAGATGGAGCGTCAGTAGTGGAGGGTGATTTACTGGCAGTCATGGAAGCGATGAAGATGGAAACTCAAGTCGTCGCCCCAAAGGCTGGGACTGTACGGCTTCTTGCGACGGCAGGCGATTATCTCGATGCTGGTGCGGCATTGATTGTATATAAAGCATAGAATACCCAGTTCTAATAATTCTGCTACATATATCCCAGTGGGATTCATAGTTTAAATCCTTACGGATCTTGAAGGCCATCATCAAAGTAAATCAAAGTAATACTTGGTCTATCCGCTAGCCTTAATGTCTTACTCCTACTCCACACTCAGAGAAGGTGGAACAAGAACTACTTCATCGGCGAATATGGTGGTGTACCTACACGCTTGATCGTTTGTTTGCCGCGCAAGGCACACCATCCATACTCAACGAAAAAAGATTGCAACATGGAGCCTCTAACATGGGATGACCTCAATGGAGAGGATCGAGTAGCTTCGGAAGTCGCCCTGATAGGAATTTCGATGGCAAGAGTAATCGAGGACACGGTGCGGTCTTTACCAACTCCCAGAAGACTTTTGTGCCCATCTCGCCATCAGGTGTGAATATGAGACGGCGGTACTCACACAGCTTTGTGCTGTCAATGGCCGGATCCAGTTGACGCTCAAAGCCCTTGGATGCCAAAATGAAGGGAATCTGGAATACTTTCGCGGACAGGCCATAGCCAATAACTCCAACTTGGTGCTCTTTGCCTGCCATGGCTGAATGTATTTGGCAGTCTTTCAATTCTTTCGGGATATCCTGCACCTTATGGATTCACTTGAATGTATCGATGACTTGCTCTTCCTGATATATATCCCTCATTCCGTCGTGATATCCTGAAGATGTGGGCGTGTCGGAACTATCCCCTCTGGGTCTAGTAAGGTCGGAACACCCTCAATAAAGCAGCATACATTAGTGGCTTTTAAAATGCATCTAATGCATAGTACTCATGGATCATGGATCATGGATCTTTCCGTATAGGTGATCTATGGGCGTATGAGAATGACCATCTTTTTGTGGAAAAACTGATAACAAATAATGAGAACTACTAGTTCTATAGTCATTTCTTCCACAACAGAGCTAGTGATGATAGATGATAATGGCATACATATTTATTTTCTAAAGGCAGAAACTATAACTTCATCAATGTAAATCAAGTCATTTTATCTTTCAGACTATAACTGGTCTATCTCTATTGAGTAGCAGTCCATCGTTTGTACATCATATCATAGATCTGAAGATCTTGCCTAGCATCCGACACCGTGGTCTTAATGGGCTTGCCGTTGACGATAACATCATATAATTCTTGAAGCTCTGCTGTGTAGGCATCCTCGTAAGAAGAGAGGATAGAGCGGTGCTGGACTTCGCCTTGCTCATTGACCTCATCAACCTCCACGTAAATTGGGAGGCCCTTGACATAGGGGCTGTCATACTGCAAAAGAATCAGAACAGTGCTGTGTGACGCAAGCACAAAGGGCTACTTACCTTGATAGTGACTCTCTTCTTAGCACCGTACACGGTGACATGCGCATCGAAGACTGGAACCTCATCAATGCCGCTCTCATAGGTAGTCGAGTATGTGGAACCATCAGCGTTGCGGAAGGTCAACATAGCACTGTAAAAGGGGTCGTTGGCAGAGACTCCAGCGACGGTTTCGGGGAATCCCAGAATCTCACGCATAAGGGAAATGTCATGCGAGCCCAAGCTGCCCAAGAAGCGACAGAACTTCTGCTTTTCCACTGTAATCTCCTGCCCGGGGAACGCTTCCGCATACAGGGCATCCAGACGAGAGTTGCGCTCTTCTGAAGCGCCCGCTGGATAGTCAAAATGCTTGACCGGGAAGGTACCACTTTGGTTGACAAAGTTTGTATTCGGACCGCTGAAATCACGGACTCGGGCATAGAGAATTTTGGGAATTGAAGCAATCTCTCTCTTGAACGCTTCGACAAAGCTGGGGGCATAGCGGCGCATATACCCCACAAACACACGAGCGCCGTTGGGTGCATTTTCCTCTGCCTTGATGATACTCTCCAGAGAAGGCAAGGAGAGAGTCACGGGCTTCTCAACAAAGACATGCTTGCCAGCCTGCAGAGAAGCAATCGCCAATGGTGCGTGGCTTTCATCCGAAGTCAAGATGAGGACCACGTCGACCTTGGCGTGGTCGATGACCTCCTGCGGGGTAGTCGTCTTGTGCGGAACGAAGAACTTGGCAGCGCAATGGTCGATTGTCTTGGTCGACACATCGCAGATAGACTCAATCCGGAATAGATGGGACAAGAGCAGAAGCGAAGGTCCATGGCATACTTGGAAAACTTCCTGTGCGGTCAAGCTGTGAGGCTGTTTTTCAAAAACAGGGAGTGAAGGAATAACTGACCCCTGCACCGATAATGCCCAAGCCCAATGTTCGAGATGACATGGTGAATATGTTTGATATTACAGGAAGAATAGAAAAGGAAAGAAACCAAATCAAACAGAGCTGTTTGGAATTCAATTGTTCTCACGACTCTTTCATGTCGAATGGTTGTAACGCATTCCACCATTTGATAACATGTGGGTGGTCGGAAGCTAGCCGTTTACAGAAGGTGGGGTTGTCTCCGAAAGTCGGAATGTCCCAAAGCGTCTGCCCCGGTAGAGCCAGTCATGTTCATGGATGGCCCACGGTTATAGATTCGTATCAAACCCAAGATAAAACCATCTCTATATACATGTGTATCATTGCAAAACGTCACATCATCTCCTCACCATCAACATAATGGACCCAAACCCGCTTATAAGAATATAAACCAACGGCACATAGCATCCTTCACAACCGAGGGTTTTGCACCATGGCACCACACTAAAGCAGAATACGTCATTCAAAGCCCAGCTCCTGTCTCACCTGTCGCAGCTCCTCGTTACTGGGCAAATTCACAATCATCAAATATACGACTTTCTATCGGACAATTAGCACGTGTCAAGTGATGAAGACTCAGCTCGAGAAACTTACACTCTTTAGCCCCTTCAGAGCCGTGTGTATACGATCGTTATAAACCATCTTTTTTGGATCACCCGAGCTGCTATCCTCATAGACGGCGTCTCCAGTGGATGCTGCCTGAGTCTTTGCCTCCTGGTGCTTTTTATATGCCTTATAGCCCTGGTTGGCGAGAAAGCCTGTCGGGGTGTACTTGAGGATCTGTTTTTCTGTGAGATGGCCTCCGGTGAGCAGCGCAATTGGAGAGCCTTCGTTAGCTGGGTGTTTGGGATCTGCGTAGCGAGAGCTGAATTCCGGTTTGGGGCCATGGGTTAAAGCACTGTCTGGGTGGTCGGCGTTCTGCAAAGTCAGCATAACAGACATTGGATAGGATGTACAGCAACATACGAATTTCGCCTGCTCCCTTTTGTCCTTGTATGCCGAGACACGTTCATACTTTGCCTGCGTATGCTCCTTGAATGTCTTATGCTTTTCCTTCGTCTTTGCATCGCCCAGTCGGTCCAGGTCAGGAAACTCGAGCGGTGCAATCTCAGCAAAGAACTGGTTGGCATGAGACTCGCCGCTGGACTTTGCATATTTGTGTTTGAGCTTCTCAAAGCCCCCACCTGCTTTGGGCATCGCCTTGTCAATGGCTTCATCCAAGCCGTAGATAACGTGTGGGTCATCAATGTCTGGATTCCACGTCATGACAAGACAGAACAGACCACGAGGCATGAAGATATCGCGATTGGCCACATCGAAGAAGTTGTTGGATCTGCGTCGCCCTTCCATTGTAATCGCCGTGGTGGTTGCAATTTGCATCGCCACGCCCACCGCAAACCCGATTAACCCCATACCGAAGGGGATCAACGCCAGTGGCGCCAGGTTGAGTAATCCCAGCGCCTTTGGCCCCTTGCATGCGTGGTTGGCTGTGTCGACAAAGTCGAGGAACATGTCCTTGTCGATGCCGAATGCATTCAGGTCGGGTGGATACGCACGCACAAAGCCTCTGGCTCGGGCCCCGGGCCGACGCTGAGGCAGGACGATGGGGTAGGGGAGAGAGGACTTGCGATCGGCGAAGAGGGGAAGAGGATATTGCGCAGCAAACGCTTCGGCGAGATGGCCCTCGTCCGTGGACTCTTCCCAGCCCGGTGTTCGCTGTTCGACCAGCTGGTCCTGGGCTTCGTCCAGCTCCCAGTGTTCTTCGTGGTCATGGTCGATGTCGCGAGAGTAGACACTGTCGTTGTCGTGCAGCTCCACGCCGTGCACGTGCACGGTTTTGGTCTGATCATCGTGGTTGTCTTCGTCACGCTGTTGGCCTTCGGTCTTTTTCGCCTTCTTGGCCGATCTGCTCTCAGTGGCCAGGCCGACTGTAGCACCGATGCCTTTGAAAACTTTGCGGCGTATGAGGAACATTTTGCTCAGAAAGTCAATATGGAATGGAAATTGAGACAGAATCTCGCAGGACAGGATGGAGGGGTTGCTATTTATCTGTGTCCTCCCCTTTTGGCCGGGCTGTATGGCCCCCAAAGATGGAGACTGCTGTCCAATCATATTCAAAGAATGGGTGGCCTAAAATCAAGGCTGATATGTGCATAAAAGCTTGGCCTTTTGATTGCCTGTTTGGGCTTAGCATCTCTGCTGATCCCGCTGGTTATTTCTAACAATAAAATTCGCAGGCATGAACGGTTTCTTACCACTGCTGAGACTTTGATCAAAGGTCCATCAACAGTAGAGATGATTATTGATTTGCCAAAAGTATGGCTACTCATGAATCATTCTCATTCATGATTAACCTACAATAATTAAAACTGGTCCCAGCATGTATAACTTTTTATATACTTTTATACAATCCAGTACACGTTCCAGTACCACTTTGATACTGGCTAAAATAACCTGGTCTTCTGCACTATCTTGAGTGCATAACGGATAATATTATAGTTTATGTAGTATTTTCCTGGTGAGAGAAGTTTTATGGAAGCTTTGGAGGAGAGGGAGGAGAGCCTTGATGTGAGGGGTATAGTTCATGTCTATTATATATAATTGGTCTTCCAACTTATACATCACATCTTTGACTTTTGAAAGAAAATCGTTCATTCGCAGGAGTTTTATTTTCTATTGTGATTATATAAATAGATAAACTGACATGCAGCCTCATCGTCCTTCAAGCATCTACAGTTTCCAGTGCCATGTCTGTCCATCGCCCTTCAATCCCAGGGACCGTCTTCAGCAACATCTTGTCGTTCGCAAGGATACCTCCCTCTACTCTGGCCCGACTCATTCCTAACATGGAGATAGATTTGCCAATTCGTCCGCACATTTCCAGCTTCTGTGATCAGGCATTCAAGCGAGGGTAGGTACTATACATTGCCTCCAAGTTTTCTTTGTTTGCAAAAATCAAGACACGTCTAGGGACGCTCTCAAGCGCCATTTAAGAACATGCAAAGCAAAGGAGGGATCGATCCAAAATCATCACCACCTAGACGGATAGGCCTGGCAGTTCGCCTCAAATGCGGTCATGGTGCACATAACGTGTAGCCTATAGCCGATTGAACTTTTCTTGGACTCGGGCAACCTGATGCTACCTTCTTCGGCTGATAATCAGAACGAATGTGCACCGACGTATGATTACCCTCAGCCGCCGTATCCTGTTCCTACCAGTAATGGCTTCGTGCTGGACTCAGCTTCAGAAGCGCGTGGGCTAAGGTTTCAAACAAAAGAGATGAAAGATCAAAGGCATCTTCGCCAGCGAATCTGGCGCGACTCCTATATTTATTTTGATACTCCATATTGATATTCCACACTGGTAAAAGTTTGACATGGATGTATCAGAGCCAAAAAGAAATGCTCACACGCGGATTTGAACCGCGGACCTCATGATTACTAGTCATGCGCTCTACCAACTGAGCTATACGAGCAAAAGAATTCGACACCTGTGTGATTCGAACACACGCATCCGAAGATACTGCCTGACAGGTGGAGTCACCAAATAGCAGGGCAGCGCCTTAGTCCACTCGGCCAAAGTGTCTGAGTTGGTAATTCTGTTTCAGAAACGGCTACTAGTTACATCTTCTAGGCTGGTCCCAACATCCCGCGGGCACCACGACACCGCCATTCTCCGTCGACATGGAATAGGCAGCGAGCATCTCTCCTGTCATGGCAAACCCAATCCGCTTCACGATTGGTCGAGCTGAACCCATGGTTTCTGGACTCGATGGACGCAATCCCAGATTGGCATCAGGCATCTTGGTCTTGAAATGACCGACCATTCGGACCCACTTGAAGGTTGTTCGGTCGCCGTAAAAGGGAATGTTGGCCAAGTGCTGCACAATCTGTTATGGTATTACACTGATTTTAATGACGCTACTAGTGTAGTTATACTGAGATATAACTAATAAGTAGTATGAGAATTATATTTTTCCCTACTAGTACAGAATATACTATATACCCCGTGGCATATATATATATATACATAAACGAGGAAGGTATTAACGCGAAAAAGATAGTGAACCTATCTCGCTAATTCGATCATTACAGAGTTTAAAAGTAGAAAATCATCAACGCCGTGAGTCCATATACCCCATTAAAACCATTTAATCAGCTCGACACCGTGACAAAAGAGCTGGCAGAAGCGATCTTCTTGGCCAACGCCTTGGTCGGCTGCGAGCCCAGAAAGTCAAACGAAGACAGCTCTGCCCCCAGTTCGCGCGAGACCCAATTCTGCACTTCGGTGGCTTTGAGGGAGTCAACTGTGACATGTTAGCATACATCATATGAAAAAGAATTGTCAAAACTTACCACCCAGTGCGGACAGAGGCAGGTCCAAATCGATAGAATCGGCGGTTGTGGCCATTGCGTGTGCGAGGTATTCACTCAGAGCGTCGACGACGATCTGCGCCGCAGCGTCTGGCGAACTGGACTCCTTGAGCAGGGCGCTCGTTGTGAGTTTGCCTCCGTCACTGTCCTCCACCGGGAGGAGGCGATGGTCAAACTTGCGATCGAGAAGCCATGCGCCTGGGGGATTTTTGCGAGACAGGGAGTCTGTCATACCCGCAATGATTTGCGGTGGGAGAGACAGCTTGCTGTTGATGATTACCCGGAGGAGGGTTTGGAGCTCGCGAGTCATGATCTCAGTGCCGTCGAGATGGTTGTATCGGCGACGACGTTGTTCCTGGTCTTCAGCGATGTCACTGAGGCCGCTGGCATCAGGGACGAGGCCGATGTTGATGGAGTGGCCGGGGAGGTTGTGGTTGCGCCGCCATTCCAATAGGGCATCCATGAAGCCGTTGCCGGCGGAGTAGTTGGCCTGGCCCATGTTTCCAATGACGCTGGCCACGGAAGAGAGAGTCACGAAGAATGACAGCCCTTGGTCTGGCTGGGAGAAGAGACGGTGCAGATTCAAGGTGCCATTGATTTTGGAATCAGTCGATTGGGTCCAGTCGTCAAATGTCATCTTCTCAAACATGCTATCCCGGAGAACGGTGGTGCACTGAATCACACCGGCAACATGCCAGCCTTTGCTCCTGATCTTGAATGCAAGGTGCTCGATGTCTGCCTTTTGGGAAATGTCACAACGCACAACATCAACACGACATCCGCGAGTGCTCAACAAGTCCAGGGCAAGCTGCTGCCCCTGCTGGACCACGCCAGATCGCCCCAGGAAGACCAAGTGTCGTGCTCCAGCTTCCACTAGAGTATCAGCAAAGGCAAGACCGAGATTGCCCAGCCCACCGGCCAGGATATAGGTGTCCTCCGCAGGCAGTCCGGTGAACTCGGGCAGCGGCTGCACAATGGGCACTCGACCGGGAGCTTGTAAGTCCACGATGGCTCGGGTATTGGTCTTTTTGCAGTGACTGAATGCAGCCTGCAGATCGGAAACAGGGAAGATGGGATAGGCTTGCACACGCTCCAGCATTTGGTGCCTCTTCATGTAGTCGATGACCTCTCGCAGGGAGGCATGCAGGCTGCCTGGCTTCTCGGAGAATGTCCTCTGTAATTTGGGCGAGGAGAAGGTGCAGCCACTGTCGATGAAGCTCTCTGGGAGAGCACTGAGCTTCATCTCGCTGGACAGATTGATGTACTGCCCACCGGGGGATAGACACCTGGCGGCAACCCGACCAGCATATCCACCGACAAGACAGACACTAGTTTCGACTCCACAGCCATTTGTCAGTCTCGATACGCTCGCTTCGAGACTACCGTGGATACCCAGAATGCGGTCCTTTAGGGCCGGGTAGCGTGAGGAAAGGGCCTCGGTCGTGTCTTGGGAATCCGTGGCGACAATAACTTGCGTATCCATGCTGAGAGAGTAGTCGATCATGGCTAGAAGAGTCTGGCTGGTTGATCCGACAAAGAGGACGGATGAACTGGCGCGCAGTCGGCCGACCTGGGTGAGAATCTGATGCGCGTTGAGGTACGCCAGAGGAGACGAGATGGTCTTTGCTGGATCGGTGTTGGAAGGAATTCGGATGGTGTCATTCTCCGCGACGCGTAGCATCGTCGATAGGCCAGATTCCTCCGAGGCCAGCGTCAACACCTTGTCGCCCACAGCCAGGTCGTGCACGCCTGATCCAATCCGATTGACTCTGCCCACAATCTCGAACATGGGCAGGGCGGTTTCGAGGGAGTTTGCATCGCTGTTTGCATGATAGACAGTGGCCATCTCAACCTTGAGCTCCGCATGGTCTGCTGGGAGTTGGTCTTCGAGCTGCTGCTCTTCCCAGTACGCACTGTCTGTGTCCTGGGCCTTCAGCTGCAGGGGTCTTGTGTCCAGCGTCAGATCAGCCAACACAGGTCGAGGGCCATTGACCAGCGTATGCATCGCCTCATCCACCGCTGGAGTCTCAAGCACTCGTGGAACCAACAGGCGAGCACTCGACAGACGGTACTCCAAGTCTGCCCGGCGTGAGCTATCCTGCGTCGTGAGATGCATTACCCGCAGAATCGCCGCAGCCAAACCAGCCTGGTCTTGCATATCGTCGGTATCCACCAGTAGCTGTGAAATTGTGGTATTCCACTGCTCGTTGCGCAGCGTTCGCAGCAGACCGCACGTGGCACCGGATTCCGCATTCTCCACGGCCCCTTGAGCCCAGAAGGGTGAGACCCAGAGAACATACTGAGCGTGGATGAGCTCTTGGAATCGGCTCAGGTCGTCGGCTGTCCAGTTGGATACCCATGGACCTGCCAGGTCGAGTAACGACACCACCGTCTTTCCGGCCAGCGTGGCTGCCTGGTCTAACCCGACAGGCACCACGCGAGCGTTGTGAGCGGCTAGGTTCTTTCCTAGATGATCCAGAACAGTGGATGAACTTGCGTCGGCACCGAGGATGTAGATCTCAGACTCTGGGGTCCACGAGGCGGGCGTCCTGCGTACGACGATGAAGTTTTCGTCATCTGTGACGCTGTCGATTTCCAATCCGTCAAAGCGTTGCAACGTTTCCACGGCAGAGTTGACGTTGGTCTCGGAAACGCGCATCGCCGCAACGCCGCTGCGCTCGAGGATCGTGCTCAGGAAAGATAGAATAGCCGTTGTAGCCTTACCCTGCCATAGGCTGGGCTCGTCAATAACGGCAAAGTCATATGTACTCTCTGGGAGCGATGCGGATGGGAGCTTGTCCAGCGCACTGATAGGCACAATGTTCGTGTCCTTTGCATCTTCATCGGCGCCACACAATGCAGTGGTGATCCTTCCGAGGCAGGGTCGCTTTCCACCAGCTGGGGCCAGCTCGTAGAGCTCCTCGATGCACGGAGTTGTCGTGTCCGATGTGGTGACGAGCAATTTCGCATCTCCGTGGGTATGGCACAGGCGCTTCACCCAGTCTTTCAGCCGGAGACGGCCTTGCGTCCCATCTTTAGCGATGACCAGTGGCGAATCCAAGTGCTCACCCCAAACAATCGACGAATACCGGCTCTGAGACGCTGCCTCGTCTTGCTTTTGGGCGTTGGGGTTGAAGGGAAGCCGGCCGAGATGAACACCTTCGAAGGTGATCCAGGGTTTGGACCACGACGGATCCGAGGCGATGCACTGGGTGCGCGATTTGCCGTCTCGCCACTGCGTCTCGGTGTGCACGACGAACTGCTCGCCTGGATTCGGGCGGGAATTGTTGGAGATGTAGACATGGTCGACTCCGACGGGGATATTGGCGTTGGTGCTGGACAGGGCATCGGAGCAGGACAGCAGCGCCGACTGAAAGAGGCAGTCCAGCGTGGTGGGATGGATGAAGCTGGGCGTCTCTCTTTCATACGGCATGCCGGATTTGGTGTCTGTGACCACTCCAGACAGCCACAGACGAGGCTCCGACTCGACAAAAGACACGCCGGTGATGGTCTTGAACGATGGCCCTACCGACAGACCACCGACGTCCGACAGCCACTGGTATGCTTGCCCGATGTTGGCCATTCGCGCAACAGTCTGCGTGCTCCGGATGCGCTCCAACGATGCGGACCAGTTCGCCGCATGCTCTGCATCCTCCTGGTTCTCGTATCGCGCCGCGAACGCACCCTTTGCGTGCTGAATCCAGGCACCCCCAGATGGAAGCGAGAAAATCCCGAATTGATACCAGCCGAGCATTCCCGGATGGGGCGAGACTTGCAGGACAGTTTCCAGTCCGCGCTCATCGTTGGGAACAACAACACCGCGGAGGAAATGGAGGTCTTGGAATTCGATTCCCATCATCTCCCGGCCGTCTGCCATTTGTCGCGCTGCTTCGGTGACCATCACCAGCATTCCGGCCGCTGGGAAGACGATCGATCCGGCCACGACGTGATCGGCGATCCATGGATTCTCTGACAGCCGGAGGAAGTTCCTCCATTGGGGCTCGAGGGCGTTTTGATAGTCGAGGGGAGCTCCCAGGATATCGTGGCGCGGGTGCTTGCGCTGTCGTAATTGCGCCGTCTCCAGCGGTTCATGCCAGAACGATGTTTGGTGATTCCAGGGGTAGGAAGGCAGATCAGCCACGACCGCTGGGGTGGTGGGATCGGCACTGCTGTTGACTGCAGCCAGATCGATCGCATGCCCGGTGCTCCAAAGAGAGCCAGCCACTTCGAGCGATGTTCGCAGCGCGTGTTGGTTGCGCGTCACCAGCGAATGGTACGGCAGGGCAGCCATGTTGGCGTTGACGGCCTGCAGGATCTGGTTGACTGGGCCCTTGAGAACGGCATGAGGTCCGATTTCCACCAGCGCCGTCCATTTGATGGGCGCCGGGCGACGGCGAGCCTTGGTCGATTCGCTCAGACGGGCGAGCTGCGATACGGCCGCCGTGAACTCGACGGTGCTGACCATGTTGCGCACCCAGTACGCGCCCCCCAGCTCTGCGGGAGAGACACGCTCCTTGGTGACGGAGGAGAGCATCGGAATCGCCCCGGCAAATCGATCTTCAGGCTTGATGCACTCGATGGCATTGCCAACCACTTCCACCAGCTCTTCCATGTGAGGCGAATGATATGCCGTATCGATGCGCAGCTTGCGCGCAAAGTGGCCATCTTTCTGCAGTCGGCCTTCGAGCTGGTCGATCAGGTCTACATCTCCAGATAGGGTGGTGCTGGCAGGACTGTTCACGCAGGCAACGACCACTGACCGTGGCGGCAGCTCATCCAGATACTTCTGCGCGTTCTCTGCCGAAATGCCCGTCGCCAGCATGCCTCCCCGTTTATCGCTCTCGGCAATCTGCTGCGAGAAAAAGCCGCGGAACCAGGCGACTCGCAGGGCGTCTGGGTGGGTGAGATAGCCACCGGCATATGCGGCAGCGATTTCACCACTCGAGTGACCGACAACGGCATTGGGGAGGACAGACCAGCTGGCCAGCAGGTCGACCAGCGCAATCTGCAGCGCACAGGTGATGGGCTGGCTGCGGTCGGGCCGGTTGATCTGGCTGTCCTTGGCCTCTGCTCGAATCTCCTGCACAATATCAAAAGGACACCCGAGCGAGGAGAGAATGTCCTGGGATCGCTGCATGCTTTCGCGGAACACGGGGATTCTCAACAGCTCCTGCCCCATGCCCGCCCACTGGCCGCCTTGACCGGTGAAGACAAACGCGAGTCGTGTTTGGGCTTTGCGACTCGCCCGAGGATGCTTGGGGAGTCCCTTTTCCAGGACGCCCTGTAGCTGGTCGAGCGAGTTGGCCACTGCAAAGCTGCGGAAGCCCAGCTGCGAGCGCCGACTCAGCATGGTATGCGCCAGATTCGGCAATGGGATGTCGCGCTCCTGGCGCTTGAGATAGTCGCTCCAACTCGAACCCAGACGCTCGATCCCAGCTTGGTCAAAGGTCGAGAAGACGACAACCTGAGGGGCCGGCTCGCGGTCTCTTTCACTGCCGCGCAGGGTTTCCTTGAGGCTTTCGATGATGACGTGCGCGTTGGATCCACCGAATCCGAACGAGTTGATGCTCGCCCGCTGAGGCAGATGGTCCGGCCAGGGCATCGTCTCGTTGCTCAGCCGTAATCGCCAGTCCTCGAGCCGGATCTTGGGGTTGATGTTCTTGAACCCAGCATTGGGTACCAGCGTGGCTTTCTCTAAACAGAGAACGACTTTGATCAGACTCGCCACTCCGGCGGCGCCTTCGGTGTGGCCGAGATTGGTCTTCACCGAGCCCACGTATATCGGCTCGTCGGTGGGTGTTCGAGCCTCACCCAGTGTCATGCCCACTGCGGACAGCTCTGTAGGATCCTAATCACAGTCAGTTCTGCATGGGGAATTCTGCAGTGTTCTACTCACTCCAACAGGCGTGCCCGTGCCATGCGCTTCAAAGTACGCCGTGTCTCGCATGGACAGACCATGTCGCTCATACGTCGACCGAATCAAACTGGCCTGAGAGGTCGGGCTGGGCAGGGTAATCCCCGGCGTGCGGCCATCCTGGTTGATGCCTGTGCCGCGGATGACGGCTCGGATGTTATCGCCGTCAGCCATTGCCGCGGCGAGGGGCTTGAGAAGGACGGCCCCAATGCCCTCTCCCCGTCCATATCCATTGGCCGACTCATCGAAGGAGTGGCTGATACCATCTGGACTCATCATGTGCATGTACGAGAGTCTCTGTGTGAAATTAGGGTGTAAGATAAGACTGGCACCAGTCACCAACGCCTATAACTGTTAGCATAGGTCCGCTCAACTGATCTGGCATACGCACCATTCCGCATTCGCCAGAACTCAAGGCGTTTGCTGCCAGATGGACTGCAGTTAAACTGGACGAACACGCCGTGTCCATCATGATACTCGGGCCTTGCAGATCGAAGAACCACGACAGGCGATTTGCCAGCATGGTCCGGCCATTTCCAGTCGCCGAGTTGTGAGGCATGTCATATATATCTCGTGTTGATAAGAGCTCATAATCATTTGTCATGGAGCCCGAATACACTGCCGTGTCGCTGCCTGGCAGTGTGTCTATTGGTATTCCGCCTGTTGCGCCAGTTTAGCTATATTCCACCTCTCTTGAATCAACATACCATCTTCAAAAGTCTCATACGCGACCTCCAGCAACAATCGCTGCGCGGGGTCCATTCCCGCCGCCTCTTTGGCGGTGATTGAGAAAAAGGGTGCATCGAATCGTGATGGATCTTCATCCAAGAAGAATCCACTGTCATGGTTGATCTAATCACATAAGTTTCAATCTAACAGCAGAAAAGAAACCACGCACTGCGCCTTTCCGCTCATGGCTGGGATGATGCCAGCCAGAGGCCTCATATCTACTGGACGGAATCCGGCCGTGCCCTGTTCGCCCATCGCAGAGCATCTGCCAGAAATCCTCGGGCGAGGTTGCGCCGCCCGAGAAGCGACACCCGATTCCGATGACCGCGATTCCATCCATTTCTGGGGGATTTGTCGGTCGACCGGGCATATTAGAAATTATGGGATAATTTAAGTTGAAAAAAAAGGGTCAAGGGAGAAATGGTGGTGATGAGAGGAAGGAGGGAGGGCTATTAAAGCCGGACTACAGCCGGTGTTGTGCACCGCAAGAATGGCATACCAAGACTCAAGATCATAGTAATGAACGCGCCGATCCACGCGTCCACCTGCGCTTTCCTACTGGCGGGCCACGCAGCGGCGTCGATGCGGCGCTGCTTTCGATCGGGCCAATGTGTTCGAGTCCCAGCAAGGCCAGATGGACCAAACCAGGTCTTTGTTGCTCCTGCGTAGGATCGTCAGCCTCCATCGGGACGGGGTCAGCCCAAGGCAGAGACTATTGGCGGTGGGGATCTTATCATTGGTGGGCGGCGGTTCTGCAGTGGAGCTGGAAAAAATACACAGTTTCCGTACGCCCCACCGGCGTGCATGCACCACAAGAATTGGATCAGCAATACTCTGCAGCGTTCATGCAATATAACATACTTTCTGATGAATCTGACGGCGTCTTTTCCATTACGAACGGAGCGCGAATTGGCTTCAGCGGACGACAAACCACGCTGAATGGTTGGGGTCGGGGACGATAGCGTCCACCCGCACGCAACCCATCTGCGTTAGCTGCAGGCCATCCCCCCCCACCGATCACTGCCCCGATTTTGGAGAACCCAGAGCTCACCGCAATCCACCGCAATGGTACCTTCTGGCGTCTGCCACAAACCGGGAACCGAACTCTGGCTATAACTCTGCCCCTCCAAGCCCTCGTAAACAAACCGAAAATCCCATCAAATAGCCACCTTGCGGTCTCGGAGCTATTTGCACTACCGGCCGTCTCGCGCACACCGTCTTTCCTCCCATCCCGCCACAAACATCATGTCGACGCAGTCAGCTGTCGTTGTCCAACAACCGGGTCGCGCGGAAGTGCTGCAAGTTCCGCTGCCCGCAGTCCCCGACGATTATCTGCTTGTCAAGACCAAAGCTGGTATGCCCTGTGATGTTGGATTCTCGTGTATTCCTGACTAATCCCCTCCCAGTGGCTTTGAATCCCACCGACTGGCGCCACATCGACTTTGTGCCCTGTAACGGAGCCACCGTGGGCTGTGACTATGCGGGAATTGTCGAGGCCGTCGGCCCACAGGTCACAAAGCCATTCAAAAAGGGCGATCGTGTGGCTGGCTTTGTCCACGGCAGCAACGCAGCCCGTCCGGATGGCGGTGCATTCGCCGAGTATGTCATTGCCAAAGGCGACCTCCAAATCCTCATCCCCCCATATATGAGTTTCGACGCCGCAGCCACGCTCGGCGTCGGTCTGACGACCGTTGGCCAAAATCTGTATCAGAGCATGGAACTGCCATTGCCCGGGAGTCCAGACGAGGACGCGAGTGATACAAGTATCCTGATCTATGGCGGGGCAACGGCCACAGGCACGCTGGCTATCCAGCTCGCAAAGCTATCTGGGCTGCGCGTCGTGACAACCTGCTCGGAACACAACCGCAACTTGATGTTTGAGCTCGGGGCGGATGCAGTCTTTGACTACCATGATCCACAAGTCGGCGAGCAGATCAGAGAGGATACCGATGACGCCTTGGAGTTTGTGCTCGATACCATCTCCACGCATCAATCGGCTGGCATCTGCAGTGCCGCCATCTCCTCCGCAGGCGGATCGTACCATGCGTTACTGGAGGTGCGATGCCCGAGAGACGATGTCGATTCGCACGTCTCCATGGCATATGATGTGGTGGGGGAGCCGTACCGCATGGGAACGAACCAGGCCTCACCCGATCCAAGCAATCTAGAATTCGGGAAAAAGTGGGCTGGCCTGGCACAGAAGTTGCTCGAAGCACGCCGCCTTGTGCCTCATCCCTACCAGGTGAAGCCAGGCGGGCTCGCTGGGGCACTGGCTGGACTCCAGATGTTACGCGACGGCAAGGTGCGAGCCAGTAAGCTGGTCTACACGGTGAACGAGTCCCGGTCCGAATGAACAGGCTGCGGCTCCATACCCACATGAGATGCAGTAGCTTTCGGGGGTTTCCTCCAAGTGTCAGAAGGGCATGCTGTAGTGATCAAAGGATCCATTGCGGCAAGCAGCTGCCACTAAGGTTGCTGCGTAGGATTTCATCCCGCGTGAAAGCGATCAAGGTCTGCAGAAACCTGCCATGCAAACTCTGCACTGTCTTCTCGAAGCGATCTCGGAACGATCTTAATCAAACTGTATTCTTTTCATCGTTCTTATGTTGTTTCTACCTATTTTACTGGATGATATTGTCCGATAGTTCTGTGGAGAGAACCCACTGACACTGGGTCCAGGAAGAAGAATATATTGTGAGATGAGCGAATCTGAATGGACAGTAGTTATTGAGTTAGTTGCAAGTCAATTGCTTTGTAGTTCTAAAGGAAATCATCAATCAAAGCACATCTTCAGTGTGGCTTTCTACCGAGGTTCTTGCCTATTTTGCGTGTCAACAAAATTGAGTTTGCAATACCGGGCAAGACGGTAATTTTCAGATAGTGTTTGGCCAATCGTCAGCCGCCGGTGGGGCGTGGGGACACCTGTTGCCCAATTCGGCCATCGCCAATCCAACCCACCAAGGCAAAAGACTCAATTCATCCTCCCAAGGATGCCTCCCAGCTGTTCAGCATCGCAGAAAGCTGCATGCAGAAAGTTCTCGTATCCAGAGTTCTGAGCGATGAACGCGTTCGCAGCAGATCCACCTGACTAACCCTCTAGCCTGCGTTAGTGACAGGCAATAGTTTGCGGGATCTGCGCCAGTCAGATGTCAGATCGACAGTGCGAGCCCACCCCAATCCCGTCCGTCCGGCGGAGCGTCCAGCTGCCTGGCTGCGACACGGTGGACATTCTCCGGATGGGTCAGTAATGCGGCCCTAAAATGAGGGGTAGGCAACCCTTGCTGGCGATCTGGTTTGCTAATCCGCCTGCGCGAACTGGCGCGGTGGCCAACAAAATATGGCCGTCGACACCGTCGCGCTCTCGACCATGAATCCAGCTCCCCACTAGCGATGCAAAGCGGGAAACACGGATTCGGTCAGATTCTGCATGCTGCGAAGATGCCGGTTCGCTGTCGACGCGCAATGCGTTCTGTCTCGTATAAGACAACGGCCCTGGCTGCGTAGCTGGATCACCACCTTTTCCCTCTCGTTGCCCTCGCCATGGATGAAAAAAACGACATCGTGCAGCTGCCCACGCCCCCGGCGCCGGCAGTCTGCAATGCCTCATCAGCCAACCCGCCCAGCCCGGCCGAGTTCACTTTTCCTCCGCGGGAAAAAGTGGCCGAGGAGGTCGTCCCCAAGCCCGTTGGATCGAACCGTGACTCTCGCGATACCATTGATCTCGAGAAGCAGGCTCCGCCCAAGCGGAAGCGGTTTGCGAATTTTCGATACAATGTCTTTACGGTCTACCGGCGGCTGTTCGCCTTTGTGTTCTGCGCCAATCTGGCCGTTTTTCTCTACGTGATGATCTCTGATCGCCAACTGCTGGCGCTGGTCGATGCGACGGCCGTGAACCTGGTAGCCTGTGGTCTCGCGCGACACCCGATGGTTGTCAATGGCATCTATCGCGTGGTGTGTTCGCTTCCTCGCTCCGCGCCGCTCTGGTTACGCCGCAGGGCTGCAAATGCAGCGCACTATGGCGGTGTCCACAGCGGCTGCGGCGTTGCATCGGTGGTGTGGTACATTGGCTTCCTCGCTGCAGTGTCACGGCTGTACTGGACATCATCGCCCATCAGCCCATCCACCAGCGACTTCAAATTCTCCGCCGCACCAGTCACGCTCTGCTACGTGGTTCTCGTGTGCCTCCTGGTGATGGTGGGAGTGGCATATCCCACCTTCCGCAGAAAGTACCATGACTACTTCGAGCTCACCCACCGATTCGGCTCGTGGACCGTCCTGGCACTCTTTGTTGCGCTGCTGATGGTCTTTGTCCACGAAGTCAGCCGCGCGCAACGGGAGTCGTTCGGCCACTTCCTCATCACACTGCCGGCGTTCTGGCTTTTGATCGCAGCTATCATCGCCATCGTGCACCCGTGGCTACTACTGCGCAAGGTGCCCGTCAAGGCCGAACCGCTCTCCACGCACGCCACCCGACTCAGCTTTGACCACACGCAGATCAGCTTCGCCAAGGGAATCCAAGTGACCAAGCACCCTCTCCGCGACTGGCACAGTTTCGCCGGCTTCCCAGACGAGCCTGCTCCCTCCAACCGCAACAGCACCATCTCCAACAACAGGGACAGTACCATCAGCAACGCCACCACCTTGAAAGGCCACAGCTACCGGAACAGCACGATCAGCAACAACAGCACCTTTAAGAAGGGTCATAGAAGAAACAACAGTAGTTTCTCCATCGTCGTGTCAAAAGCCGGCGATTGGACAGCTGACACCATCCAAAACCCGCCCAGCAATCTCTGGAAACGCGGATCCCTCATGCGCGGCGTCGGCTACGGTCTGCGTCTCTTCAACCGCATCATCATCGTCACTACGGGTTCAGGAATTGGACCCTGTCTGGGCTTCCTCGGGGACGCGAACCGGCCGCTCATCAAGGTGGTTTGGCAGACGCGTACTCCCATAAAGACCTACGGCCAGGGTGTTCTCGATCTCGTGCATGAAATGGGTCCTGATCCAATCATCCTGGATACGAACGTCCTCGGCCGTGTCGATATGCTTCCTATTGTGCGCCAGCAAGTGGATGAATTCCAGGCTGAGGCAGTGTTTGTCATTAGCAATCCTGCCATGACTCAGAAAATCATTTACGAGTTCCAATCGCAGGGTATCCCAGCTTACGGTCCTATTTTCGACTCGTGATTTTGGTCCTGTGATATTCAAAAACAGGGGGGAGACTGAGAGCAGGAAAGACTGGTGTATATAGATTCGCCGTTGAAGTGGTTGATCCACTTTGTTATGACCCGGAAATCTCTTATGCTTTATGGATATGACAGCAGCAATGCAAAGTAATAACTAAGACTGAACCTTACAAGGCTTGACATTCATTTTCTTGTAGTAGCGTAGTCTATTTGAAATGAATCCGCACCATCCAATCATAGTATTTAGCAAGGTTTCATTGCACATGCAAGGCCCTCAGGCAGCAAATGATATCAACCAATCTGATCATTGAGTCTGTGCAAGGTGCTTCTGTCTGATGTTCAAGTTGGGGCCCAAGAGATCAGCCTTAAATATCCCTATACCCAAGTCTATTTTCTCGGGCTATCCATCCCTTTCTTCCAGTCACAGGTAAGATCTGATCAATCCAAACACTGTGCACATTGATCAATCACCAATAGGCCACGATGAATCTCTTTACTATTGTCACTGCACTCCTTGTCAGCGTCGCCATTGCCAATCCTACGCCTCTCGAGAAGAGATGCAAATTTACTGCTGATAGTGTAGGTCTATCGGGCACACCTGCAGTCACTGGATCAGACTAACATAATAGTGTTCGGCCAACTCTGAGTGCTGCTCTACAGTCTGCTCTGGCGGGTCATGCGGTTAAATGCAGGGAAATGGTGATATAGGTTAGCTGCCTTTATTGGACTCTTTATACAGTGAACTATCAGTCACATGTCATATTGTTCTCAGTTTATTATATTCCGTTTACAATATCTAGCTAGAACTCTACTGACCCCATTCATACTATAAAAGCGTGCCGTAAGTAGACATAAGAATATCTGTCTGGTAGGTCACTAGTATTAATGTCTGTATAAAACTGTATATATATATTTATAGAAAGCCCATAGAAATACTCTAATACTACCCTACATCATTGATATATAGTGCATTGCTTAGTCCACTATATCTAACATGCACATGATCTATGCTCCTATAAAATTACCACAATCCAATGCTTGTGTTTTCGTTCAGGTGAAATGACAATTTATAGACACATTCAATTGATCTGACACATCCCCATGCCTCCTAATACAAGTATCGGAATTGCCGATTCTCGATATCTGTCAAGTCCGAAAAGCCAAGATCAAGATCATCAGCCTCTTGTGTGGAATGTGCCTGTTCGCTCTCCCGCTTGGCATTCTCCCATACGACAAGGCGCTGCAGGATAAAGGCGAGGATGACCACAACCGACATGGTTACAACAAGAGCAATCTTGGCTGGCTTATAGTTTGGTGCATCACCCGACTGGAACAATTGGGGGCCGATGAGATTGCCTACACAAAAGGCAATGAGAGTCAAGGCATTTCTCATCACACGCTTGGTATATCCACTCGTATTGGCAGAATTCCAGCTGTAGATGATCGGCAACATGGCCGGACACGAGTTAAGAAGATAAACACCAAACAGCATGCCGACTTTATGCGAGTTTCCTAGGCCTGAGGGATGAGTTTTCTGCGAAAGGGAGGATCTGGAGCAACATACCGAGCAGCAATCCCACACCCAGAATACTGGGCAGCGTGATGATGGCGATCATGCAGGAGCGGTAGCCGTGTGCACTGACGTACATGGCAATAAAGGTAGCGATAATCGAAACAGCCCCCGAAGGCATCTGGATGATGGTTGTTTTCTGCTTGGAGAACCCGAAAGTCGCAATGATGATGCTTGAGAAATTGGAAACGGCACCATTGTCAATCATCGCAAGGACCGTGATGAAAAACAAAGGCCACGTCTGCTTATCTTTGGTGAGGAGCTCGAGAACCTGATATGGCTTCAACTGCTTGTTTTCGATACCCGTTTGATTGGCTCGAACGTGCTCGACGGCAGCAATCTTCTCCTGGTCACTGAGAAACCAGGCTGTCATCGGAGTATCTGGCAGGAGGAAAACGGCCATGATCCCAACGGCAGTTGTTATGCATCCCTGCTCATTCATCCTGGTTAGCTTCAATGATTCCAAAGTAAGAAGGTGCATACCATGCAGAGGAAGAGAATCTGCCAGTTTGCCAACTGGGCAGAGTGGACCAGCTGAAACCCATACGAAATGCCTGCACCGGCAATCTGTGCGACTCCAATCTGCATATACCACAGGCCCATGCGTCGGGACTGTTCTGGTTTCGTCCACCACATACCGGTGATGAGAATGAGAGCTGGAGCGACAGAGGCCTCGAACACACCCAGCAGAACTCGCACGATCATCAAAGAGACATAACTGCGACATGCGGCATGGCAGGCAACTAGAATGCCCCAGCAGGCCACATTAATGCCCAGATACTTGCCAATTGGCAGTCGTTGCATCAGGTATGCCGTGATCGGTTCCGCAACAAGATATCCCACGTAAAAGATGGTTCCGAGGTTGTTGTATTCATTTCCCTTGAGGTTGTCCTTGATTCCCATGACTGCCGCATAGTTGAGCAATGTCTTGTCGAGATACTGCAAAAAGTAGATCACAGCGAGTATGGGCATTATGGCAAGATCGATCTTCCATCGCAGCTTGCGGGTGTCAGTGATACTCGCAATCTCTCCAACCTGCTTCTCATGGGCCAGGAATTCGAGCGCTGCATCTCCGTGTTGGACCGGCGAAGCTGTCTCGATTGCGTTTATTTCTTTCATTTTGTGTTTGAAGAGCCAAATACAACAAATTGTGGAAAGGCATCTCTATGTAATCTTTCTGGAGAGATTAAAGACTCATACACTTATCGCTCCTATAAAATGACTATCTCGTAGCTCAGGACGGTCATTGGCCCTACCGCCTTGTTATCAACTGTGATATCCTGGCGCTTCCTGATTGGGCGAGATATGGAGATACGAGGTTTACCCCAACTCTAGGCTCAGTTCACTGACCCCAATGCCAAGCTGTCACTGCCCAAATAGACTTCAACTTTCGCATCCCTATCTTCGCTCCTTGCTTGAAACCCTCTTGTTATTCTGTTCTAGGTTATGATTTTTAGGTGGATATATGATTAATTAGAAACACGGTAGAGAGCATTCACCTCTTGAATAGATATATATATCTTTATTTATTCTATCTTGGAGTATCTTGTTCATCTTTTATGGGTCCATTATCAATATCATTTCTAGCGAGTCAGCCTCAGGTGGCTCTGCGTGGTCGTGTGCTGACAGTCATGGCCGCATGTATCTCCATTAATGTAGCTTTGCTATATAATACTGACCAGATCTTATTCGAAATCGTAAATCACAACTACAGGATGTCATATTCCAATCTTGGCCGTGAAATTGCTGTTTAATCAGCGCCTGTACCACATTCTGGTCACCGGGGTTCTCCGCATTTTCCTTTGCAGCAGAAATATGCCCTGCAGAAGAGCCTCTGGGGTGGGTGGACAACCGGGTACATAGATATCCACAGGCACAATGCGGTCCACGCCCCGCACGACACTGTAGCTATAGTGGTAGTATCCTCCCCCGTTGGCACAGCTACCCATGCTGATAACCCACTTGGGCTCGGGCATCTGGTCATAGAGCAGTCTGAGTGCCGGGGCCATCTTGTTGACCACCGTGCCAGCCACAATCATCACATCCGCCTGTCGTGGCGAGGCACGGAAAATAATGCCCAGTCGGTCCTGGTCATATCGCGGCATGGAGGTGTGCATCATTTCCACTCCGCAGCAAGCGAGGCCGAAGGATAAAGGCCATAGGGATCCTTGTCTTCCCCAGGCGATCAGCTGATCCGCTTTGGTCCTAGAGAATGGAAGATTTCAGAATCAGATAAGTTTGTGGTCTTTGCGCCATACATACAGCATATAGCCAACCGCCCCGGATTTCTCCTTTTCCCATGGTGCAGGCACGGTTGGGGAACTCTGTTGAGTTGCGTGCTCAGATCTCGACGATGTGTGCAATCGCGGTCCCACTGCGAGTGTTCGATGTGGCCGTTGGTTTTGTATCAATTGACGGAACGCACTTCGGCGGGGTAGATTCAGGAGCATATTGCCTCGCATGAGGAGTGAAAGTCAGGTAAGTATAATGGTTCATTTTCTCGAGGCATTTTATAGATAGTGGTTTTGGTACAAAGGCGATGAACATTCCATCCAATCAAATGCATCCGAATTCGGCGACTTCCTGACTCGTCGGACCCACCAAGTCGGCGAAATCCTCGATCAGGACGGCGAATTGACAACGACGCAACGACAACCTTTGTTGATTTCCAAATGCCGCGGGCAAATGCACGAGTAAAAGTCGCCTGCCGCCTGTGCCATGACCGGCGGGTGAAATGCGACCGCAATGAAGGCACTGCTTGTTCCAACTGCCGGGCCGCGGGGTGTAACTGTGAGCCGATTGTCTCTCGCCGTGGACGGTAGGTCCAGCAAAAAGACGGTCATTCCGGTGCTAATACACAGACAGGACTCGAAAACTTCCAATTAAATCGATTAATACCGAGCAAACCAGGAGGCTTCCGCAGTCCTTTCAGAATGTCGCTTCGAATACATCACGCCACGATGATGCTCAAGGTGATCGCAATGAGCACCCAAAAGAGCCCTTCTTCCCGGCTCTTGGTCCCAGCGGCAAGACGCCATACATTGGGGACTCTTCGAACCTCAACTATTTGATACAGCAATTTGGAAATCCATTCCGGGTTACTACGGATACCCGCCCACTGGAGGACCACCTTCACGGCGCAATGCTGGCACGGCTGGGCAGCTCAACAGCGCAGCATATGGAGAGACTTCATACATCTGCGGTTCAAAGCCTTCTGAATGAAGGGGTATTCGACCTCCCACCAACAGAGATCAGTGATTCCCTTGTCGATGTCTACTTTCAGTATTCGTTTCCTTCACTGCCGGTGCTCGATAGATCAGCTTTCCTTGCAGCTCGTGAAGAAGGCACAGTATCACGCTTACTCTTGAATGCTGTTTATCTCGCTGCGAGTATATACTGTTCAGATTCCCTCGTTGCTGCTGCCGGGTTCGCCTCCCGATACGAAGCCAGCCTCACGTTTTACCGAAGAACCAAATCTCTTTATGATGCTGGGTACGAAGCTGATTCGATCGCAATCATTCAAGCTACATTCCTTGCGTCTCATTGGTGGAGTGGTCTCCTCGATCACAAAGATCCGTGGTACTGGCTTGGTATTTCCGCGGGAATGGCACAGGCTGTGGGGATGCATCAAGCGTGAGTCTTCTCCAATGCGAATAGGCGTAGCACTCACGCGTACCAGGAAGTCTTATGGACGCCTTCAGCCGAGAGATCGCAAGTTATGGCGCAGATTGTGGTGGATGGTCTATGTCAGTGCATCCTCGTGTTTGAGTTAATAGCTAGCTGACTTTACAGGCTATGGACATCAACTTATCTATGCTCTTAGATCGTCCACCCCGTGTACAAGGGAGACTTTGCGATGTAGCCCCGCTGTCAGAAGCTGATTTTGACCTGGTATCTGGGTTGTTGGAGAGAGACTGTCTAGGCGGGACTCAACGTGAGCAATCGCTGTTTGTGGTATATGCTGTTCAGCTGGCTCAGACAGGTATGGGTTCTTATAATCCATCTTCGTGCCCTATTGACATGTCTCATAGTCGATGGCCATTATACTATCAAGCTCGGCAATTCCAATGGACTGGCACAGGACCGCTGCCTAGAGGAAATTTCATTGTGGTCATCATCACTTCCCCCTGAATTACAGTTTTCGTCCGCAAACGGCAATGTATGGGGCACTCTGATTCAGATTCTCTATCAGTAGGTTTTACTCATCAGTCCCTTTTGATTGATTGCTGTATCCTGACCTAGTAGTGAATATCGACTGCTCTTGCATCGGAGTAATCCTAGATTTTCACAGAGCACAGGGCCAGGCACTCCAACCTTCCAGATATGCACACACATCGCTAGCATGCTGGAGTTCCTTGTGACGAGCGATCTCATATATGCCGCTGCAGCTACCATGTTCGTGTCCCCGTGATATGATCAGAATTGGAAAGGGTAAATACTAAATTTTGTTACAGACTTCCTGCTGTCCTCTCAACGCTTTCTATCCATATTGTCAATATCCACAAGGGGGATACTGGTGCCCGACTCATTTCCGAGCATCGAGCCCGCTTCTGCATGTTAATCCTCGATAAACTGCAAGACCGATGGCCAGTCGTTGCGTCATTCTATCCCATATTTGACTCCCTTCTTAAGCGATGCTCCATCGATGTACCTATACACCATGATACAGTTGGCCCAGAACTTCAAGAAGCAGGATCATCAATGGGGAAAATTTCTCATGGACCTTGCAATAATAACAACGACAGCATTCTGGACGGCCATAATGACTCGTTTAACCCCATCTTGCAAGACAACATGAACACAACATTCCCATTCTCATCATTCACCAACATATTTGAAGATGTCTTTTTGAGTTTACCACCCCTCCAGTCTGAATTACTCCATGGAGGAGATGCTTTTCTGCAGTAATATTGCTATGTGCTGTTGAGACGTTACATGGTGCGGCTTCACCTCACAAGGTCTTGAACCTGTAAGCTTAGTTGTTCCCCGATCGCGGACTATTATCACTAACTGGGGTTATTTATAGGGGCTCGAGTGTAGGCGCCTTTCGAATGCACGCAAGTTTGCTCAGGCGACGTATCCTGCATACAAGATTTCTAAGGCTGCGTTGAACAGTCTGACAGTGCAGTATGGGATCGAGTATGAGAATGATGGATTTGCGTTCTTCACGGTTTGTCCTGGTGTAAGTTTCCGTAGTTTATTCTTTTCAGCCCTTCACTGACCTTCGACACAGTGGGTTAAAACTGACATGGAAAGCCAATGGGCGCAGCTTGAGGTTGACACCAGCGTCAAGGGAGTCCTTGACATCGTCGACAAGAATGCAGCGGAAATCAATGGGAAGTCCCTGAAGCTTCTTATCCCCGGGATGGAAAACGCCGAGGGTCTCCACCAGTACGATGGAACTGAGGTTCCGTGGTAGAACTTTTGAAATATATTTATAGCCACAGCTCACAGGACATTGGGATTCTGTCACGACGAGTTGAATGTCATGGACCTTCGGGGTTGGTAGAGAGGATAGGATGGGTAGCAGCGGTGCAAGCGCTTGCGCAAACTCTGGATCGTGGGTCAGAGGCATATTCACAGAAGCTCGGGCGTGTTGAGCAAGCTTATGGGAAGGAAGAATAGAGAGCTTCAGGTTTGAGTGTCAATTTATAGTTGAGCAGTGACTTGGCATCATCAGTGTTTGGACTAGCGCCATGCAAGTATGGAATATTTTTGATGATTTTATTGACACACTTCATGATATATAATTTACATGCACTGGTCAAAGCCATAGTTTATTCTTCGTAAGTAGTCTAGGCCTTTCCACCACTTGCTTTGTTCAGGATGACCTTCCAGTCAATCTCGTCGGGTTTATCAGCATGTATGTCAAGCTTAATGTCAAGCGCATTCTTCAACTGCTCCTTGGTGCTCGCGTGGATCATGCAAAGCTGGATATTGTCAGACTCTTCCATAGACCGGGAATGCAAAGTAGATACCTTGACGGGTGTTTGATCAGGAACCCAACTGATGAATACCGTCCTCCGCCTTTTGCCATCTTCATGCAGATCGAACTCAACGTCATAAACGGCATAACGAGGAGCCGGCTTTCCACTGTTATCCACTGCAGATGACAGTTTCTGGCGGAAAGCTTCATAATCTAGCTCAGTAGAGGACTCATCTACCTCAATAACTTGCTGGTTATCTGATAGCTTAAAGATAATAAACTGCAGTCTGTTTGCCCCTCTTCCAGAGCGGAGTTGGTTGAATGCGGTGATGCATTCGTCCGATATGGAGACACTGAAATACCTAATCAGAAATGAAGTCAACATCCAAGAGGCGAAAGACATACCCAGAAGGGATCTTTTATAGTAAACTGTTAGCAAATCTCATTTTAACGATTTGGGTCAGAATCGATACACACCGACATGTTGAGACCTGAGAGATATCAAATTGAAACCTGTAAAAGAAATGAATGGATAGAGAGGAGCTATGCCTTTCTGTCTATTTATTTCTGATGCTCAACCAGGCAACTTGATTCAAGTTATGTTTCTACGTTGCCTGGACTCGCGTCGGAGCCGCGGGCCCGCGGGCCCACGGACATCTGGAATGACCATGACTACTGTTTGAGTCGATCCGTCATTTTATTCTTTGGACATACAGTAATTTGTAATTCAGATAGGGTGCCTAGATTGCATTGCGTAAGACAACATTCGTTGCGCACGACTCGGCAACAAGGCATCTATATATCTGCATCGACCCTACAACGTCATAAAACTACAGAGCCATCAAGTGAGCTTTTTATCTTACGAATTTGCTCGGTTCTCTCTTTAACTTCACCAAATTCCATTTTACTCCTTTCTGGCTATTCTACCCCGTCTCGTTCACAATGGAAGGTATGCTGGACTCAATTTCCCCCTTTTCGAACCCTGGTGGCAAGTAAACTCTAGCATACTGACACTTTTTCTCTAGACGACACAGCTGCTCTTGTAATTGATAATGGGTATAAGTCACCTTTCAAAACGCGCCAGTTACTCGAGACTAAGTGATGCCAACGATACAGCTCAGGAATGTGCAAGGCTGGCTTCGCTGGCGACGATGCTCCCCGTGCTGTTTTCCGTAAGTTGGTCCACGATCCACCGTCATTATGTTGGTGTTCATCGCTCATACACTCTCTGCAGCCTCGATTGTCGGGCGTCCTCGCCACCATGGGTAACACTCTCTGTCATTCACTGAAACATATGAGCCCTGTCTAAACCTCTATCGCATTGGGAGAATGAGCTAACTTGTTCTTAATTGTAGGATCATGATCGGCATGGGCCAGAAGGACTCCTATGTTGGCGACGAGGCCGAGTCCAAACGCGGCGTTCTTTCACTCAAATATCCAATCGAGCACGGCGTTGTGACCAACTGGGACGACATGGAGAAGATCTGGCATCATACATACTACAATGAGCTCCGAGTAGCTCCAGAGGAACATCCTGTTCTCTTGACAGAGGCACCAATTAATCCCAAATCAAACAGGGAGAAGATGACCCAGATTGTCTTTGAAACATTCAACGCCCCTGCATTCTATGTTTCTATCCAGGCGGTATTATCATTGTATGCCTCTGGCCGGACAACTGGTATTGTCCTTGACTCTGGGGATGGTGTTACGCACGTTGTGCCGATGTATGAGGGATTTGCCATGTCCCATGCCATCTCCCGAATCGATATGGCTGGCCGTGATTTGACTGACCATCTGATGAAAGTCATGGCCGAACGTGGCTATACCTTCACGACCAGTGCAGAGCGTGAGATTGTCCGTGATATTAAAGAAAAGCTCTGCTATGTTGCGCTGGACTTTGACCAGGAACTCCAGACTGCTGCTCACAGTTCCAGTATAGAGAAAAATTATGAACTCCCCGATGGACAGGTTATTACGATTGGGAATGAACGCTTTCGAGTGCCTGAAGCACTCTTTCAACCCGGAATGCTTGGCTTGGAGAACGGGGGCATCCATATCACTACCTTCAATTCGATCATGAAATGCGATGTCGATGTTCGCAAGGAGTTGTATGGGAATATTGTCATGGTAGCCCTCCCTCGACTATTTCTGTCTTCTTCAACTACTAAACACTCCTCTTTCTAGTCTGGTGGTACCACTCTATACCCCGGCATTCCAGATCGAGTGCACAAGGAAATCACCGCCCTCGCCCCTGCATCCATGAAGGTCAAGGTGGTAGCTCCGCCTGAACGTAAGTATTCGGTCTGGATTGGAGGGTCCATTCTTGCCTCGCTCTCGACGTTTCAACAAATGTGGATATCCAAACAGGAATATGATGAAAGCGGACCCTCCATCGTGCATCGGAAGTGCTTCTAGCATGTTCATACTCTTGATCGAAATATGGTCAAAGTGGTGGGTATTTCGCTTGTTGTGATATTCACGTGATCGATTTAATGTAAAATCTAGTATCGTTGTATCTATATAATCCTGCCTTTTTTTTTTTTTTTTTTTTTTCCAGGAATTGTCCGTTTCGAAGCTCTGGTGATATCAGGGATTTCGGTTCAGATGTTAAATTCTGGGTCTTCCATAACGAAAATTTAAACAGCATAATAGATACCCCTCATGCACCAAGTTAGAGTAAGGATATTTCCGTAGATTGAAAGTACGTCTTGCTGCTTTTCCTTTATGCAGAATAGTAACTCGACAGGGTTCCCCTGAATGTGGCTGTGTTTTACATGGGTGCACTTTAGTAGAGGTATTTATTGTGCTTACTATCCCTTATCACCTACCGTGCTATTGCTGGATTTCTAGCATTTGAATTATTTGTTTGTCGATCATTTAAAGAACCATAATCGTCATATCTCTTGCATTAATCGTTATTAACACAACATTATCGGATCCGACTACCAACTATCAGATATACAAGCGCCCGTTAAAAACAACCGCAATGAAAACTGCAAGCCATATCTCGAGTACATGAATGCCCCCCTTCAAGTGGAGCAAAATATCTATCACTGGCTGAATACCCGTGTTTTCCATCGATATGTCATGTTTGATGATGAACTTGTCAAGAGCCATGTCTACAACAGCATTGGGGGGCATCTTTATCGAGACACGCTCCCAGCCAGGCAACCTCCATTCCAGCACATCATCCCACCTCGAGATAGTGCAGTTCAAGCCCAGATTATCATCATCACCAGTCCCGTCGTTTGTCCTGTATTTCTGTGCGAGGCTCTCGGCAGGCATTTCCAAACCCCGGTGGATTTCTTCATCAGTCACTTCTTTTTCCTATGGGATTCTGATCAGGATGCGTATCAAAACAGTGAAACACCCCTTCACATTCGACAGAAACTTCTTCGAAGGATGATCCGACTGGGATGCATTCAGACGGGCGGCCAGAAACATCGATTCATTTCTATTTGCGTGGGCTCGCTGGGTGTGATATCCATCTTCATTATAGAGGGAAAGCAGAATACAGGTACGGATGCAAACATCATCAATCTGCATCTCTAACAAGTCGAACAGTTATTATTCTGTGCGATCCCTGTTCCGTGGGGTCTACACGGACGAATACCGCGCATGAAATGGACGTTGATGAGATCCATGCCACCTTCTGCGATACACTGGACTATTTGACTACAGAAGAGATTGATTCAGCCGACAGAGCTCCGTGCGAATACGCATTGCAATACTTGCGAATCGTGGCAGCCGATGTTTACTCATGGATGATCTTTCCTAGTCCAAGTAAAAAGCACAAACAAACTTCAGACCCAGATGTCGCCCTGAAAGATCTGGAAACCATTCAACAAGTCCTGCACGAAATCAAAGGCAATTTGGTCCAATTTCAACCAGAGTCGGCGTCAGTTCGTCGTTTTCTAACTCAAATCAAGTGCTGGGAGGATGAATGCCACCAGCGCATCCAAGATTCACGATATCTCAGCGAGGCCACAATCCGAGATGCCCTACGAATCGACTCGCAAAAGTCCATTGAGCATGCCGTGAGCGTCAAGAGGCTTTCGATTCTGGCAACGGTATTCCTTCCACTCAATCTAGCCACCAGCTTTTTCGGTATGAATGCTGCCCAGCTGGGATCGGGGCCTGTGCAGATTTGGGTCTTTATAGTCGTTGCTGCCACAGCCAGTACTCTTACATTTGTGGTGCCATTTGTCATGCTACACTTGAAGAACAGTGTCCGAGCATCACGAACACTGCGAGCAGTATCCCGTGTTGCAGGTCATTCCTATGGGGATGCATTCTGGCTTTTTATATTTTATATATCTCATGGAACCGATACTAGTGACATACAAGTCCAATATATCCAGTTTGATGGCGGGGACTGGGAAGAGGATATCGCAGCGCTAGAGAAGAAATTGATGGCAAGACTTGATTTGTTCCCGGAATTTTGGATCAGAAGAGCACATCGGATTTATGAATTAGGATATGCAAAAGAGTGAATACATAGAGCTACTAAGGGCAGTTGGCTTGTGTATACAGATATCAGCGCTACAATACCTACCATGTTCAGTTGCCTTAAACCCCTGGCGGACTCTAAAACGAGGCGATTTTACCAACTACCATAACGATCCAGATATCCCTTGCTAGGGTCGTTGTCATAGTGGCGAATTCATCCAGACACCTTAACCAAAAGGTTAAACAACATGATTTATGCGTCTGTGCACTCGTAAGGCAGTTTCCAATTCCAATAACTCAGATCTAAATTGGGCGCCCCCAATTGTCCCCTGAAGACATTGGGGGCTGATTGATGTCGCCAAGCTGTCTGATTGGTCCAGAGCCTGGTTGGCAGAGATAATGGCACCTGATTGGCTGGCTCGTATTTTGTCTGCATCATTAGCACGCCATTTAGATTACAGCCCCATCTGTCAAAACACAGCCAGCATCTTTTTTCTGCATCACTTCAATCCTGATGAGAAACGATTATCTCGCTGGATGTAGTGGATAAACAGCCATATTAAGCTTATTAGCTCAAGTATTTCTATTCAATAAATCTTATATGTTATCTAGTCACCTATGCTCTTTAATGGGAAGAGGCATATGATATCAGCAAATGAGCCTCGAGACATGTCTAGGTAGTGGATATATGCCATCTCGCCTTTCATTCTAGTGCAAGATGCAGTATGTGGGCAACTCAATACATGCTTAATGATACTATTGGCTGATTCCATTATTTGTCAATGTTCAAAGGAAACGCCTTTCGAGGCTGAGCAACGATCGACAGTATGGTAACAGGCGTAATACCGTATTGGTATAGCCCTTTTAACCGCTGAGGTTCCTCTGCTGCTCCATCTCATTCCCATCTTGCAAAATCTTTCAGAATGAACAGGAATAATCATGATTGTCTGCCGAACACGCTGCAAAAAGAGTATGCCTCTGTTTCCGCTAACACGAGCTGGCTAACACCGGTAGCACCAACATCCATGATGAGATCGATGATCCCCCACCTGCATACAGCGAGATAGGCACGATCGCCATTACGAATGAAGGGCTGCAGACACAAGCCCAGGTCACAGACGATGGCCGCGTGGATGTCGTCGTCGAGGACGCGAGTGGCCATCTGAACCAGATCTTTACGCCGGCTCTCCAGCAGCAAGTCGATGCCATTCACAATGCCAATACGGGTCAAAAAACCGCCAGAGTTACCGGATGTCCTGTTCGTCTCAGCATTGTCATCCATGCCGTAGGATCTCTACAGGATATACGGCCTCTCGTCACTACTGGTCGAGTCTTGAAAGAGCAGTATGGCCATCGTGTTCGGCTCGCAACACACTCTACATTTCTTGACCTTGTTGAATCCAACGGCTTGGAATTCTTCAACATCGGTGGGGATCCGGGGGATGCAATGGGGTCTCTGACGAATAGCCCGACTCTATTGCCATCGATGGCGAATTATGGGAAGAAGCGAAACGAAATAGCGGCCATCGTGGACGGGTGCTGGCGATCGTGCATCGACAATGGCCACGGTGTTGGACGCATGCCTTTCAATGAGGATACATCGATCGATCCCTTTGTTGCCGACGCCATCATTGCCAATCCATTCAGCTTCGCTCATATTCACTGCGCCGAGAAGCTCGAGATTCCTTTGCACATCATGTCCACGTTGGTCCTCCTCACCTTGTGTGTATATATCGATACTAATATAAACTGAATGATAGAATTCCCTGGTCGCCAACTGCTGCCTTCCCTCATCCACTGGCCAACATCCGCTCCTCCAATACAAGCGAGAGCACATCCAACTGCGTCAGCTATTCACTGCTCGAGATGCTGACCTGGCAAGGCATCGGCGATGTCATCAACCAATTTCGCGAAAAGACACTCAATCTAGAGCCGTTGTCCAAGGTGCCTGCCACTGGACTGCTCAGCCGGCTTCAAGTCCCTCACACATACTGTTGGTCTCCATCGTTGCTACCCAAGCCAAACGACTGGGGACAACATATATCTGTTGCCGGCTTTGTCCCGCCAGGGAATAATTTGTCCTACATGCCAGATCCCGACTTGGCTGCTTTCCTGGCAGCTGGATCTCTTCCTGTATACATTGACGTTGGCTCTGTCGCCAATGACCTCGGGATCATACTCGATGCAGTGCGAAAGACAGGCCAACGGGCTCTCATTTCCAAGAGCCATGATAGATTAAGCAATGTTTCCAAGCAACCAGACATCTTCTTCGTCGACAGCTGCCCGCCTGACTGGTTGTTTCAGCGTGTCTCATGTGCTGTCCACAGTGGCCAGCTGGAGTTGGTGACAGCTAGTATTGTATCTGGGAAGCCAACCGTCATCGTGTCTTCCTTTGGAGACCAGAGATTTTGGGGAGGCATGGTCGCCAACGCAGGAGTCGGCCCTCAACCAATTCCCCAGAAAGATCTGACCGCAGATAAGCTGGTAGAGGCCATACGATATGCCTTGAGTCCAAGAATCAGACAGCGCGCGGGAGAGATGGGATATGCGATCAGGGAAGAGGATGGCTGTCGAAATGCGGTGGACAGCTTCCACGAACACCTCGGCATGGACGATATGCGCTGTAGTATTTTGCCATCCGAAAAGGCCGTGTGGAAAGTGAAGAGGACGAAACAGCGGTTGAGTGCCGTTGCTGCCACATTGCTGGCGCACGAGGGCCTGCTCGATCTCGGCGACCTCAAGCCGTGAGTCTATCCTGCTGTTTAGATGAGAGCGTTTCTGACTTCTTTTCCAGCCTGCGATTGCGAAAATATCAGACTGCTGATGGCCCGCTTGACCCTATATCCGGTGGGACACTGGCCATTCTGGGCTCTGTCAGCAAACTCAGCGTCGCTATCGCGGGAATGCCAATTGATGTTGTCAAATCGGTCTTGACTTCCGAGCGCTCCATCTCCCATTATCAGTCGCTTCTCACTCAGAAACTGCAGAATAGCCGTCGCCCTGCGCTGACTGACCGGCGAGCCAGCTCCACCAGTGATATCCAAGGAAAGGGGAAAGAAAGCACAAGAAGAAATTCGTCTGGCAAGGTAAATAGCTCTGGTTTTCATTGGTTTAGACATATCGCTGATCTGAAGCTTAGGCTTTTATGTACGGTTTCTACAAGGAAATGTCCGGCAAAGATGCCTTTGCTGCACGCAAATCGAGCATCACTAGCAAAGACGATCCACAGCATGACCAGCAACCAAGCAATTCAATTCTCTCAGATGCAGCCAAAGGAACCGGCAAGAGCATGGGCCGTATCGTCGGTCTGAGTCTCAAGACGCCCCTGGATTTTACTGCAGGGATTGCCAAAGGGTTTCGCAACGCCCCGCGACTCTATGGCGACGACACAGTGCGGCAGACCAACAAGATCACCGGCTTCCAAAGCGGCGTCAAAGTTGCAGGAAAGGTGAGTGTCTTGGGGAGTATTTATGATATCCAAACTAACGAAGGATTGTAATTTGCAGGAACTGGGCCTTGGCTTTTACGATGGCATCACTGGCATTTTCACGCAGCCAGTTCGGGGAGCAAAGCAGGGTGGCGTTAGTGGATTTGTCAAGGGAATTGGAAAGGGACTGGGTGGAGCAGTTCTCAAGCCGGGTGCTGGTAAGTATAGACAGTTTTCGTTCTGGATATGAATGTGTGGTTGACCAGGCATAGCCATCTTTGGCATTCCGGCATACTCGTTCCAGGGCGTATATGAAGAGGTCCAGAAATCCCTCGGCAACAACGTCTCGAGCTACATCTTCACCACGCACTACCTCCACGGCACCCAAGCAATGGAGCAGTTGGACTCAGACGAACGAGCTCAGATTATCCGGTCCTGGCATGACCGAGAACGCCAGGCCCCGGATCTGAGAGATCGATGGAACGCGGTGCAGCAGCGTCGGCGAGGGACGAACAACACTTCATCCTCCCGGTCGAGTACTTTCCAAAAGGACCCATCAGTCGGATCGACTTGGAACAACGGTGAAGGCGCTGGACCTTCCGTTTTTGGGATGGAAACCCCGTGGGACAATCCCATCCTGGAGCTGGAGGCATCACCGGAAAATGCCGTCCATGAACTCTCATCGTCACCAAGGCAAGCGGTATTTGAGATGGAAGCACCGGTTGAGAGTGGGAAGAAATCTGTGAAAGTATAAAATGGCAATCTTATCTTTGATTACATAGCAGGATACGTCTTCAATGATACCACCCTAGTACCTTTCCAACATCTACCATGCCGTAATCACAGATATCTTAGTTCTGAGCAGAAAATTACCTGATATAAATACAAGTTGTAAAATGTCTGTATCCTAACCCAGTGTCGATTGAACCATCGGTTTGAACCCCTTTTCGATGGATTCCGATGATCGCCAATCGGACCAAGTGTGGTCCAGCAGTCCTGAACGTGTTAGCAGTTGCCATTGATATCAATGTCTAATAGCTCACCCCAGGTCTCGTCTGGATCCTGCACGCCTTCTCGGATATAGTAGCTGCCAGCAATCACCCAAACCATCCATCCGGCATGCATAGTGGGCAGCCATTCTCTCAAGCAAGAGGCATACACCCCGTTGTACGTGCTGCTGTCTTGGGTGAAGCCAAATTCCGTCATCACAACTGGCAGGACATTTGTTATGCTCGAGTTCGATGCATCCAGGGCGTTGTACCCCTTGCTCCACAGGCTAGAGGAGAGGCCATCGCAGCTGCCAGTCGAACTGTCATAGTTGTGGAGTTCCAGCACAATCTTGTCCGCGAAGCTAAAGTCGTCCTTCTTGAAAGCAGTGCCATTGCCCAGGTCTGCCGCAGTGGGAATCGGGCTGAGCGTGGTGTCGTAATCGAGACCAGAAAAGAAGATCAAAAGGTCTGGGTTGGCTTCGTGGACTTGGTTGGCGTTTTCCACCATGTTCTCATACCAGTTCTGCCAGTTGTAGCTGTCCTTTAACGTTGAATCATCGTCTGGGCTGCGCAGTTCGTTTCGCATACCGATACTCTTGACGGCCGGCAGGGACTTGACCTATATCATGTCAGAAGACGGATCGATTTATATAGAGCGATCATACGTGTTTAGCCATGTACTGCCATGCTCTATGCCAGTTGGACACGTTGAAATATTTGTCTCCAAACCACGTATTGCCGTCGGTGGTGGAGCAGCACCAGATCGCCTTGGAGACATGGTTGTCCAAATGCACGTAAATTCCTTGCTTATAGCATTCGTCGGCAACGGCATCGAACACCTGGTTATATTAGCGACATTGTAAATCAGAGATACAATACACACCTGCAATCGAGTGGTGTTTGCTCCAAACTGAGGGTTGTTCTTGATGATATCCCGGTAGATCGTGGTGCCATTATCCTCGCCCAAAGCCTTGGTCAGAGAGTTTTTGATGGAAACATCTGCTCCTCCGTCGATGATGTCGTCAATCATCTCAATGGCAAACGTGAGACGGATGGAATTCATTCCTAGGCTCTTGATCTTGTTGACAATATACTCAATCGACTGGTACTGCAGTCCCTCCGGCAGCATGGCATCAGCAGCGCCAGGCCAGTTGACTCCAGCATACGTGACATTGTCGCCATTCGAATCGACGATCCATCGACCAGAGGTTGAAAGAGGCGAAGAGGAAATCGATGCGACGATTTGAGGTGCCACCAGGCATAGCAGCAGTTGAATCTCTCGGAGGAAATGCATTTTGTTGAGGTGAAATGCTGTCTTCTTGAATCATGTCCTCTTTATCTACCCCTCCTTCCCCTCATTCTGAACATCAATGCAACGCCAACTGAGACATCTCTCGGTGTATAGAACATCAGACCACCCATCAACTCGCAACCTGATCAAGGCATGATGACGCACTCACTCTATCTATTCTTGCCCACCCCTGAACATCAAATCCACCTGTGAGATGCGGGGATGTCGAATCCCTCGGGATATTACCGTCTGTGGTTTAGTTGCAAATCGGCTAAATGTTGAACCAGAAGATCTGCAGAATACCGTTGCCAGACTGGCTATTTCTGATTGGCTGTCTCCGGTTGGATATATAATCAACGCCTGCATGTTTCAGGCCAGAGTTCATCGCGATTCATAATTTATCCGACCATCGACTGATGCCGTATTCCAGCTTGTTTGTATACAAGGTGGCTCCCCATCCAGAGAGGCTGCCCACTGTGAATTGGGAAAATGCCCTACAAAGCATCTCCATTCAAAGCAGTAGGAAACGCATACCTCAAACTACGGGATCTCCATCCATTTCAGAGCCCTAGACGTGGCCGTCGGACGCGTATTCGGTCTTTTATCTCCAACCCTCACCCTCAATGAACCTCTATTATTGACATCGATCAAAGTGAACCCGGTTTGTTTTAGGCGCTAGCATTACAATCCGGCAGACCTTGTTTGCACGTCTCATAAGGTCTCCCAGTCTCTAGCCCAGGTTGTATTCCACAGTTGAGACAAAAGCTGCTCTTGGTCTGTGTACACATAGAGATTGGGTAGGTAGGGAAATATTATTCATGTCCAACAGCACAGAAAGCTGGCCATCAGATACCAGACCAGAGGGCTCTTTCGCAAACCTCTCACATCGAGAACTGGCCATGATCTGTCGTGATGATCAGCCAGGGTTCCGAGCCATACATTCTCATGTTTGTTTTCGAGTGTCATTTTGTATTACTCAACCAGTGATCTGAACAACGGCAATCTATCAAGGGGGTCAATCTAGACAAGAACAGCATTCCAGACATGAAGAGAAGCATAAAGAGCCTTATTCACCGCGATGCTAACATCAGCCAATTAACCAGTTTGTTTATTGGCAACAGAAGTCCTGATCCAACAATTGATATCATTCATCAAGATGAGCATAACCACGCTGCAGTAAAGATAATCATCTCCCCCAACCTGCGTACCATACCATAATAAATGGTCAAATGTATGTTGATGTATTCCAATGAGGCAACAGAGCCACCATGCAAGACGGTATAAACACAACCAAATTTCATCAACTTCAAGGCTAGATGATGATTTCTTCATGCTTCAAATCTAAAGGCCCTCTTTGATACTTAAGTAGCCAGGCACATACATCCGAGGCGTTTGGATACCGGGAAGAAGAGTTGGCGACCGTGCCGAAGCCCATGCAGATCCTAAGATCGCATCTGAAAGTCCAACGAATTATTGCTGATTTTGATATTCAGATTGAGAGTTTTCAGCCTCAACTACAGCCTGACAAGATTCTAGCCAATAATAATCGTACTTGCGCCAGGGAAGAGTCTGGTAAGACCGGCTTCTGAGAGCAGCGGAGTGGCTGGAGAAATTGCCTCTTCCGGATGATATATATATATTCGATCATGCGTACCTACAATCCATTAAAACAGTTCCCCGTAATCAAGCTACAAATCAAGGTTACATTGAGCATGGAAATTAGATTTCACGGGATGAACCTTGATTCTTATCCATCGACAAACTCAACAATATCCAAAAATTAGAACGAACTGATGCTGTCAATGTTTACTCTGATAATATCGGAAAAGGCGTGGATTGAGATAGTACCATTAATGCGATGCCTCCTTTAACAGCCATGAACAGGTATCTAATCCCTGTTCAAACTCTATTGTGTAATACTCAAAATGGGGATGTGATGAAACTGGGGAGAGACACGAAGGATTCCTCCTGCATGGGCCCTATTTTTGAGTCTTCTTATCTCACCCATGATAAACCCGGAAATTGGCACTGTTGATCCCTTCAATCCAAGACATATCATATCGATCATGACAAATCTTAGATGTCCAATTTGTGGGGTTATCATCGTTACAAAAGAGGTAAAGCTATATATAGTCGTGAACGTCATGCTCCTTCTCCTTTTTAATCGAAATATTCCAGCACTTTTGATGAGCATCATAATACAGGTTGAGTAACGGCATGAGTAAATGGATATTAATAATCTATGGTATATTATAAGAAATTCTTCGTAGATGCATTACTAGTCACTTTTATCGACTGCTTCGTCCATCTGCCGTCTCCACCGTCTGTGATACAGCCACCGTCTTGCGGATGCCATCGTCGTTATACACAGATTCGGCTGCCTCGGGCTCGCCGGCATAGGAGATGAGATGGCTCTGGTCGCCAAACGCAGGCGATTTGTCCCACTGGGAGCCCGACTTGTTGGTGCCGGATCTGATGTTGCCCAGCTGGACGTTGGAGCTCTGCTGGTAGTATTTGTTGGAGGCGTAGCTCTTGTGGTAGTGGGCGAGCAGGATGTTGAGGACGGGCAAACAGGCACAGATCAATCCGACGCCTCCTTCGGCATTTCTGCATGGGTTAGTAGCTGGAAGACAATAGGTAGAGGCGAAACATACCCAGAGAGAATGACGCAAATGAAGACAATGCTCTGATCGGCCGAGTTTCCATCTTTCAAAACCAGCACAAGTCGATACAGACTGAATCCGGTCGCCAGTCCTCCTGCGCCGAGCAGTCCCATCACACGCAGCTTGCGGTTGCGCGACATTTGCAACGACCAGGTCAATGGCAATGGCAGGACGAGAATGATGAAATCGCTAACAACACTGATGACGGAGTCGGCGATCAAGGCGGCTGTCTGGTCGAGACACGAGCCACCGGGCACGGCGCCCAGCCAGTACATGGGGACGGGATCACACATGCGGATTTTGATGACAAGTGCGACGGTGTAGTAGCAGCACAGACAGCCGAGGAGGATGTAGATAAACCAGACTTTGGTGCGATAGGGCGCAAAGATGCGAGTGAGGATGGAGAGGAGGGCGATTTTGGTAAAGAGGGCCATGGGACAGTAGAGGATGGTTGCGATGTAGCAGAACTTTTTGAACTGGATCTGTTGGGCATCCGAAAGGTCCGTGATGTGGTATCCTCCGCCATGTTGACCGACTGGAGGGTCAGTAAACGCAGTTATGATCATAGTGTTGGAGTAGACATACTGACGATACTAATGGCGCAGTATCCCATAAAGAGGAGCCATGCTATGACACAGGCATCTGAGATTGTTAGACAGAATATCCCACAGCGTCGTCTGGCTACTCACAATCTTCTGTGCTGATCGACTGCTTGAATCGTAATCGAATGTAGAGTCGCAAGGCGACGAAAAGCGAAATGATGGGAATGCAGAGACACTGCGTAACGAGATTGACGGTATTGAGGACATCTTTGGGCTGTTGCTCGGTAGTCATGGTGCTGTCATGGAGGAGAGAGTGAAGGTATGAAACAGACAGTTTCAGACATGGACTCCCGATCGTTGTATATGGGGGCGGCTAGCATCGACTTTTTGACCACCGTGCGACCACATGCCTTTACCCTCGGCAATACTCCGGGGTCCCTCATTGAATAATGCAATTGCGATGGACAGGAGGCGTTTGCTGGTGGAGAGACCGCAGACTATTGATCCTGTCCTGCATAGTCGTCTGATAGGCCGTGCATGCGATTCTGGCTCCACCCGCAGTGGGGCTCAAGTCCGCCATCCCCGGCTATCGGGAATGATTCCGGGATGCTGGTTCGCTGTGCGATCGGGAGTGGGGCAGGATCGTCTCCACCTGAAGCAGGCTAAAAGCGCATGAACCAGTGGTGACCGTCGCAGCAGCCGGATTGAGTTTCGACCGTTCAAGCACCGAACGCTGTGTAGAGACAAATCGGGGGAGGTGCTGGCTTCGTAATTATGGGCCGGTTGGTGAGACAGCATCTGACAGAAGTTTCTGTGGCATTTCCGATAGGGGTCACTGAATAATATAGCATCGGTATAGTTACATCAGTACGGAGCATATCATTATATATGAGTAGATTAATATCACATGAATATCAACAGGCCAAGGATTCCGTCTCTCCTACTCTACGGTACCAGTAGGTGCAGCACCAGCAGTGCAGTGCGAAACTGCGTATTGCGTACAATTCTAGAACAAATCGCAATTTTGAGTTTTTAGCCAAAGTGGCTGATTATCTCCGACACTTCCTACCCTCGAGCCTCCTCAAGAGTCATGTTGGCAATTTCTTTTTCTGTTGTACTTGCTTTTTCTGCTTATCATTCTCATCATTCCATCATTCCCCAGCCTTGCACCCCTTTGTCCAGGGGCACACCCTTGTCCATGATCTACTGGCGTCATCCAGCAGAACATGCCTCCCCAGACATCGGTTACGGTTGCGTATCCTTGGCTGGGCTTGGCTTTTTGCCGACTCGGCTGGAGTTTGCTGGGGCAAGATGGAGACTTCGTATCCGGGAAGTCATGATGCTATTGTTCCATGTTTCAGCAGTCATAGCTGTCATTTCTATGGGCTACTCCAGACTTTGCGACTTCTAGGCTTTGCTATTCTTATTATTATTATTGTGTCTGTCGATCAGAAATGGTGTTACATTGCAGCTCGCTTAATTCTCGCCTGGCTAACGCACCCACTATTGGACCCAACGCACTAGGCAAAAGTCGTGCAGATCCATCGCAAGTTGATTCCGTGGCCCGAATGTCTATCTGATCCTGCCCTGCCAACGCAGTGAACACACTATTCGTAACGCACTCTGATTCAGGAGGCGGAATTTCGGAAACCCCTGCCGCGAATTTGGAAGGCGAAAGTGAGAACAACTAAAAAGTGCATAAATTGGATTCGCTGATTTGTTCTCCCGGGGCCCACTCTGGCCTTGGCAAATTAAACATTTCCAGCCTTCATCTTTGTCGTGTAAAAGTGGTTGACATCAACACTGTCAAGTGTCAAGGTCAGTCTGTTATTGCAGACAATGTTCAAGGTGATGCTTACACTGTATATGGCATATGGCTATATGCTATTCGATGACTTGATCTGAGATACACGATCTGATCCTCATGCAGGCCATCCATAGTCCTATCTTAGCTGCTGATAGTGCTAGCTCAATCATGTCCTCTTTAATCTATTATTTTCATACTATTAAAGCCACCGGTGAATTTAGATAGCCATGACTGTATGCGTTACTAATACCAATAATGTCCAATTATCAACTATCCAGAACTTAATCGATGTGGCGTCTTTGATCGATTATATGCTTCCATAGCGCTTTCTCGAACGAGGCCTGTATGTCATGTGGCGGGATGCGAATGACGATGGCAAATGTGAGCTATCACGGATTGGCCGATGGTGGCGCCAGACCAGGCTGAATTAATGCTCCTGATGCTAGATCTGATCATGCAGCTGAGCTGGCTGAATGCAGGGAATCCTTCCTTCTGCTGTGTAACACACTGGCGCACTTGAAGCGAACCGCGAGTGACTGCGGGCAAGCCTGCATTATCATCGCGATATCAGTGATGGACTCGTGTTATCTACAAGCATTCTGATAATTCCGGGCATGTCTTGATTTCCTGGTCTTCGACATGCAAGGATTTGATGAAAGCTTGTTTTCGTATCACATTGGATATATATATATATATATATGTATGTATATATGTCGACGACAAGCCCCACGCCAGCTGCGAGGAGAACAGCAACACTGCGATCCTTTCGCCACTAAGTCTATCGAATGACCTCCTGATACACAGCACGCAGCAGTGGCAATTGCGGAGCCCCTGTGAGCGTTCTTTGTGGCAGCCATACTCCGGCATCTCCGACTCTCACCAATTGGCTACCATTGTATGTACGGATTCCAGCACTTCCCACTCCGTTCTCCGCACAATAGCATTGTGTCCATCTCTAACTCGATACATAAAGCAGATCCTGTCAATAGTCACCGATAGCCACTCATCCAGTCCGCACGTTGCCGCGCAGAGGACGGGGCAAACTATGCATGCGGAATGCAGCGGAAAAAAGCAAAACACTGCGCCCGAACAAAAGGAAAAACATTGCGTCAATTCAGCTCCGCCTGAGCACATCAGCATGCACAGATGCAGTTGCTCGCATCATCAAATACAGATCAGAATCAGAATAATCAGGGTCCTGCCACTGCTGCCGAATCTGCGCCGAAGTGTCCGAAATACACCCATGCCGAAGTACACCGAACCATTCCCGATGCACTGACAGTGGAGTTTGCTGATTGCGATGGACACAAGGCAGAAAGAATCAAGAAAAGAAACAGAGATTCATCATAGAAGGATGCAGGTATTATCGCAGGATATACGGACTATTGCGTTGTGATCGGGATCTATATCATGACTTGCATGCATGATACAACAACTACAGCTTCAAACCCACCCCCATCCCGCATCTCGTCGTCGACTGTCAAACCACTGTTGCACATATTCCAGTCCCACATGGGGTCCATAGGGCTCCATCTCCCACAACGGCGTTGGTGCTGCCAGGCCCGTCTCCTCCAGACAGGCATCTCGCAAGGCCCGCAGGTCCCCCCCACGGTCATACGAGATGCTGGACGAATCCACCGAGTCCCGGACGGCCCGTAACCGGTTTCGCAGTGCCTCGGTTTCCTCCTGCCTGACTGTCAACGCCTGCGGGTCGACCACCACTCCATATCCCTCGCGTGCCCCTTGCACCGTCACCAGCTGGCGACGCACCTCGAGTGCCACTTTTTCTGCTGCCCGTGTCAAGGGATCTCCCAGTCCACCACCGCCCCAGGTCACCCATTCGAGCAGATCGCCGGGCTGCACGCGAATATGATCGCATTTCGAGGGAAGGATCTCCGGGGCAGGCCGTTTCGCTGCAGGGATCGAGTCGCGATACAGGATCTTGCGCGAGCGTTGACCGGGCTTTCCTCCGTTGAGTCCCCAGGGCTTGGTGAACCATCGATCGTCGTGAAGACTGAATTCCCCGCGAGCCAGGAAGCGATAGAGCGTTCGTTGCGCATTGCCGCCCCGGTAGAAGCCCGGCCCGCCACTGTCGGCCACGGTCTCGTTGGCTTCGATCCGCAACGGATAGTTCAATTCGATACTCTCAGCAGGGATGGATTTGATGGCGGGGAATAAGCAGTGGCAGTCGGGTCCGTCACCGGCCATTCTTGCAGGGACGCCCCCAAATCCGATCTGATACAGTTGATACCACTCGCCGTCGGGCTTGAAGCCGGAATAGAAGAAATGCGGCGAGTCGCTGAAACCGGCAGCAGCTTGGTAGACGTCCTTCTTCTGGCCGATCAGCGCTTGGAGAACATCCATCGAGCGACCGAGTAAATGGGTCCGACACGAGATGGGCGCCGGTCGGACCGGTTTGAGAACGCTGCCTTCGGGGATATCGACGTCGATGAGATCGTGGAAGCCGTCGTTGATGACTGTTCCCGGTGCGGCAGCAGCGATCAGATAATAACCGACAAACATCTTGAACATGGTCTCGGAGAGAAAGAAGTTGATGCTGTGCTCGCTCTGCGGTGCGGATCCGCTCCAGTCGAAGAGTAGCCGGTTGCCAGCGGTCTTTTGCATCGAGCAGGTCAGCTCCCACGGTCCGTTGCCGTGTCCGTCGTCGTCAACGTAATCGGTGAAGGTGCTCTTTTGATCGTCAAAATCGCGCTCGATAATCTTGGCCATGGCAGTGCGGTTGCGATGTAGCAGCTCTGCGCAGGACGCCAGGTAGACCTCGCAGCCAAAACGAGTGGCCAGCTCATCGATACGTCGGGCGGCCATGCGGCACGCAGCCACGATGGCAGTCAGATCAGAGCGATACCAGGCAGGCTGACGGGAGTTGCGACAGAGAAGATCGACCAGATCGTGATTCATGACGCCTTGTGAGTAGAGCTTGATGATGGGAACCTGCACTCCTTCGTCGAAGATAGAAGTTGCGTTGATCGACATGCTTTCAGGTACCATTCCACCAACATCGGTCAAATGGCCGAATTGAGAAGCCCAACCGATTAATTTGTGGTCGTAGAAGATGGGAAGAAGCACGATGATATCGTTCAGATGCGTGACAGCGCCCTGGACCAGGTAAGTGTCGTTGGTGATGAACACGTCCCCCTCCTCGATGGTACCAGTCCAAACGCCCAGGAACTGAGTGATGAAGCTGCCGAATTGACCGACCAGCATTTGGCCTTGGGCGTTGGTGATGACGTTGAACTCGTCTTGCTGTTCGCGAATTGCAGGCGACATACTGCATCGCAGCATCAGTTTATCCATTTCTCCTCGGATAGACGCCAATGCTGCAGAGATCAAGGTCGGAATCAGCGGGTTGCGACGGACGAGAAGGGCTGCTGAGTCGGGAGTGTGCTGGGTCGAGACAGATGGCTGCTGCTCAACGGGTTGGATGATGATATTCCCAATGTTGTCGATCTCGCCATAGTATCCAGGCAGAATCAGCGTGTTGCTGTCCATTTCACTGACAATGCAGGGTCCGACCACGCGAACTCCCTCCTGGCTGATTCCTTGTCGATCCCACAGAATGGCCTCTCTTTCCTGGCCTTCGATGGTGATTGTCTGCTTGTTGATCATCGCCTCGGCTGGTGGACTGGCTGGGGTCGCCTTCTTCACCTGCGGAATGGCCACATCCGGAGATGCATCCTCCAAGACGACACCAAGTCTCATTAACTCCAGGTCAAAGTTGGGCAGACAGTACGTGAATTGCTGCTGATGCTGCGCATCGAACTTGTGGCGGAGCATCCGGTTCCAAGCCTCGGTGTCAAGAAGCAGCTCATCTGCGGTCACGTCGATGGTGATGGTCAATGCCTGTCCTTTGTATCGCAGGTCGGCCTGGTATGTGGCGTTCCAAGTAGAAGATGAATCGCTGCATGATGTGTTCATGATGTCGCGACACGCCGTTTCCAGATGATTGAACTGCTCGCGCACTTCTGCCGATGATGTTCGAGATGCTGTCCGAATGAATGAAGCTGACTGTTCATGGCGCAGTTTCGTTGTGACATCGCCCTGGGCGCACAGGATACCTGGAGATGGAGGCAAAATGACTGGCCATGCGCCGAGCAGCTTTCCAACAGCATTGGCATGCAGTGGTCCAGCGCCGCCAAAAGCCACCAGGGCAAACTCGCGGGGATCGTATCCTTGTTCCACAGAGACAAGCCGTACAGCACCGTAGATGGTCTCGTTGATGATGTCGATGATGTTCTCCGCTGTCTGGGTGATGGGCAGCTGCATTTGCGATGCGAGAGCCTGGATGGCTGTCTTTGCTGCCTCGACATCGAGTGCAAAGTCACCACCCAGCAGTGTCTGAGGGAGATATCCCAATGCGAGATGCGCATCGGTAACAGTTGCCTGCTGTCCTCCCTTTCCGTAACACGCTGGTCCTGGCGTTGCTCCAGCGCTTTCGGGGCCGACGCGAAGGGTTTCCGTCAGTTCCATGTACGTGGCAATCGAACCACCGCCAGCCCCGACGGTCTTGATATCCACGGCTGGCGAGCGAACCGAGAGCTGGTCGACCACTGTTTCTCGTCGTAGTCGGGGCTTTCCTTCGTAGATCAACGCACAGTCTGTAGATGTGCCGCCCATGTCGAGAGTGATGAGGTTCTTGTATGGCGTGCTGCGAGCGACTGCATCAGCGACGCCTTTAGCTCCTCCTGCTGGTCCGGACATGAGGATGTTGACGGGCAGTTCGCCAGCGAGATGGACACTGGTCAGTCCGCCATCGCTCTTAAGGATTCGGATAGTATCACTGTCTTCGGCCAATGTGTGAGACAAATTGCTGAGGTATTTCTGGACCACCGGCTGGACCACTGCATTGGCGCACGTTGTGACTGTTCTTTCGTATTCCCCAACCTCTCTCAGCACATCGCCTGAACGGATGATGGCGACATCAGACCCCAACTCTTCGCGTGTCACTTGTGCAACAACCTCCTCATGGGCGGGGTTCGCATGTGAGTTGAGCAGAGAGATCGCCACAGCTTCAGGGTGCTGTTGGGCCAGCTTCTTCAAACTCTGTCGCAGCGATTCAACATCAACGGGCGTGACCTGCTCGCCATTGACAGACATGCGCTCGGTGCACTGGACGACACGTTCGAGAGGGACAACCGGCTCTGGAGGCGTATAGTACAACCACGCCCCGAGGCCACCGGGGATTTGAGACCGGCGCAGGGCCAGAATATCCTTATGGCCGGCAGTGACGACGAGCGCAGTGCGGGCTCCTTTCCCTTCCAGCAGGGCATTCGTGGCGGTGGTGGTGCCGTGGTGGATGAATTGGAAGCGACCCTTCCAGCCAAACTGTTTCAGCAGAAGACGGCGAACCTTTTCGATGCCCTGTTGGATGCCAATACTCTGGTCTTGCACCGTGGTCGGCACTTTGGCTCTGACCGTCTGGCCATGGGGAGTGAAGACGCAGACATCGGTAAAGGTACCGCCCACGTCGACTCCGAGTTGATATCCTTGATTTAGCTCCATGGTTGAGATGCAGAAAAAGGACGCGGGGCAAGGGGGGACCGCGGCTCTAAATACGGGAATTCGCTAGACTGCAGCCAAAAGCACGAAGGAATGATGGGGATGCAGATGGCGATGCGATAGGCTGACGATCTCTGCTGGCGTGGTTAGGGTGAGGGGTTGACGTTGACAGTTGTCGGACATAGGATGAGGCTGTAGGTCTGGCAGGAGGCCTTGCATGTGAATTTGCATATTTAATGATAATTAATACTCTGTGATATGTCTCTATCTACTTCTATACTTTTATCTCAAATGCTTCGTACTTATCGTGGTGGGGTCGGGTGCATGTACCCGATCCCACAACAAATTTAGGCCTCAATAATGAGTCTCTGCTGCATGAACTATTTAGACACTACACTCAGTCAGTCCTTTCAGGATAGTTTAGAAGCATTAATAGATTGCAATGGCTTCACTGCGCTTTGCCGATGTAAGTCATTCCTGCTGGAACAGACAGCGTTGACAGTCACAGGTTGCAGTCACTTTCACTGCCGATCAATTCCAAGGCGTCTATCGAGGCAAGAAATACCACGACGCAGACTTTGCCCAAGTGCTGCAGCGAGCACAGGAACATGGATGCGAAAAGGTGATGCTGACAACGATGACGCTGGCCGGGGCAGAGGCCAATCTGCAGGTGGTGAGGGAGTTTCCCAGCATGTGCCGTATGACTCTCGGAGTGCATCCCTACCATGCCGCAGAGATATACGCAGACAATGACGGGGCTTCATACCTGGAGGCTATCCAGAAAATGGCAAAGGCACTGCTGGCCGAACAGCCATCGCCGCTGGTGGCATTTGGCGAGATCGGGCTGGACTATGAGTATCTCGATCGTGCAGACAAAGAGACGCAGCAACGGGCATTCAAAGACCAACTGGACCTGGCTGTTGAACTGCAGCTGCCGTTGTTCCTGCACGTGCGCGAGTCCTGCGAGGATTTCATCGCCATCGTCACGCCGTATCTGTCCAAATTGCCTCGAGGGCTGGTGCACTCATTTGCCGGGTCGAAAGAGGAAATGCAGCAGCTGGTCGATCTGGGCTTCCACATCAGCGTGAATGGGGTCTCATTTCGAACAGACGAACAGCTGGATATGGTCCGTCATATTCCGTTGAATAAACTGCAGCTCGAAACGGATGCGCCGTGGTGTGAGGTTCTGCACAACGATCCCAAGATTGCTCCATATCTGAGTACTGCACGCCCTCTGCCTCCGAGTCGCAAACACAACAAATTTATCGCCGGCCAGATGGTGAAAACGCGGAACGAAAGCTGCTTGATCGAACGAGTTGCGCTGGTGGTGGCAGGCTTGAAGGGGGTTACAGTGGAAGAAATTGCGCAGGCAGCGTGGGATAACAGCGTGCAGATGTTTGGATTGGAGTAGCTGTTATATGAATGAATGTATATCTACGACGACTGAAAAGGAATTCAGGATATCAAACATAGTTAGAAGCCATAAGCATTTCTTGTTCGAGATATGTCGTTCCGCTTTGGGGAATGTAACGTACCACCCAGATGCCGTCCCGATGAGGGTACTCGCATTTCCGAAAACATCACGTATACTCATCATAAAGTGACATTTATCAGTTGGATTTTGACGTCGTATTCCAACGTCTTCCCACATATATACGATGGCCAGCCGCATCCATTATCGATCAGACCAATGCGCAATCCACCATGAATTCCACTTCCTCCAGACTGTGCACTCCACGACGGCTGATCGGGAGTCTTCTTCTGCTGGTAGCATTGGGTATCTTCGCCTTGCTCGTTCCAGCTCGCAAACTTGACAATGTCCCCTTTATCCCATTCTCCCTCCAGCGAACCAAGTCGTATAATGAGTCGATCGCCATCACCACCCTTCTTGCGCATGCATACGACGAGGAGGACAGCGACGAGGACAATGAAGATGTCTACTTTATCGGTGCTCGTATCCTCGCCTACCAGTTACTGCATGCGCCCGAGACAAAATCACGACGCCATGTTCCCTTTATCGTTCTGGTGACGCCCGATGTGCGCAAAAGCAAGCGAGACAGACTGAAGAAAGACGGCGCCCAGATTGTCGAGGTGGAATCCGTGCATCAAAATGTGTCCATCACTGTCCCTCGATGGGCAGATACATTCACCAAATTGCGAGTGCTTGACCCAAAGGCAGTGCCGTATGAGAGAGCGCTCTATCTGGATACAGACATTATCCTCACCAGACCGATTGATGCCATATTCGATGATCCCAATGCATGGCCAGTGCCATCTGTGAAGGACAGTGCATCTCCCCTGGGACAAGGTGAAGCATTTCCACCAGACAGCCTGCTCATGGCAGCGACACCAGAAACGAAGCAACAGGACCATCCATATCCGTTTGTGGATGAACAGCATGAAAAGACCGAGTTCAACTCTGGGTTCTTCGTCTATTCGCCATCGTCTGACATGCTGGAGTACTATCTCACTCTGCTGGAATACACCGACCGGTATTTCCACGGTCTGCCCGATCAGGATCTGTTCAATTACGCCCATCGACTGGATGGGCCGATGCCATGGAAGACGCTGCAGCCCTCGTGGAATATCAACTGGTCGAATGATGAGGATTTAAAGGGTGGGATTGCATCGCTGCATGTCAAGTTCTGGGATTTTGAGTATTTCTCGCAAAAGACACGGGAATATGCAGTCGCACGACGATGGGAGATGGAGGGATACTGGAAGGGACGGAACAAGAGTTGATCATCAATGCATCATCAATATAATCATACATAATATAATCATCAAAATTGCCATGTCTCATTCGCTTAGTAGAAATGCCCCGGTACATCCCGCACTGATGGAAGGGATTGAGAATGTGATTTTTCCAGGCAGCAAAGAAGAAGGATTTGGAATGAGCCCTGGGCAGTGGCTGACAGGATCTGGGAATCCTGATGCCTTTATTGATTATCCTGATCGACAAAGAATCAGTTTCAAAAAATAAGCCTCGAAGAACAAGCCTCAACGAATAAGCCTTGATGCTTGGCCGCGGGCTCGGGTTCGCTGTGCATGCTATAAAGGTCGATGATCGACAGTATCACAGCCTTGTCAGACTGACTATTAATAAATAGATAGAGATGGAAAGATATAAGAGATAAAGGTTCATGCCCGCTTCTATTCTATTCAATCATCAAATTCTATTCACATACGATCAATAAGAGATAAAGGGTCGTTTCCACTTCTATTCTATTCAATCATCAAGTTCTATCTTCATACTATCGCCATGTCAACCTCTGATCAAGGCCTCGCCATCGCCCAGATCGCCTTTTACGCGGCCATCTCCATTCCTGCTCTCTACTGCCTCATTTCTCATGGCCGCCATGGATTGATGGGCTGGATATACGTCCTGGCCATGTGTGGGCTTCGCCTGGCCGGCAATGCCATGTCGCTCAACGCCTACCACAACCACGAGATCAGCCCATCTGCCTCGATCATCAACGGCATTGGTCTTTCGCCGTTGTTGATGGCGTCGCTGGGATTGCTTCATGAATCGTATGTTCTTATACTATATACTTGCATTCATAGCTAATTGTTCAGGAACCATTCTATCCAACACACGCTATCGCCCTTGCTGGGTATGCCAGGAAAGGTTGTCACGCATCTTGTCGTTGCCGGTGGAATTGCTCTTGCAGCTGCCAGCCATGGAAAGGAATCGCTTCTCCGAGGCGGTCTTATTATCTTTGCATTGGGCTGGACCATGGTGGCTGGACTGGTCTTTCTGTCCTACCGAGGAGGCCATAGCCGCAGAGTCCTTGATGAGAAAAAGGTAACAAACCACAGTCAATTGATAAATGATGCATGCTGATCTGTATAGCTTCTTCTTGCCATCACGGTCGCAATGCCTCTCATCGGAATCCGCATCATCTACTCAATCGCGACCGTATTTTCTAGCTCCGGCATGAGCGGCGGCAGTCTGGCGGTTCGTGTCATTCTGGGGGTTTTGCCCGAGTTTCTCGTCATGATCGACTATGTGGCCGTGGGCATTGTGACGAGGAATCTGGCTCGTGATCGTTCGGAACAGAAGACTGTGAATGGGGCATAGTATACTAAAGACTAGAACAATATGATCATGACACATATCTCATTAAATAAATACACTAAAGACGACCAGGATCGGCAACTGGCATGGGAATAGCTTCAGGATTGTCAATCGTAAGATGCAATGGCCAGGCCATCGCCCACTTCCAGTGTAGAGGCATGATACTGTTGATACCCCGGACTTCTCGTTCGGGAATTCCACGCAGCCACCAGGAATCCTCAGCCCCTTTGACCAGCGCGAAGAGATATGCTAGAATGACCAGGGCGCGTGGTCTTTTTTCTGAAACAAGCTGGATGAAGCAATGCGTAAACACGGCTGGGAAGGCAGAAAATCGCTTGCGGATGTCAAAGTCAGATTCTTTCCGTTTTATGGCATTCAAGTTGGTCTCCAGATAGGCAATGGCGTCTTTGTACACATCTAGTAAAGACTCATCCATATCCTCTTCATCCCGGTGGCAGTGAAGAAGAAATTGGAACGGATTGTCTGGACTCGAACTGTCCTTCCCCGTGCCATGGACAATCGGCTGAGCCACCAACAGAGGGAAAATACGCGATTTGGACTCGATGAGCTGATCGTAGACCATCCGCAGCATTGTCCGGATGCCATGCGACATGTTCATCCACAGCAACGGAGGCTCGTACGGCTCCATCGGGGCCTCCGCGCGGAGAGTCAGCGTGTACAGCGAGATAAGAATCGTATTCACACAGACCGACTCGCTGATCGTCTCCGCCAGATTGGCCGTGATCGACCGGTGATGCTGCAGCGCTTTGTCGATGTGGGCCTGCTGGACAGGGCGCAACTGGTCTGTTTCATCTGGCCTCAGCGTCGCGCGATGGACGGCCGCGAGGGCCAGCAGCGTGTGCAACAGGGGCTCGTATTCAAACGCCATCTCGGGAACGTCGATCGCCCACATGGCTCGCACGGCTGGGAAATGCGCCGAGCTCAACGTGGCTGCTGTTTCAGTGGCATAGTGGTGCATCAGCCGCAGGTCCGTCGTCTGGATGGAGCCAAAGTCGGAGGACGGAGCATCGCGTCGCGCTTTTTTCGCTCGGGGATCGAAGCGACGGGCCTCAAAGGAGGGATATTCACAGGGGACGTTGTGGCGATGGCATCCGCTGCATTGGGGTTTGTTTTCATCGCACTGTCGAATTAACAAGGCTGACAAGGCTGAAGGATGAAGGACAAGAAAACTACCTTGACTTTGCGGGTCTTGCAGCGCAGACAGCCTCGAGTGGATTTGCGGTGGTTCAAGTGGGGAGGCATGAGGGCGAAGCTCATCGGGTTCGGGATGTTGTATAGAAAGAGGAAAGGGCAAAGAGTGAAACGAGGGGCCAAGGGGCCGTTGGAGAGGCAGTGAAGCTTTTCGCTTTCGGGTTGTGCGACTTTTTGGGATGCACAGCCTGGATGGAAAGGGAAGGGATCGGCAGGCGACAGTATATATCATCCAGTATTCTCATCACCATCATCTCATCACAACCATAATCATCTCTCAATCTCAATAATACTCTCTCTCCGTCTATCTCTATATCCCACTTAATATCACAATGGGCCTCATCAAAACTGGTGTTATGCTGGCTGGTGCCTACGGTCTCATCAAGACCAGCTCCAAGTACGCTCTCCACTTCATCTACAACATATGATATAATAAAACTAATGACAATCAGAGCTGCCAACGACTACCAAGAAAAGAAGAACCAACAATCTCATCAATGCACCTGCCATCACGACCACCGATCCAACAACTATGCTCCTCCCAGTCACCCTCCCCCCGGCTACCATGAGCCTTACGGATACAACAACCACTCGCAACGACACTACGAGCCATCATATTATTCGGGCTCAAAGCAATAGTCGTGTTTATTAGGCAAGGAGTTGACATGGGATGGGATTATATTGCATCAGCGTTTACATTACTGGGTTCACATTGTTTCTGTCGAGATGTCATTCAGCGTGAAAAACCACCTTTCATTCTAAATCATTCTAAACTTACATTCCTCCTATTTAAAGTATATTTACTATTAAATCGCTTCATGGCCATGTGTTTCAAAAGGCAGTCCAATGCAAATCACTCCAACGGCAATCCACAACGCGGCACTGGCGTAGATCGGCGCAGTCGTGAATCCAATCTGTGACGATACCAAACTGGCAACGAGTCCTCCCAGTCGCAAAAGTGACGCTGCTGTTCCGGTCCCTGTGCCTCTGTGAGGGGCAGGGAAGGACTCGGGGGTAAAGGCATACATGACGGCGTATTCTGATCTGTTAGCTTGAACCGACAAGATCTAGGTCGGACTTACCAAAGTTGGCCAGCAGTGAAGTCACACAAGAGAAAGCCAGACTGGACGTCTCATCGCTCACTCCCACATACGCGAAGAGAAAGACACCAGTCACGACAGACGAAATCGCCATCATCCACCGTCGACCAAGACGAGTGTTGACCAAAACTGCAGCAGACAGTGGTCCAACGATTCCAACAGCCGATGTAATGCAGTAATTGCGATACGTTAGATCAAGAGAGGAGTCCTGAGTGAACTTGGTGGCCAGATACGAAGGCAGAAAGTTGAAATACAGAGGATATGCAATGCCAATCGTCAACCAGATCGCCCAGATAATGACTGTATGGATGGCCAGTTTCTTGGTTGCAAAAAGAGCACGATAATGAGAGCCTCGAAAGGCTTGCAGGTTCTCCTTGATAATCTCTTTGGTGGATAGAGATGCTGGCTGGCTGGCTGTCGATGTGCCCAGACGGGCATCGATCTCTTGTAGCATGCCAATTGTCAACGGTTCTGGTTTGGCATTCTGTCGTGCGACGTAATTGACTGCATCAACAGCAGCCTGGTCCTTGCCTTTGGATAGAAGATATCTAGGTGTCTCTGGCAGTCTGAAGACAAAGATGCGACAAAAGGTGAAGACGAGTGATAGTCCTCCGATGGTGATCAACGTATATCTCCTGCTGATGTTAGATTGATACAGATAGATCAGATGTACTTACCATCCCATATTCTCTCCCCGAGGACAAGTCGCTGGAGTTGCATCTGTTGGACAGCTAAAGTTGGCCAGGAAGACCCAGGCAATTAACGAAACAAACAGCTGGCTCAGATTCCACCAGGCAGAAAGTGCCGTCAGAAGATATTGATGACTATCTTGTCAGTCTAGCCAACTATCGGATGTTATTCCTTACCTGCCAGGCACGAATTCCAAAAAAATCATCGAGTCGACAGGAACATTTCCTCCCGCTGCAGTGCCAATCACAGCCCACAGCGCACTGAATGCTATGAAATTCATCGATCCAGCAGCAGCACAGAGGAAGATGCCAGCAATCAAAAGAGTGCTGTTGAAAGCAGGTCGACGACCGATCAAGTCACTGGAAATACCCCAGAAGGAAGCACCCAGAATGAGACCGACATAGTATGCAACGGAGCTGTAGCTGACCTGCACGATGCCAGGGAATTCGACTTCAATCGGAGGTTGAACACTGCCAATGCCTTGGGATGCAAACTACTTTATTAGCATTGCTGAGATATATGATATATAGAGAAGAACATACATTGTCGACAATCCATCCAAAGCCAGTCACCACAAACAACTTCAATTGGAACCTGCATCGTCAGATACATCCATCAAAGAGGAAGAGCACTTACTTTCCCATGCCAATCTCATCCATGCATCGTCCAACCACTTCTGACTTGAGACGATATGCAGCAGTGGTCGACGAGCCATAGAACTGTTCCACCGACTCATCAACGGCTGTTCCTTTGGCCACATCCTCCGAGATTTTGCCTTCTACGGACGGGCTTGGCTTTTCGTCTTTGTGAATCTCCATTTCGACTGTCTTGCTGTTCAACTGACGAAAGACAGAACGTTGAAATACTATTAGGGCTATAGGATGATCACTGATAGACCTCCCAAGGTGGAGTGGAGTTGATATCGAGTTGACGTTGACCCCCACTTACGAGACAACGGATACAAATGGATAGAGATAAGAAATCTTGATTACTCTGATATAGCATACATGTAGACATAAAACAATTAAGCCCTGGCAACAAGAGCAGGCGTCGACTCCAATGGACTCTCCTTCTGCATCTCCTCCTTGTACTTGATTGCCCGGCCATAACTCTCATTGTACGCTTGGGTCACCATATCCTGCACAGTAATCGGCGGATACTTGGCCTCTTCGCCTTCCTCTCGACAGTTGGGCAAGCACTGGCAGAGATAGTCTGGATTGCCGCTGAAGAAGAACGGAATCGAGTATCGCTCGCGACCAGACTTGTTGATGACGCGGTGGGTGTTGGACTTGTACTTGTCGTTGGCCATGCGCATGAAGAGGTTGCCCAGATTGACCACGTAGGCACCGGGTACGGGTTGGACCTGGTGATGTTAGTGTTATTCAGACATCGGGATGGTATACTCACATCCAGCCACTGTCCGGTAGGCGCATCTAGCACTTGTAGACCATCGACCTCATCTTGAAGCAGCAGAGTCAAAATGCCAAAGTCTGTATGCGCTCCGATACCCCGGCTGAGCTTCTCATCAGCGTCTTTTGGCTGTGCTGGGTAGTGGAGATATCGCATTGTCGCCACTTTCCCATCAGTCAATGGGTCGAAATAGTTTGACTCGACATTCAACGTCAAGGCCAACACAGATAGAACGTCTTTAGAGAGAGAAGACACGGCATTGTAATACTCCATCGTCGTCTTCTCAAACTCGTCCTTATCCTCGATGCCCTGAGGCCATTGATTCGGACCACTGTTGATCTTCTTCTGCAAAAAGTACGGATGGTCCTCTGGGATTTCTTCACCAATATACAACCCCTCCTTTAGTTCAGGAGAAGTACCAGCTTCCAGCATCTGCGACCGGAGAAGCTCATAGCCGCGGTGGAAAGCATTGCGATCTGCAGCCGGTCAGTTGATAATGTTCTTATCAGTGCGGGGTGATACGGTACTTTTGTCAATCTTCATCTTCTCCTCCAAAGGCAGATCGAAAAAGCGTTTGGCACAGGCCATGACACGGCGCTGGAGGTCCAGAGGCACGCTGTGGCCGGTGATCTGGAAGAAGCCGTTATAGTGGCAGCATCGTCGGATCTCGTCGACCAGCTGTGCTTTGGCCTGGTTGTCTTGGCCGTAGAAGGGAGAAAAGTCCAGAATGGGGGGAGCGGCAGGAGACATTGTGATGATGATACTGATGATGATAGAGTCAGTGTATGGAGTTTTGCAGCGAGATATATCCTGTGTGGATACGGAAGAGGGGAAAGAGAACCAGAACATTCTGGAGATGTCATCGGAATGAATGCCGATGCATACTTGACATCCCATCGAGCGAAGATGGAGGGTGGGGGTCAAGGATGGGGTGATACGATGATAAGATATGGAATGCGGGGAGAGTGTATCTATACAGATATGGATAAAGTTGGTATATTTGAGATGAATAATAACCCCATTCTAGTGTATATGTGCAGACAAGATGAATATTTCTGATCCAGAGAAAGTGAGCGAAAGTGTCGCTATTGATGTCGAGGGCGAAAAGAGTTATGGTATGGTTCTGAATATGTATTCTACTATATTCTAATGCTCGAATAGTCCGCAAGGTGGATGTCTTCATTCTGCCTCTTTTATGCCTGGTAAGTTCATATCCATCTGTATAGTATCAAACTGACTTTTAGATGTACTTTTTCGACTGCATGGACCGGGTATGTCAATATATCCTTTTGATTCTGGTCTGACTATCGTAGAGCAATCTGGCAAATGCAAAAACAGACGGATTGGATGAAGATCTCCATCTTCAGGGAAATGACTATTCTCTGATGGTTCTTCTCTTCTATATTCCATTTGGTCTCTGTGATCTGCCATGGAATCTGCTGATCAAACGATACTCTGGTCGTATCATGCTGTCTTTTAGTAAGTATGCCATCTATTCCATACAATATTCCTGCCATGCTAAGAGAACCAAGGCCTTCATAATATCATGTAAATTTGAGATTTGATCATATGTTTGCGTTTTTTTTCTCGTAATACAATTGTCTATGGATTTTCCTGGTGACGAATTCAGGATCACCTCATCTAACCCCACGGGATAACTACCCTGGAGCCTTATTACAAAATCAAATCCACTTTTACACACCACGCTAACTCGAACAACCAATAGTGCCGGTGAGACAGGATATATGCCTTGTCGAGTGTTATCTGACCACCAAGTTCCAAATGTCATCTGGTTTGAAGATGCTCTTCGCCACTATGGTGTCCACAGTTGTATTCGACTGCATCTCCTTGTCCCGGATATTGACAAGGCGGCCGGGTTTCTCATCAATGCGAGATCGGTGATTGATTCAGGACCACATAGAATCGGGAATGCGGAGGACCGTGAGGACTTCCCACAGCAGCGGCTTCTATCTCCGAACAGAAGACTGGAAGTCTCCACTCACAAATGACTACTCATCCGAAGACGCGGTGTTGGTTGCAGTCTCACCGCACCAAAAGGTGTCATTTCTCCCTTTACCAGGCTTACTTGATGCACCGATCGAGGATGCACCGATCGAGAGCTGGCTGGACTGTGCTAGCGATGACGCCATGTTACTGCTTCACCTTGCTTGTCAAATCTCCTATCTTTACGCTCATGCGCCTTCCCTGAAACAGGGATCATTTGGCGAGAAGATGAAACCTGAACACCAGCAGTTCCACTATGATGTGCTGGCAGGGATGGATACGGGCACTGTTCCGTTTCGACAGCGTCAACGTGCTATTCGAGATGCATTATTACAGGGCCAGTATGGACCTTGCCAATCCTCGGCATCCCGAGACAATAAGGACCTTTTTAGTTTGCAAAATGACGTGCCAAGATAAGGCAAGGAGCTATTCCCTTCTGAGTCGGCGGGTAGAAGTATGTTGCCATTTCGTTTTATCAAAAACTTCAGATGGTGGAATTGACATTGACTATCACACGGGTTCAGAGACGGTATCCAGGCGGCATGCAGAAGATCATGGATGGCATTGGGCCGACCTTCAAGTCAACCCTGGTCGGTTTCTCCAAAATGTACTCTCGTAGAATTCAAATGGAATTCTTCCATACATACCTTTGATCGGATTCTTCACGATATAGTTTATACCATGTCAAGGCAGGTACAGTGCAGCAAGGTCCCTAATTCTAGATTCCATTTAGCTCTATGCCTACCGTCGGGTGATTTCTCGGGCAGATTATAGCGACTGATGAACTCTAATTCCAACCTCGCCCAACCATAATACCACGAATGGCGCCACCGCTTGCCAGTAGCTGCATTGCCAAGCGCAATGAAAAGAGGCTGTGCATAGCAATGGCTTAAATCTGCGGGCAAGCGGGAGCCCCGTGCTCCTCCACATACTGGGCCACACTGGGGTTGAACATTTAGATAGCAATGAGGAGATAGATTGAATGATTTAATAAGATGCATATACAGATACTACAATTCTAAGCAAATTGCATATCAAGCTCTTCTCTTGTAATAGAGCGATAAACACTAATAATCAATGTATCCGCGGCGTGGTCCTAACAGGAACATGGCAAGCTTTCTCATAGCTCTGGCCAAGAGAAACCATCTACAAGAGAGAGTGCTTATATCCGAAAATATTCCCTAACAGTTCCTGAATTCCTCCGAGTATCCTCACAGATTAGCAGCATTTGATAGGTTCAACGTACAACACGTGTGCATGGAACAGCGATTGGAATCCACTAGAATACGCGAAAGGAATCCCGCCAAGATGCAAGCAGGCAAAAACACAAATTCTTCCCCCCGCCTTGGCTTTTCTGTGGTAACTTTCTGGGGTTCCGATATTTGTCCATGCCGATCAGTGTTGATCACTTCTGTCTTTGGGGCTACTTGTATCATATATTCTTGCGCACCTAGGTTTCAACAATACCCCTCACGATGGTTGGCCAGTCTATCGGTTAATTTGTATGGCGTGCATATACTTGGTTTGCTGACATCGACTACCGATATCCCTGTGTACGATTCAGATTCGGACTAGATATATAAAAATGTGCGTTAGTCCCCGTGGAATGCAACATCCCAGCTATTGATCACCTCTTCATTCTTTCTTTTCCCTTTCCTTTTTTTTTCTTCTCCTGCACTTAGTGTCCAGCCATGGGCAGTTCAAGTGCCTGGAAGGTCTTGCGCGGTCTTTCTGCTTTCTGTGCTTTGGCTCAGGCGCAGAGCCAGACCCCCTCGCCTTCGTCATCCGCCGCCTCATCTTCGGCCTCAGCTCAGTTCACGATTCCTGCCAGCGCCAATTCCGCTCCTGCTGTCATTCCTTACGTCAAAGACCCTCAGGCTGTTGACGCCCAGACCGTCTGCCCTGGATACACTGCTCTCAACGTCCAGAAGACAGAGGCTGGATTGACAGCTCTGCTCTCGTTGGCTGGCAAGCCGTGCAATGTGTACGGTACCGATATTGAGCTCTTGAACCTGACTGTCGAATACCAGACTACCGATCGTCTGCATGTTGAAATCGTGCCGACTTACCTTGGCCCCCAGAATGCAACCCAATATGTCCTCCCCGCCAGTGTGGTGGCGAAGCCTGTGGTCGAGCAGGCCAATGTCAAGTCTGACTTGGACTTTTCTTGGACCAATGAGCCCAGCTTTGGATTTGAGGTGAAGAGAAAGTCGACAAACGACACTCTTTTCACCACCAAGGGAAAGAAGATCGTCTATGAGAACCAGTTTATTGAGTTTGGCAGTCCCCTGCCTGAGAACTACAACGTCTACGGACTGGGCGAGTCGATCCACTCGTTCAGACTGGGAAACAACTACACCAAGACCTTCTATGCTGCGGACGCTGGTGCCATTGTTGATGGGTATGAGCAAACCCCCCTCCTGAGCACCGTTTATATTGGCTAATGCATCCCCAGAAACATCTACGGTACTCACCCGTTCTATCTGGAGACCCGTTACTTCACCACTGGTCCCGATGGAAAGCCCGTTTTGGTGACCGGCAACGTGACTGACACAAAGAGTAACTACACTTCTTACTCCCACGGTGTCTACTCCCGCAATGCCCACGGTCAGGATATCTTGCTGCGCCCCGAGGGCATCACCTGGCACCCTATTGGTGGTAGCATCGACCTGTACTTCTTTTCCGGTCCCACCCAGCCTAAGGTGACAACCTCTTACCTCAAGGCTGTCGGTCTGCCTGCTTTGCAGCAATACTGGACTTTTGGTTTCCACCAGTGCCGGTGGGGATACAAGAGTTGGCAAGAGCTTGAGGAAGTTGTGGGCAACTACACTGCCTTTGGAATTCCTATGGAGACTATCTGGTATGACACCGCTTATGGATATGCGGGTTTATGTATATGGCTGACAACCGTAGGACTGACATCGACTGGATGAACCGCTACCGTGACTTTGAAAACGAGCCTACTGGATTCGGCGATGCCGAAAGTCGGGCTTTCCTTGAGCGTCTCCATGCCAGCGGTAGACACTATGTTCCTATCATTGATTCCGCTATCTATATCCCCAACCCAGAGCTGGAGAGTGATGCGTAAGTATCTCTCTATACATGCATAGATCTACTTGCTAATGCCTTCCAGTTACCCCGTCTTTGAGCGCGGAAACAACACTGGATCGTTCCTGAAGAACCCCGATGGAAGCTTGTACATCGGTGACGTCTGGCCCGGATACACCGTCTTCCCTGACTGGCTCTCCGAGGGTGCTGAGGACTGGTGGGTCGAGGAATTCTTGAGATATCACCACATCACCCCATTCGATGGCGCGTGGATTGATATGAGCGAGATCTCGTCCTTTTGCGTTGGAAGCTGCGGCAGCAACAACCTCACTCTAAACCCCGTGCATCCTCCTTTTGCTCTTCCCGGTGAACCTTCCAACCTGGTTCTCGAATACCCTGAAGGATTCAACGTCACCAACAAAACCGAGGCTGCCGCCATCTCTGCTTCGCAGGCTTCCTTCTCTAGCGCTCATCCCGCCACTTCAACATCTTCGCCCACTGACTACCTCCGCACCACTCCTACCCCTGGTGTCCGTGATGTTAACTACCCCCCGTACGTGATCAACAACGTTCAGGGTGCCCTTGGTCGCGCTGCCATCTCTCCTAACGCCACACACGCCGACGGCACTCTTGAATATGAAATGCACAACCTGTGGGGTTTCGGTATCCTCAAGGCCACTTACGCCGCTCTCTCAGCCGTTTTCCCTGGCAAGCGTCCCTTCATCATTGGTCGTTCCCAGTATGCCGGTGCCGGTGCCTACGCTGGTCACTGGGGAGGTGACAACTGGTCCAACTGGCCCAGCATGATCTTCTCCATCCCCCAGGCTTTGCAAATGTCACTTTCTGGTATTCCCATGTTCGGCGCTGACACTTGCGGCTTTGCCTATAACACCGACATGGAGCTGTGCAACCGCTGGATGCAGCTGAGCGCTTTCTTCCCTTTCTACAGAAACCACAACATCCTCAGCGCTATTAGCCAGGAGGCCTACCGATGGGAGTCTGTTGCTGAGGCAAGTAAGACAGCCATGGCCATCCGCTACCAGCTCCTGCCTTATATCTACACTCTCTTCTACCACGCCCACACAGAGGGAGAGACTGTCATGCGCGCCCTGTCCTGGGAGTTCCCTAATGACCCCTCCCTTGCTGCCGCAGACCGTCAATTCCTCCTCGGTCCGTCCATCCTCGTCATCCCCGTTCTTGAGCCCCTCGCTACAACTGTTGACGGTGTCTTCCCCGGTCTGATCGAGGGGACCGAGAAATGGTATGACTGGCAAAACAAGACCGCAGTCCCTGTTCCCACCGTGAAGAACACAACCATCGAAGCTCCCCTCGGCCACATCCCTGTCTATGTCCGTGGTGGATCCATCCTGCCCCTCCAGCAGGCTAAGCTCACCACCACCGAGTCCCGAAACACTCCCTGGGATATCCTGGTCGCCCTTGACAAGGACGGTAAGGCCTCCGGAGACCTGTACCTCGATGACGGCGTCAGCGTTAAGCCCAACGCCACTCTTACCGCTGAATTTACCGTCACCGGTAGAAAGCTGAGCACTGTCCTCAACCACGGTGGATGGGTTGAGACCAACAGCCTGAGAAACGTTACCATTTGGGGTGTTCAGAACGCCGCCAACGGCACCGTCAAGCTCAACGGCAATGCTGTTCCCCGCCAGAATGTCCAGTTCGACCAGGCTAAGCAAACTCTCGTTGTGTCTGGATTCAATGCCTCCGCCTGGGCCGGAGATGGGTGGACTCTCCAGTGGTAGACAGTCCATTGAGAATTCGTGCACACATTGTCCGCAATGACTTTATATGTGAACAGGAGAGACACTAAATTGAACGTATAGAATGTTTTACTTTGATACTTTGATACTAGACAGTAATCATTTGATTCAATGTCATTTACTTTCATTCCACTATCGTAGCGTAGCTAGTACTGACCTAAATGCATGAGCGAGGATGCGAAATCCTCGTTAGAGCGTCAGGAGACGGAACCCCGAAAACCATAACATGGTAGAACAAGTTAGTCACTAACAGAAAAGCTGTCGACGGTATTCTACAATCAAGAATAATACAACACCCGACCTAGACAGTACTGAGTTGTTTCTTTTTCTATACCGAGTCAAGCAACTCTGTGTATTATACAGCTTAGAAATATAGTTCTACCGCTAATATCACTAGCCCTACCAACATCCATGCAGATCATGCCTCGAATATATCGAGAAATAAGCACCCCAGGGAAAAAGACAGAAGCAGCTTCCTGTATAGCTTCGTTGAACTTAAGTATCCTTTTGCATACACATCATTCTTCTTTTCCAATTAGATATCCAAAGATAAAATGAAATAATATTCCCATAGAACACCCCCATGCGTTTCAATATGCAACGGAAAAGAAAGTCATTAGCGTACAGGCCCGCAGGTATTAATTATTAACATTAAAGTATGACTCCAACTCCAACTCGACCGATCAGACAACCATCTTACATGGGCCCATCGCCCAGCAGCTCTTCCTTCATCGTTCTGTCGCGACGGTGGTGGAGCTTCTTGTACCTGGTCTAGATTAGAATTGTGGGTCAAGATAAACAACAGGATAGAAGATAAAAGAAAAAAAAAAAAAAAAAATGAGCACATACTGTCGCAAGATCTTCTCCTTCCATCCAAGGTGACTAGCAGAGCTGTTGGAAGAAACCACCGAGTCATGCTCTCGGGGCTGATTGTCCTTGAAAAAAAAAGTAACCTCAGTGGCGTCGACACTGCGAGGATTGCGCTCCCGTGGCCACCGGTTTGTACCGTAAGGGCCGTCACCGAGCGGGGGGATTGGAATCATTGTGGATTATGATTGGTTGGTGTGGTACGGATTTTGTATTGTGGTATTGATGTCCGTAGACTGTAGAGGAATGAGAAACTGATTGTGATGATGTTTGGTCGAGGTGGTGGTAATAGAAATGAGTTTATATAACATCTTCCTCTTCATCGTCTAATATATTCCTGGTTAGACCTTTGTTTGGATTTTTTTCCTGTCATGAGAACCAAACCAAGGGGAACAAGGATGGCTGCCAAAAATATCAAAACGGCACGTTCGATCCGAAGGTCGGTGGACGGACTAGAACCATGGTGTGATGCTGCTAATCCTGCTCTGGGCTTAGCAGTGACAGCTGATCGCCACTCTTATCAAAAACCCTCATACTAAAACTTTTTTCCTTTGACACCTTGATCTAACTACACGACGCCGACTTAACCGGATAGTCATAGACCTGGCCATCACATGGATTATAGATTTTTTTTGGCTCTTCCTTTACCTGAGAGAGCTAGCTTTGAGCGTTTTAACTGGAACAGTAGCTACATAATCAACAATAAATCTCCGCGGAATGGATCATCGCCACAGCACTTGTGCTGCCGCTATGATTGGCTGCGATCGGAGATACTTCCATCGTGTCATGGTACGACCAACTCTATAGATAAGATCGAGGCAACGTCAGATGATGCTTCGTATTGAAGTATGAGGGGATGATGAATACGTCAAAATTAAATAGAAGATACCTGTTTGTTGAGCAGGATTCAGACATACGAATTCATCATTTTGTTGTCATGATGAAGTTTACCGCCCACTGAGACATGCTCGAGCCACATATTATGTGTCGTTAATGGTTAGTAAGCCTTTGCTCTTTAAGCCATTAGAGCAGATGTTAGTATGCATAAGCGAGGGGCAAAAACTATACCTTTAGTCACTCGAAGTATTATAGGCTTATCTTCCTAGTGGTCTAGTCCCTACTAGAAAGGCTACTTGAAGTTTCGAACATGCTGGAACCCCAGTGGTTAAGCGGAAAGGTCAATTCAAAATCATTGGAAATCGTATGCTGCGGTCATAGTCATTGAGAATCTTCGAAATAGGAAATGACAGAATGATAAAGCCCGGTAGCGAGCTGTTCTATCGAAATAAGGGAACAAAACAAATTCTCGGTCTAATGAGACAACGCAACACCCCTAGCAAAGATCATATTGATGCCAGGATTATAACGACAGAGTGTGCATAGACCGAATAAACAGTCCTTGCCTTCCTGGGCGATCAAATAGACTGCTGCCTTTCCCTTATCAAATCCACCTCAATAGCATACCGCAGCCCTTTATCTTCACTGCTCGAGTTATCCTTGAACACCTCATCCATATTCTCCAGAGTCCTTCCTTTTGTCTCAGGGACGAAGAAAAACACCCAGACAAAGGATAAGATGCAGAAAACTGCGAAAAAGGTATATGCTCCGTATCCAGTATTCTGGACCAGCGGGGGTGTAATAAGGCCCTGTATTATCAGTTAGATAAGGATGATGCTGGATGCAGCGTTGAGAGGAACCAGTGACTCACAATGATAAAGTTGTTTAACCAGATTGAGCAGGTTGACAGAGCAACGCCTTTGGCTCGTAGAGAGGATGGGAAGATTTCTGTCGTAAGTATTCCCTTAGCATCTCACTCACTTTGACATCTGCCGGAAGTCTTCAAAGAGCTTACCAGATGGCAACGCCCAGGCAACAGGCCCCCACGATGCCCCAAAGGCAACCATATAGACAAGCAGAAGCGCAACACTAGCCCAGCCCTCTGCCCGGAACGATGGCCAGTCGTGAGAAAACAGGCCAACCAAGACGGCGATAATCATATGTGAGACGCCCATGACCAGCGCACCTGCGAGGAGCAAGGCTCTACGACCGAGAGAATCCATCGTCCAGACACTGGTGGTCACGCCCACTAACTGTGCGACGTTGACCACGCCCGACATGACCAGTTGCATTTCGTAGTCTAAGCCCATGGTCTCGAACAGAGTGGGGGAGTAATAGATGAGTGCGTTGATGCCGATGAACTGCATCACAGATCCAAGTTAACCATGTTGATATATCCATCAAGGCTGTGGCTACTGACCTGCTGAAAAAAAGAGAGGACGATTCCAATATGCGTTCTCTTCCAACAGCCCTTCTTGAAACAATCCGCCCACGAAGCCATCTCAAGCAGAAACGTCTCCTTCATGCTTCCGCCCTGCAGGTGCGGGTGTCGCTGCATATTAGTAGCCTTGTGAAACCGGACTTCTGCCTGAATGTCGAGGAATTCCTGCTGAATCCGTCTGTCAGAAACAGGCAGTCTTCGGAGCTTAGCGAGGCTTTGAAGTGCCTCATCACTGCGATCCTTTGATGCAAGCCATCGCGGAGAAAATGGGAGCATAAACACCCCAATCATTAGGATTGTGCTGGGAACCATCTGGAGAAGGAAGGGTAACCTCCACGCCCATTCGCCAGCAATGTACCGAGTGCCGAATGTAGTCCAAAAGGCAATCACGATTCCTAGCACAATGCTGAATTCTTCCATTACCAGCAGTGTACCACGGCATTCAGGAGGACCTGTGAAGGAATCAGCCATCTATTATCCAAGGAAATATGAAAGAGGCATACTAATTTCCGAAATATAAACGGGAGCAACCATCGACATCATCCCAATCCCAACACCACCAATCAGCCTCGCAACCGTCAACATAGCATAATCAACCGCTGCCGTCTGCAGAATAGCACCGATTGTGAAAATAGTTCCCGCCACAAGAATCGAGTACCGTCGCGAGATCCAATCCGCAACCCAGCCCTGGTTAATCGCCCCAATCAGGGCGCCCAGCTCCAGCATCGCGGTCATGAGTCCTTTATAGAACCCAGCACCAGACGCATCGGGTGATACCTCTGGAAACCGGTTGAGGAATTGGTCCATTACCAGGGTGACTGAGATGACGCCTTGGTCGTAGCCGAAAGAGAGACCTCCTAATGTTGCGCATGCGGCGCAGAGAGATATGAATGGGTTTGATGTGAGGCCTCGTAGGCCGGGAGGCCCGTATGGCTCTATTTCTCCTAAAGCTGGCACTGTCTCTGCATGGTGGGCAACGGCCTCGCTGTCTTTGTTATCTTTGGCAGTCTTGGTGTCCATCTTTGCCTGATGGAAAAGAAATTCGAAAGAAGGGGGGCAAGGGGATGAACACAGAAACCAAATTCCACTGCTAGTGTATGTTATGTGACATAGACACTGGCATAATGAAGATACAATGACAGATTCAATGTGGTTTATATAGTTCGTTATCTGGCAGACCCATCGAGTACTCTTTTGCGGGGTCAAAATCTGGGGAAATCTGGAGAGAACCCACTTACTTCTCTGGTGATTGGCTACGAGATTTCTTGGTTCGAGGCGGGGGACGGCTAAACGTAATGACAGCCGGCCTTTCAAACGCCGAAAAGGCGCAACGCCAAAGCCATAACAGGAAACAAGGCACAGGAATCCGACAGGGCAATCAACTCTAATTTAGATGCCTCGAGATGATTGGGCCTGGCTGATAGCAGAGTTTCATATCCATCTGAATATCGGGAAACTCTTTCCGTGGCGTGAAACTTTAAGCAGGAAAGGAAATTCTTTCCTCTTTATTTCCTGATAAAACCAAGAATTAATGCCCACTGCCCTCAGCTTGGCGGCTTTTCTGGCGGCCCGACTTGCGTGGTTATTGCCGATTCGAATCTCACGACATTAAGGTCTCAGGGACAGAAGACCAAAATCGACAATTAGAAAAGAAGGTATTTTTGATGTATTATTTGGTTGTCACTGTATCTACGTGGATATGAACGTAGTTTTTATTCCGATGTCGAAGTGTACTATGCAAATGAGTAGGGCCATCCACTGCATGTTTTATCAGTCGCCAAGAATGTGTTTAGTAACAGATCGCTAAGAGAACCACAATAGGCAGTAATATTTCTCGATTTATCTGTAGTATTGTATCATGCTATTTTGATTATGATATTCATACTGGTAAAGGAATACCTTCAACGTCCTACCCTCCCTGAGTCACCTCATCTCTTGACTCTTCTAGAACAAGCATTGCCAGTCTTCGTGCCACGGCAGGCATGCCCATACTTCGCCAAGCTTGATATATCCGAGGATTCCTAGGGGAGTACAATGGATTTGACATATGTTGTGTGTCAGGATTTTTCGCTGGCGGGTATTCATCCGAGGGTTCTGGGTCTGCGAGAAGGAAAAGAACGCCAGGTCCAGCCAGAAAATCCGGCCGATCAAGGATGACGATGAAAGTTTTATATGTGTCACCAAACCAGGGATTTTCAAAGCTCGATTCCCGTCTCGTAGAAGGGAAAAGCCGCATTTTTTGTCTTTGTGGTGGGGTCCCACGAAATAGTGTTACCGTTTGGATTGCACCTATCTTCATTCCTGGGTGAGTGTTGACAATTTCACGATGGGTATTCACAATATGGCCTATAGATGAACGTGAGGAGCGGAAGCCAAAGTAGATCGACTTTTGGGTGGGAAGGTTCTCCAGCATAGTGGAGGTGAATGCTCGTGCGATTCCTTCTAGATCTTGGGCGGAATGCGGGAATGAGACATGGATGATGTATTGAAGGTCTGGGTCTGCCACTGCAGAGGGTGTGGTGATTGTAACAGTGCCATCTGACGGTGATGATACAGTGAGACCATCAAGGAGCGAGGATTCCGCTTTTTCGTCAATCGCCTCACGATCTCTGGGTGAAATAGGCTGACTGGAATCGTATGGCTGTCCCTCATCTTCGTCAAAACCATAATCAAAATCGGAGTTCATCAGACGGCTTCTGTTGAACACATATTTGAGATCACAGCTCAGATCTGCGACTGCATTGCGCAAAACCACCACAGTCTCACTTCGTTCAAGAGATAGATCCTCGTCTTGATCCACGTGAGGAATCAAAGCCCTCGCGTATGGCGGGGCGAATGTATACCGCGAGCGGACATCCACCTCTGTCTTCTGCGGAAAACACCGATTAAAAGTCACCCACAACGGACATGTCCCATCGCCCTCTTTTTCATTGGGGCCCGCCCAGCTCTGGCGGTAGCTATCTGATCGGATCACTATCAGCAGTCCCTGAGGAAGTCGCTCTCCGTCATCAGGTACAATTTTGGCAATCCCAGGGAAGAATTCATCTCCTGGCCTGAAACGCTTGCGGTGGGCGATTTCTCGTCTCTGATGCTCCACACAGGCGAAAGCATCAGGTTGAGGCGCGTAAATCTCAAAGCAGGGCTGAGGCCAGAAGTCAATCTGAGTGGATAGATAATTGTATAGAGCAGTATGATCTGGATCCAAAGGGATGGTGCTGTAAACCTGAAAGGCGAGTTGAGGAACTTCAGCCCAGTCGTCCTCCGGGGGCACTTCTTCAGGATGAGTAAATTGGTCTTTGAGCAGTGCAGCTGGCTGCCCAGCATGGTCGGTGTAGCGGTGGTGTCTCAATTCATGCTTTGGCCCTCGGGCTGTTTGTTTGGGGCGTGCCATTTTGTCTTTGCCTTGAGAGTTGATACTAGTGAAAAGGGGTCGCAAAGGACGACCGTATCAGATCGTGAGGTGTTCAACACTAACCAAATTGGGATTTTCTTCGTTCTTTCCAAATCTGGAAGTGGGGGCAAATGATACTCGGATTTGGTGAAATTGATCCTACATACTATGAGCTACCAGAAACAAATTGCCATGCATTTTAACGGTGGCAATGATTCGTCATGAACGAATGAATGCTGTCTGGGCCCCGTGTATCAATATAGTGATTGACATCCTCAAGGTAGATAAAGCACTGAGTGGACTTGATTTACAGCCCCGCAATCGTAGCAGGAAGCGCCTCCATCCCCTCCAAAAACACATCAAACTCTTTCTTCACTTCCTCCATGTCCTCGTCAATATCATCCGTCCAGCGATAAATGTAAACAGTCTTCATGCCGGCCTTCTTCGCTGCTCGCAGATCATACGCGTGCGCTGCAACCATCACCACTTCTTCCGGTTGAAGCTTGACAAGCTGTAATGCTTTCTCATACGCTTCAAGATTAGGCTTATAGAGCCCGAGTAGCTGACTGGAAAATAACATGTTGAAAGTCAGACCCGAGGAACGGACAAGGTCAAGCTGAAGACGAGTGGTCCCGTTGGCGTGGACGAACACTTCCAGGCCGAGATCTTCTCGGAGACTGCGTATTGCTTGTTGGACTTCTGGCCAGGGGGGCTGGAAGTGCCATGCTTCGATGATTCGCTTTTTGGTGTTGATGTCAAAGTGAGATACGTAGGCTGGGTATGACACGGTCAGTACAGCTTCGAAGACACGCGCCAGGGTGATGTCAATATCCTCGGGTGCGAGGTTTTGGCGGAATCGCTGATCGTTTTCGAGGAAGTATTGTCTGCGCCATTCTAGAGCAAGCCCAGACGCTTCGGCTTCGGGAATCGATGAGGGCAAAGACTGTACGACGCTGGCGTGCCAATCGAGGCACGTGCCCATAAAGTCGAAAAAGACTGCCTTGGTTTTCGTTTGTTTAGATGACATGATTGTTTGGATTTATGAATATTGAAAATATTATGCAGAGAGCTCGAGAACGATTTAATGGTGGTTTATATCTTGATATGTATACGTTGTCTTGATTTATAATCATGGGGATTATAAATAGACTGGATGGCAGGGAATCACGATTAATTCGTAACGGCATGAAACTTAAATTATATAGATCTCCATTGATTGCTTATATTACATGAACATAAAGTTAATTTGATGTAAACACTCATTTTGCACCAGCAATAGCATCCAGAAACAGTTCGTCTGATAAAAGAGTTATGAATCAAAAACTCTGATTCGCCCATCCAGCGGAGCTCTGCTGCATCTACGCGCCCAGCATCCTACCATAGCGTTGTGATAGCCACTGAAATTTCAACTGCGCCCGCTTTTTCGTCTCACAAATTCTGTACTTCCAAGTCATTTTCATCATTGTACCATCTTTGAACACGGCAACATGGGATCCTCTAAGAAAGCTGGCCTGCGAGCAGGGCTGCGTCAAAAATGGAAAGAACTTGGTGGAAAACCGAAAGAAGCCAGCAATCAGGTTGAAAGCCACAGCAGCAAGAATAGTCCGGCTAGTAAATAAACCAAGACAGCTTCGCGATCTTGTGGGCCCCAGTGTCAATAGAAGGGGAGAGCTATGCTCTCCGTCTTCTTCATGAACAGTTGGGAGGCAGCATAACAGACTACCTACCTATTATGTGAAGATCCAACTGATACGGATCCTCAAGCCTGTGGATAAGATAGAAGGTATGATGATCGAATTAGGGATCCTAACAGAGAATGTCCCGTATGCCAATCCATAACCGGGCACAACCGAGTGGGCCTGCAAGACTCCGATGCAGGATATGCAAAGGGATCCGAACTCGCACCTGAACCAAGTGTCGACCCATACCAACGTCGTAATTATTTGCAGACAATATGCAAGAACGGAACATAATGAAGACTGAGCTGTCATATCTCAATGATTTGGATATTTATTTCTCCACATAGCAGAGGTGCCTTGTTATGCTAGCCTTTGGGGCATATATAGGTGCATTTTTCACCCTGATATACGGGTATCTACATCCTGATAATAAAAGCGAAACTGGGTATAGAATTTTTGAATAACATGCGTATGTATATATCATTTTGACTGTACAACTGGGGTGTTTTTTTACAAGATTGGTTTCAGATAGATGCATGATCTTGGCTGTATACTGCCTACCTACATACATAGTAGTATGCATACACAATGCCACCACCCAGCCTCATAAAATGAATGCAACAAATCAATTTCTCAGATACCACAACTCCATTTATCTCCGATAAAGTCTCCACACCATATTCAGCGCTAAGAATGAAGATTGCCAATCAATAGTCAAATACAAGCGAGTCTGAAGAGAAGTTGCATGTTTGCCAGACTATACATCAAGTAGTAGTGGATGGGTGACAGTGGCAAATCGGGCGCAGAGGAGAGGCTACCTATGTCGGCAGGTATCAACAACTTAAGCGGGCTAATGCAGGTGAAATGCAAGCATTCGGCGCCCAACTGGCGGGGTAGTGCCGCTGTAGTAACCAAGCAGGTATTTAGAGCGGCCCAATACGCCATGGTTTTAAAAGAAAGTGTGGAGAGATGAAGCCGATGTGTGGCGTCTACCCTACTGGGACTTTGCTCGCAATGCAACCCGCTCTCCCGGGATTTCTGGCAACAGCGGCGATTCGGATGACGACAGGCTCCGACTGCCCATCCTGTGCATGATGCCGACTATCAGAACGATAGCGTACAAGAACGGTGATATTGATTACGAGACTGGGCCCAATCCCGTGTACAAATTCGAGACTCCACGGCTCATGGGCGACTTGCCGGAACCATACAAGATCATCGAGGAATACGTGGCGGCCTCCAAAGGTTATCCAGAATTTGCCTATCCTGTGAGTTCCTTTTCCGAGTTCATTCTCTGTAGAAACTAACCTGTCATGTTCAACCCAGTGGCACAAGTGCACTGCGACCACCAAATACGGAATTCTGGACGGATACCACGAGTCGGTCTGGTCCGACGGAGGCCAGAACTGGCTCCGGGCTAACTATGCCCTCAATGAGCATTCTTGGTATGACAATGACTGGATTGATCATCAGCGTCCTGTGCCTACGCTGCAGGACATGGTCTACCGGTTGTTCCAGTACGGTCTGGACAACTGGGGAGCGTTTGCGACCACTCGGTACGAAAAGGATAAGAAACCCCGCACAGAAAATCCGAAGAACGCCATGTCATTGGAATTCATCCATAACAATGTCCATGTAAGGATCGCTGAAAAAGAGTTTGTTGTTGTCATCTAACAGTGATCAGAACTGGGTGGGAGGAACACAATTCCTTCGTCCCGATGAAAACAACATCCACCTCTGGGGCGCGGGCCATATGAGCAGTGTCTTTATGGCGGCATTTGATCCCATCTTCTTCTTCTATCACTAGTAGGTCTCCTCCTCGAAGCATAGAAGGGATGGATAATAACAATCAATGTTGTAGTAACATCGACCGCTTGACTGCCATCTGGCAGGTTTTGAATCCTGACCTGTGGTTCGATGACGAATACAGTCAACCCACTAGGGAAAGCGAACTGGCCCCATTCCACATAGACGACCAGCATAAGCTCTACGAGTCAGACGATGTACAGTGCTGGCGAGGTCTGCACTATGCGTACGAGATTCTCCAGCGACCTAAGCCTAAGGAGGGAGAACCTTGGAGGGAAAGAGCTCGGGAGGATATCCTCAAAGACATTGCAGAACTCTACGGAGCACCGACAAAGGAACTGTACGGTCGTCTGCCCGAACCGGGTGGTTCACAGGAGGATTATGTTATCACTGTTATTTATGACAAGTAAGATTTTCGACATTCCCATCTCATGGATGCCTTAATCACTGACGAGGGAAAGATTCGCCTTGAACAGCTCATCCTACAAGGTGAATATCTTCCTAGGCGACCCGTCCAAGAAATCGTACACTGGACACAAGTCGGAGAACTTTGTCGCAAGTGTTTATAACTTCAGCGGTTCTCTTGCCTCGAGTGGCTGTAATAACTGTCATCAGCAGAAGGCAGATGGTGTCATGTGTATTGCACAAGTTCCGGCTACCGTGCCAGTTCGCCATTATGTTGATAAGAACAAGGTAGTACCGGAACCGGTGTACGTGGCATTGAACAGCTTGGGCAAGGTCAGTACACCCAGTGGTTCTTTTCTTCTTTCGTCCTGGCAACTAATAAAATCCATATAGCCGGTTCAAATGGAAGTGACGATTCAGCTTGACAGATCTGACAGGTCATACTTTAAGCACCTGATTGCGCCTGTTGCGGGTGATCCTTTGGAATATCAACCTGTCAAGGAAGGGAGACAGGCAGAAGGAATCTTTGAATAGTATGGGACCAAATCAAGTTTGGTCCGCTTCCAGTTGTCCTGTCGGGGTCATTATTTAGTATAGCAGCAAGAATATATTCATACGGTGCAATAGATTCGATATCAGAAGCCATTAGAACTGGTACCAGACGTAGAGGGCTCTATCTGGCTTCCTAGGCGCCATATGCATCAACTGAGTGTCAAAGGCAAACTCCCATTCCAGACTCGGTCCGATATACTGTCTGGACCCGTCAGAACAGGCGTAGGCAAGAGTAGAGTTTCGGCCCGCTGAGGTACCGCTGACTGAGCTTTAAGGTTCCGAGTGGGGGATAACGTGGAGATTATCCAATATCAAAACTTTCAGGCAGAGATTATATAGAAGATGGGGCATTCTATTAAGACCCCGAAGATCAAACCGGTTTGTCGTCAACGCCATCACGGGGGTGCAGCTTGATGAAGGACAGCGAGTAATGGCTCTATGTAATTCCTAGGCGATACTGAGCTGCCCTGTACTTGTTATTTCTGCTCTATATTTCAGCAGGTTGGTACAGTTGAAGGTCATGCTCGGCTATGGGACTCTATCAAAGGTTTTATCCGTATACGCGGTTCTTTTTCGTTCTCTTCGAGAAGGGGTTGGACAGTCTGTAGAGACATCATTAATAGTTACCTTTATTACTTGTACCGATCTCACCATCCAATGGCAAAAATGGCTCACATGGAGGGGCGGCTGACGTCAATCGCTGTTCAGCTCGGCTCAGCTCAGCTCTCACTTCTGGTGGATACCCAACGTTACTAGTATGGACAACTGTGGGGATTGGTGTGGATGGATAAATATCATTTGTAGATGGCTTCACATCATGTCTTGATCGGGAAGTGGTAGAAAGTTAGTCAACACCCCACCTGATGGTGGCTGGCCCTGCTGTGTGCATAAGTAGCGGTTCGTATCCTCTTCTGTCTTTCATCTTTCATTATTCCTTCCCAACACCATGTCTGACTCTGAAAGTGAGACGGATTATAGGTCGTCCGTTGAGCGTAACCTAGATGAGGTAATTGATACTGTTAAGTATCTCGCTGAGACCCTTGATTCGGATAATTATAAAGATGTCTATAACCCATATTCGAAACACTATAGAATTGATGTAAGATTACTTCATCAGGAGCCACCCCCAGCTCGATCAGACTATATTACTAACAATAAGATAAGGATTTGCGAATTCACCTTACCGAGAAACGGGACTATATCAAAGAGAAAGCTGATGAAACCAAGGGTAACATGGCTGCTGGCGAAGATGTGATTGAGAAAGTGGAGCAGGTGAATTAATTCTCCCTATCCTTGTCCTTGATATTTTCTACGACTGACTTCCCAAAGTTGATGGCACTGAATAAGAAAATAAGAGACCATGTCGAGGGCCGTCAGAGTTATCCAGGCAATATTAAAACCGCGATGAACGAAATCGGTCCAGAGCTTAAGGTATGTTGAACGAAACCCTTTATCTTCTCCTGGTCTGACATATTCCAGCGCTATACGATATTCTTGGAGGATGCTATATACCCACAGGGCTGGGATAAAAGCCCCTGGACGGACCGTATCGTGGCCGCCTTCAACAATTATGCTCCGGACGATTTAAAATTCAAGAATGATGGAACAGAGTTTATCTCTGATAATTATAAATGATTGACAGGAAGATATATTTTGGGGTTGTGATCTCTCGGTTCATTTGCAAAGATTTATATCCTGTAAACTCTGCCTTCCTGTATCAGAGCTCTTGGCTGAGGCTTAGTTCTCACTGTGCCTGCTAATTTCAGATAGCTGGTTTCATAACATTCCTGAAATCCAAGGTGCGATCTCAACAGCATGTTATATTTCAGTGTAAGATGACAAGTAGCCCCAAGATCCACCCTAGATTTACAGTCATGTTGTGTTATCTTCCCAAAGCAGGAATTGATTCATTACAAGGTCTGGTGATATTTACTAGATATCATTCAGCTGTCTCGATTGACAATACATTCCGTCCAAATCGCACTCTGTTCTGGCGCTTCAATACCAACGCCGTTCAAGCAAGGGGGTGAGCATGCAGCTTTAGGCTATTATATTCTGCCTCGAGATCTCTACTGCCTGTCTTGTTGTTGCCTATTGATTACCGAGTAGGGATATCTCCAAGAAATATAAAGATCCATTCATCCTAGTCTGATATCTACCATAATCCGCATAGAGTTATATACTAATAAGAATCAGATACTCCATATAACGATGACACAGTTAGCCGGCGGCCGCAAACGGGACATCACCCCAGTATCGCGGGAGACTATCGCGCCCGTGAGCGACTATGCCTTTGATGCGAACCGTGAACACGCGGATATATACACTGCGCCGCTGTATAGTGAGTAACTTCGAGTAGTTCTGGGCAAAAAGTAAGAGCAAATGAAGGTACTTAGAAGTGCAAACCGCCTCGTGGATAAAGTCGCCGCCTATGTAGTAATAAAATCCAAATCCTTTCCACAACACAAGTGTTATATACTGAGGCTTCGAAAAGAACCTATGTCTCTATCTTTGCATCGAAATCACTCTCCAGTAACCGCATTCCGTCCAAAATCCTGCCCAGAGCCTCGGCAGGCGGTACCGTCCCCGCCGGGCCAGCAGCGACATCTTTTCAATGATCAGTCACATGGAACCGCATGCCGCAACTGCTTTTGAGAGCCGATGCGTGGACTTTGGTCTAAGTGAGCTCGGAGACTCTTCCTTCAATGAGGAGCAAGAACGGGGGCTTTCGCCTGAGCTCGAACAAGAGCGGCAAGTCATGAGACCGCTTCAGGCTGAGCCAGCAGAACATCAGATACACCCGGGCCTGGAGGAGTTCATCCTCAACGGAGTGTATCCAAAAGATTCATTCCAGCCGGCTTTCATGTCCCTCGCAACCACGTCAGCAGCGCAATATCTGGATGTGTCTGAGTTCCCGAGGAACATCGTCGTTACACGCGACTTTGTCAATACTGTCAGCAAAGTGTTGGGTCACGTCGACTTTTCGGACCCTTTCCAGAAACCCGTTCAGTGGATTCTGTCCGTCCAAAGAAACCCCAGTATACTCATCATTGTTAGCCCTTACGACGTTCAACAACTACTCACGGCCATTGAGCAGTCTGAGCATATTATACTGCATCTCTTCTCTCCACGAATCAACGTAGGATACAAGTCGCTTGACAGTCTCGACTTGTACAATATATCGGGAATCAGTATATGCCGAAAGGTTCCGAGGCACATCGCCAGTCTCCTGTGTCAGTTCTCCGGTCAGCTACACTTCCCATCATTTGAGGACTATGCATCTGTGCGACTCAATCGGTCTCGCTTGGAAGCCTGGTAACAACCAAGTTATGATCGGCGTTGCGGCTCTTCGCAGTCTGATCTGGCTGTTACTTCTGCAGCAACCACACTTGATTTCACATAGTCAGAAAGAGTATTATCATTCGGCAAACAGACTACTTAGCGACAAGAATGCGTTCACAACTTTGCGTGGCATGTTCAGAAAGATCCTGGACGATAGGACCCTGGGACGAGCCATCGTCGTTATTGATGCCATGGATGAATGCGAGGAAACAAGCAGAGAACTACTGGTTAGCTTCATCGACGAGGCGTCTTCTGCAGAGGAGCTATCCAATATAAAGTGGCACATCTCGAGTCGGCCACTGTCTGAAATGTCAGGAAGTGTGCAAGACATCACTTCGTCAACACACAGTCTTCTCAAGCTTGATGGACACGATATGTCGCCCTCTATCAACAGATATATCGATTTAAAGATGGTTCAGCTTAGACAGAAGGCCCATAAGAAGAGCCGCGTTGATGAAATAGCAGATAAGTTGAGAGCCCAAGCAAGCAACACTTATGTCTGGGTGGCATTGGTCTGCAAAGAACTCCTCCATGCACATGAGTTTACCTGGACTGAGATTGTCAAAAAAAGTCCCAAAGGATTTGGAAGCATTCTATGAATATCTGCTCGATAGATTGGCCAATCTAGACTCAGAAACCATGTCATCGTGTTGCAAAAAAGTTCTAACTGCTGCTATGCTTGCACAGGGTCCCCTGGCTTTGTCTGAGATTGAAATTCTCGCAGAGCTCCTAGAGGGCGAGGATGTAGCAGAAGCTGTGGTCCTGGAATGCTGGTCGTTTCTGACTATTCGAAGTAGTACTTTCTATCTAATCTATCAGTCGGCGCAAGATTATCTGCACAAGAACTATCGACGACTCTATAACCTCTGACCATGCTTCATCGCGAAATGTATCAAAGGTCTCTCAATGGTTTGAGGAATGGCCTGAAGGAAAACATATACGACTTGCCTCATGGAATTACATCAGAGGAGGTTCAAATACCCAATCCAGACCCTTTATGCCCACTTCGATACGCATGCCGCTATTGGGTCTATCATCTAGAGCAAAGCGAGTTCACGTCCACAGATATACAGGATATCTTTTTGTTCTTTGACAAACACTTTATCCACTGGCTCGAGGCAATGCGTCTACTTGGAAGCTTTCCAGACACTGTGAGGCTTGTTGATCGGTTGAACTCCTTTTCTGAGGTAGGTCAGTTGGGCGGCAGAGTTCTTCACCAATGGAGTTCGAGTATGGGATACGGAAACAGGGCAACTTGAACAAGTTCATGCTCAGGATAGTGGGGTCTCCATGTCAAATGTGTTCCAGGATGTGATATCCAGTTTCGACACTCAAACTCCCCAGAGTTCTGGCATCTCCGTTGAAAGAGAATGGGTCATCATTGGCCAAAAGAAGAGATGATATGTTGATAAAGCCCCGGAAAGATAAGGCTTCTCCAACTTCTCCAAAGATAAGATCCCTGTCATTCATTTATAATCCATTGATATCCATTCATATCTCCATTCCTCCGCATTTCCATCTTCTATTCTCTATCTATCTCATCATGAAATCCCACGTCTGCACCTGGCCCAACTGCCGCAAAAGCTTCACGCGCGCTGAGCATCTGCGCCGCCATGCCCTCAACCACCAACAGTCGCGCAGTGGCTATACGTGCGATCGCTGTTCGGTCCATTTTCTTCGTCCTGATTTACTCAGTAAGCATTATCCCATCTTCAGACGTCTATTCTAACGACCAGCCCGACATATGATGCGCCACGCCAAACGCGACGAAGAAGCCGGTGGACCTGGACTGGGAGTATTAGAGACTCGCAAGCGAACACGACGAGCTGATGATGGATCAATCATCACACGCCCGCATCAGAATCAGTCCAGAGCGAGGTCTACTGTCTCTCTGTCGGCTTCAGAACAGCTCGATGATGACCAACCTCACGGTGCCCCGATCTCTCCGCCTGGATCGGGGATGGATCATTCGGCTCTGTCTATCGATGAGAATGATCCTCTACTGGCTCCGATGATGCCCAATAATCCTTTTGAGCCATATGTTGAGCCGATTCCGGGTCAGTTTGATGCTGCCGATGGGTCGTGGGGATCGATGGATACAGACATTTTCAACATGGATACTGGTGAGTCTACAACAATGATAATGATACTGATGCTAATTGTATAGCAACCGATTTCAACCTCCCCTTTGCTGCCACGCACAACTACAACTGGCTGTTTGATGTCGCTTCTCTTGACGATGCCTTTCATTCTCTCGATCTCCCACTTGGACTGGACATGATTCCTTCTGCCGATCCCATCGATCAGACCCTGATCCCTGAATATTCAGATGGCTCGTCTGTTCTCCTCCATGCTGCTTCCTTTGTAGAACGCAGCACCCGACCAGAGTTATCGCCAGATATCCTTGGAATGGACTGGATGTCTGGGTCGCCCATTGTCGACAGCGGTTCGCAGCCTCATCTCCCTCGACTGTCTGAAAATGCGCGACAGGGCATTCTATCGCTGGTTGCAAAATCCCCTCCTGTTGGCATCGATGGCCAACCAACTGGTCTCGATTCGCCGTTGCTCACACTGCCTGCTCTGCAGAGCTACTGCGATCTCTTCTTTACACGATTCAACCTGGTATATCCCCTCATCCACCAGCCAACCTTCGATCCTGAAACCATCGATCCAGTCTTCCTGGCAGCCATCCTCTCCATGGGCGCGACATACAGCACCCGTGAAGCCCATCAACTGGCAGTTGGCATCCACGACTCTCTTCGCACCCAGCTTTTCTGTCTTTCTGAATTCTCCCCTCAGCCTGATCTCTGGGTGCTGCAGGCAATGCTTCTAATCGACTGTTTCGGGAAGATGCGCGCTGGTCCGAAACAGCGAGAAATGGCCCAGTTATTCCACTGCGTGCTGATCAAACTCATCCGTCGCAGTAACTGCTGCATCATCCGTGGTCCATCGCGGGTGTCAGACTCAGATCAAGCATGGCGAGAGGCTATGGATGCAGAACAGCGAAAGCGTGTGGCGATGCATTGCTTCATGTGGGATACGCAGCATGCTGTCTTATTCTCGCAGTCACTCTGCATGTCTGGATTTGAGATTCGCTCTTCTCTACCCTGCAGTGCTGCTGTCTGGGAAGCATCAACAGTTACAGAATGGGCTCGTCATGCTGCGAATGAACCCGATCATTCTTTTCTGTCTGTTCTCAAAGGATACATCACGCCTGGTGCTGTCACCAGACCTCGCGATCTGAATGCTTTTGCTCGTATCGTGATTCTACACGGCCTTATGTCTGTCTCTGCGGATCTGAAAAGACGCGATCAAACAACTCTACGGTCGGAAACACCAGAAAAAGTGGGAGCATGGACTCCTCGAATGGGCCGATCGTACGATCTATGGAAAGTCGATTTCGACGCTGACTGTCTGGCGATGAAGCTAGGACAGACGGCAGACCCACGACGATTCACAGGGATGAAAACAGCCGGCCATGCGTTGTATCGCGGTGCCTGTCTGGCGTTGAATGTGGAAGTGCTCGATTTGCAGATTGTCGCTGGGGCATCGCAGATTCTCGGACGGACTGTCACGATGAGTGATCAGGAGCGATCACGACAGAATCTTCCTCGATGGCTTCACGGCGAGTCTGGGGCGACATTGGCAGCAGTGAAACATGCATCGAGTCTACTTCAAGATGCCGTGTTGAGTTTGCATGACTGGGAACAGACTGATGCATTCCACTTTCCCTGGTGTTTGTATCTAGCCACCCTGACCTGCTGGGCATTCCACCAAGGACCAGACAGCCACGATCGCATCACGACTGATCTCTCATCGCTGATTGTCGCCATGACCAGCTGCCCAAGCACAACCGAACTGGCCGCGTTGAGGGGAAGATACGATCCCAAACCACTGGTGATGGTGATGGCGCAGCAACTCGCCACAGTGCGATGGGCAGTCGTTCACGACGCCATGAAAGTGTTATTGAATTTGTCAAAATAGTTGATTGAATATTTGCAATGTATCTATCTATTTGTAAAATGGATAATCCACATATCCCTTCTCGGGCGGGTCAGCGCCGTAAAAGGTCGTCCGGTCGTACGGAGTCAACGACAATCCTTCTCTCAATCTATACGGCAGATCAGGGTTGGAGATAAAGTATCGTCCAAAGACAACCGCATCAGCGCCGTCTTTCATCACCTTGGCTCCTGCATTCTCAGGGTTGAAGTTTCCTGCGGCCAGGAAGGCGATGCCGCTCTTCTTCAAGGTCGGTCTGAAGACGTCCAGCGATGGCTTCACTGTCGATCCATCCAGCGAGTCCATCTTTGCGCTTTCATCCAGGATCTCGTCGAATCTGGGCTCGATCATGTGCACATATGCCGGTCGGGATTTTTCTGGTAGTCCAGCGATCAACGAGCTCAGAACGAGCCAGTTTGCATTCGGGCTCGAGTCGCGCGTATCCTGGAAGTAGTTGTATGGGGAGAGTCGGATTCCCACGCGATCTGCGCCGATAACAGCACTGACAGCTTGGATGACTTCGAGGATAATTCGAGAGCGCTTCTCGATCGAGCCGCCGTATTCATCGGTGCGGTTGTTGACGTTATCGTGGAGGAATTGGTCGAGGAGATATCCATTTGCACCTGAATGTCTTAGTATCGATAGAATGTTGTATAGGTAAGTACTCACCATGAATCTCAACACCATCAAACCCAGCCTCTCTAGCCCGCAGAGCAGCGGCTGCGTATTCCTTCACAGTCTCCTGGATATCCTCAATCGTCATGGCCTTGGGAGGAGAAGCAGCATACTCCGTTCCATCCAGCGCACTACCAGAAATGGGGATATCACTCGCACTGACAGACTGCTTTCCATCAATGAACGAAGGAACGGTGGCACGCCCAACATGCCAGAGCTGGCAAAACATAAACGCTCCTTTGGCGTGAATAGCATCGGTGACCTTTTTCCAGCCGGCTATCTGCGAGGGCGTGAAGATTCCAGGGACGCCTGGATAACCAGCAGCCTGGGAAGTCAGTATAGAGTATAGAAGTATGAATGGGAACATACATATCGACTGATGGGAGTGGCTTCGGTAAGCATCAAACTACCCGCAGAAGCACGCTGGGAGTAATATTCAACATTGAGGTCGTTGGGAACAAAGACGCCATCGGATTCTTTGGTTGCTCTCATACGAGTGCAAGGAGCTTGGATGACACGATGCTGGAGAGTCAACGCCCCGAGGCGAAGAGGTTCGAAGAGGGGAGCAGAGGGAGAGAGAGAACCCATTTTGATATTGGTGATTGATTTTGGAATGATTGATGATGAGAGGAATAGAAGAAGAATGAAGGTATATATAAGAGAGGGGACACGATCGATGGTCCCCCACTTTTGAGTGATAAACACCCCACTTGACGCTATACAGAGAGTCCATGTATCCCACTGCTGTCTATCTACCTCTACATATCTTAGATATTATCACGTAGAGTAAACAGTGCATAGTTTATCCTAATTCAAGAAAATAAAATACTCCTCCACCCACTCTCCGGCCTTCTCTCCATCGTCCATCCCCCATTCTCCCTTGGCTCCAATGTAACCATCCGGTCGAACAATCACCACTCCTGCTTCGGGTGATCCCATCCACTTTTCCGTACAGCTAGGAGTGTCCAGGTTGTCGAGATAAACAGTCCAGCGACTCTTCTGCAGCATTTCTGGCAGATCAGCCAGTTCAAATTCTGCCTTTTCAGATTGAGTCACCAATGCGTAGGTAAACACATTCGAAACAGCTGTGTATCTCTGAGGCTGCACAAAGTCGTCTGATTTATTCAATCCTCGAGGTTTCTGGCGATAGGATTGATCAGCCCGAGATGAAAGCTTTGCAAGAGAACCAGTGCTCAATTTGTTGCAGAGTGTGTTCAAGAATGGCATCATCTGGTGTACATCCGGAACAAACAGATAGACTTGGAATTGACTCAACAATGGAATCCCCAATTGAATATCCACCGGATTCGCATCGATATAACGAGTCACTCGGGCTGGGAGCTGCAAAGCTCCTGGCTGAAGACGACTTTTAGATGTATTGTTATAAGTCAGAATGCCAGATGAATACTCTGCTCCAACGCCAGAAATAAAGCGGATGTTATCGTTGAAGTTCTTTGCCAGAGCTGCTTCACCTTGTGAGAATGCCTCACAATGTTCAGCATCAAAGTTGATCAGATCGTTGGCAATCTTGCGTCGCTCTTCTTCATAAGTCGACAACAAAGACGGTTTAGCAAGACCTCGAATGACCAGATTCAACTTCCAGGCGAGATTGAAGCTATCGTGCATGCTGGTATTAGCCCCTTGAGCTGCCAGAGCGGAATGACAGTGGCCGGCCTGATAATTAGCTTCATTCAATAACAAGATAGAAGAGACATACATCACCAGCAATAAAGATCTGCCGGTCAGCATTCATAAAACGCTTCGCCACTCGCTGTCCAACCACATAGTTGCCAAACCATTCAATCGACTTCCACTCCAGCTTGAATGGATGCATCGCTGCTTTGGCTCGCTGCATTACATATTCGGGCGTTGCTTTGGATTTATCCACGCGTTCTCCGTCTGTCGAGCTCAATTCGATATACAGTCGGGTCATGTTGCGTTCGCGAGGAATCCAGAGAATAGAACCGGCATCGTGAGATCGCACGGCGACTTTGCTCCAGAGATCGGGGAAGTCGGTGTCGATGATTCCTATATTGTCGGTACTGTTTTATCTAGAAATGTAAAGATGAGCTTACCGTCCAATACTCCCCACGATGCATTGGTGATTTCTCCCTCCAGTTGAGCATCGGGGATGAATGTGCGCACTTTGGATCGAGCACCATCGCAGCCCACCAGATAATCTGCTTGGATTGTCTTGATATTCTTGTTGGGTAAATCCTCATATGAGATGTTTAACTTGCCATTTGAAACCCGCGAACAGGAAACAAACGGACTGTTTCTCTTGACTGAAACACCCCTCGACTCGATATCATCAATGAGAATATCCTCAATCATGCCCTGATGCGCCAGAAGAATATACGGATCGGATGCACCGACGAGATGGTCAGGATAGTGGATTTGGCGACCGGTTCGACGGAGGGGATTTTCTGCGGTGGATTTCTAAACAGTCAGCGGAGTTGTATAGATCGGTTGTTGCCATACCCAGAATGCAATGTCGTAAACACGGGCGGCGTTTTTCAGCAACGGATCAGCAAGCCTCAATTGTTTGAATGTCTCGATCGTCTTGGGCTGCATTCCATCTGCTTTGCCTGTTGATGTTCTGTCTGGTCTGTCGTCGAGAAGGACGACATCAACACCGAAGCGGATGAGGTTGCATCTTCACAGATTAGTATCAGTATACACTGTCCAAAAAGTAGAACATACGCCAGCATCAATCCAGACGGCCCTGCACCGACGACAACCACCGTCGTGGCGTCCGCCGGGCCATCCGCGTATCCTTCGTTATCCGCACTGGGAGCCATGATGATGATGATGATGATTTGTGCGGAGAAACAATGCGGAGAAAGAATTCTTTATTTATGACTGATTTCCCCTCATCCCCCACTCTTGCTATCTATTGATATAATCTATGACTGCAATATCACCATCGAGTAACCCCCCCATCCACGACGATATCCTGCCCCGTCATGTATTTGCTGGCATCGCTGGCCAGAAACACACACGCCCCCATCATGTCCTCCGGTTCGGCCACTTGTCCGTTCATCGATTCCGACTTCCACGTTTCCAGAAGATGCGAGAACTGATTATTAGCTATCATCTTAGAAGTAATTGATAAACATACTGAAGCAGTCATTTCGGTTCGCACATAGCCCGGCGAGATGGTATTAACTCGAATGCCCTATACTGTCAGCGTATATCTTCACATTCAAAGAAAACTCACATATTCAGCCAATTCTTTTGCAACGGCAGGACACATGGACTTCACAGCTCCTTTGGAACCACAATAGGCACTGCACAGCTGGCTGCGCACGGCAATGTGGCTCGACACGCTGCCCACCAGCACAATGCTGCCGTGCTTCGTGCCGTTCGCAATCATCTGCCTGGCTGCCAGTTGGGCCGTAAAAAAGAGTCCCATCACATTGACGGCCAGTAAATCACGGTGATCTTTGTATGTAAACTCGAGAAAGGGAAGATGGCGATTTATTCCCGCACAGGTAACGCAGATGTCGAGGGCGTTGTCAAAGTCTTTTTGGAATTGAAGGAAGCCGTTTTCGAGTGATTCTTGAGACGAGACATCGACTCTTTCTGATCAGTATTTATTCGCAATATAAACCAGATACTCACTTGTAATAAGCTGTCCGCACATTGTATTCTTTCTCGATCGCATCGAACCCCTCACTTCTTTCGATCACGTCGAAGATCGCCACATTCGCTCCAGCTTCTGCCAGGCCACGAGCAAATCCCAATCCGCATCCTCGAGACCCGCCAGTGACCAGCGCAGTACGACCTGCGAGAGAAAACTAAAGGGTTAGTATAGCATTGGTAGGCAGTAGTGAGACTTACTCTAGACATGATGATGGTGTTGTGGTGGTCACTGTACAATGGGATGTAGATATACCCACGATAAGACGTAATGCTAACCCCCATTCTTGACGCATTTATCGCATCGCATCCAGATAAATTGACCAGAATCACTCTCCATCTATACATCGCAAACCTTCATCATGGCTCCTATTACTATCAAGCAACAAGAATTACGCGAGGATTCATGCAAACTACAGGTTGGTGATACCATCTAATCTAGTACATCTCTAACAAGATAGATCCTCATCGTCGGCGCTGGTCTGGCTGGCCTCGGAACCGCCATCAGCTGCGCTCTCGCCGGCCACAATATCCATGTCCTCGAAGCCGCACACGAAATCAAAGAAGTCGGCGCAGGCATCCAAGTGCTCCCGAATAGTTCACGAGTTCTCCAACAGTGGGGTCTGGAGGGGGCATTGACTCCATTCATGACATACCCCCGCGTGTGCAATTTCATCGGATGGAAGGGCAACTACATTTCCCATTTGGATTTTCACGAATCCGAAAAACAATATCCAGGAACCTGGTATCGCGATTTCCATCGGGCGGATCTGCAGCAATGTCTGGTTAACAGGGCGGTTGAGTTGGGAGTGCAGATTACTTGCAATGCGCGGATTGCAGATGTACAAGTCAGTCAGGATGCAGCAACGGCAACAGCCATCGCAGGAGACGGCAGACAGTGGACAGGCGATCTGGTCATCGGAGCAGATGGAGTATTTGGGAAACTGACGGAATCGCTGCTGGGACGAAGTGATCCTCCAATCAAGACAGGCGATCTGGCATATCGACTGCTGCTGTCGACAGAGGAGATGCTCAAGGATCCGGAATTGGCGCCGTTGGTGACGGATCCGCAGGTGAATTACTGGTTGGGGCCAGATGCTCATGCTGGTATGTTGCTCTGTTCTATACGGAATCATTCTGACAAGACAGTCAACTATGTTCTCCGTGGAGGCAAACTGTTCAACATGGTGCTTCTCGTGCCAGACGATATCCCAGAGGAATCTCTGGCATCGACCATTGAAGGAAATGTCGAGGAAATGTGTGCTTTATTCGACGGTTGGGATCCAAGGTATGTCTCTATACTAAGTATACTATAGTTCATTCTAACTGAATAGAATTGAAAAACTCTTGAAGCTCTGCCAATCCGTCCATAAATGGCGGTTATGCATTCGATTTGGCGACTACAACTGGACGCATCCTTCTGGAGCATGGGTGATGCTGGGCGATGCTGTCCATGCCACTCTTCCCTATCTTGCATCTGGGTATGTCATCTTCTTTCTCTTGTCGATATATCTAACAGATCAGTGCTGGTATGGCTTTCGAAGACGGCGCTGTCCTAGGCGAATGTCTCGCTCGTCTTCCCAATAGCAGGAATATCTCCAAAACATCACCAGAGTTCCTCGACAGCAAACGACATGCTCTATCTGTCTTTGAAGAATGTCGCAAACAACGCACGAAAATGCTGGTGGAAAGAGGCAATCTCCAACAATATCTCTATCATCTCCACGATGGACCAGAGCAGGAAGAGCGAGATCGCAAGATGCAGATGGTGCCCACTCCAGAAGGAGAGGCATTGGCCTGGAGAGATCCTGGATTGGCGCCCAAATTGCTGGGATATGACCACATCGCCCATGTCGATGAAAACTGGGGTGGTGAAGTGGAGATGGTGTCTCGGTTGTAGTCGATCCTATCAGTATAGATAACTGTGTCGGATATAGTCCGCTTATCTGCCCCTCCCCCACTCCCCCATTCTTGATCACTGCCTATTCTATATAACCTCAATCAATTCATTCCTTCATATTCACCATTAATTGATTATATCAATTGTATCAACATCATGTGGCGCTTCCTCGGTCTCTCCTCTGACAAACCCTCTCCTCCTCGCAACTTGCCGGCATCATGGTATCGCTCCCCCGAAATGTACCAGCTGGAACGTCGTGCCATCTTCTCCAAGCGATGGATCCTCCTCACTCACTCTCTCCGCTTCACAAAACCAGGCGACTATCTCTCCTTCACCGTCGCCAATATCTCCTTCTTCCTCGTCCGTGATCGCGACGGCAACATCAACGCCTTCCACAACGTCTGTCGACACCGCGCATACCCCGTCGTTCAGTCTCGCGAAGGAACAGCCTCAATCCTCAGCTGCAAATACCATGGCTGGTCGTACGGCTTCAAAGGCAATCTGTCCAAAGCACCGCGCTTCGAAACAGTGCCCGACTTTGACAAATCCCAACACAGCCTCCTCCCTATCCACGTACACATCGACAAAGCCGGCTTCGTCTGGGTAAATCTCCAAGCTGGCGAGCCAGATGTCAAGTGGGATGATGACTTTTATGGTGTGGACGAAAAGCCACGCATGCAAGAGTTTGATTTTGCCGAGGAATTCACCTATGACCATTACTGGGAGATGGACGTCAATGCGAACTGGAAAGGGCTGGTGGATAATTACAACGAGTGCTACCATTGTCCGACTTCGCATCCTCTCATTGCGGGTGTCTCTGATCTGACTCGATATCGCGTTGACCCGAAAGACGGACACATGGAGCATCACATTTTCAATAAAGCGCAGAGTGATCAGCAGTTTCGGCGGGTGATTACTTTCTTCTACCCAACTACATCGGTGACAGTCACGTATGTATTATTCTTTTTATGATGGAGTTATTGCTAATAAGTGCAGGGATAACTTCTTCTACATCCAACGCATGATCCCCGTCACGGCAACCACCAGCAAGATTGAAAATGAAGTCTTTCGACACAAGAATGCCACTGATGAGGAATTTGCCAATATCAACGCTTTCTACCATCAGGTTTTAGAAGAAGATAGGGATCTCTGCGAAGGATCTCAGGAAAATCTGGGGACTGGTATCTTTGTCAATGGCGAACTTCATCCCAGCAAAGAAAGCGTAAGTCTCCATGCCGGTTATATAGATCTTGAATTGACCATTTCAGGGCCCTATTCATTTCCAAAATACCGTCCGCAGTCAGGTTATGGAACACAGGAAGAAAGAAGAGAAACAAGGAGGACGAGAAATCTGGCCTATTATTCCCAAAGTGGTTGGAGAAATGGCGACAAGTAAACTAAGCGAAGAGGAACAGTTTTGTTCGAAACTTGAAGCTGCCAGTTGTATGGCACGACCAGAATTAGCATGGTAGGTATCAGATAGCTACGAGGTCATGTAATCTCAATAGTATAACTCGATTCCTGACATCTCTCACTACTTCTTTACACATCAATGACTTCATAATAACAGATCAACTAAGCACAGTTCCATCCCTGGGCAATCTTGACACCACCAGAGCAAGAGATGGTCTTCGCATCATACTTGCAGTTGCTGTTGAATTGGCCATTGCGGAACAGGGTCAGACCATTTCCACCGCATCCCTCGAAGCGGAAGGGCCCGTTGTTGCCGTCAACGTAGAAGTCTCTGCCGCAGGGGTTGCTGTCGCTGTTGACAATGGTGCTGAATCCACTGCAGATGTCGGGGGTTCCGTTGGTCCTATCCACGTTAGATATCACATTAATGGGCTGTTGGATGGTCATACCAGGCAACCTGAGACTTGCTGCCGTCGACACCGGTGCGGAGACCGAGATAGACGGTTGCGTTGGCAGTAGCAGCGAAGAAGGCCGCGATGGTGATGATGGAGAATTGCATTTCTAAGAGTGTCAGTTTGATCGTGTAGTTGGAGAGAAGACATACTGTCTGATGTCTGAAGGCTGGAGCTAATTGAAAGGGGATGAGTTGAACGAAGATTGAACTGTTGATCTGTTCGATGTGCTGCTTGATGATGGATAATTCTCTGGGAAGATAGTCCTTTATATACCTTTCCTCTCCATACAATATCGAATCACTCTCAATAATATCCATCGGGAGCCGCAACTGTCCTCGGCTCAGTCTGCATCTTCACGGATTCTATCACTATTCTTGACGAAATAGGAAAATGATCTATTCGATATTCGATTGTACACCCGGCGAGCCCGAAGTTCACGAGAGGCGGCTTACCTGCATGGTCTGGTTACATTGAGGCTGAGAAACAGTCTCGCTTCGGATTTATTGCTTGATTGTGAGATCTACACAGGACTTTATAAGCATGATGTATAGGAGAGTAACTGAATAATTCTATATACTCTACATTTAGTAATAACATATATGATCACAGTAAACTCTCCCATCGATCCCATAACTCTACATCGGATGCCATACAGAATCCGGGGTACAGAAAAGCAAACCTAAGCTTAATCGCTGACATTTGCAATTCTGGATCGCCAAAGCCAGGCACGAACCTGCAGGAAACTAAAGCCAATTCCGGCTGAATACGAGCTGAAGAGCCATCACAGTTGATAGTCTTAGGCACAGGATGTCATCCGTCACAAATAGCCAGGCCGATTGGGAATTATGCAGGGCTCACTATGGACCACGAGAACTATAGATAGCCTAGTATATATGCAAGAGGTCACTTGATAAAGTAAGTCTCAATTTTGGGGTTTGTGATTTTCAAGGATTATGCTGTGATGTTGTGGATATATATTATGGAAGACTTGGCTGGAATGCGAAAGATTAGTAGTATTAAGAAGCCTTTTCCAGATTATTAATAACACGCATTTATTAAGCATTCAGTGGGCTGAAACCTGTAAGCAATGTTCATTTCTGTGCCTGTTTGTGGACAAAAAGGGAATATGGATCCATTGCAGCCTGCATTTGAGAGCATTCAAGCCGAGCCAGCCAATATATAATCTAAGCTGTATACCACTAAAGTAAGCTGAGTGACAACAAGTTGGGCTTGTGGTTTAGTGGTATAATACTCCCTTAGCATGGGAGTGGTCCGGGGTTCGATTCCCCGCGAGTCCATTTTTTTGTTTTCTTTTTTTGTTTTCTATTTTTGTTGTTCTTTTTTGAGTCACATAGTTATAGATAATCTTCTGTCTTTTTATCCAGTCGTTCTTGTGTAATACTCTATTTGAGATACTCGCCTTTGGTTCATTTGCAGAAGAGTACGGTCGGATGGTGTCGTGTGATCGACTGAAAATATATTCGCTTGCGTCGCTCTTTCTCTGCCTTTGCGTTATATCTCATTTGATCTGGTATTACTTGGCTACACAGCTGTGATCTTACAACTGCTACATGATAGGTACTATAGTATAGATATCTATTCTAATACGATGCGATCGCATTGAACCATTAGAATTGTAGTGATTGTCGTAGAAGATCAGTGGACCGTAGGGCTGGGACCGCCTGGTTCGGAGACTCGAATAGGAAGGAAGAGTGCAATTCGGTGGAGATATCTGGATGATCATCGATCCTAAGGCCATAACCTTGATGTACATCATATACAATGACAGCTCGATTCCATACATTCTCTTCTTAAATCTTGTGTCTTTTTCTGCAACTTTGGCTTCACCAATAAATGCCCGACATGAAAGGAGAAAAATCTGACTGATGCCAAGCCGCTAGATCCTTGGCGCTGGGCCCAGGGGTGAGATTGCTCAATTTGCAGTCGCCCTTCCAGCTGGCCGTGCGGCATGTTCTCACGGCACTGCAGTCGCCCGCCAATCAGCCATTTCCAGCCCCCTTGAAACCGCCCCGACCCATGCAGGCGAAACAGTGTACCGAATAGGCAGCCGCATTGCCTCTCTTGGCGGGTGTCCAGCCGGGGCTTGGAACAGCAGGACGAGACCGGGTCAAACTCGGCCCGGCGGCGCCACCGCCAGGACAGCCCCTGATTGGCTGCATCCGGGGCTAGTGGCTCTAGGCCGGGGTTCTGCCAATAATAGCGACGCCGCAGGGAACCCTGGACCCTTAAAGCTGACCTCCTTCACGTCCACAGAATAATCATCCAGATGAGCAAGAGTCCTCTCACCAGCCCTTGCTTGTCGTTCTAGTAGACGACACACACCTCTTGCTCATCCGTATACACACTTTCCCTCTAAACGATGCGTCTAGACTGGCGCCAACTGTGCGGGGCGGCGGCGCTGCTGCTCCAGGGGCAGGTCGCGCTCGCCGATTTGGGCATTCAAGCAAATGACGCCGGTATGTCCACTAACCAATAATGGTTGCTCGTGTATATCTAAATGATATAGATTCATTGAAAAAGGCGGGAAAGACTATCACCGAACCCATGATAGAGTTTTACCATGCCAACGAGACGGAAGGCATTCCGGGCAAGTTGACAGACACATGGTATATCGCCGGTAGCATGTTCATGACTTATCTCCAATACTGGGACGCGTCGGGCGATGACACGTATAATTCGCTGGTCTCGCACGATCTCATGTTCCAGGCCGGTGACAACTACGACTACTTCCCAGCCAACTGGAGTCAATGGCTGGTGCGCATTACTCCGCGATCGAACCTGCAGTTGCTGACATGACCAGGGTAATGATGACCAAATGTTCTGGGGTCTTGCAGCCATGACTGCTGCCGAGACTGGCTTTCCTGAAGTCGACGGCAAGCCCTCGTGGTCGTCCATGGCCCGGGCTGTCTTTGAGATGCAAGCCGGCAAGTGGGATACCGGGACGTGTAACGGTGGTCTCCACTGGCAGTGCTGGCCCATCCAGGCTGGCTACACCATGAAGAACTCCATCTCCAACGGTGGTCTTTTCTTTCTTGCTGCTCGCTTGGCTCGATTCACCAAGAATGAGACGTATGTCGAATGGGCCGAGACGATCTGGGACTGGTCCGTCGACTCGCCACTTGTGAACAACAACACATGGCATATTGCCGATTCGACCAACACGGAAAACAACTGCCAGGATTCCGGCGACAACCAATGGACTTACAACTACGGTACCTACCTAGGCGGTGCTGTTTTCCTCGCCAACTACGTAAGTTTACTCCTCTCTAAACTGCCCATCAGTCACTGACAGAACAGACCAACGGCGGCGAAAAATGGACGACTCGCGCAAACGGAATCCTGGACGTGGCCATGAAACAGTTCTTCCCCCAGAAATACGGCTCAGGAGAAGTGCTGTCCGAAGTCGCATGTGACCCGATCATGACCTGTGATCGCAACCAACTCGGCTTCAAGGGCTACATGTCCATGTGGCTGGCCTTTACGGCTCTGCTGATGCCCGAGACCTACGACAAGATCGCCCCCAAGCTGCAAACCACCGCGCTGGCGGTCTCCAAGCAGTGCTCAGGAGAATCAAAGAGCCTCTGCGGTGAACAGTGGTGGAACCCCACCTGGGACGGTATGCAGGGATTGGAAGTGCAAATGGCGGCGTTGGGAGCCGTCACGGCCAACCTGATGGTCATGGCGCATCAATCGCCCAAGACAGTCGATACGAACCCGGACGGCGGCGCAGATGCGATCGACACGGGGGATGACGGCAGGCAGAAGAAGTCTAGGATCACGACCGGAGATAGGGCCGGCGCATGGGTTCTGACGGTGATAATGATTGTATTTATCGCTGGTGGAATGGGATGGCTGGTGAAGAGCTAGAGAGGCACGCATGTATATTGAAAAGTAGCGAGATTCCTTATTCTGTACATTTGCTGGGTATATATTTAACTGGACTATTTTTAATCGTTTATTCTTGATATTCCGGGGGTGGGATTGATATTTGCTCATAGCCGGGGGGCATCCAGAAGGAGGGCTCGAATTGCTTGACGATGGCTTCGCTTGGTGCGTATTCGTGGATGGGAAGGGGTATTGTTGCTCCAAACTTTTGGGTGGCTCTCTTTCTGGCTACTAGATAGCCTGTGCTTTGATCGATGGTCTCTTTGCCGGTGATGATCTCGACGGTGAGTTGATGTCGGATGGAGAGTGTTGGTGTGGATTGGTCTTCAGCGTGAAAGTCATTCAACGCATGGTCGATGTTGATCTCATATGGAATGGTGATGTCTGTCTCTTTGAAATCTGAGACACTCAATCCTCTCCGCCATTTCCGGCAGCCTTTTGCTACTCGTCGCACGCGTGTATCGTCCTCGGGCGTCTTCCATTGCTCAATCTCGTCAACTCGCCATCGCAGTGTTTCAACCACTATTCTCGTCAACTCTGAATGCCGTGGACCTGGTCTGGCAATGTTTCGCAACACAACTTCGCCAGAGAACCTCTTCTTATCCTCCGACAATTGCGGATGCACAGCATATTGAGCCTTGATTGGCGAGTTTGGAAAGCTTCGAAAGTGGTTGATATCCTCCCAAGGATCATGAATTTTGAGTCGTGAGAGATGAAGAGGCTGGCAATCGGTTAATGTTTGGCTGGATGTTGTTGCTGAGGCTATTAATGCATAAGAGATGATTGACTCTGGCGTGTTGATCGTTTCCGGAATATCACTTGGTATAGAGAGGGTGAATTCATATCGTGATAGAACGCCATCCGGGCCGATTTCGGCGGAGATTGGCGTTGTGGCGAGATTTAGAGAGAGGACCTCATCGGTGAATTGCTTTGGAGGGCCGTTTGGCTTGCTAGGAATGAACCATAGTTTTTTATTTTGTGTTGGACTGAGAGAGATTGTTCTGACGAGGGCGATGTGTAGAGAGAGAAGTGGAGAGTCTGCATAGAGATGGATGGCGGCGGACAGAGGATGGCTGCACGAGTCGCCATCCTCGTAGATGGGATGCGAGGGAGGACTGATGAGGGTTACCCTGTCCATTCTATCTATTCTGAATTGATTCTTTTCTTCTCTTCATCTTCTTCTCTTATATTTTTTTATATTCTTTCATCCTGATTGTGATGGCGCTAACCCAAAACGGCAGCCAAGAAGGAGAATTTCAAGTGGAGATTTTCAGTTGAAATTCTCCACGTCGAATATCTTATTTGCTCTTGTTTATTCTTATTTGGAGAATCGATGGAGATTCAGACTGACTTGCCATCAGACTGACTGATCTTCTCATTCCAGTTCAGGACAATATCGTGAGAACTGCCTGCCCATCCACCCCGACTGGCCAATCTCGCTTTGTGCCGTCTTTTGGCCTCTAGCTGTTTTTAGACTTTCTGCTTATTTTCGCTTATTCTGCCGTTTTTCTTTTTCCTTTTTTTTTTTCTTCCCCTCATTTTTTGCTTTTCTCATTCTCTTGTTCAACTGTAGATGCCACCACGAATGATAGTTGCCCCTCTGCAGCCACCATGTCCCCAAGCACCATGCCCGATGCACTCGAATCGAGGATCGACAAATCCTCAGCCGATCGCAACCTGGAAAATCTCGGATACAGCCCCGAGCTGTCACGCAATCGCTCAACCTGGCAGGTTGTCTTTATGTGCTTTATTCTCTCCTCCGTCCCTTACGGCCTGTCCACCACGTGGTCCTATCCTCTGGCTGGCGGCGGTCCAGCCAACGTCATCTGGGGCTGGGTCGCTGTCTCGCTGATTATTCTCTGTGTCGCTGCCTCGCTGGCGGAGATCACTTCCGTCTATCCCACGGCCGGTGGCGTGTATTTCCAGACGTTTGTGCTGTCGCCCGTCTGGTGTCGCCGCGTCGCCTCGTGGATCTGCGGATGGGCGTATGTCGCCGGCAACATCACCATCACGCTGGCCGTCAACTTTGGCACCACCCTCTTCCTCGTCGCCAGTCTCAATGTCTTTGAGTCCGCCCCCGGCGTGGGCATCACCGATAACATGCAGACGTATCAAGTGTTTTTGATCTTCCTGGCCATTACCTTTCTGTGCCATGCCATCCCCGCGTATGGGAACAAGTGGCTGCCCTTGATAGAGGTACAAATCGATTAATCATTCTGTTCCTTTCCTTCTTTGTATAGCCCATTAATATCTATAGTCTTGTGCCATTTTCTGGACCATGGCAGGTGTGCTGGCCATCATGATTACCATCCTGGTCGTCGCCAAGGAAGGCCGCCACAATGCCGAATGGGCCTTTTCGCACTTTGAGCCCCAGGCCGGATGGCCGGCGGGCTGGTCGTTCTGCATCGGTCTGCTGCAGGCGGCGTATGCCACGTCGGCGACGGGAATGGTCATCTCGTAGGTCCGCCGTCTAGATGTGCCGAACGCGACTAACGAGTGTAGTATGTGTGAAGAAGTGCGGGAACCCGCCCGTCAAGTGCCCAAAGCGATGGTGTGGACGGTTGTCATCAACATGTTTGCCGGTCTCTGCATTCTCATCCCGATGGTCTTTGTCCTGCCCGATGTCACCATGCTGGTCAATCTGGCCTCTGGTCAACCCGTTCCGACAATCCTCAAGACCGCAACAGGAAGTTCCGTCGGCGCTTTCCTCCTCCTCCTGCCCCTCATCATCCTCGGTCTCATCTGCGGAATCGGCTGTGTGACTGCAACCTCCCGATGCACGTGGGCGTTTGCCCGGGACGGCGCAATCCCCGGATCCAAATGGTGGAAGGTCGTCAACGAGAAACTCGACATTCCCCTGAACGCAATGATGCTGGGCATGGTTGTCGAGATCTGCCTGGGCTTAATCTACTTTGGGTCGACGGCTGCTTTCAGCGCCTTTTCCGGTGTGGGCGTCATCTTCCTCACGCTCAGCTACGCAATCCCCGTCGCAGTCTCGTTGATCTTCCGTCGTCGCGCCGACATCAAGAACGGCAACTTCAACCTCGGATATCTCGGTGTATTCTGCAATGTAGTTTGTATTGGTACGATCTTCACCCTTCCCATTCATCCTGACAGCCCTAACAGGTAACAGCGTGGAGTCTTCTCGCCGTTCCCCTCTTCTGCATGCCGACGTATAGCACCGTCACACTCGACACGATGAACTATGCCTCTGTCGTCTTCTTTGGATTCGTTGTCATCTCCACCGTCTGGTACTGGGTTTGGGGATACAAGAACTATGCCGGACCTCCTGTTGACGGGGTGGAAGGCGATGCAGAGTCGGAGTCTGAGACCGCCCAGTCTGCTCAGGTTCAGGCCAAGACGAAGTGATTGTATTCTATGTAAGATATAGTAGTTAGATTAGATATCCTGCATCAATAAGATGATTATAATGCATGACTCGCGTCGACCAAATAGGTTTAGTCTGGCTGAATGGGCTGAGTTTGGGGGCCGGTCTAACCGAAAGGGGGAGGTGACCAACCGGGGAAATGATCCTATTGGCTGGATAGTCCAGGGGCATGCGGAAATAGCCATCTCATCATCAATATTAACATGAAATATCATATTATATTTCAGAGTATTATATTCCAGAGTATTATAGAGAGACTGTCAATATGATGAGATAGCATAAACTACTTCCTCTGATAACCAGAATCAGACCCTTGATTTCTAGTCTGCAAGTAAGCGCCAGGCTGGGGCGAAGATCTGCAAGATGCCTAAAGCACTGCATATCCCTGCTGGTCGTATTTCCCATAAATGGATCTTACGCCCAGTCCTTGCTGGTTCTTGATTTTAATGCACAAACCTTTGCCACCGTCAAGCGTGATGCGATGTGGTTTCTCATCCTTGGACTGGTGTCTTTCTGCCTGGCAGCGAACAATACTGGTTTAGATCCTGTCGATAATTTCTGCAGGATATGGTATCACCAATGTAAGTTTGTTTCTCATAGTCGGTTCTATCTAACAAAATAGCGGTGGTAAAAAACAACGCATTATACATCGACGGTGGCCTCGAGGTCTTCACCCCCTCCAGCAATGCAAGTGCAAGCAACAAAACCACCGGATACAACACCTATCTCGTGAAACTGGATCTAACCGACTCATGGGACTGGAAGACAAACATATCGCTGGAAACGATCGAAAAGACGAAATCCTCACAGACAGGCACCGCCGCCCCGCTTCTCGTCCGCGGTGCTCTCTATTCCGGTCCGACGAATGACTCGCAGTTCTATCTCTATGGCGGATCGGTATCAACGCAAAATACCAGCTTCCCAGGCTGGCAATCGCCATCATCGCCACAGTATTCGCTCTGGTCGTATGATACTTCGAATCAAGATTGGTCGCAGTACGACACATCGCTCGATGTCCCGAACCGACCGAATAACGGTGCCTTTGCGGAAGCGCCAGATTTAGGGTTGGCATTTTACCATAACGGGCAGATTGATGAGGGCAGTTCGCCTGCGTTGGAAAAAGAGAGCAGTTTCCGGGCCTTCCTGCCTGGTCTTGTGGTGATCGATACAAAGACTCAAATTGTACGGAATTACTCGACGGATGCGGTTCCGGATTCGCCTCGAAGTCGACATGGAGGGGTTTATATTGCTGGGGTTGGGGAAAAGGGAATATTCGTGACTGTTGGAGGTGTGACGAAGAGCGTGGATGACAGCAGTTCGAAGAATAAAGGCAGTCTGGTATGTCACCCACTACACTCCATTGTAATAACTGCTGACGACCAGATCTCCATGGAATATATCGACATCCTCGACGTCTCTTCCCTCTCAACCAGCAACGGCACCTGGTATCGCCAAAAAGCATCTGGCGATATTCCCAGTTCTCGTCTGGATTTCTGTCTCGTCGCCGTTTCCGCCGCAGACAATTCCAGCCATAATATCTACATGTATGGCGGGCGGGATTTCAGCACCGACTACGACGAGCTGTATATTCTTTCGCTGCCGTCGTTTAAGTGGATTAAAGTGTGGCAAGGCGAGTCTCCGCGATGGGGACATACATGCCATGTTGTTGGCAAGTCGCAGCTGCTCACTGTCGGAGGGGCGGATGATGGGAACTTTACGCGTGGATGTGACTGGGAGACGAAGATGGTGGGCGTGTATGATCTGAGCAGGGGGACGTGGGGGAGTGTATACAAGTCTTATGATGATGCGTATCAAGTGCCACGGACGGTGTTTAGAGAAGTTGGTGGAGAGTAAGTCATTCTTGATATGGATATGGACGGTGCTAATGAAGCAGTGCAACCGGCGGCGCAACAACAACACAACCAGATGGCGGATTCGACTCGAAAGATACAGCTCAACTATTTGGGTCATCAGGTACTTCAAGCAGCAAAGGAATCAGTGGAGGCGCAATTGCAGGGGCTGTGATAGGATCAGTCGCTGGGGCTGCAATCCTCGCTGGTCTGGCATTCTTTTTCTTCCGACGAAAGAAGACTATACCAGCACAACAGACACAACTATCCGATGAAGATAAAAAGGCTGATGGTAAACCTCGACATTATCCTATCTTTGAATCTCCAGGATCGAACCCGGCTGTAGAGCTGGGAGAGAACAATGTACGGCATGAGATGGATCCATCGCCAAAAGCGAGTCGGTTTATGGAGCTTCCATAATAGTCATATAAAGGATTATATGTGTACAGTAACCACTTGAAATGCATTTTATCCTGAGCAACAAACGGCGTGAGCTATGTCAGACATTCTCAGACTCTCTCAGCCACTATACCTCGCGCGACACATGACCCCAAGAAGGTGGACAGGGCCTATGGCGCCAAACTGTACAAGGCAGCATACGTGGGTATCAACATCGAACTGACACCGATCGAGACATATTCCAGAACCGCATCGATATCCGATCGAGTCAGAACCGTCTCTGGCTAATTGGTGTGGACATGTGGTCCGAAGAGGGAAGAAAACTGCTATCGATCCAACTGAACAATCTCGGCGATGAAGTCATCCAGGATATTCATCGCAAGAGATTCTCCTTCTCGCATGAGCCAGTCACGATTGATTTCGACTACGACTCTGGAAAGGTGTTGACTCCGGAACAGGCTGTGTCGACTGTGTTGTTTACCAGACAGAATATCCAGAATGGCCACTACATTTGTGACAGGGTAGACAAGTCCACCACTGCACCTTTGGGCCCTTTCACGACGTGGAGGATTTCCATCGAGAGTGACGATAAGGTAAATCCGGGATTGATTCTGGATGGAGTGACAGGGCTTTCTCGAGTTCCATGGCACAAGCAGACCTTCATAGTTTCCTGAGTATAAATAATATCGAGTATAGAAGCCATACAAACAAATAAATCAATGCACATATCGAAAAGACAAAACCGCATCCGCATTCTGCTTCGAAGCCCCAATAGCCGAACCAGCCACGACGCCCTCTTCCACCTCTGCCCGTTCAATTCTGGCATTCTCCCTCTTGAGATGCCATTTGATCCCCAGCGCCATACACGCACACACCAGACACGCACCGCTCATCACCCCACCGCCGGCGTAATACCGCGGCTTCTGCGAATCGGGAAACATGTACGAGGTGTAAAAGTGGGCGACGCCCGCGCCCATCAAGTTGATGATTGCCAGAGCAGCTGCTCGTTTTGCCTTTGGTCGGGGGAGTGTCGAGCTCACCCATGACACGCAGAGGTTGTATGGGGAGTAGGAACCGGCTGTCATGAGGAACATGCTGAAGTAGCGGCCGCCGAGGGAGGGGACGAACATTGCCTGGGGGGTTAGTTTGTTTTATATAGTGAGGGGTTGACGTACTAGGAGATTACCCAAAAGGGCAAAGGCGAGAGGAATGGCAATGTGGTATCCTCGTTCGTTGACATGTGCCGCATGAAAGGAGATGCAAAGCGAGCAGATAAAAGCGAAGAAATATGGTGGTGCAGTTAGTAATAAAGTTATGGTATCGTCATATCCTAATGTGCCCACAATCGAGGGAAAGAAGTTGTTGAATGACTGTGCAGTGAGAAGAGCCATTTGCAGCACGATGAACATGTATAGCTTCGGATCGACAAAGGCTTGTTTGACGCCCCAAAGAAGAGATCCCGGATCATCATCGACGATGCCGGCGTTTTCATTTCGGAGTCGCCAGTCCTATATCGTCAGTATTGCCAGATATAAATATGGAGACTTACTGCAAGGACTTGGTGTTGATGGTTCAACCACCATCGTTTTGTAGATCCTGGATAGTCGGGGATAAAAGGAATAACCAACAGTGCAATGACGATGGTCATGGAGCCTTCAATGATAAAGAGCCATTCCTATTCATGTTAGAATTGAACATATACACAGACAAACACTCACCCAAGCCGGCCTTCCTAGTTTCCCCTCCATGCGAGCGACAATACCAGCTGCGATGAGACCTCCAAAGGCACTCGCCAGCATGTTGGCACCATATAATAGAGCAATGCGAGGAGGCAGTTCTGTGCGTTTATACCAACACGACATCAAGAAAAACACGCCAGGGAGAAATGGACCCTCGACCAGCCCGAGAATGAATCGACTCATGAAGAGACCGGCAAAGTTGCGAGTGAATGCCTGACACATGGAGACAACGCCCCATGCAGCTGTCACACTGCCGATGTAGATGGACGGCTTGACTTTGGTGATGATGACGTTGGATGGGAGTTGAGTGATGACATCTAGACAGTCAGAGAGGCCATGATGCATTCATCAAGACTTACATCCAACATAGAAGATCATCAACGAAGTGTTATATTGCGTATTGGTAATCCCCAAAGTCTGCGGCAGACCGGCGATCTTTGCATTGGCGATATTGTTGCTGTCGATGTTAGAATAGAAGACAACATGGGACAGACATACCGATCGAGAATGTTCATCAGAAAGAGAACAACCACCGCCGGCAACAAGCAAAAGTCTAGTCGCTTCACCAGACTCCTCTCAATCCTCTTGATCTCATCTCGATCCAACGATGCGAGTTCGACCGGCAGTGGAAGCTCCTCCAGCCCTACTGGCTTGACATTCTCCACCGTCTCGACGTCTATCTTGGCTGGGGCGATGTTGTTCATTCTCAGTAGCAACGGTCTACTTGAAGATGAATGAAAATGTCCATGTGGTCTTTCATATTGCAGATAATAAACTATCCAAAGTGGAGACCAACCATTATCGGTTTGCTGCCCGAAATCCGGGGAATGCGGGGAATCTGGGGAAAGGAGAGAAAGCCGGCATACACATTCACTGGTGGATTACAGCGGATAAAGCTCACTGGCTAATTAAATGTATTTTTGAAATAGCATAGATAGTATACGAGGCATCAAAGATTCGCCGACTTGACAGCCTTGGTATTGACCGGCGTCAAAGGCTCTCCAATCAGCTCTCCATTCTCCCCCACAACTGCCAGAATGTTCTTCATCGCGTTCAGCTCAAAATTGACTCTTGTATCCAAAGCCCCCCCTCCGATGTGCGTCGTCAAGGTGACATTCTCCATTGCTGCCAGTCTCGGCGACACTTGCGGCTCGTGATAATGCACATCCAATCCAGCTGCAGACAATTTGCCACTCTTCAACGCTGCAATCAAGGCCTCTTCTTCCACTACTTCTCCCCTCGCCGTATTCACCAGTCTGGCTCCATCTTTCATCGAATTCAATGTCTCGCTGTTGATCAAATGCTTCGTATGCTGATTCAACGGCGTATGCAGCGACACACAATCTGACACCGTGAGAAGATCCTCCAACGACGACTCAAACGTCACACCCAGTCTCTCCTCTTCTTCTTTCGTCTGACGAATAACATCGTAATAATGCACCTTCATCCCCAGTCCCATGCGCGCTTTATACGCAACCTTCTTACTGATATTCCCCAGTCCAATTAATCCCAGAACATGATCTCTCGGATTCCGCGAAATGGTCGCAATGAGCTTATGCGTTGCCGTGAAAATCTCCGGATCAGCCATCCGAGCAGCAAGTTGCGATCGGGTGAAATTGCGAAAAACAGAGAGAATCATGAATAGCGTCGTATCGGAGACAGCTTCATCAGATGCCCCTGCTCCGTTGGCGTACCAAATGCCCCGCCGGCCGAGGGCATCCACGTCTGCCCAGTTGAATCCTGCTCCGGCAGAGGCAAAGATGCGGACGGAAGATGGGAGGAGAGATATTAGCTCTTCATCCCACTGTCCCATTTCGCCCCCGGTTTGGAAGTGAGGGCGGAAGATGGCGGAGAATTCGCCATATCTGGAGAGTTAGTATGAATGCGAGAGATGAACAATTAATACGAACTTGTGTGTTCTTAATGCATCAATAAACGACTCTCGATCCAGGGCATCATTGCGAATAATATGAAATCGCTCTGAAAAAGCCCCGTTGTACAAGTCGTGGTTATACTTGATGGGGTCTCCAAGATGCAGCACAATCGGTTTCGACATGATGAATGACGATGAAATGAAGCTGACGATGAATGGCAGATCCCCGCTTAAGATAGACAAAAAGACGGAGAGAAAGCCGTCGGTCGTGATCCGATCGTCTGAGATGCTGATCTCAAAGTGCTTTTCCGCCTGTTTTCCGTATACCCCGGATTACTGCACTTACTCATCCTTTAGGGGATATCTAACAGTTCAGATGGGTTATTAGTTGTATTAACAAAAGAGATATAGTGAGTAATACACCTGGATTTGGACAGAATTCAGATATGGCATGCATGCTCTCAGATTATTTTCGTAGATATTAGTAGATATTGTTTTGTTGATATTATAAGTGTCGGTTGTCATATAACCGCGGAAAAATGCAACGGCGATTGGGAATCTGCTTGGGTCTTTTATCCACTTTTATTCACAATGACATATAGAAACTACTTGGTGTTATCAAATGAATTAATCGGCAGTTTTAATCTTCTACATCGATTAGATGACTACATATCTGATACCGATCCGAACTCCTGCCGGATGTTTATCCAAGTCTAAATGATGATAGTAAAAACCGTAGCATGATTATTCCATGAAATAACTATCTCTACTTAGTATCCCCAGAAGCCACTGGTGCGCTATATCCTTTGAAAGGCCCCGTCTCCTGGAGAATCAACGGAATTTCATCTTCAATCAAAGACTGGATAGTCCCCTTCTCCTTGGGCTCCCATCCCAACTGACGGAGGCGAATCGCCCTGCTCCGCGAGTTGGATCCAATCACCACACCCGAATATTCTCCAAACAAGTCACCGTAATGCTCTCTGGGGATTGTTCTGGGTTGTGCAGACGGGATCTTCTTCGCCTTGGCCAGAGCTTCACCGATAGCTGCCGCGCACTCGCCCCACGAGAGCTCCTGGCCATTCTCACAGAAGCAGTACAAGTCGCTGTCTGCCAGGACCTGCTCACCGGGTGTCTTTTCCAACCAGTCGAGCAGAGTGAGATAACCCCTGGCGAGATCCTTGACATGCACTTGGTTCCACACGGCAACACCCTTTCCGACATGTCCGGCGTAACCGTGTTTCACCGAGAATCGCATCATGGTGGGCAGCTGGATCGACAGACGTTTCTCGCGGGTGCTCACGCCGTAGATAAGGGGGGGAGTCATGATGGCCATTTTGGCCTTGGGGCCAAGGGCCTTTTGCGCGTTGATGATGGCCAGGTCGATTTCACGATGTGCGGCGCTGTCGGGCAGGGCGTTCAGGAGTGTTTGTGGCTTTGCGTCGTCGAAGATGGTCTCATTGGTCGAGTCGCCGTGGGCGCCATCCGCGAGCAGACTGGTGCCGCTGGTGTGGATGTAGATGGTGGTTTGGCCGGTGTGGGCGCGTGCCGTGATGCCATCCAGCACGGCCTCGACGGAGGGGAGATGGTCTGCTGTTGCGGTGTGGATGACAATGTCGCTGTTTTCCACTTGCTTCTGGATGATCGACTTGTCGTCGATGGTTCCTATCACTGTTTGGACTCCCAGGTCGTGAAAGGAGGCTGCGGCAGCTTGTCGGCGGATCAAAGTGGTGACCGCATAGTTCTTTTGTAGGAGCAGATCAAGAACCTCGCCTCCAATGAAGCCTGGTCCGATCAGAAAGACCTTTTGAGCTGACATTGTGTGTGGAGTGTTTGGAAGATGGATTGTAAATCGGAAGGCTAGTGCAAGACGATTATTTATATTCTATCCTGTGTTTGCGTACTTGATGGAAATAAAGTCAATGACTGTAGATGCTTCAGTTAATAAGCATCGGATACTTATAACATCACCGCCCATCGCATAAGCCATCGGATAGGGAAGGATTGGCTTCAATTACACCTCGGCGTAATGTTGCAAGGCAGATGACAAAAGTCTCCGAATCGACAGTTATTGTAGTTCAGTCCTCACATCCCGTATATACCCGACGGTAGACTTGTTGGAAGAGTGTTCATGCTAATCATCTGGGGAATGTTCTACCGGAAGCATAGCGCTCCAGTTACTTTGGTATTGAAGATATGAAGCTAATAAGACAGGTTCCATCCAGCAACACCTTACTAAACGAGTGGAATAGTCTGGAAAGATTCTACACACGGCCGCTTATAACCGTGGGTAACTTAGGCCCCGAGCGCTGCCTTCCGTCATGATTGATCAGCCAGCGTGATTGCATCGCTTGGCATGTTTGTCCTGAAAGTACTGGAAATAAGATTGATTTTATTTTTAGTTAATTGATTTGATTTATCTCCGAGCCGGCATGCCGAAAGGGTTCCGCGGAAGCATCCCGCATGCTGACATGCTGACATGCCGGTTGATGCTGACATGCCGGTTGATGCTGACATGCCGGTTGATAATCTACACGGGATCCACTATAGATAGGCTCTTAGTGATGGCTGACAATCCATTACAGATCATGAAGAAGCTTGCCAAGCATTCACAGTGAATAATTGAAAAATTGCTTGAAGGATTTACTATAAGAGGATTTCTCTTTCATCCAATTGAATAGGACAGACTTCCCTGATCGTGCTCGATCTCAATCGAAATGCGTCTTTCTGCTCTCACTGTTGCTGCCTTACTGGGCACAGCCAGGGCAAAGAATCATGCTTCTGCACAATATGACTTTGTGGTTGTGGGCGGAGGAACCAGTGGATTGGTGATTGCCAACAGACTTTCGGAAATGCAAAACGCCACAGTGGCAGTCATTGAAGCGGGAGACTCGGTTCTGAATAACTTCAATGTCTCCAATGTCATGGGATACGGTCTCGCCTTTGGGACCGAGATGGACTGGGCCTACCAGACCGAGAACCAGACATATGCTGGCGGATCCAAGCAGACCATTCGTGCCGGAAAGGCCATTGGTGGCACAAGTACTTTGAATGGCAAGTTCCTCTCCCTCTGTTGCATGCATGATGTATATCCTAACGCAGCCACAGGAATGTCCTACACTCGAGCGGAAAACGTGCAGATTGACTCCTGGGAACTGGCTGGAAACAAGGGCTGGAATTGGAAGAGTCTCTTCCCTTATTATAAGAAATCAGAAGGCTTCCAGGTGCCCACCGAGGACCAAATTGCTCATGGTGCCTCCTATAACCCCCAATATCATGGGACAAAAGGCCCCCTCAAGGTGGGATGGCCTTCGTCCATGACCAACAGCAGTGTGTTTCCTATACTTAACCAAACAATGGAGCAACTGGGTCTCTCGTACAACCGCGACGTCAACGGTGGCCACATGGTCGGATTCACCGTCCATCCGGATACGGTCGACAGAGAGGCCAACGTCCGCGAAGACGCGGCCAGAGGGTACTACTGGCCCTACGAAGTCCGGTCCAACCTCAAGATCATCTCCAAAACGCAGGCGAACAGGATCATCTGGGCCAACCAATCCCACGGCGAGGCTGTTGCTGTCGGGGTGGAGGTCACCGGTGTCGACGCGGTGACAGAGATCTATGCTTCGAAAGAGGTCATCCTGTCGGCTGGCTCGTTGAGATCTCCAGCGTTGCTCGAGTTGTCTGGTATTGGAAATCCAGACATTCTTCGCCAGCATGATATTCCCGTCAAGATCAATCTCCCCACTGTTGGCGAGAACCTGCAGGACCAGACAAACAATGGTCTCATCTATCAAGGGAAAGACGCGTTGACCGGGTTGGCGACCTTCTCTGCTTTGCCATCCGTCGACCAGCTATACGGAGCCAATGTCTCGGCCGTGGCGTCGTTTGTCAACTCCAGTCTTGCTGGCTACGCAAAGGCCGTCTCCAAGGCCTCCAACGGCGTCGTCAAGGAATCGAATCTCCTTGCTGCATTCCAGGTCCAGTACGATCTGATCTTCAAATTGCAAGTCCCCTATGCAGAAATCGTCTTTGCTCCCAGTGGAGAGTCCTTCGCCAGTGAATATTGGCCTCTTCTCCCCTTCTCCCGAGGCAGCGTCCACATTAACTCCGCCAACGCCTCTCAACCACCAGCCATCAACCCCAACTATTTCATGTTCGAGCAGGATGTCACAGCCCAGGCGGATGTCGCTCAGTACATCCGCAAAATGTTCAACACTGATCCCCTCAGCACCATAGTCAGCGGGGAGGCTTCACCCGGATTGGACTCTCTCCCTCTAAACGCATCCGCCTCTACATGGGCAAGCTGGGTCAAGGCAAATTGTACGTTTCTTCCCCTCTTAAAAGGCAATCTCAGGCTAACTCTCCCCCAGACAGACCCAATTACCACCCAGTCGGTACGGCCAGCATGCTTCCTCGGGAAAAGGGCGGAGTCGTCAGTCCTGAGCTCAAGGTCTATGGCACCCGGAATGTGCGCGTGGTTGATGCTTCGGTCCTCCCATTCCAGCTCTGCGGTCACTTGACGAGTACTCTTTACGCGTTTGCTGAACGGGCTGCGGATATCATCAAGAAGGACTATGGGGTGAGTAAATAGAGAGTGTGTATATTATCCAAAGTTGTGCTTGTTTTGAGTTCTGGCTGGGTCGGTTGATTGCTCTTGTATACCGGATTTAATAGACATGTCTTGATAGCGTGCCCAGTAGCTTGTATTAGAATGTTAATGGTGATACTGTTGAGGATAAATGACTGTCCAGGATAAGGGCTCAAGTGGATGCATCAGCAAGACTACCCAAACAGGCACCAGCACATCATCGCCCAGACAGCCTCTTCTTCCTGAAATTTCTACTTGAATGATAGAATCTTCGATGGATTTTAAACTAGATTACTGACAATTCTATTTCGGAATACAGGGAGATCATGTGACATCACATGACATCCAACTGATTTATAAGATGGCGTCATTCCTATCAGCCACACGATCTCATCACAACATAATAGATAAATGCCTCTGCAGAAGCACGCATACTCCCAAATGACGGGCAGAAGAGATCCAGACAGCCCCAAAGACGAGAGACGTACATCTAAACGGCAGCGGCTTCAAGCAGGCCAGACCGGCGGCCGCAAGCGCGTCCGGGATCAGAGTGATTCGACAACACAAGAGCAACAGCAACAGGGGGCGAGTGAAAATCCTACATCGCAGAATATCACCAACAATGCCGCCCCTTCAAATCCGATAGAGCCCATGTCGGCTATATTAGCACGGTATAAGATATGGAGAAGTGAGTAATAAACCGTCCCGCCAGTGATATGATGCTGACCGATATTTAGAAGCGGGAAGTCCGCACGAGTCTCTATGCTTTGAGTGCCATAAGCCAGGAGATGCAGTCCCCTGTGAGACATGTCGACGGTCATATCATGACTCATGCAAGCCAAAAGATAGCGCCTTATCTACTCGGAATGGTGCGCAGCAGTGGTTTTGCCCTGTCTGTGTGTGTCGCGGATGGCATGTTACACCTCCTATCACACCACCAGACTCACCGGTATTAACGCCAAGTGGTGGTGTCACTGCCGTATCGAATCCCAATCCCCTGCGTTTAGATAATGAAGCAGGGAGTGCTGGATATTCCCCAGCCCAGCTGAACACAAGACAGTCGCATCCGCCATTATCGACACCTGCAACCACACAAACGCCTCGCCCTACTGAAGAAGCAAACCAATGCCAACAAAGAATAGCACAAAAGCAATCGACCGCAGCTTCCGCGCCTCGAAAATCTCGATTCAACACCCTACCAGAAGAGGTAGATTCTGCGCTGTGGGTGGTATCCCGTGAACTCGAATGTGTTCCTTTACTCCGGCAAAATGTATCGGATCTCGAGTCTGAGATATCTCGATTACGCCAAGATCTGAGTATACAGCGAAACGAGCTAATGTTGACTCGAGGGATTGTTCAAAGGGCGCGTGCCTCGGAGGCTGAATTGCAGAGACTGAGGTCGGAAGCTACAGGCAAACAGACATCTGCCGATGAGACAGAAGCCTTGAGGGCGAAGAACAAAGAGTATGAAGCAGAGATAGCTAGTCTGCATGGTCAGTTGGAAGATGCCACCAAGAAGCTACAGGAATGGAAGAAGAATTTATCAAGCATGATTGGTGGGAACTGATTAATGCGCCATTGTGGCACTGTACATATACTTTGAGACATTGATTTCATGTATAATTTAGCGTTATAGATGAGAATGACGATGACCCATATCAGTCACTTCAGAGCGATGCTGCTGTCTTGCCCTTAGCAGCCCATTCATCCACAGTCAAAACCTCTTCGACAATCGTCGGCCAGACAATTTCAGTGGCAGCATCTTTCAGCTGGGTGCTAAAGCCAGCAGTGGCATCCTTGCTGTAGTTGTATCAGTAGATGGTATGTGATGAGAAGGAGAGACTACTTACATGAGGGTGACTTTATAGCCCCTATATTCAATATTAGCAGATAGCACTAAGAACAACACATATTTACTTACAATTCAAATGCATAGCGAGCTGTCGCTTCGAGACATGTGTTTGCCACCATCCCAGCACAAACAACATGGGTGATTCCCCTCTGCTGAAGTTGAAAGTCCAAGTCGGTATTGGCAAAGGAACTAGCTTTTCAGCATCTAGTCTATTATGTATACAATAGAAAGACAGCATACCTGCTATTCCAATGCCTCGAAACAACCACATCACCATTTCCCAAACTCGGAGTCATCTCGGATTGAATTTCGCTGCCCCAAGTACCCTCCTTAAAGGCCTCTAGCTTTTTAAGCCGATGGTGGGACTTGGTCATGTTTCTCCAGCCGTCATAGTTGCCTTCTTTGTAAGGTTGATGGAGACCGTAGAAGATGGGAATGTGCATCTCTCTGGCCGATTTGACGAGCCTGGCCATGTTTGTGACTGTGTCGGTTGTTTCGATGCTCTCCTGGACGAAGGGATATAGTTTCCCCTTGGGATGGACAAAGTCATTGAGGGGATCAACGAGAATGACAGCTGTGGTTTCAGACATTTTGCAGGTGCGGATTTGAAGAGTTATTGAAGAGTATAGTCCCAGGAATCAAGCACTTAGTTAAATACCTACAGGCCAGATTGGTAAGCCTCGTCATTCTTGCTCATCGTCCTCAGACTGCGGGGCTCAATTAATTTGTCATCAGCTCAGCATCTGAAAACAGCCTTTTGCATTTTGAAACACGAATAGAAAGACAAGGAGAAGGTGCAATGATGGAACCCCTCTTAGCCGAGGCCATGTTTCTTGATTATAAATTGGAGGAAGAGCCAATCAGATGCCGAAATGGAACCTATGTTGATGACAAATTACAACTGGGACATGCACATCAGAATGAGATCACTCAAACATCAGCAATTGGTATCAAAGACATCAACCTATCAGAGTAACCCGATAGCCTTGATCGTACGCCCTATGCATGCACAGGGCGTGTTCACTGCCGATACCGGTCAGGGGCAGAATTCTCAGTATAATTTCTGTTTGAGGCAAATAATGGAATGAACCTGCAGCCTGAGGATATCAAGGAGCTAAACTATTCCGAGAAGTCATGGACAAGTGGCAGAAACAGCCAGAGTGGTTGGATATACAGCAATTACAGATGAGATTGTCGAGTCCCAGTTAGAAATTCGAACCGAGTATGTTGGGCGATGCTATTACTAGTCGCCAGATAGAAGCAGGCGCTATCATTGGGATGTGATCAAGATAGCTGAGAAGAGTTGGGTCTCGACTCCCAGGTTATCAGCGTTATTTTATCTCACTTGTGCTTTGAATCAGAGCTTTGCCTCTAATTGAACAATGATGTGTATACATCTCTCTTCACCATCGATAGAATTCCACTCTAAAGACAGACAATCACACTTTTCCCTCCCACGTAAAGCCCGTCTTTGCTATTCTAGCTGCTACTACCGAAATAGCACCGATTAAGATCGACGTTGCCGAAAACAGCTGCCCATAAAGATATTCTCCCTGGTCGATCTGAATCAGAGACCCCAGGATCGATGGACCTGTCAATGATGCGACCCCCACAATACTCAATATCATTCCCAGCCGTGTTCCTGTCTTCTCAATACTCGGTGTCATAGTCGTTGCTGTTGCCGGGAAGAGCGACTGCAGCGCTGCCGAGAGGACTCCGTACACAACAGCAAACGCATATAGCCCAACTTCCGTTGTGACTGCTGCCCAGCAGTAAACGAGAAGACTCGCTGAAAAGCTAAGTGGGATGATGATGTTGAGCATTCCAGTAACTCGGTCCCCAATGATACTCGGGATGATACGGCCAATGATCCCGACTCCGTTGAGAACCATGATGAAGTTCAAACTGTTGGAGACGCCGATGATATCACGGGTAAATGTTCCCAGGTAGAAGAAGGCAAAGTACAAGCCCCAGAAGTTGAAGAACATGCTCATTGTGAAGAAGATAAATGGTAGCTCTTTGAAGGCACTCCAGTCGACAATGGAACCGGCCTTGCGAGGAGGAAGACGTGGCTTGAACAGGAAGATGCATGGGATCTGCGTTGCGAGCATGATGAAACCCACGACGCGTAGTGTCCATGAATATCCGATTGCGTTTACATATAGCAGCCGGTCAACGACGACGGGGTAGACCAGTCCTCCCACCGCTGCCCCGGAAGCCGCCAGCCCAACTGCAAAGGCACGTTTGCGGAGGAAGTATGAAGACATGATCGATAGACCAGAGCAAAAGGTGCATCCATTTCCCAGACCCATGCAGACTGCCTGTGCGAGAAAGATCTGCCAGTATGTTCTGCAGAGAGACGTCATAAAGACCCCGACCAGCTGGAGAAGGACGCCTAGGACGAACATCAGCCGGAAGTATCCTGCATCTGTGGCACGGCCGGCGATGACACCCACGAAGAAGAGCAGAGAGACCTGGACGCCTCCAATCCAGGAGATATCCGAGGCGGATTGCGGGAGGGTTTCTGAGTAAAACTGCTGGAAGACACCGAAGCTGTTGGATATGCCCCAGGAGTTGAAGAAGACAAAGTGCATGCAGAGCACTTGGATCCACGCTTGGAGATGGCCGTCGGGAGGAGAAGGCAGGGACTCGGAGGACGATTTCGACGATGACATTATGAGATACTAGAAGACTGTTGTGTCAGTACAAATCAATAACCCAGGCCATATAGAGTCACTCAACTTGTTGTTTTGTGCCATCCATCCCATCGTGGATGCCAATTTGTAATCCTCAAAAAGCCTAATTTGTCATCAAGGTAGATTGTCTTCGTGACATCTGATTGGCCAACAGTGAGCCGTAACCTCGGCTAAGCGGATGATGTGGTTGCAGCGGATTACAAATTAGGGACCATCAGCCATCAGTATACATCGACAAGTAATTCTGGGCCATTCTTAGCCAGGTGCCGAACATTACTGCATCTGGAAATACATGAGAATATTATGTTTGTGGAAGACCGGAAAGAAGATTAGAAATGATAATAGTATCACGAAGTTGATGATGAGCAAACTTGGACTAAATCTTCAAGCATATGAAGAGATATCTCTCGTTGGTAGAATAAAGGCTAATCATCTCTATTAAGGTTAATATAAGGGACAGTATCATCGAATACTCTATAGATGGAGTGGCTACGAGTGTTACACAGATCTATCCTTTTCAAGTACAACCCTGACGAAGACGATCTACATCGTATAGCCAACTTACATACGATGCTGTGTAACGCCCCTTCTACCCTGGTGCAGCTAGAGTAACGCAATTCGCTCGCTGCTGATTCCCTATCTCACCCCTTTACTATCCCATCCAGGTATAATAGGTACTATCCACCAGTAGGAATTGAGTGATGCGCACATAATTGTGCTACTTCCCAACCTTAGATGTATCTCATAGCATCTGGTCTAAAGATAGCGTGCAGGAATTCCAATAATAAAAGGCTATCGTGCGTCAAAGCAAACGAGGCGGTCAAGTGGCAATGCTATCGCGTCTTATATCTCCCTCAGCGTCCGCTTCTCCTTCCTTTTCCAACTTCCAGACTACTTTTGCAGACTCACAATAACCAAGTCATAATGAATTCCACAGTCTTTGAGAATTCCCTCAAAGTCACACCTCTCACATCCAACACATACTCCGTTGACTTGAGTAAAGACTGGTGCATTGGAAACGGTGACTCTATATTTGTATAAAAAAGAGATAGTAAATACTGACTGAAATAGTCCCTCATGGAGGCTACACCACGGCCGTCCTACACCGCACTGCAACGATACACTTTGCCAGAAAGAACCCAAAGAGCATTCCGATATCCTTCCAGCTCTCCTTTCTAAGACACACCAGAGTCGGCCCCGCCATCATCACGATCAAAGACTCGAAAATCGGCCAGCGGACAAGTTCAATCCACGTCTCTCTTTCCCAGACTCGGACAAAGCCCGGAGAAGCCCCTAGAGAGGAAGAAAAGCTCGCCGGATACATCACACTCGGCCTGGAATCTGCCGAACAGGGACCGATTGCAAAGTCGAGTTGGACTCTGCACCCTCCATCGGCTCCAGGATCCCGGGCAGATGGCTCAATCGATCTGGCCGCACTTGCCAACACCGGCCACGATGGCCGGTGGATACGATATCCGCAACGAGTCTATCTAAGCGCACACCAGCACGATGAGATCTACGGTCCGAATGACAGAGTTACCTTGGAGGAAGCGACGATGCGAACAGTAGACCAGTGGGCCCGATTCCGCCCGGGAGGACAGCTTAGTAGATGGACGAACGAGTCGCTGATGTACCTGGTCGACATATCCCCAAAAGGACTGGAGAGACTGGGTGCGATGATGATGTCCGCCACGGGATCTTCGGGATCGTGGGAGTTGGACAAGGGCAGCTTATGGTATCCGACTGTCACATTTAACGTCGATATCAAGAAGCCTCTACCGGCTGAGGGGGTCGAGTGGCTGTATAGTAGGGTCGAGACTAAGACTCTGCGCGGCGGGCGAGCGGATCTGGATGTGGTGGTTTTGGATGAAGCTGGAGATTTGGTGGCCATCGCCTCGATGGTCAGTTTGGTGGTGGATGCCACGCGAAACGTGGGAATCCAGGGTGGTTTCAATCCAGTGAAGCTGTAGACCGAATCAAGATGACTTGTGTTTATTGGATGGTGACTCCGAATAGATGGCCACATTGCATGGCCATGAATATATAAATACACCGCATGTGCATCAATGAGTGATTATTAATGCAATAAACCTATCCACAATGACTTCATTCAAAGTAGAGCACCCAAACCTCTCTATACTCTGTTGAACAAGTGTCCCAATGGCTTCAACACATTTTTTCTGAGCTTGGGCTCCAGGATGACTTTGAAATCATCACTTGTTTGCTAGTGGAAGAACCTACATAGATGGACCGTATTGGTGGTGCGCTTTCTCAGGAACGTAGAGAGTCTATTATATGTTGAATTTACGTCAAAGAGTGAAGCAGAAGTGAAGACTATTGGAAAGGCAATGCTTGTGAACAATGCAATCAAGGCCAATCTCGGTGGAAAGATGCAGATTGTTTGTTCTTTTGACTCGGAAGCTGGACAGCTACAAGCATTGCAGGATTATTCTGAGTTTTATTTTGTAAGCGATAAATAGCAGAGCATCCACGGGTGGGGTATGGCTTTGAATTACTAGATTTCAGTGAAGCCGCTATATGGTGTGAAGCGATCTATATTAAAATATAGATACAAAGATTATGACTCAGAGCCCGCTTATCGTATGTCTCATACCTGAATACTGTCCATGTATAACTGCACTCTTCGGTAAAAATAGCCTATCAGAGTCTCTGAATTCCGGAGTAGACACCGAATCACGTCAGTCCATTCAGCCCGTATCTAAGATATTTAAAGCTGTTGATTCCCTTCGAATTCATCATATCAGACAACATACAACTACCTGCTTAGATATCCAACATGGCAACTCGACCACGGGGCCCTATCGTTTCCTTGGCTCCTGCCCTGCTTCCATCGAAAGTCACCTTGCCAGGTCGCACTATTTCCCTGGAAAAACTCGACCTCAAGCATGCCGACGACCTCTTCAGCTTTGTCGGTGGAAGTGATTCATCCAGAAGGTCTCTTTGGGACTACATGGGCGACGGACCATACACCCAGCTAGACACCTTCAGGAATGCGATCGCTTCGAAATCAGCCTCCACCGACCCATTCTTCTTTGCAGTGATTGACCAGCGCAATGACAGACCCAGCTGTGGAAAAGTGATCGGATACCTAACGCTGATGCGAATTACACCTGACCATCTTACGATTGAAATCGGGAATGTCCTATTCTCATCAGTTCTCCAGCGCACAGCTGCCTCAACAGAGGCGATCTATCTTCTTGCCAAGCATGCATTCGAGGATTTGGGGTATAGACGGCTAGAGTGGAAGTGTGACTCGCTTAATGAGCCATCGCGAAAGGCAGCATTACGGTTTGGGTTTAAATATGAGGGGATCTTTCGACAGCATATGGTTGTCAAGGGGAGGAGTAGGGATACGGCTTGGTTTGCCATGTTGAAGGATGAGTGGAATTCATCGGTGAAAATTGCTTTCGAGAGGTGGCTGGATGAGGGGAATTTTGAAGCTGATGGGAGTCAGAAGAGGACGTTGCATGGTTTGAGGGATGAATAAAAGTGCTAGATCCGAGAGTGTATACATTGAAGAAATTCATCTTAATTGAAGTTTTCTGTAGATTATGTATAGCCCAAGACCCCTTGATAACCTCCAATGACTGATTACAAATTGACATCACTTATTGTACCTTATTCATACACATAAATAGAATATCTTATCAAAAGAAACACGTGAGTGAGATTATTCAGAAGGACCAAACTCTATTGGCCAGTTTTAGGCATCTTTAGGCACCCGCAGGCAGAAACACCACTCATAATCAACATGATATAAATATAATAATATCTATCTATCATACATGCTTATATTATCCACGAAATGCATCTTCCTGATGAAATCCTCTGCCTGATCGCCCACCAACTCGACACCCAACATGACCGCTTCAACCTCACTCGCGCCTGTCGTCGATTCTACCACGCACTGCTCCCCATCCTCTACTCGGATGTCACTTTTCACTTCCATTCTGAAGCAAAATTAGTCGTTTCATTTCTTCAATCTGTTGTTCGAACCTCCGAGCTGGCTCTGGCGGTGCGCTCGTTGGAGCTTTATCCATGGAAAACTCCCCGATCTACCGTGTTTGATCCAGACGACGAGCTCGAGTATGACGAAACACTCGTGGATGGACTGCTCGATCAGGCGGATATTCCATCTAAAGAGCGAGAAGCATGGGATGTATGCATTACGACCGGGGTGACTGATGCATGGCTGGCTTTGCTGCTACCGCAATTGAGGAACCTCGAGAAAATCTCCATCTGCTGGCCATATGGAGCGACGTATGTGCCCAGAGTGCTGGCCAAAGCAGCCCAGAACCCAACATCCACATTCCCCCATCTCAAAGAAGCATACGCGAGATGGTACGATACCGAAAATGGCCTTGATTCCAGCCAGCTGAATCCATTCTTTGCCTTTCCTTCGATGCGCAAACTGTGCGGCTTCTCCATTTGCGAAGATGACGGTAGCGATGCAGATGAAGCGCTGATTCCGTATTCTGGAGTCCCGTATTCTGGAATCACCGAGATTGACCTCGGTAGCAGTAATGACACCAACGGAATGGTGGATTGGCTCCGACGATGCAAGGGGTTGAAGTCGTTTCGCATCATCCACGGCGGGGCGCTGGTCTCCTTCGAGGATTTCGCACCGAATAATACCTTGCGGTCGCTGGAGTTGCACAAAGCCACCCTTGAGAATATCTGGATGGACGATGACGATGATGAGTCGTCCGACGACTACGACTTTGCGGGGTCGTTTGTTGACTTTACGGCTCTGAAGCATTTATATCTGCGACTCCAGAATCTGCTGAATGTGGACAATGAAGCGTCCACCAGATGCCTTAAAGACCTGCTGCCACCGTCTCTCGAGACATTATTCATCAAGTACTCACGTGCCGAGTCCACGATCAACCAGCTAGAGGATTTGGTCAGCTCACGGCGTTTGCCTAAATTGGCTAGAATAGATCTCGAAGGGTTTTACAGTCGCCAAGTGGATGTGAGGCCGATGATCGATCGGTTACGGGCTGTTTGTGAGGAAGTAGGCGTTTCTTTTGCATTTTGGGATACTCGTGATGAAGAAACGTTCGATTACATGAATTCCCTCTGGCCGTTTCCAGCATTCCCTGAAGTGTGAGATACACTGCATAAATATGTGCGGGTTGTGCACAGTTATGCCCGTGATCAACAGTCTGATTGGACACCTCGGTTCGTGTGATCCTCGGTCCGTGAATGCGGGGATTCATAGGGATGGAGATGATAATGGGATATAATAAGGATACAAATATACATTATAGATTTAACTACACGATAGACAATTCACTAATTAATTCCACAGCAATATGTCACCACCCATCCCCTTCGCCGAACCCCCCTATCTCCGCGGTCTCCCCTCCCCCTATTACACCGCTTCGCACCGCCGCTTCCAAAAAGCCTGCCGCGAATTTGTCGAGGAACATCTCCTCAAAAACGCCTTTGAATGGGAGCGCCAGGGCACCGTCCCCGAACATGTCTTCGAGACGTTCTGCAAGCACAACATGCTGCTCCCCAACATGCCGGCGCCACTGCCCGTCGACTGGCTGAAACGGCTGGGCATCCATGACATTCTCGGCGTCAAGGTCGACGAATGGGACTACATGTACACGGGGATCTACGCGGATGAAATGGCCCGATCGGGTCTGAGTGGACCGGCGGGATCGATGAACGCCGGGTTCGCGTTTGGGATGTCGCCGATTGTGAAATACGGCAGTGCGCAGCTGCAGGAGCGCTTTCTGCCGGATTTCTTGACGGGGAGGAAGAGGCTTTGTCTGGCGATTACGGAGCCGGGGGTGGGGAGTGATGTGGCGAATATCACCACCACCGCGGAGAAGACGCCCGATGGACAGCACTATGTCATCAACGGGAGCAAGAAGTGGATCACGAATGGCATCTGGTCAGACTACGCTACGATGGCTGTTCGCACGGGCGGTCCTGGCCCGACCGGCTTGTCGATGGTGGTGGTGCCGCTGAAAGGCCATCCCGGGGTGAGCATGCGTCGACTGAACGTCTCCGGCCAGAAAGCCGGCGGAACGACGTATATCGAGCTGGACGAGGTCAAAGTGCCCGTGGCGAACCTCATCGGGCGAGAAGGCGACGGCATGCGCATCATCATGACCAACTTCAACCACGAGCGACTGTCCATCGTGATCGGTGCTACGCGACAAGCCCGCGTGGCTCTCTCTACGGCCTTTGCATACTGTCTCAAACGCGAAGCATTCGGCAAGACCCTCATGGACCAGCCCGTTGTGCGACACCGACTCGCCAAAGCCGGGGCCGAGCTGGAAACGATGCACGCGTGGACGGAACAGCTCCTGTACCAGATCTGCCATCTCCCAAAGGACGAAGCAGATCGGCAATTGGGCGGGATTACGGCGTTGGCGAAAGCCAAGGCAGGAATGGTGCTGAACGAGTGTGCGCAGGTTGCGGTGCTCTTGTTTGGAGGCAGTGGCTTCACGGCTTCAGGACAGGGTGAATTGGTCGAGGGTATGTTTATCCAGGTATATGGTGGTTCAGAACTAACGCGTTGTAGCAATCTATCGCGATGTTCCGGGGATTCGCATTCCAGGAGGCTCGGAGGATGTGTTGCTTGATCTGGCGGTGCGACAATTGGTGAAGCTATACAAGGCAGAGGAGAAGAAACTGGGGCAGTCGAAGATCTGATGAGATATTAAGGGTTAAATAGTGATGTGTATCAAGTAAATAAGATTCATTGCGAAATATCGAGAATGGTATAGACATAAGTAAGATCAACAACCACAACATAAACACTCGGCACATTCAATGCAGCATTCGCAAGTTTCCTCGCACAGGAAGCAGCAGCACATGGCCACCAGACTGATCCATCAGTTATGATGTTTTTATCATTATGTGAAAGGGAGACATACCATCCAGTCAAGCATCCACGGTCCTTCTTTGGCTCTTCCTGGGGAGGAGCGTATTGCATCTGAGGAGGGGGAGGGCCATATTGGCCGCCAGGGGGAGGATAGCTAGTCTGTTAGTATTCGGAAGCAAGATGGTATAGGGGAGACGTACTATCCACCTTCGGGTGGAGGAGGATAAGACATGATGTAGGGATGGGGAAAAAGAGAACCACGGAAAAGCAGAGGGTGGAGAGCAGTTTTAAGTCGTCCGGCCAGGCAGAGAAATAAAACAGAAACACAATAACTAATAAATAACTGTACGACTGATTCAGCATTGCAGCGCTTGGGTTAATCCGCCGGTGCTCTTGGCCCGGTAATAAAACTCCACCTCCAGGGGTGCTCGTTGTACCGCCAGGTCTGACAAGGGATAAGCCAGCATAATTGTCGCCAGCGTCAGTAAGGATTCCATCGACGATCGGATCGCCTTTCATCCCATTCAGCTGTGTTTCTTGGCCAGTATTTCTCTGCTGCCCAGACCCTGGCGTCACCTGGACAGGAACATGCCAAGATCAGTCAAATGCCAGCGCATATCGTGGCTGATGTCGGACTGAAACCTCCATGTTCCACCCAAGCAGTGACAGGCTGTTTCATAACCGTCAAATATACAGAATCGACGAGATGAACATCTGCATGTCTGGAATAATAATAAACATCGCAAAGAACAGCCAAGAGCGCCAAGAGCGCCAAGGTGCAGGGCTGGAAATGGCCCTCTAAGGCTGAGGCAGTCGTCCAATCACGGCCCGTCTGGTCCTGCTGGTTCCACCTGGTTGGCTGAGAATGGTGCTGCCTGATGCAGTTTCATTCGGATGTGCTGGTGGCCATAAGGGGTGCATCAATAATGCAGGTATTGTTTTTATGCTCATGCTGAGTCATTATCCATTAATCTATATATATCTTTGCGGTGTATTGATTATTATCTAATATTCTATGCATCTCAGAATGAGGCATTCATTGACTGTGGCTATTGACTGTCGGTAACCATCTTGGATGCGTAGCAAGGGATGCCACATGATATCAATGGTATCCAGCAGTACCAGAGGTAGCAAAGGAATAACTACTCAATCGTAAATGTATAATAAAGAACTACTGGCCGACAGTTAAATTAAGCTTATTGAAGATTCTAGTCAAGATGATGTTTACATAGGTAAGCAGTATCTTCTCGAATAGTCCTCTCTCACATGATATATAACCCTCCAATCGGCTATAATCACTCACTCGCACAGTCTCTGCGTCATCGTCTTCCTCCAACCAGTCAAACGATAAGCTCAAACACCTGATCCAGCGTGGGGGACTCCCCCGGATATCCAAAATGCGGAGGCGTGGGGGTGACGTGTGGGGGATCATCTTGCGGGGAGATACCCATCTACTATGTACCTCTACTACTATCTCATACTACAACCTGAACATCTGTCGTACCGCACAGATGCTATAGTAGAAAGCTTTATTCTAATCAAGTCGTCGATACGGCGTGGGGGTGCCATTCCCATATATATACTGTTCTCTGCGTCCCACTCTGCAGCATTCCTTAACCCATTCTCTACTAGTCACAATGACCAAACCAAATAGCTCCCACTATGAAGGCGATCTCATCAAACCCCCCAACGTAGACCCGATGAGTCTCGTCCGCGTCCCTCTAACCGAAGACGACAGCAAACGCATCCGCCGCAAGACCGACCGGGTCATCCTGCTCGTCCTCATCTGGGTGTACTTCCTGCAGATCCTCGATAAGACGGTGCTCGGGTATGGCGCGACGTTTGGCATGAAGAAGGACACGAACCTCACGGGTAATCAGTACTCGCTGGTGGGGTCTGCGGCGCCCATTGCCCAGCTGGCCTGGCAGCCGTTCTCGTCGTTTCTGATCATCAAGGTGCCGCATCGGATTCTGATGCCGGTGTTGTGTCTTGGATGGGGCATTGCGCAGGCTGCAATGGCGGCGTGTCATAATTTTGGGGGGTTGATGGCGGCGAGGTATGTTCTTGATCATTTGGTGGCTTTACTATACTAACGATGTAGGTTCTTTCTCGGATTGTTCGAAGCTGGATGTCTGCCTCTGTTTAGTATCATCACTAGTCAGTGGTATCGTCGTGCTGAGCAGCCACTGCGGATCGCAGCGTGGTATAGCACAAATGGCGCTGCGACTGTCATTGCAGCAGCGCTGTCTTATGGCTTGGGACATATTAAATCCCACTTACTTCTTCCATGGCAGATGTAAGTCTTCTGCATATCTGACGAATACATCTAACGTTGATAGTATCTTCCTCTTCGTCGGCCTGATAACAGTCATCACCGCACCGTTTATCTACTGGAAACTCGACAACGACATCCCCTCCGCTCGATTCCTGACAGAAGAAGAAAAGCCCCAAGCAATGGAGCGTCTTCGCGCCAACCAGACCGGAACAGGCAATCGCGAGTTCCGCATGAACCACGTCGTAGAAGCCGGACTAGAACCAAAGACGTATCTGTGGATTGGCATGGCGATGCTGCTCAACATTGGCGCTAGTGTGACGAATGTCTTTGGGCCTCTCATTCTCAGCGGTCTCGGATTCGACACATACACCACCACGCTGCTGAACATGCCCTTTGGCGCATTGCAGTTCATCGTGATTCTCATCGCGAGTTATCTCGCGCAGAAAGCGCGTATCAAGGCCGCTGTTCTTGCTGCGTTCATGCTTCCTGTCGTGGCCGGTCTGGCTGTTCTCTATGTAATGCCTCGCAACGACTCCGTCCACGGTCCTCTTCTCACAGGATACTATCTCCTCGCCTTTCTCTTCGGCGGCAATCCGCTCATCGTCACTTGGATTGTCGGCAACACAGCAGGCACCACGAAGAAATCCATCGTGATGAGTCTTTTTAATGCTGCCACCTCAGCGGGCAACATCGTCGGGCCGCTGCTTTTCACCGAGAAAGATGCCCCTGCGTATCATCCTGGGTTACGGGCGTGTTTGGGGATATTTGTCGCCCTGGTGGCGATTGTTCTAATCCAGTGGGCGAATATGATTGTGCTGAATAAAATGCAGGAGAAAAGGCGCGTGCAGAATGGGAAACCAGCCAAGATGGTGGATCGGTCGATGGCGGATCAATATGAGGAGATGGAGGATGAAGAGGGGAGAGAGCAGCAGGTGGGCGATCAGGCGTTTATGGATTTGACGGATCGGGAGAATGATGAGTTTGTGTATATTTATTAATTCGTATCAGTTATTCAATTTATTCCAGTTCCATGCATGTTCATGACTAGTGCTTATGAGTTCGTGCGGGGTTGATTCGTCTCCGGCCAGCTGGACTGACCGAATCATCATCAAAATGCACGGAATATTGGATTACATTCTATTAAGCTCAGGGGATTCTGAGACAAAGACAGACAATGGACCGATTGTCTTGCTGGATGAAGCTGGTCAGTTTTCCTGTCTGTCTGGTTAAGTATACTGACTGTGTAGAAACACCCGACTTTGACGATGCGCTGCAGCAACTTGCGCATGACAAAACCCCTCAAACCCAGCTGGTGTAGGTTATTTCTGATGCAATTTAATAAAAGATAAATGCTAATTGTTAGTCTGCTGAACCCCGAAACCGGTGTATTTGTCGACCATCTGCGCGACACATACCGGCTGTTTGAGCAGCACTGGGCCATCAACCTGCAACATGCGTCGTTGTTATCGTCGCAATTGACCTCCAGCTATCATAGCACTGTCAACTCCAATTGCCTCGGTATGCTGATCTATATCTATATTATATATTTATACTGATCGGTAGACATCCGCTACAACATCCGCGAGTCTCTCTCCTACGTCGCCAACAACACCACTCCCCTCGACAGCAGTCCCAGCGTCAACTCCAATGGCCCCGACGATATGTTCATCCAGCATGAATCCGAGCCGCTGTATTTCCGCTATAACCTCACCACCGGCCAGACGCTCTACATCCTGCTCAACCCGCGCAGTGAACTCCGCCGTCAGCTGAAAAGCCTCACTGCCCGTCTCCCCCCATCCACCCTGCATCCATTCGCCCTCCACACAGCCATCCTCTTCCACACCCTCTCCAGCTGCCGCACCCAGATCGACAATATCGTCAAATGGCTCCTCTGGATCGAAACCCAACTCCACCAGGGCTCGCTGTTTGAAATCGCCGATGCCGACCGCTTCTCGCGATACATTCAGCTGCTGCATAAAATGTCGCGCAGCCTCATCACCCTCGAACATAGTACGCAGCGCGACGAGTCGAATATCAACCATCTTCTCCGCGACCATGAGCGCATATGGGATTTATCCCAGAAACACACTGACAGTGTCACACTCGACGCATCCATGCACGATCGCATAGGCGATGATCTGCGGTGTCTCCGCGGATTCTGCGAAGACCGACAGCGCCATATTCTCAACCTGCGACAGCGCACGCACAGCTTCATCACGCTGCTATATAACCTCATCACGGGGCACGATAGTACCGTCAACTTACGCATCGCAGCGCAAAGCGCCAACATCGCCCGTGAGAGTCGGCGGGACAGCGTGTCGATGAAGATCATCGCTGCGGTGACGCTGCTCTACCTGCCTGCGACATTTGTGAGTAGTTTGTTCGGGACGAATCTGGTTGATTTTAATACGGAGGGCACGGAGCAAGAGTTTATCGTGTCGAGGCTGTGGTGGATATATGTTGTGTTTGCGGTGGTGTTGACTATTGCCACGATGGGGGGATTGGTGCTGTGGTGGAGAGTGAGGGGGTATAAAAGGAGGCAGAAGGAGAGTGATGCGGGATTAATGGGTTGATCTGTCGTATAGATGATACGATGCTGATCTGATTCATCAGATTGATCTTCGCGCTATTGGATGGCGTTACCCCTTATCCACGGAGTATTAAGAGTATTCTCATTATCGGTATTACTGTATGTATGTAGATATCGCTCATACTAGTATAAGACTACCAAGTCTCCTTGATAATGTCTGCGCATCGCTCTCCAATACCATACGCGGGCATCTGCGTGTGTCCTCCATGCAATGTTGGCATCACACTGCAATCAGCAACCCGCAGGCCAGCCACGCCCTTGACGCGCAGTTTGTTATCCAGAACAGCCATCGGGTTGTCGTCCTTGCCCATCGCACACGTTCCTGAAGCGTGGTAGCCTATCTAGTTAGCATCATCCAAAACAGTCTATCGAATCAACACTTACAAGTCGTCGCATGCTCCTTGACATACGGGATCCACTCCTCGCGAGTCGTATACTTGTGGTGCGTGAGATCCGACGGCCACGACCCCTTGACAATGTCCTTGGTGCCGGCACCATTCATGACAATCTCATTTCCAAAGCGACACGCTTCACTCAGCACCAGCATGTCCATCGGATCCGCCAGGTAGTTGCAATCCACCACGGGCGTCTCCATGGCATCCTTGGTATTGATGGTGACCGTGCCGCGCGACTTGGGGGCAAACAGCTCGGCAATCATGGAAAAGGCGTGCTTGTGGTCGATCGGGAACTGGTCGTACTGCTTGGGCCCGCCATAGCATTCCGTCGTGAAGAACTCGACATTGGGCTGCTTGGGAGTCAATCCCATGGGGTCGCGGCCTGGTTCGCGGGGGGCGTCGCGCCAGAGAGGCTCGTCTTGGAGGCGCTCGTCCATGCGGGCAAAGGCGAAGCCGCCAAAGGGGAAGGTCGAGAGGAAGCCCGTCTTGTGTTCCTTCCACTGCATGTATGTCTTGCCGAAGTTGTCGTCGTGGTAGACGTGCCAGTCGTCGGTGAGGCCTTCTTTTTCGGTCTCGTAGAACATGAAGACAATCTAGAGGGTTAGGCACGCTGTGTGTGTTCGGGAAGAGATGCATACCAGATGGTCCATGAGGTTCTTTCCCACACCGGGCAGGTCAACCTGACACTCAATGTCGAGTTTCTCCAGCTCCTCCTTGGCTCCGATTCCAGATCGAAGCAGGATGGCCGGACTGCAGTATGCACCGCTGGAGATGACGATCTCCTTGCGGGCGTAGAAGGTCCGCGATGTACCGTCCGCCAACTTTGTCACCACACCAGAAGCACGAGGGCCGTCCGCGCCAGGCTCCAGCAGGATCCGATCGACGGTGGTATCTGTCTGGATGGTGATGTTGTTGCGGTGGTATTCGTTGGTGATAAAGTCGGCGCTGGTGGTCCGGATGCCCTTGTTGACGGTGCGAGGAGCATGGCCGCATCCATGAGGCACATCGCCAGTGCTGAACATGTCGTGGTTCAGAGGCAGGCCGGACGAGACGAACGAGTCCATCAGCAGCTGGGAGATGGGGGCGAGATCGTGCGGTTCGATGTGCAGGGGACCTGAGTATCCGTGGCTCTTTGCGTCGGCTTTGAACCACGGCTTGGTGTGGAAGGTTTCGGCCTGATGGTCAGCCTTTATCATACATCATGAGGATATAGAGGATACCTTTCGCATGGCGGCGAAAAACTCATCGCCACTCCATCCCTCCAACCCCCAGTCATCGTAGTCCTGCTTGGAGCCACGCAGACAGAGGGTTCCGTTGCAGCCACTGCATCCTCCAAGGAATCGACCCCGACTCAGCTTGACCTGGCGGTTGTCAACCCCGGCCATGGGCTTGGTGACGACGTTCCAGTCGGTTTCCGAGTCGAAGTTTTGCGACCATCTGTTGAGTTAGATGCGATGTTGTCTGGATCAGTGCTGGATACCTACCCTCCGGTCATGTGTGTGTTCTCCAAGTCACGGTTATGCTGGCCAGCCTCGATGACGAGGACTTTGAGGGTGGGATCCTCTGCGAGACGACCAGCGACCACGCATCCTGAAGTTCCTCCTCTTGACGTTGTTAGAGGAAGTTGAAGCAACCGAAGAGGTGAAGGAGACATACCCGCACACAATATAGTCAAAAACGTCGGCAGAATCAACAACAGAGCCCATATTGACGGCACACAACTGGAAGCAAATTGATAATTGAGTTTGGCTGTTCGGATTGACTTCTTGTCGGTGCCATCCCGGCGCCTTTGGCCCCCTTTTATCCATGGGCCATTCTGCAAGCACTGACAGTCCGGGGACAACAGCGAGCGGGGCATCATTCAGGGGACCAAGCCACGGAAATCCTCAATTGTTGAACTCCGTCGACGGCCGAAGGGATGAGACCCTGATATTCAGGTTGCCTGGTGTGGAGTCGAGCCGTTAGTGAGGTGGTAAAACGGCGTCAAGGGCCACAGATGTGCCGAATGCTAACGGCATGAAGCCTAAGGGCGAATGCTATTGTCTCCATCGCGAACCGGGATGCGAATCCTGCAACCTAAATAATCTAAATTAGACGCAACGGACTGGCAATGGACTCGCAAAATGGCTCCCCGACGACCGTTGATCCGCAGCGATGGTGAGATTGGCTTCTGTCAGCAACCTGTGGTCCAACCTGGAGTCTCTCCACTTTCCGCTGCTCCGGTGGATCTGGCACGGTTCAGGCGTTGAGTGGCTGCGAGCCGGGGGCCATGGCTCTGTTTTTATTTTATCCTTGATTTGATATTTTGTTATTGTGTGTTTTTCATATGTTGTATGGTCGTGCATGTGTTATTATGTGTAATAATAATATACTCTCTTGCGCGGTAGGAGTAAAGTTAACCTGTATAGCTTCATGGTCCACCTCGTATTCTCCCGCCCCATGACCCTCTCCATCCGGAATCCTTCGAGGATCTCCTCGACCAGTGGTGTTTCACACTGTATACCAAGTGTCGATCCCCTGCCAGCATCCCTGTCGTTCCACAAAAGTCCCTGTGAAAAAAGCAACGTATGACTAGTTTCTCATCTTCTCCATCAGCAGCGGAATCTTTTCCCAGCAAAAAGCACATCGAATTTATCTCCAACCGTGGATCAGCTCAAATATTGGCCCTTTGTGCGCCCCTTTCTGACCTCTCCCTTTGTGTCTGGCCAGCCCTGGTTCCCAACAGACTGCGAGTTATCAAGCCACTACTCCTGCATACTATTTGTTTCTTTCCACTCTCCCGGGATGCCTCAGCCTTTGGCAGGATTCTCACCTTGATCCTTGTATCCAGTCTGTCGTGCATTTCGCCTCCTCCCGAGCGTCATGGCTCAAGCAACGCCTTTTCAGAAGGAGGCGTGGACGGAATATGCCATTGGCGTGATTATCCTGCTGCTGCGCATTTTTGCGCGAGTCAAAGTCGTTGGCTTCCGGAACTGGCAGGGCGATGATTACTTTGCCATTATTGCGCTGCTCTTCTGGACGGTATGTCTGTGATCGGGTGGTGTTGTATACGTATACTGACTTCATAGGCCGAATTGACCATGTTGGAGATGATCGGTAAGACTCTGCACCATCACCACCTCGACCATACTGACCAACAGGCCAATACGGGACCAACATCGGCCTCAGCGACGACCAACGAGCAGCCTTGACGGTGGGCGAGACTTTGGGGCTTCAGATCGGCTCCAAGTGTCTGTTGGCTGGATGGACCTGCTATGTGACGCTCATCTGGTCGCTCAAGGCCTGCATGCTCTTCTTCTACAACCGGGTGACGTGAGTCTATCCATCTATCCTCTGTGATAACCTCATCTAACTGTTCAGTCTCGGTCTCACGCAGCAAAAAGTCGTCAAGTTCTGCGCCGGCCTCTGCGCAGCCACCTATACCGCCGTCATCCTCACCATCTTCCTCCATTGCCGTCCGCTGCATAAGAACTGGCAGGTCTATCCCGATCCTGGAGTCAACTGCAGCGCCGACTATGTCAACTACATTGTCATTGCCGTGACCAACGTCTCGTTCGTCTCTCTCCCATCCTTCCATGGCCTGTCTAACTGTTTAGAACCGACGCGCTTCTCGTTTCCATCCCCATTCCTCTGCTCGCCAAAGTCCGTCTTACGTTGCGCCGGTATGTCTTTCAATCTATAATCATGATCGCATCTAACAGAAGTAGCAAACTGCTCATTGGAGTCCTTCTCTGCGGTGGTGTCTTCGTCATGGTTGCCACTCTCCTCCGATGCATTCTCTCTCTACAGAGCATCGACAGCATCAACACGAGTACCATCTGGGCGATTCGCGAAACAGTACGTCCATCCCTTCCCCATCTAAATATACCCATCTAACATATCAGTTCGTCGCCATCATCTCCGTCAACGCCCCCTGCATCAAACCCCTCTTCTCCAGCTCCATCTGGCTCGGCTCCTCGAAAGACCCCTCCTCCAAGAACCGTGCCGCCAGCTACAGTCTATCTGTCTTTGGCAAGTCGAAACCCAGCCAGCTCGCCTCGACAAATACATACCACGGGGAACGCGGCAGTGGCGAGTTCATCCTGCAGGAACCCTCGCATGGCCATGCCTTTATGGGCGGCGAAGGCGCCAGCATGTCGGATGAAGAGGCGGCGCGGAAGGGGGGGATCCAAGTGACGACTCAATATGAGGTGCGACGCGATGTAGACTAGATTAACTACTATATATATTTCTTTTCCATGTACTTATATGATATCCTTGATGTTCTTCTCTTTTTGTCGATTTTTGCTTTTTGGGCCTTATGCGGAGCTATCCCGAATAGGACTAGTGTCGGATGTTGAGCGAGACTAAAAATTGCAGATTTTTTGATCCAAAATGAAAAAATGAAAAAGAAAAATGAAAAAGGAAAGGAAAGAAAAAGTAATGAGAAAAAGAACAGAAATAAAATGTGACTATCAGGCTATCAGCAGTCTGAAGAATAAGGCTGCCAAGGGTAGAGCCGATCGCAATAGATATCTGGATTGATGCTGTCAGATAACTTAATCTCCATCTATATACGAATTACGAACAGTTCATCTTGTGTATAGCTTCAACCCAGTCCAGTCATCAAGCCAAAAGATAATTTAAGAATAAAGAATACAATAAGAACAGAAGACTAGATTATAGACTGCTCGTCTATATCGCTATTTTCTAGAAATCGTTTCATCCTTCCCTTTGAATCAATCCTTTACATAATAGTGGCCACTCGCTGTTTTCGGCTTCTCCACCAGGAAAAATTCCCCTCCATCGCATGTCATGCACTTTCTCTCTCCCACACTCTCCTCTTGACTTCATCGTCTGGATATCTCTTGGCCATCATGGCCTCCCACGACAAGGTTGCCTCTGCGCCTCCAGTCTCCAACGATGAATCCATCGCCAAAAACCCCATCGCCAATGCGGAGATGGACATGGAAAAAGACGGCCAGCAACGCGCCCCGGAACCGGAGCTGAAGCGCAAGCTGAAGAGCAGACATTTGCAGATGATTGCCATCGGTCAGTAACTCTCTCTTATCTTATATATCATAGCTCATTCAGAACAGGAGGAACGATCGGAACGGGTCTCTTCATCGGTAGCGGCACTGCCATCGCGGAGGCTGGGCCTGCGGGCGCCTTGATCGCGTATATCTTCGTCGGCACGATTGTGTATTCCGTCATGACCTCGCTCGGTGAAATCGCTACCTACATCCCCATCTCCGGTGCCTTCACCTCGTATGCTGCGCGACTGGTCGATCCCAGTCTGGGTTTCGCCATGGGTTGGATATATTGGTTTAACTGGGCGTCAACGTTTGCGGTAGAATTGACGGCGACGGGCATGATCATTCAGTATTGGGACGAAAGTCTGTCAATCGCCATCTTCATTGCAGTCTTCTGGGTGTTTATCACGGCGCTGAATTTCCTGCCGGTCAACTTCTACGGTGAATTGGAATTCTGGTTCTCGGCCATCAAGGTGATCACGGTGCTGGGTTTCTTGATCTTCGCCATCTGCATCGACGCCGGTGTGGGCAAGCAGGGATATCTGGGCTTTCACTACTGGGGCACTCCTGGTGCCTTTGCGCCGTATCTCATCAAGTCGAATGAAGCTGTCGCCAAGTTTGTCGGTTTCTGGGCCGTCTTGATTCAGGCCGGTTTCTCGTATCAAGGAACCGAGCTGGTGGGTGTCGCGGCTGGTGAGACGGAGAATCCGCAGAAGACGGTCCCTTCGGCGATTCGCAAGACGTTCATTCGCATTCTCTTCTTCTTCGTCTTGACCATCTTCTTCATCGGTATCCTGGTCCCATACGATAACGATCAGCTGGCAACAGACAACAACAACGCCTCGTCCTCCCCCATGGTCATCGCAGCCAACCTGGCCGGCGTCAAAGTCCTGCCTCATCTGATCAATGCCGTTCTCCTCACCGTCGTCCTGTCCGCCGCCAACTCCAACGTCTACAGCGGCAGTCGAGTCCTCCTCGGCCTCGCGCAGGAAGGCTTTGCCCCCAAGATCTTCGGCCGCGTCACCAGCTACGGCGTCCCCTACATCAGCGTCAGCTTCACCGCCCTCTTCGGCGCCCTCGCCTTCATGAACGTCTCCAACACCGGCGGCACCGTCTTCAACTGGCTCGTCAACATCTCCGGCGTAGCAGGCTTCATCACCTGGTCCTCCATCAACCTGTGCCATATCGCCTTCATGCGCGCGCTGGCCGCCCGCGACATCTCCCGCGATACACTCCCCTACAAGGCCATCTGGCAGCCCTACATGGCCTGGTACGGCTTCTTCTTCAACATCCTCATCATCCTCACCCAGGGCTTCACCGCGTGGATCCCCACCTTTAACGTGTCTGACTTTTTCGTCGCGTACATCTGCCCCATTCTCTTCGTGGTTTTGTACGTCGGACACAAGATCTTCTACCGTACCAAGTTCATCCATCCCCTCGAGGCGGACTTGCATACGGGTCGATTCGCCCTGCAGAACGCATCGTGGGAAACCGCCAAGCCGCCCAAGTCTTGGTATGAGAAGATTTGGCGGTCATAGACAAACACATATAAAAGGGGGAAGTCGGATTAGCGAGCATTTCATAATAGGAGTTGGGAGTCTCATATATTCAGTTATTACGTATATAGATATATAGTATATAGCATTTAAGCATCCAATCTAGAATTATACACCATCACGTTCGTCCTACGCCTTTTCTTTCTTATACTTCACGCCTAACCCGACTCAGAAGTTTTGATATATCTCGCAAAATAGCTCAGCCCACTCACAAACGCCGTCAACCCCGTAAACACCACCAACACGCCATATCCACTCCCATACCCGCCCCAGGCTTGGCCCTCCCAGACCTTGCCGCGGAGTAGCGCCTCGCTAAGCGGTCCGCTGAGGACATTGCCTATTCCGCGCCCTGTCTCGAGGAGGCCAAACACCATGCTTAGGTCCGCGGAGGGTTTGCTCTTTTTGACTTCGTGGGAGATGCCGGACCAGGTGGCTGAGAAGCCGCCGGCGAAGAGGCCGTAGATGATGGCGAAGATGTATAATGGTGCGATGCCGTTGGATAAGCCCCAGATAAGGAAGACGGATACGACGGCCCCGACGTTGGAAATGAGAATGCAGTTCGCGATGTGGTATCGATCGGATAGATAGCCCATACTTGCGCAGCCGAACACGCTTGTCAGGTTGAACAGGACTACTGTCAGTGAGGCGAGGAGGTTACTCGCGCCTAGGGACCGCGCGTGAGAGGGGAGGAAGATGTTAGGCAGGAAGAAACCTAGCGCTTCGATGATATTGCCTAGTTGGTAGACGATGTAGACGGGGTCCCAGAAGAAGGTGAGATTGAGCTGTTTGAGAGTGGAGGATTGAGGGCGGGGGAGACGCGGTCGGTGGAAGAAGAGGAATGGACAGCCCATGAGGAAGAGGGCGACGGAGGAGATGCGCAGGGTGGTTTGCCAGCCGTAGCTGTTGAGGAGGGCTTGGAGGATGATGGGGAAGATGACGCCTGTCATGCCGGATCCGCCCTGAGGCTGTTAGTTGATGTTGTTTATACTGGTTAATGGATGGGACATACCCAGACAACTCCATATGCGAATCCCTTCTTTTTGTCGAACCATTCATGCATGAAGATGATGGACGGGGTGTATGCTAGACAGCCGCCAATACCGTACGCCACCCCCTGGGAAAGGATTAAATGCGTGATATTCGAGGAGAAAGAACCCAACGCCAGCGATACAGATAGTAAGAGCAGACCAGCTGTTGAAACCCAGCGTTGAGTTCGAGGAAAAGCGATCATGAACGCAATGACGATCGGACTGAGGAGGTATGCGAGGCCCTGGATAGTTAGATAGAGTTGTATATAGGAGTTGATGGACGAACCATTGCACACGTGCCTATTACGGCGATATTCTGGGAGTATTTGAAGGGTTCATGATTTCGATAGTAATCCTGGAAGACACCATAAGAAAAAGAGAACCCTGAAGAGTCAGTTCATATTCAGTATATTGTATACGAAAGCATACCCCAGGTAATAGCCTCAAGCATAAAACACGCCGTCAAGAACAACCAGGCATGAAGACCGCCATCGACAGGAGGCAGCGACGGATCGTGATACTGCGTCTCGCTCTCAAAGCATTTATCCGAGTCTGCTGGCGAGCTCAGATTCTCACTGATATGCTCGCAGTCCTTCTTTTCTATCGTGTCTCCTCCCATCGTGGCTGTCTGAGAGGTCGGAGAAATAGTTGAAGAATGAGAATCACCCCAGGCAAAAAGAACTTTATAAGCCCACCGGAAAAGCCATGCTCGCTGCGTTATTAGTCTGTGCATGCGCAGTGACCATGAAACGCATCAGATCCTCCTTGTTGAACCATCTCATCCAGCTTCAACGGGGCAGAAGGCGTGACTAGGCGTGGGGTAGCTCCATTCTCTGGTATGCAGCATATGTCGAGGGCACAGCACAGGCAGGGATGGCGATGATCGTTTGCTGGAATGTGCCCTTGCTTTGGCGCGATTGGAGGAGCCTATGGAAGTATTATCCTGTTTTGCTGGTGTCTTGTCAAAGTGCAGTCATTATCATTATTCTATTGCCTATGGTCTATATACAGGGTATCAGGGTATCAATATATCAGACATAATCTGTCGGGATAGGGTAAACAATATTAAAAAACACCCAAAAACCTCTTCCGCCGGCTCTTGGTCGATCGCGATCGCTGCGTGATGGCCGAATTCCGCGTGTTGACTCGGTCGATGTCGTACGGATTCGCCTGGTATACAGGCTCTTCGTCCACCGTCGACACGGAGGCAATCGACTCTGCATCGTGCACTTCTCGATCCATCGCTCTATCGTCCGCCACCTTTTGCTCGGTTTCTTGTACCTTCTCAGTTTCCGGCACAAGTGCCTTGTCGGCCAGTTTACGCATGAATTCGTCTGCTTCGGCGGCGTATTTGCATTTTTGTCGAATCTGCTTTCCATACCGGTAGAAGATGAAAGGGAATGGCACACAGGCAACGGCCAAGAAGGCAGGGATGCATGAAGCCCAGTGGATGCCCAGGTTTCTATACATATAGGTGGTGAAGAGAGGGAACCCAGCACCAAAGCACGATCGAATGATAGAGTTGGCGGCCAATACGGAGGCAGCGTAGATGGTGTACGAGTCAATGAGATACACCATGATGCCCAAGAAGACGAGGACCATTCCGAAGCCGAATGGTGCGGCGGCGATGATGCTCACGATCCAATGCACGCTGGGTCCGTTGGTCCAGGCGAACCAGAACAGGCCGATGGGGATGGCGATGCCTCCGATCATGGTCGGTGGGAGACGGGCTTCAGGCGGTGCGAAGCCGTTGTGTTCTCTGCTGACGCGGACATATCGTTTGTTATCGTGCATGTTGTAGACAACCGCGGTCATCATTCCAATCATAACGCTGAGGAAGGGCAAGCTGCCAATGCCTTCGCTCCAGCCGCGCATCTGCTGGTAGACAATCGGAAAGGCGTCGAAGAGCATGTAGAGCGTTCCGTAGATGATGGCCATGTAAGTAGAAAGCAGCAGGACAATCGGCTCGACAAACAGGAGGATCCACGGCCGCAGCAAAGCAGCTCCAAAGGCATCACCGGCAGATACCTTGCCACGATCCCGGTCCAACTTACTGAGATACACCTTTCCACTGATCTTGGACAGTCTTTCCGCTCGCTTTCGTAGGAGGACTGGTGCATATGTCTCAGGGACGAGAAAGGTTTCAATCAGCCAGATTGCGCCGGTAAAAGTGGCCAAAAAGCCCTGCACCCATCGCCAGCCGGCATTTTCGCCTAGAAAGCCTCCGATCACCGGACCCAGAGTTGGACCTAACTGGTTAGTATAGGATGTAGATAGAGTATAGAACAGACATACCGAGAAAGGGTGCTCCAGCAAACAGACTAGTCGCCAATCCTCGTTCTTCAGCCGAAAAGATATCAGCAATAACTCCACCGGCATTGGTCAGTGGCGAAGATCCAAAGGAACCCGCGAAGAAACGCAGGATTATCAACGTCCAGATATTCTTCGCTCCTGTAATACCGGCACTGAAGACAGCCAAAGCCAGGTATGTTATGAAAAAGACAATCTGCCGTCCGTACAGCTCACTCAACGGCGCCCATAACAACGGCCCAACAGCGAATCCCAGCACGAACAGCGACACACCCAGTGTAGCCACTTCCTCGCCCACTCCAAACGAAGTCAGAACCTCCTCGATACCTCCAGCATAGGCAGACGAAGCCAGTGACACACCCAGCGTGGCGAAAGCGACGGTGATGGTGTATGCCCATTTCGTCGACATCTTAAGCAGCATCGGATTGCGGGGATCGTCGGGGATCCATTCGACGATGAATGGATCATCTTCTGTTCCTGAACCAAGATACGGGTATTCGATAACCTCTTGTGTCACAGCGCCCTGATCCACGAGCAGACGCCAGTAGGGGATCTTGGACGATCTAGGAGCCTCGATCTGGTCGTTTTTAAGCTCCGCCATGTCGACTGAGTTTGAAGTGGTGTGCAGACATGACGAACCAGTGGGATGACGTCTTCTTTTATATGCGCCTCGTCATCCTGAAACCAGATCACACCACGCAAAAAGATAAGCAACAATCAGACCAAAAAAGGCACGGCAAAGCATCAACCATGGCTGCCGATTGCTTGAGTCTGGCGCCAAGGCTGCCAGGTGGGGCTTTTGCTGCTGCCGGTTTTCCGCTGCCCCACTTTGGATGGCAGATCGGTTGTTGAATCGGCAAGCCGAGAGGGCGATTTATTGGGCCGAGGCTCACTTAATTATATAGTAGTGGTACAGTATTGATCTATGGTTAGGTAGGAGTACATGACAGACGCTGAGGTTGCCCGTATGACAGTAGATAGAGTGATCAGATTGAGTTGTATGACTTGACATGTGCTGTGACATCATACCAGTTATGCATGCAGCTCACTTCATAGCGTATTCATAAGCCATCAGACGCAAACAGAACCTGACTGCTTTCTATCTTGATTAGTACATCAGCAAGACCTAATATGGTTACATTTGATATATCTTGATATATTGCTGACGTGTCTCAACACTGTCCCAGTTCATTCTACCATATACGTTTCAGATGTTGCCTTCATGATTCAATACCATGTATGTATTAGACCATTGCTATTGTTTCCGAGTCGCGTGGAACGGTCCGGTGGTTTAAACAATCATTAAGCGATGACAAGACCCATGGTCATAGTTCCAGACAGATCTCCAAGTTCATCCGAGAGATCCGAACTAGCCCTTATCTAGACTCCAAACGCCTCGGAATTTAGAGCGGAATAATTCAGACCAGAATAATTCCGAACTACTGTTTTTTAGTCTGCCTAAGATATAGTCAAGTTAAGTGTCCTAGGTGTTGGGTGTTATTTTTACCGAGGTACTCGGTCTGGTAGGCAATTATCTTCCTGGCTACCTACCACACAAGTAGAATGCAAAAAAATTTGTTCCAATGCTATCCAGTTGGGTTTATGACAACATGAAAAGCTTGTACTTTAATGACATGCAATATTTACCTTTTCTTTTAATGATCATAATAAATCGATTTACGATCCCGTCCGCTATATATATATATCTTCTTGATAAATCTAAACTCTATCAACTTACTCATCATTCCATTATACCATCACATCCTTTTTTAATACATATGAACAATTAGGTTCCTTCACATTATTACTATTCCCAGTTGAAAGTCTACATACCAACTGCGACTACGTCAGTATGACTGCATAGGATTTGATGATCAAGTTGCAGTAGCGCTGAAAGCTGGCTTCACCCTCCTCATTCATTAACATTCAACGCCAAGAATAGCTACTCTATAGATGGTCAAGCTTCTTGCTACCCCGCCATGCAACTGAACTTTTAGGGCTGGGATAATCCTAAATCTAAATATTATGGGTTAGTTATATATCTTGTGATCAAGACAGCTAATGCCAGCGAAGAAGGGGGGAACCTGTTACCAGTGATTGTGCATGGCACTCGAGCACAGGAAACAGCTTGGCCTGGGCAGAATGGCGTCTCCATTTTGTATGGAAATGTCCAGAGATAGGTGCTTTGTACTACTCCTTTTAATCAGGCAGATCACTAAATATTCGCACATTGATTCAGCGCACGCCCGAGAAGCAGGGGAGGAATATTGGCTTGCAGAACCAGTTAAGCAATAAACTCTCTTCTTATTGCAAAAGCTACGGAAAGAAACGGACTGGAAGAGTGCTTGATGAGCTCTCAATTCCTGAGATCGACATGCTGTAAATAATACGATAATACTGGGGTGTAATGGATAATACCATACATCCCAACGGGGTAAGGCGGTAACAAAGGCAGGTGACCTGGCGCCGGCCATGATGTGCCTCGCCCTCCATGAGGGCCCCCCACTTTGGCCGCTGTTGATGTTTTTATCTCAAACTTTGTCCAAACACGCCATCATCCGGTCTCCCATTGGGCTTTACTACGGTGCCCATATTAGACGCCTTGGTCGCTGGTCCCGAGCCTAAACCCGCCCTAAACAATTGAGGACCACCAGGCTCCGTCGTACAGCGGGAAAAACAAGCATTGAGCTGTCTAAATTCCATCTTTTCCACCGGTGCCGTCCTAGTCTTCATTGACTTGAGGCTCAATCCATTCCGCCTAGAACAATGGGCGAACCTACACCCGACATCACAGTCATGGATCATCAGAAAACAAATATATCCACAGAGCGGGCAACCCCGTCGAGCGATATGGGCGCTTCCAGCAAGACTATCGTCAGGAAGGTGAAGAAAGATGCTAATCTGCTGACGAGGTTGACTCGTTGGCTACTCAACAACCAGATCGGTACGTATCGACAGTGGCCCGGTGTTGACTTGGCTTCTCGCTGCCATTTTTACGTCTTTTACGCCGGAGCCCGAGCTGTTGCTGACTGCAACTGACTTTGAATAGGCCTCTCTTTCAATCTCATCGCTCTTCTTTTCCTCACCCACATCTCCATGCCCAAGGCACGGCCATTTACAGCCAAATTCTTCACACTGTCACATTACAACCCCAACACTGGGAAATATGCTCTCGGCCATGGGGACGGCTTGTTCATGATCTTCTGGGTCACCTTCTTGACTGGCCTACGTGCAGCTTTCATGGAATACATTCTAGCTCCCCTTGCCAAACGATTAGGAGTAGCGAAAAAGAAGGATGCTACTAGATTCGCCGAACAGGGATGGATGCTGATCTACTACAGTGTTTTCTGGCCTCTGGGAATGGTATTTATTCTTGACTATCCTGATTATTGCGCTTTGACTAAACATTTTCCAGTACATATACTGCAAGTCGCCATACTTCCTCGACATGCAACAGCTATGGACCGACTGGCCTCAGCGAGAGCTCGATGGGCTTATGAAGGGATACATGCTGGGGCAATGGGCTTTCTGGTACCATCAGGTACTTGTCATCAATGTTGAGGATCGTCGGAAGGATCACTGGCAAATGCTGAGCCATCATCTCGTCACGATTGCGCTGATTTGCGCGTCATACGCCTACCACCAGACCCGGGTCGGGAACCTGATCTTGGTAACGATGGACGTGGTCGATTTGATTTTCCCTGTAAGATATGCAGAATTCTATGATATGCGTCCCTACTAATCACCCAGACAGCTTGCTAAGTGCCTCAAATATCTCGGGTATACTACGGTTTGCGATATTTTATTCGGCATGTTTGTCGCCCTATGGCTAGTCTCCCGCCACGTGTTCTATATGATGACCTGCTGGAGCGTCTACTCCGACTTCCCTAAAGAGGTACCGCCATCCTGCTACCACGGTACTGCGGACAATCTTCAGGGCCCATTCCCAGTACCCGATGGCTGGTCGCATCTGTTGGAACCCTTCCGCGACCCCGCAGGCACGGTATGCCTTAACAACAACATTATGTACGGCTTCCTAACGTGCCTTTTAACCCTCGAAGTCATGATGATTATGTGGTCCTTCTTTATTATCCGAGTCGCTGTGCGTGTGCTGAAGGGCTATGGTGCCGAGGATATTCGAAGCGACGACGAGGAGGAGAACGAGGAAGAGGCCGTCGAGTACGAGGAAGTCGAGGCTCTGGAGGAAGAAGTTGGCGTTGAGGATATCGACTTGAAGGGATGGGAACGCCGCACTGCTGGAAAGAGGGCCGCGAGCTCAAGTGGCGTCAGTTCATCTTTACCCAGGAATCGCGATCGCAAGGAGTTGCTGAACCGGATTGGGTGCGAGAAGCAAATCAGCTAAGACTTGAGAACGGCTCGATGATGGCTGTCTTGGGCTGGCCCAACACCTGTGGCGTCTTTTGGCCTGAGGCAGAAGCCACTGGAAATATGACTGTGAATTTGACTGCTGCAATAAGAAAAGTAGGTGTATTGAACATACGACTTGATACTGCCAGATTGGAGCCACCGTAGCAATAATACTGTATTTACTCGTATGATCGAGCCACTTTAGGTTAGGCCGGGTATTTGACGTACGGGCAGTTACCATGGAACGCTTCTGGCCCCCACGGCCAGCGTACGACAGCTGAAAGAAAACCGCTGACTCATGCAGCCTGCCCAATCACAGCTGTCACTGTCAGTCGCTTGTCACACCCGACCGCTGGCGGAAACGGTTATCCACCTATCAACTCCACCGGATCGGAGGCTTTTTTAGTCATTCGGGAGGTCCACCCATTCGGAGGCTTTTTGTTTTTTCCCCACGGTGCCTGAGACAACAGAGCAGGAGATCGCGTTTCCCTATTTTTCAATAATCATGGCTAGCTGCTGTGGCTCGCAGTGAGTTAGTGATGGATCCCTGTCGGGGGGGCACAGCCCCCTTAACCCCAAGGGAAATGGAAACATTGGATTCGTAACAAACAAATGGAGATGTTTACATCAGCAGCCCACTAGCTTCCCAATTTACAGGCTGCGTCTTGTCGACCAAGACCGCTTCACTCCTTTAGCATCCCCGGGACTTGGATAATTGAACAGCTCGAGGAGCTCAACCGTGTCTACTACTAGGTTTCGAGAACCTCATCCTCCTTATCGGCAACAACCATGGCTGCCTCCACCTCCCCGCTTCGCAGTACGAAGCTGAACGACCAAAAGCCCACGCGCAGAAAACCCCGTTCTCTCCGGCGTCGTTGCAAACGTTTCGCGATGAATCACACCTGGACAATTCCTCTCCTACTATTGCTGGCCTTTGCCGCTCTCTACGCCATCAATCCGACCGAGTCCAACGTCATCCACCGCTTTATCTTCCTCTCCTACAAACAACCAGCCCTCGAGGCTGGCGCACCCCCGCAATATGGCAAGGGCCTCTGGGACATCGCCTTTGTTTCCTTCTACACAATTGTTCTCTCCTTCACACGCGAGTTTATAATGCAAGAAATGCTGCGTCCCCTGGCTCGTTTCTGCGGAATCAAGTCGCGGGGCAAGCAGTTGCGCTTTATGGAGCAGATGTACACGGCCGTCTATTTTGGATTTATGGGACCGGCGGGTCTGTATGTGATGCGCCGATCGCCGGTCTGGTACTTCAACACAAAAGGAATGTACGAGCTCTTCCCGCATCGAACCCACGAAGCCTGTTTCAAGTTTTACTACTTGTTCCAGGGTGCATACTGGGCGCAGCAGGCCATTGTCATGTTGCTGGGTATGGAGAAGCCACGCAAGGACTTTAAAGAGCTGGTAGCACACCACATCGTTACTTTGGCTTTGATCGGCCTCAGCTACCGCTTCCATTTCACGCATATGGGCATCGCCATTTACCTGACCCATGACATCAGTGATTTCTTCCTTGCCGTAAGTTGAACGAAATTCTTCGAATCCCAGGTCTATTCAAAAGGGGGCTAACATGAGACTGGTTTAGATATCGAAATCCCTCCATTACATCGACGGCCCCATGACCCCGCCATTCTTCGCCCTCTCGATCGGAGTTTGGGTTTACCTACGTCACTATCTCAACCTGCGTGTCCTCTTCTCGATCTTGACCGAATTCCGGACAGTGGGCCCCTACGAACTCAACTGGGAGACTCAACAATACAAATGCTGGATCTCAAACATTATCACATTCGGATTATTGGCTGCGCTCCAGTTCCTGAACCTCTTCTGGCTGTATTGCCTTTTGCGCGTCATGTACCGATACCTCGTACACAATATCGCGGAAGACGACCGGTCCGAGCCTGATGAGTCGGAAATTGAGGAGGAACGCAAGAAGGCCGAACCACTATCTTCGTTGAATGGCAATGATCTCAACAAGGGCAGTGTGAACGGTGCTACCAAGGCCACAGGAAAGGAGAATGTTGCAAAACCTACGAAGAGAAAAAGCACTCGGTAGACTGTTCGCTCTCGAAGCGGATCCATGCCATGTGTGCGATAGCTACCGGATGTCAGCATAGAGGACTGGAATTAACAGCACCTCCCGTTCTACCTTGGGCATCTTCAATACCTGAGTTTACTCTTCAGGGCTAACTTGGAATAGGTTCACCAGGTCCCGCTCTGGTAGAAGTTCCGAGTCTTAACGGACAAGACCAACATTGCAGACGACAGAGCAGCGTTGGTCTTTGGAAATTCTACCTTCAACTCCATATTTCCAAGACGGCGTCCTACACACGCAAAATAAATCCTAATTATAAATTTATAATACCCTAGCTTAGGAAGTGGAAGGTTTGATTGGCGCAATCAATAATTCAGCATCGTGGTTGAATCGGGTCTTTCTTCTTTGTATGTATTTGAACAGCACACCAGCTCAATATGAGTCATGATATATAAATCCTAATCAAATAATTTACCATCACAACTTATACCAATCCCAGCCCCGTGATCATTTCGTCCCTCGTCTTTTCCAAAACCACATCCACATCAGCCGACCCATAGAACGCCTCATTATAGCAAGCACTAAACACCATCCGTTTCCTCCACGTCCACAGATACATCTGGAAATCACCCGTAAGCATCGTAGAACTCACCCAGAAGTCATCCAGCTCCCAATCACCGTAGCGGGGTTGTAGGAAGTCGTCGACCACGCCCATACTCGACAAGTAAGGCGTGCTGCTGGGCGGCGCACCGCCACTTTCGAGAATTTGTTTGGACATGGCCATGTACGGGCCCAGGTAGCCGAAGTCGTTGTCTGCAAAGACGAATGGGTTTTTGTACTGCTTGTGCAGGGACTGGCTGATGGACTCGAAGGTGTTGTCTGTGCTGAAGTCGATCGGTAATGGGAGTGCGGTCTGGAGGCTTCCGATGGAGTGCTGGTGTGGGTTGAAGGGAGGAGGGAAGTGACGCCGGAGATCGATGGTGGTGAACTGTGTGTATGATGTGCCTTCTTCGCCGGTTGAGGATTGGATTTTCTGGGGCGAGTTGATGTGTTAGTATGGGAAATGGGTTGGCATGTAGAGAACTGGTACAGACTGAAGCACACTTACCTGTGTCGCCATTACCAGCGCAGCATGCCATGCAGAGGTGACAGATACCCCCTTCTGCTTGCAAGATTCGATAATGGATTGTGTGGTCTCCTCAGTCAGTGCGAGGTCCCTGTGGACGGTCTTTTGCGGTACGCGTCCAAAGTCCACGCCAGGCAACCGGATGGGCTTTTGCTGCATCAGGATACGCTGGAAGATAGACTGAGCATCCTTGACACTTTTCTCTGATGGGATCGCCGAAACCCCAAGCCAGTCATCATAGGGTCTTGTCAGATTCAGAGGCCCGGTGTGGGCGTTGATACCATTGGAGTGGTCCTCTGACTGCCTGGACAGTGTCGTGAACAAAGCGTGGTACAAATACAAGATCCCACGCCCATCGATGAGGGCGTGCGGAGCCTGGATAACGACCTCGTTCGTGTCGCGCAGGAAGTGAAGAGTGATGCAGAACTGGCTCTTGAAAGCAGAGAACAGCTCGTCTGCGCTAATACCGTCATGAACCTGGAAGGATTTCTGCAACCACTCTTCTACGGCAGTCGATTCGTCCGATCCAACCACCATCTCCCGCGTATTAGTATCGACCACGGCGGTGATATTGGGGAAGTCACGCCGCGTTTCTTTCCATGCTTGTCGGAGAGCATTTGCAATGTCGACACTGTCGTTTCCACGATAAGCGATTGACACGCCGCACCCAATCATCCAGTGCACTGGTGCGCCTTCAGGAGAGGCGAGAGTAAGGTAGAAAGACTCCATGGAGCCCAGCTTGCGGCGCCAGGCTCCATCTTGCTGGGACCAGGGATAGGCTGCGGCCATGATGATTTCTGGGATGACCTTGAGATAAAATTGGGATAGGGTCGGAGAAATGAAGGGGAATAAAATCACGGGTAGCCATTTTCTAGATTTGACACTTATAGGTACTTGCCAACTCTCACCGGGGCCTGAGACTTGCTGGTTTGCTTATCCGAACATCCAAGGCCGAATGTATATAAAAGTCTCCGAACACGCCCCGGTTGGCCCAAGAAAGCCGTGTATCGCCGGACTGTATTGGATTATTTGAGAATTGAGATTAAGGCATGTCTGGATTAAAAAGTTCTAAGAAATAAGCGATTATAGAGGTTGCTCAAATTGGGCCTAAGCAAAGCAGACTCAGCGTTTGTTGATATACGGTGCATAGATTTTAGGACGTTATGTGCATTAATCCAGGTTTTATGCAACTGGGAAAGCTCCCCACATCACATGATCCAGGCGTAAATCATTATGCAATTGGATAAGTAAACAGCTCTAGTTCTACAAAATATCCATATCATCTCGTCTTCACGCGTTGCCAATGCGGACTACAAGCTTTTGCCCACGAACCTGCCCGGTCTTGAGCATCTCCAAGCCCTGCACAATACCATCCCATTTCCCAGGAACCTCTCGTACAGGGTGACACTTAAGGCGTCCCTCATCCAGAAGCGTCTGCACCTCCTGGCGCCATCTCACCCCAAGCTCAAACTTGGCCGGATCCGCGTCTCGGTGGTAGGCGCCCGTGAGCTTGACCTCCTGGCCCATCACCACGTATGTCATGGGCATGTCCATCTTGACTGCTTTGCGTGTCCTCCATTCATCGGGTGCGTACTCGAGACTTGCATATCGTGCTCCTACACGCCCAAGGGCCTTGAAGCAGCAGTCGACGGATTCGGGGGTGGTGATGCAGTCAAGTGCTTGCCGCAGTGTACCTTTGGTGATGTCTTTGATCGTCTCTCCGCACGTCGGGGATGAATAAGGGACTGTTCTGACTGCGCCGTATTTCTTTACTAGGGCCGAGGATGCAGGCGAGGCGGTTGCTATCGGATCGTATCCGGAACTGCGACGAAGAAAGTCAGTTATTCCAGTGGCATGAATGAATAAGGCTTTGCTGCGCAGACACACCTTGCGAGTAGTTGACACGCCATTGTCCCTGTGGCCGTTGCACCGCCATAGACCAACACAGGTATACGCGTCCCATCCTCTCGCAGAGGAGCAGGTTTCGACGGAATACCCGTGAGTTTCAACGAATCTTCCATGGTCAAGCCCACTGTCGCCCATCCGATTCCTCCCAGCGCTGCGCCCTCGAGGTCGTTCCAGGCATCTGGCACGCGCAGACACAAACGCACATCTTGAACGAGGTACTCTGTAAATGCGCCGGAGGCTGGATTCCCGGGATTCGAACCGTATATTGGACCGCATAACCGTGTTCCGGGCGGCGCATTGTCGACTTCAGGGCCAGCGGAAACCACGACGCCCATAAAGTCGCAGCCCAGGATCGCACCGGGCACCGGGTGGTATGAGGGCATCTTATAGTCGGTTGGGTTCAGCGCGACAGCGCAGACCCGGATCAAAACATCGTATGGTCCTTTGGTGTCTGGAATTGGGTGGATTTGAGATGCAACCGGTGGCCATTGCCCGTCCGGTCGTTGGACGAGACTAGTTTGTCGCTGAGCCATTTGTGCTGATTCTGCTTGAAGGTCGTTTGGCGCTCTCATTTCGGACGTCTACTCTGCCTCTGCAATTTTTCTGAAAGTGTACTATGTATAAACACCTATAGGGTTACAGCTGCACGTGAGATAGGATGTCGGAGATATTTGTGAGTATATCCGGTCAGCACCCGTACCCGACCCTAACCCTCCGACTCGGATTCGGGGCTCCGAATTGAAAACACGAATGATTCTACGAACAACTGGGTATCGTAGTAAATCTGCTCAGTAGATAGCAGGTATATGCCGAACTAAGTCTCGATGCCTGCAAAGTGCAATGGTACGAAAACCGCATAGTAAGGCTTGTTGTACTCCATTCCAATCATAAGCACTATATTAATCCATTTAAAAATATAGGACGCCTCTTCTCCATTCTTTCCCTTTTGCGAAGTTTGGTTGTTAAGCCCAGGTACATGGAGCAGCCATGATTTCAGCGTTGTCCTCAAATCAATTCGCGGTCAACGTGACCAATGCCGTGTCCTCCTATCTTCATGGCGAGGTCCTAACACCGACATGGACATGGGCGACTGCCATACCTCTTTTGGTTGTCGCGACATTCATGTACGACTTTGGGTCGAAATACTTTCGCGACCGCAAACTTCGCCATCTTGGTTCGCCAGCTCAGATCATTCCATTCAAAGCCCCTCTTGGTGAGTTTCCCAAGCAGTATGCATATTCACCCATTTCCAGCATCTGACATGTTCAGGCGTCGATGTCGGTATTTATTCCGTGTACAGACTTCTTAAGCACACTTTCTTCGAGCTCATGTCGAGCTGGATCGAGGATGCCCCTGGTCGAACTTGCGAAATGCGAATGTTTGCTCAAGGGTTGATCTTTACCGACGAGCCTGCCAACATCAAAGCGTTCATGTCCTCAAAGGTATGTGTTTCTAATAGAGAGAGTGAGGTCTCAGGAAAATATCTAACCGCTATGGTAGTTTGACGATTTTGGCAAGGGTGACGTGACACGGAAGATTTGGGGTAACATGCTCGGCGATACTCAGATTTTCACAAGTAAGAACTAGCCATCATTCGTTCTGTATAAATCCCGGAGCTTGCTAATCTGCATATAGTTGATGGAGAATACTGGCATAAGAACAAGGAGACTCTGCGTCCACACGTAAGTCAGGCACCGTACCGGAAACACGATGTATGTGCTTTGTATGACTGACCACGCACCTTGAAGGTTGGCAAGCTCCGCGCAAATGACCTCGAGGTCACCGAGAAACACGTTCAAAAGCTTTTTGGACATTTTTCTGCCGGTAAACCCGTCGAGATGTACGACTTGATAGATTGCTTCCAGCTCGACGTTACGACGGATGTCTTTTTCGGCGAGTCGGCATGCTCTCTTACGTCCGAGCCTCCATTCAGAAAACAAATGGATTCGTTGCTTCCCCTGAACACAGCACGCATGTTATTTGGGTTAGCGAAATTCACACCGTCTCTTCGAGGATCATGCACCACTAACAAGCATACAGGTACAAAGCGCTCTGGTTCTCGGATACCTGGATAGCTCCAAAGGCACTCAAGGAATTGAATAAATACACCAATGGCGTTACAGACAGAGCTTACGCGAGAGACTTGTCCAAGAAGGTACCGGAAGACTACAATATGTTGGATGACTTGGTCAGCCAAAAGAAGAACTACAAAGTATGACACTCAACACCGTCCGCCCGATGATATGCTTACACCGTGCAGGAGATCAAAGAGGCGCTGATGTCTATTATGCTTGGTGGAAAGGTATGATATTATGCACTGCAGAGCTATTATGCTTTTACGATCATATCAACTGATGGCGCTAGGATCCCTCCACGATTCTCATTACATGGGCTATCTACTTGATGGGAAAGCACCCCAATGTGATGAAGAAGATGCAAGCGGAGGTTGAAAAAGTGTAGGTTCTTACGCATCTTCAGCTTGAGCAAAGGTTACTGGCCACTAACAACCTTTCAGATGCGGCACAAGGCTGCCGACGGCCACTGAACTCAAGGAACTGACGTATGTACGACATGTAATCAACGAGACTTTCCGACTCCATCACCCCTGTAAGTTACTCTATGAACCAAAACCTGTCCATTTGCAGCTACTCATCCGGTTCTAGTGGGTCTAAACGTACGAGTGTCGTTTAAAGACACCACTCTGCCAACTGGAGGAGGCAAGAATGGCAAGGAGCCTCTAGCCATTCAGAAGGGTACAACTATCAGTAAGGCATCATTACCCACCACTATCTCTTCATTTACTTACGGGAATAAAGTCTACTCCCTAATGGGTATGCAACGGCGCAAGGATCTCTACGGCGAAGACGCAGACATTTTCCGCCCCGAACGCTGGGAGGAATCCAACATTAACCGCTGGCACTTTATTCCATACAATCAGTAAGTCTCCACACAGAGACATGGATGAATTTAAGCTAACCAAATCCAGTGGTCCTCGTATGTGCATGGGCCGCAATTTCGGTCAGCAGCAAATGGAATACATCCTAGCGAGAATCTGCCAAGAATTCGAGGAAGTCCGGATCCCAGGTGGACAGCGTGAGCAACAGATTAAGATTGAGCTGAACACTAAGATGGCACATCCGTGTATCTGTGAGATGGTACCAAAGGCGAAGGCATAGTTGTGCCACGAAGATTGTGATGAAAATGGCAAGGTAGTAAGTAGCTTTCTTTACTGCTAGGCTTTCCCTTGGATATACAGCCATATATGTGGCCTGGTAGTTAGTTTGGAAAATATGATATGGTATGTATGCATTTTTTTATTGACGGGTAAAGCCACTCATGACAATATGCTGGTGCAGCCACATCAGTCATTTCTCTTTAGTCCAGGTGATATCTAGAGTGAGAAAACGAAAGGCTGATTAGCAAGTGGTAGCATTAATGCATTTCCTAAGTGGAACGTACTGTTTTTAACGTTATTCTTTCCAACAAGTAGATCTCTAGTGCATCAATCTATGAAGTATGCATAGGGTGCCACCGAGACCCCCTCAACAACCTCCCGCTCGTCTTCTTCACCGGCACCTGGATCGAGATCCCTTGCACAGAGAGACCCCATTGACCAGATCGCAAAGCCCGCAAAGAAATCGTGACCGATATCAGATGGCGTGCCTTTGTACCCTTTCGCGGCCAGGTCCGCCACCACATCATCTAGAAATCGGTAGGAGAGTTGGACGCCATCAAGCCAGACTTCACTTCCATCATCGCCCGAATATGCGATCTCGACCAACTCAACCGTGCTATCGTCCTGGTAATGGATGATGAGTTGTGGGTCGGTATCATAGACGACTTTTTCACAGTCATTGTTGTGTATAGCAGATAGGCCGAGGCGAGATTCGATGACTGAGCGGTGGTCTCCGATTTGAGCCATAGCTACACCCTTGCTGGGAATGATATTCATAGCTGCAGTTTAGGCGCTGGAATTCAGTGTACAGGCTCAACGTGAGAGAAAAGCAAGTGAAGGGAAGGTAAATTTGTTGTGGATGAGGAGAAACTGGAAATGTCAGTGGGCCCTCGTATTATGAAGATCATTATAATTATGGCGCCAATCTGGTTGGACTACCAGATTTTACGAATAAGTGGGGTCTTTTAATTTGCTATCTATTAAAATAAGCTCGCTCAATGCCGCCTATTAGGGTACTGAAGGAGGTTCAAAATGAAGATGTTTCCTGACCAGATAAAAGACCGGATAATGATTTGCATAACAACAAACACTAATAATAATGATGTTAATCCTTGGAATTAAAATACTCCCATTCAAAATCCAGTGAGTAGGGAACTTCGATAAAGTTAAATTGGAGGAAATAATGATACACATGCATTCCAAAGTCTCGCATCCTAATTCCTGAGCAATCTCGGGAAATTCATTGACCCCTCTGCATTCCCCAGACCCTTGAACACAGCAGCCATGGAGGCCGACAACCCAATCTTTTCCGCACGAAGAATCCACTCATCCAACGATACTTGATCAATCACCGCACTCCCAGTCTTTTCCATCAGATATTCTTTAAACTCTGTGATACCAATCTCCAAGTCTCCTGACTCGTGAATATATGTGACTCCATTAGACTCGGACTCGTGATTATGACCCATGACGGCTTGAGTGACCTTGTTTGTGACAGTAGTCGGGTGGACAAGATCGACGGTTCCACGCAGACCCGGTGCCATTGGCACGGCGAGTACACGCTGCGAGTAGGCCAGCATGTTTTGCAGGACGTCCGCTGCTGGGTTGTCGCCCAACATGTCAGATTCGGGACGAATGACGCTCGATGGGCGGTGGATATAGATGGGCAGGTTGTACTCAGCATTCACTCGTTCGAGATAGATTTCGCTGGCCCATTTCGACGCGGTGTAGCCGTAAAGTCCATTAGTAGGTGGCGTATAATTTTGAACAGAGACCTCGCCGAAGGTTTCGGATGTAGTGTACATGGTTACGCCCGTGGTGGATACGTAGTGTAGCGGGATGTTCCGGGGAAGACACAGCTTCACGAGCTCTTGTGTCGAAGCCAAGTTTGCTGAACGCAGGGATGAGTATGTCTTGAGATGCGAAACGTCTGCACCGTTATGGATGACGGAGTCCGCCTTTCCAAATATTTGAGAAGCTGCTTCATCAGACAGTCCAAGGCGAGGAAGGGTCAGATCTCCCTCATAGCATTCTACTTTTTCCAGTTCAAAGAAAAGTGCTCTTCTATCGCTGTTCAAGTTTCTGTTTGCTATGCAGATGACCTTTTCGACATGCTCTTGATCTGCGAGGGCGCGTACCAAGTACTGGCCAATGAATCCCGTTGCCCCTGTCAAAATAATCACTCGAGGGGGTGTTGAAATTGGGTTGGAGATCTCTGAGAGTGATGGCCTCTCTAGCTCATCTTGCAGTGCTGTCTCCGCATCCCAGTCAATTCGGTCATTGTTGATTTCTGCTTCGTCTTCCATGTCAAGGATTCGGGCCATGGACCGCAGTGTGTTCGCTTGGAAAAGATTTAGAAGTGGAACTGAGATGCCGAGCTGCTCTTTGAGTTTGTGTTGCAGCTCGATCAGTAACATGGAGCTGCCTCCAATGCTGAAGAAATCAGAGTCTGCGTCTATTTGATGAATACTGACAAGTTCGCCGGGAATCACACTTTCCCACAGACTTCGGAGCGTGGATTCGGCCTTTGAAAGGGCTGGCCCGTCTGTTTCGTGACATAGTTGCTGTGGAATAGACAAGGATGCAATGGCTCGTCTGTCAACCTTCCCTGTTACCGTCCTCGGGAGCTCATCGATGGGGATAATAGCTGATGGACGCATTGTACGTGGAAGTGGCAGATTTCCCAACAATTGTTGGAGTAAAGAATTCTTGTCGCCGATGGTCAGGTTCTCTGATGAGAAGACAACGTGGACAACCATAAACTTAACTGCCTCGTCGAAAGTAGACCGAAGGGTGCCTACAGCATCAGCCAGAACCCCGTTTGCCGCATTCAGTATTGTCTGCTCCACGTCCGTCAGATCGATCCGTACACCGTTGAGCTTGATTTCGGTATCGCCTCCAATACGGCCTTTGAGGATAAGAGTCCCATCTTGCTGCAGATACCCAACGTCGCCCGTTCGATACATAGTCGTCCAGCCATGTTGGACATATTCCTCATCAGCAAATGTATCGAGCAAGAAAGAAGCTCGGGTTCGCTCATCGTTGTTGAGATATCCCATCGCGACACCCACACCTCCAATGGCTATTTCTCCTGCTTGGCCGCAAGGCTGAAGATTCTGTTTTCCATCCAAAATGTAGAAGCACTCGTTTGCAGAAGCTCTTCCCACCGGAATTGTGCCCTCATAGAAGCCCGGGGCTCCATACATCAGCTCCGTTTTGGTTGAGCCACATGTTGTTTCTGTCGGACCGTAGACATTAAAAAGGCGAAGGCTAGGTCGGTTTACCTCTCTGAAAAGTTGAAGCAATGGTTCCGTTACTGGCTCTCCAGCGACCAAAGCGAGTCGCCAGGATGATGTCCGCAGTGGTTCCTGATGCTCTCGTCGCAGCCAACTTTTGTATTCTGTGGGAGTGGCATAGGTAGCAGTCACACCTTCATGCTTTATCAATTCAGCCATTGCTTGTGAATCAGCCCGCACCAGATGAGATACCATCTGCAGCCTTGCTCCGACACCCAGAGCCAAGAATATTTGGGTGACAGAGATGTCGAAGCTCCATGCGCTTTGCTGCAACACAACATCGTATTGACCCAATCCATAAGTTGCCGCACAATGATCGAACTCATGCTTTAAACTGGCATGCTGAAGTACTACTCCTTTCGGGGTTCCGGTCGAGCCGCTAGTGTAAAGGATAATGGCAGGAGAGTCGCCTTTAGCAAGAATGGGGACCGTTTCATTGGGAAGCTCGGATATGGTAGACACGTCAATGATAGTAGTGCTGGGTGGAGCATCTAGGCCTGCTGTCATTCCAAGAGTAGGCCCATGAACAAGAATGGCAGCGGGCTGGCAATCGGTCACTATCAATGATAGGCGTGCAACTGGAGTACCGGCATCAAGAGGAACATATACTGCACCAATCTTGAGGATGGCAACAACGGAGGCAACCCAGTGGACTGTCGGATGTTGGAAAATTGCGACCCTGGAGCCAGGCTCAGTTCCCTTGCGGAGGAGCTCAGATGCGATTATATCAATTTGCCGAGAAAGCTCTCCATAAGTAATGAAGGCGTTATCGCCATCCTTCACAGCAAGCCTTTGGGCAATGCTTGGGAAAAGCTGATCGAACCTGTGCGCCAGGGTTTCCGGCCATGTTGAATTGAAGGTGTGTCCTAGACATATCAGTTCATCAAACCTGTATTCTCATCAGAAGATGGATGTAACTCACCTCGACCGACAATCAGTGCCTTGTCAAGCACTGATTGTCTGAACTTCCACTCATCACCAATCGAGTTGTCGGGTGTATTCGCGAACTCCCGAAGGATATCTTCGTATCCGTGGGCTATCAGGAGGGCATCATCCTCGGAGTAAAGGGACGCTTGAACATTCAAGATGATGCGCGTATCACCGGAAGTGTTGTTAATAATAGTGAAGGTGAAATCATAAGGCAGCTCGGCTTGGTCTTGACTCATCACCTCCATTTGGCAGCCAAGGAACGATTGACCATCTTCAATGTCGCTTTCGGCGTAATTCATAAATGCCTGGGCAAGTGGTGCGTGGGTCGATTGGCGTGAGACACGTAGTTCATTCAATATGACCTCCAAAGGAACTGAGTTTGCAAGAACGGAGAAACTCTTCTGGCGAGCTTCTTCCATGGCATCGCTGAAGCGTTGCTCTCCCGTAGCATTCATTCGCACCGGAAGCATGTTGAGGAATGGTCCAATGCCTGTATGCATGTAATCGTCCCTGCGACAGCTATCCGCAATTCCAATGCAGACATCCTTGACTCCAAGAAAGCGGTGCAGGAGAACCTTGAAAGCAGCGAGGTGGAAATGAAATGTTGTCGATCGATGCTTTCTCGCAACTTGTCGGATCTGTCCTGCAAGCTGCTTGCTGATGCGGTAGTCTGGAATGCGACACTTGTACCGTTCAAGCGGGCGGCGCTCGGATACTCGACTCCAGTGAAGGGGTAAGGGATCTGGAATCGTAGTGAACTCGTGCTGCCAAAATTCAATCGGCTTTCTCCAGCTTCCGGACGAGTACTGCTCATGCTGCTCGTTTGAGTAGTCGAGATATTGCAGCGGGTAAACCTCAGGTTGCTGCCCGTCGTATGTCCGCTCCAGATCGAACATGAAGGTATCAGTGCTCGATCGGTCGAAGATGATGTGGTGGGAACCCATCATAAGATAATGATCCCTTGATGAAGCGGAAAGGAGTATGATTCTGCTTGTTCGGCCACTAGCCAGATCGAAGACATATTTCCTCAGAGAGGCGTATTCGCGGGAAACCTCTTCTTGGTTATAGACACTTTTGTGTTCAAGAGTCAATGGTGGAGACTCAAGGATTCCTTGAATAAGTTGACCGTCGCGTTCGCAAATGCAAGTCCGTAGTGCCTCATGACGCTCTCCAAGAGTTCGAATAGCCTGGGCTAGATCCGGGATTCGGATCTCGCCTTTAAGATGCAGCATGACTGTGTTGTTCAGTGTTGTCTTGTCATTCAAGAGCTCATGCACGAACAAGAATACTGACTGGGTATATGACAATGGCCCGAACCTCCTCAGTGACACTTCGTCTTTTGTTAGTGCCTCTGTCTGTTCCTGGATATCAAGGTCATCCTGGATCGAGGAGGATGAGTCTTCGGTTTGTGGGTCACTGGAAGGTGGTGTGTCTGGTAGCTCAGCGGCACTATCGGAAGAGCTTTGAGACTCTTCTTCGACCTCTAGTTCCAAGCATTGTTCGGGTGACATTTTGGGCGTCAGCTCGATTGGAATTTCTTGAGCCGCTTGTTCAATAAGGTCTTGAAGAGATGTGCCTTTCAGGATTTTCAGAGCAGGGATGTTGACCTGGAAGTTGTTCAAGAACCAAGATCTAATCCGAACCGCAACTAAGGAATCAAGGCCGAGCTCGTCAGTCCGGACAGAAGGTGTAATATCGTAATCATCGCTCAAGTGCAACATCTTGCGCAGCTCGGTAATAAAAGCACCTAACACGATGTTATTAGAGATGTCCGTTTCAGATGGAAGGAAAAGAAAGGATACGACTTACCTGAAATGACCGCTCCGATTTCATCGCTTGTCGCCGCCTTGGCCAATTGATCTTTGATAGATGGACCTGCCTGCGTGCTCGACGTGTTGCTTTCTTCTGCGGTATCTCTGACAGTGAGGCAGGCAAACTGCGGATAAGAGTACCATTGTGGCCGATTGGGGGCGTTAGCCGGTATCTGCCTCAAACCAGCTGAAATCTGCCAGTCTTCGCCTGAATCTGGGTGACTGGCGTTCACGGCTTCTGCGAAGGTTTGGTGGACGTCGGTTTCTGAGATTGTCAAGAGACCTCGGTCAAACGAAGGCTTTGTCAGGACGTCACCGCGTTCACGGGTAATGTATCCGGTACCCATAATCAGTCCCAGTTCTATCACAGATGCGGCAAGTCCTCGTCGACGACGTTGCGAAGCTAGACCACTCATAAACAAGTTTGCAGTTGTGTAATTCGCCTGGCCCGGGTTTCCTGCAACGGTGGCGACGGACGAGAAGAAAATAAAGAAGTCCAGTTCCACGTCCTGGAGGATATTGTCTAAGTTCAGGCTTCCCTCCACTTTCGGACGAGTGACCCGGGTCAACTCTTCCAATTTCATGTCACGAGTGGCGACATCCTTAAGCAACATAGCGCCTTGGGCCACACCAGCAACGGGAGGCAATGTCGCACATATTTCACGATATGTCTCTCGGACCGACTCGTAGTCGATGAGATCACTGTGTAAATTGATTAGTTTGAACTTTTAAAAATGCTTTCTGGTCACTTACTTGCTCATGATTCGGACTACTGCGCCTCTGCGTTCCACACTGTCCAGCCAGGCCTTGTCAACCTTCGGGTTACGGCTAGTGATGACCAGGTATTTGGCACCATTTCTGATCATCCAGTCTGCAATGGAAAGACCCATATCCCGAGAAAGTCCAACAAGCCAGTAAGAGCGGTTCGAGTGAAACTGTGTTTTTACTGGTTGGACAGTGATAGGTAGAGATTCCGCGTTCCACTCTGCTACTGTGAATCCATCACAAAAGTCCCCTTTCTCTGCCAAGTCTCGAATATTGATTTGATTGGAGACAAGGGAATCCTGCTGCCAGCTTCCAAGGTCTTCCAATGCGGAGTTCATCGCCAATTGCACCATCTTGCTGACCTCTGAAGCATCTTTCCGGGAGGAAACCGGGGTCGGCAGGCTGGGAAACACTGAGAGAGCGTTTATTATGTGGGTATTGGAGGGTAGGCACAATGAGATCGGTGGTGGTTGGGTTGGTTGTCGGTTCAGAGGTGTAAGATCAATGCATCGTGAGACGTGGCTAGGAAGGAGCGATTTCAGCTCCGACTGACGTGCATATTGACTAACATGTACCCAGTTCTTCTGCTCCGCTTCTGCTTTGGATGAGGTTGTAAGAGTCAATCTGATTCCAGCGGTGTCAGCGTAGCGAACAAGACTATTTGCCATCAATTGAGGAGCATTGTGAACGACAAGAGTGTCTTTGTCAGCGAGGGACGCTGTAAGAACTGGCAAGAGGAGGTTGGCAGTGACTAAATTCAAGAACAGCCCTTCCGACTGAGGCGCCACTGAGCAAGGAACGAGGCTGCTCTGTGGCATTTCAACAAGCGAGGAAGCTGAATCTGCTAGACCAATGTATTGAGTGCCCTTCTTGCTACAGGTTCCCAACACGACAAAAGCATCACCCAAGACAGACTTGACGGCCTGCAGGCTGGAGTGGCTCACTTTGACGGTGATCGTATTAGTAGCACTTGCATTTGGCTTTCCACTAGCCGGCATGGCTTTCTCATGTAGGACATACTGGCCATCCACATTTGAAATGACAACGGGAGAATTTTGAGGTTGAATATCCTTGGTAATTGTTCTGCGCGCAGAGTTGTAACGATCATTTGCATCGCTGACGTGCACCAATCGCGGAACGAGCTGACGTCCGTCAGAGTTAATGATGATTTCTGACTCGACAGGCCATAGGGCGTTTCGCTTGCTCTGTTCACGGATAGAACCGGATGATTGGAATCGTAGAACGGTTTCTGTCAACACCCTGGCGTCGATTCTGTGCACCCCCTCAAAGTCGACAAACTGATAGCGGAGTTCAGGCACTTCCCAAAGGGCAGATCGCGCAAATCCGACTGGCATGCATCCAAAGGGGTTATTAACCATGCGGTCTTTGGTGACCCAAAGAATGGTCTTCTCTGATCCAAAGAGTTTCTTCACGCTGTCGAAACGTGCCTCAGTAATATCTTTGAAGACAGGCTCGTCAAGGTCCGCAAGAACAAGTACCGTTGCCTTTGAATCAATCGTCGAGTGGTTTAATTCCTCAAAGGTCTCCACTCTGGTCATGACTTCACAGAACCCCCGGATAAGTTTGAGAAGATCTTCGATCAAGCGAGAGACACGGAATGTTGTCCCTCCCACAATGAAGAGATGTTTGATGACAGACTGGACCGAAGGGCGCCAGACGAGAGGCTCTCGCATGAACTCAACCCAGTCATCGACCGCTTGTGAGACCAAGACAGAGTTGGGCAAGGCAAGGGAGTCTTGAACAACCGTTGTTGTATCAATGCCCGAGAACCCGGATTTGCGAAGAATGGCATCCCATTTGGCCTCTGTCACAGCAGCGCCTAGAGTCCGTCCTTCTTCAACGCCCTCCCACCATCCCGGGAGACAACCAAACAAGGCGGTACCACGCATCAGATCCACATTGGTGACTTCGTAGAGGATCAAGTAGCCACCAGGCTTCAATAATGTTCGGACTCTGCGGACGGTCTGCTCGAGGCTCTTTGTAGCATGGAGAACAAATGATGCTACAACGACGTCGTATGAATGCTTCTCGAACCCTTGCGTTTGCAAATCTCGTTCAAGGTCCAGAGTATTGTACGTCATTCGATCTTCATAGGCAGCAAATTCTGTCTGTGCGGTGCCGAAGAAACCGGCCGATATGTCCGTGAATGCGTAGCTTGAGAACTGTTGGCCGATGCGCTTGAGGATCTGTCGAGTTGCACCACCAGTTCCAGCACCGACTTCAAGAATTCTACCGTGAGGGTATCGACGAGCAATTTGCAGAACTGTTGCGGCCAAGACATCCGTTCCCTGAGCCATACTCAACGCTCTGGTATAGTAGTCACTCAGAAGACCATTCATCATCAGGTGCTCAAGCATAGCAGTCTCTCCACGAATGGCCCGGGGCATTTGCTCTCCAACGACGTGCATTGCCTTCACTTCAGGCCGGTCAGAGAATCGCTCAGTGATGGCGAGAATATCCTCCAGAGTATCATTAAGCCATTCCTTCTTTGCATATCGGTGTCTCCCTTCCAAGCACAATTTGTGGTTGTGTGATGCGAAATTCAGGTAGGCGGCGTTGTACTTATCGGACCGTCCAGGATGATCATGTGGAATTTGATGCTCCAGCTGGCGCAGGTAAAACAGACAACCGCGCTCCAGAATAACTGCTAGTTCCTTTTCTTCCACTGTCGCCAGGTATGTGCCGGGGATATCTGCGTTAGGCTCAGCATCAACCCAATGGAGTGAGTAGAACAAATTCTGGTCATCGGCTGCAGTTGCGGGGGTAAAAGGCACCACACGGAGTCCTTCCACCTGAACAGCGGTGTAATCTCCAGTGATATCTTGAATCTCAACGTCACCTTGGAATCCAGAGCCGCCTTTAGCACCATGGACATCAAGAGACGCAACAAAGGGGACATTAGAGACATCCACCCAGTTACGCCCACACAGCGAAGGATTGATTCTAATCCTTTCGATGCTAGTTGGAAGATGTAAAGACCAGAGCTGTCCATCCCGGGGGTAGCTGAAGGCCATTATGATGGAGTGGAAGGCGGCATCAAGTACACCTGGATGGACAGCAAGAACCTCGCCATTGAATTCGGAGGCGGTCATGGCGATAGAGCCAGATGCTAGCCCAAGCTTTCTTTTCATATCAGATAATGCCTGGAAAGGACCGGTATATCCGTAGCCGATATCTTTCAATGACTCGTAGAGGATATCGGCTGGCACGTCTACCATGTTGGGCTCATTACCCCCGGTCGCAGGTAATATTTGCGGAGATGGCTGTCCGATGCTGATGGAAATCTCACCACTCGCTACCAAGTGGAAGTCTTGCTGCTTTCCAGAGAGTGCTTCATATGTAAAATGCGCCGTAATACGACTGGGATCGTCTTGGTTGATATTGCTGACAGTGGATCGAACTTCAATACCCGATTCTGCGTCATTTCCAAATACCATAGCTTGGTGGATCACGAAATCTTCTAGCTCTACTAGCTGAACTGGAGTCTCCGGGGCCAGAAATGGAACGGTTTCAAGAGCCGTGGATACGTATCCAGCGGCTGGGAAGACTGTCTGACCCTGGATCCGATGGTCGTGGACCCATGGAAGGTCTTGAGGTCGTAATATGGTCTTCCACATGAGCTGGTGGGGAGAGCTCTGGGGGCTCATGTCACCAAGTAACGGATGAACAGGGTGGCTTCTTTGCCGAAGTTTTCGTGAGAGATTCGACTCATGCCAGTACCCTTGACTATGGTTCCACTGGTACACTGGCAGATCCGAAACGAAGCGGTAGGATGTTAGTCCACCTAGCGCGCCTTCGTATCGATCGAAGTCGATAGAAAGGTTATCCATGTGTGACCAGAGATACCCCAGTGCGGTGGAAACACTCTGGATAGAGTCACTGTTCCGCTGGAGAAGTCCCGTGTAAGGAATGTCAACATGGAAGTTTTGAAGCGTGTCACGGACAGGGCCCTTAAGAGCCGGGTGAGGGCCAACTTCGATTGCTCCATCAAATGGTCCAAATGACAAGGCACGCTCGACTGCTTGGGTGAACAAGACTGGCGATAACAAATTGTCGACCCAATATGATGCTTCGAGACTCACAACCTCGTCCATTGGGCGATCCGGATTGACGCTGGAAACCCAAACACAGCTCGAATCTGTGCGTTCCGGTTTGATTGAGACGGCGCTCATAGAGTCCAGGTATGCCTGCGAGCACGGAATCATATGATGTGAGTGATAAGCCTTGTCTACTCTGAGGCGGCGGAAGAACTTGTTCTCATCTTCGAAAATATAAGACATTTCGGCAATGGCGTCTTCGTCACCAGAAAGCGTAAGACTCGAAGGAGAGTTGCATGCCGCAACATTGACTCTTCCTTTAAATTCCACATCATTGCAGAGCTCTTCCGCATCCTCAAGAGTTGTTCCCACAGCAAGCATGGCACCTTGCACCCCATTTGGACCGCCAGCGAGATGAGAATGAAGACCACGGTAGTAGGCGATGCGAATGGCATCGTGAGCAGATAAATAGCCTGCAGCAAAAGCAGCAGCGATCTCACCAGAGGAATGTCCAACAACAGCAGCAAACTCAATACCGGCCAGGGTCAGAAGCTTAACAAGAATAATCTGAACAGCGGTACAGATGGGTTGTGAAATTGAGGCGTTGTTAACATTGCTTGAGGATCCCTCAGCAAGAAGCTCCTCTTGCAGAGTCCACGATGGTCGATCCAATTCCGGAAGCTGTGCCAACACGTCATCCAGCTCGCCCAGAATGTTGGCAGCATATTCGGAAGTCTCAATAAACTCAGCTCCCATGCGAGCCCATTGTGCTCCTTGGCCTGTAAAGACGCCGAGGATTCGCGTCTTTTTCGTTCCTGAGGTAGCAGATCTTGTGTCTAGCTGGAAATTGTTGGTCAGATCTTTCAGGTTAGAGCGTAACACTTCGATAGACGAAGCGGGAAATGAAACACGAAGTGGCAAACGAGAGCGGCGCGATCGCAAGGTCCATGCTAGATCAGTCGGGCTGGTGTTGGGATGGTCTTCCAGGTATTTAGTATGGGCATTGAGGCTAGCCAGTAGCGACTGTTTTGACTGAGCCGAAAAGACAAAGGGTGTAAAGGGGGTCAAGTTGGCTCTAGGGCTGTCGATCTGTAAAGGCTCAAAGCTCTCGAGGATGACATGACCGTTGGTTCCACCAAATCCGAAGCTATTCACACTCGCGCGACGAGGTTGACCGGGAACTTGCGGCCACGGTGTGAGTTCTTGGGGGATGTGCAAATGGTTATAAAATGGTAGGATGTTCGGGTTCAAACGGTTCAGGAGCATGTTGGGAGGAATGTAGCCGTGCTTCATGGCTTGCACGACCTTGAGGACTCCAGCCAAGCCCGCTGTACTTTCTGTATGTCCAATAATGGTTTTGATCGAGCCGACATACAGGGGCGACTCGTCTTCAATGGGGCAATCGTCTCCAAAGAACGCCGTATGAATGGCTTCCGCCTCCACTGGGTCGCCCGCTGGAGTACCAGTACCGTGAGCTTCAAAATACTGACAGCGGTCAGTTGCTGATGTTGGGTCAAGGCCAGCCCTGGCGTAGGTATCACGGATCAGGGTGGCTTGCGCGGTGGCACTAGGCATGGTGATACCACGACTCCGACCATCCTGGTTCACTCCTGTTTCGCGAATAATGCATTCGATATTGTCTCCATCTGCAAGGGCAGCACTCAGGGTTTTCAAAACGACAGAAGCCACGCCATCGCCACGCGCATACCCATTCGCGTCTTGGTCCCACATTCGTGATCGGCCATCTGGCGACAGCATTTTCAGCTTGCTCTCATGGATATATGGTTCTGGCCCGAGAAGTAGGTTGGTTCCTGCTGCCAAGGCCACCTTCACCTCTCCTGAACGCAGGGCTTGCATTGCTTGGTGCAAAGCGACCAAACTGGAGGAGCAGGCCGTATCGACTGTTAAGGATGGCCCATGCCAGTCAAAGAAGTATGAAACCCTGTTGGAAACGATGCTACGGGCAGTGCCTATACCATAATTAGTACTCATGCCTCGGCTCATTTTGGAATTGACTAACCGATCGCAAGGTATGTTGGAATATGTTGTAAATCTCGGAATTGCAGAGCCTCATAGTCTACATACATGACACCGACGTAAACACCAGTGTCTGATCCCCTGAGCTCTTCGATAGTCAAGCCAGCCGACTCAAGACCCTCATACACCGTCTCCAGAAGCAGGCGTTGCTGAGGATCCATGGCAACGGCTTCAGCCGGCGTGAGGTTGAAGAACTGCGCATCAAACTGCGCCACATCATCTTCCAAGAGATATGAGTGCTTGACGTTGGCATGGCCGGGAAACTGAGAGTCGGGATGATGAAATCCGTGAACATCCCAGCGACTGGGAGGAATTTCGCTCAGGACATCACGAGGGTCTCGCAACAAGTCCCAAAGCTTGGAAGGGGAGCTGGCACCACCAGGGAACCTGCATCCGCTACCAATAATGGCAATTGGTTCGTTTGGTGAGGAGGATTTTGTACGAGCCATGACTGGTGATTGGGATGAATGATGGAAATCTTCACGCAAACTCGCGAAAGTGTCATTCACTGGGTATATACCATTATTTGGAGTATCGACTGAGGCTGAGCAAAGCCTGTAACGGCGTAGTCTTCATGTCCACGCGAAATGCGAAACACGAACTGGTCCCACCCATCCTGGTGGAACCAGAGATCTGGCCCAGCGAGAGCAGTAATGTTCCGAATCGGTCCCATCATCGTTCTGGATAGAAGTCCACGATGTCGATGTTGTTGGATGAAAGTCTCCGAGGAAAAGAGAGAGGGGAAGAAAGAAAGAGACCAGGGTGGACTCGGAACCCTAAGCCCTGAGCTAGGTCGTATACGGAATGCAGACAATCTTCCATCTTATCCCTCCGAATGTCTGCAAATCGTAAAAAATATCTCCGAATGGTGCCCCGATGGCTTAGACCTCGTATTCCGACTCGGGTGCTTCCGACGGCATGTTCTCCTATACTTTAGACCGCATCATGGCTTGCTCGAGATATACTCTAGTTTGTCTTCAGTCGGGTGGTTTCTGAGATGCCGGACTCGGGCTCTCCGGTGCCATCCCAGTCAAGCATCGCGGAACCAACATTGAAAATATCACTTTTCATCAAAAGATCTAGCTTGACCTCGTCTGGTTAATCTCTAGTTCCAGGAAAAATCGAACCATGTCGTATGGCACACTTTCCGGGACGGGAATGTCCCTGCAGGACTATCTAGTTCTTACGGCTGGCACAGTGAGTATTATTCTTTCATGGCTAAGGAGCAGAATCTGATGACATCCTTTGCAGATTGTTGTATACGCATTTACGCGATGCATCTACTTGTTTTGGTTTCATCCATTGGCGAAATTCCCTGGGCCTAAGATTGCTGCCATATCAAATGTCTGGTACGGTTATCAATGGTAAGCCTCCTATCGTCGCTTTTATGGCAAATCTGACACCTATACAGGCTATCCGGACGATACCCATGGGCCATGCAAAGGGTGATGGGCGAATACGGTATGAAGCATGCTTACAATCATATTGCTTTATTAACAATCAACAGGAGATGTAGTTCGCATTGCACCAAATGAACTCGTATTCACCAGTCCCAAAGCATATACAGGTACGTATCAACCCACGCACTTATCGCATTATCTAAAACCGCATAGATATCTACACCAGTACCATCAACAGCCGCCCAGCCTTCGTCAAGTCTGATCTGTTGGATACTGGCGACAAATACGAAGGCCTTGCATCAGAGCGTGACATTGATAGACACCATGCTGCACGTAAGCAGCTGGCGCCTGCATTCAGCCCCAAAGCGCTGAGGCAGTACGAGCCTGTAGTGCATGCTCATGTTGACGAGTTTGTTCGCAAACTCGAGTCTTCCCCTGCAATGCATGAGGGTGTGGATATCTCGCCGGTAGATCCCCATGAGCATATTTTAACAGAATCCAAGCTAAACAAGTCTAGTGGTTTGAAAGAGCAACTTGTGATCTTGGGGGTGCGATTACACTGGGCCATAGTTTCAACAATGTGCAAAGTGGTAGGTCATGATACACCATCAATGAGGAAGACACTAAAATGTTCAGGAAAAAATCACCCTATCCTCGAATCTCTCTTGCGCATCGGGCACTGGGGCACGTTTCGCAATGTAATGCGTCGCTTCCCCTGGCTTTACCCGTTATCATATGTTCTACTTCCGCCAAAGGTCGCTCTGAGCTATATCCGAGCCCACCGAGTGAGCAAAACACTCATCCGCGAACGGGTGGAGAATCGCCACGATCGGAAGCAATTGGATTACCTGTATCAATTCATGAAAGACGAGACAGCACTCCCACCGGACGGTTTTCTCGTCGCCCAAGCAGGCCATTTGATTCTCGATCATTTCGAATCATCTAGTGTGCTCTCTGCTGGATTTTACTTTTTAATGACGAATCCAGAGGCCATGGGTAGGCTGCAGATGGAATTAAGGGGGACTTTCAAGGCCTTCGGCGATATCACCGAAGATGGACTTAAGGAACTACCTTGGTTGAATGCCATCATTGAGGAGATTCTTCGTATCCATACCAATGTCCCATACGGTCTACCCAGAATCAGTCCTGGGTACACAGTTGACGGACATTACGTACCAAAAGGAGTCAGTATACCTTCCCATCTCCCTTCAACTCATCTAACTCTTTCCAGACCGTGGTATCATCATGCGCATACGCAACAACACACTCCCCACAATACTTCAACAGACCATACGAATTCGCACCCCAGCGCTGGCTCCCATCCACTCATCCAGAGTACGATTCTGCCTTCGATACAGATGACAGAAGCGCATTCCGGCCGTTCAGCGTCGGATCTCGTAACTGTCTCGGGCAGGCGATGGCGTACATCGTGCTTCGGATTATCATTGCCAAGTTGTGCTGGAGGTTTGATTGGGAACTGGTGAATAAAGACCAGGTGGATTGGGATCGGGACTTGAGGCTTTATATTATCTGGCAGAAGCCGACGGTGCGTGCTCGTCTTACGCTGTTTGAGGGGTAGGTATGAGGGTATATGGCTGGAGTGGGTATAGTGCGAGGATGGATATATAAAGTAGTTCAAGTTGCTCACTGTAGAACTGTGCTAGGCGATGATACCAAGGGAAATAGATCTACGAGGTGGTAAGGGTTGCATGCCTATAGTATGATCTTATTTCTAAACAACTCACTACCTTGTCTTTAAAATGAGGGACTATCTAACAATAGAAAATACAGTCATAGCTCTTGTCATGCACCCCCCTACCACATCCCATAGATTTATTTCCCTTGGTATCATCACCTGGCAGAGCTCGGCAGTGAAAGCGCCGAACTCGACCCCCGCATAGAAATCTGAATCACCTCGATCGTCCGCTTGAGAGAGAGAAACGTTTCCTGCGCTTGTGCCATGACTGCCTGTGTAAGCACCGACGATTCTTCCTGGTCGAGGATACCCGCGTATGCATCTTTGCGACTCCATAGTCGGCATTTCGACGGTAGACCCATTAGCCGTTCGAGGGAGTGAAGTTGGTGCTCGAGCACTTGTATCATCATGGTAACTTGCATACTGGCCGGGTGTGGGTGTGCAGGGGGCGATCTCCGTGTCTGCGTCTCCTGGATCCAGGTACTGATGCGAGTGAGGATGGTGTCGAATAGTTCGCCCAGCTGGATATACGTAGACAGCAGCATCAACGTCACAGATAAATTGGGCGGGTCGTACGGGGGCGGGGCAGCAGTGAACTGGGCAGGGACCATAGTCTGCAGGACTAATGCAAAGCGCATCGTGACATAGAGGCTATTCTCCCACGGCTCGAGGCCGACTGGTTCGTGGCTGTGGAAGAGGCTGAGGCGCATTTGGCATGGATCCCACGATTCCCAGGGCCGGTTCTTGAGGTCCACCAGTTGACGGGATATGCTGCTGATGACGCTGACCAGGAACGATAGTGAGTCGGTGTTTATTGAGTGGGATGCTGAGGTCTCGTTCAGTCTGGCGCTGTTGCCTTCTAGATGCCTCTTTGCCTCTCTGGTGTCGCTCATGTTGCCAAAGTCGATATCTGGTACTGCAGAGTCCGCCCCGAATGGCTGATTCTGAGCTGTATCAAGACCATAACCCGCCGAACTGGAAGCATCATTGATAAAATCACTCTCATCAAGATGCATATTAAGCATCTCATCAAAATGCGCAGGAGGCGGAAAAAGTGCCGTGATCCCCGACCCATCCGATCCACTGGCCGTCGATGCAGATGCAGGATCCGAATAACTCGGCGGGGATGGCAGCGGATTAGTATTCGGGGTTGCCGCCAGACTGCCGATCCCCCGCCGAACAGGCTTCCGAGGTCGCTGTGCAGGATATGGAGACTGGTTCCTGTCCACTTGAGCGGCATGTGTATGCAGGGGAGGACGACCTAATGGGCGGCCGCTGCTCATGACGCAGAATGCGCCTATTCGCAGACAGCGATCGCATGTGTTGTCGCCGGGTTGCGTGCGTGTGCAGCGCAGTTTCTGTTCCCGGCATCGATCGCAGGCGTATCGCTTGGCTGCCTGGCTGTTCATGATGAATGTAGGGTATCACAGGTTGCCTGCCTTGCTGGAGGAAAAGACATCGAGTCTTAAGGCAGTTAGTTGTACGACGGACTCAGCCTCGCAGTTGGTGGATATTATCTGCTCAGCACACGACAGCAACATGAAAATTCATCAAGATGGCAGTGTGAAGGGCGAGCCGCATCGCTATTCCCTGTTTGATGACTCCACAGTAAGCAGTTCTGAATAACTACACCAATGGTGGTGGTGGACTGCAGATGGTCAGGATAGTGGGGTGAATACGAATGCAGATACAGCAGATCCACAGTCATGATCTTGACTGTCTGGATATTATCTAGAAGACAAATAGAATCTTACTGCATTTCGTGTTGCCTGACGTCTGACTGCATATTCTTTCATTCTAGACCAGCTGCATTCATCATATAGCGTCTGCTTATTTAATGTCTACAACCTTGTATATTAATCAACACTATCAGGATGTCAGACTATTCCACCTTAGTGCTTCGGCTATTCATCCCAGTCCTTTGTATGTCAACATACAGCCTATTCAATATTCATGCCTAGAGTCTATTTTAGTGCATTATATATTACACCCCCATTATTGGCTGCAAGTAAGACATTGATGGCCTGACACTCTCTCTGATTTGCCCATTCAGAATACAGCCAGAATAGCCGACCACCACATGGTGGCCTGAGGAAGCCTTCCGAACGAACCACCTTGAATACTAATCAACGCGTGGTTTCAACCCCTCGATCTGGCCTATTTTAGCGTCGGCCGATGCAATCTATCCTCTTGCGGGGTTCTGTCTTGATGGCTCTAATCGCACTGTATGATTGGTCAGGCTGGGAATAGCTTCAAGACGGCGCGCAATCCTTCCCTGCGGCCCACGTCAGCGCCACAGTTAACCTAGGTTAGGGCCGAGCCGGCGGGCCTCCGGTTCGGGCACTTTTAGTTGATTTGACAGACTTTTTTTGGTTGGATATCTGGTTTGATTGTTAAGTCTCCGAATGGAGCCATCGGATGTTGGCTGTGCGAAATGTATGAATCGGATAGACATATTATTCTAATGGTATCTTAAACATATCTGGATAGAAGTAATCATCTGGATAATTCTCACCCGCATACTATCATTAAAATGATCACTGCGCTTGCATATGCAGTCACCGGGCTGGTTCTGCTCGCGTACACGGTAGACTTCCTGCTCAGCATTGGCGATGACCCTCATGAACCGCGTCGGATACGGCCCAAGGTGCCCTTGATCGGACATATCCTGGGTCTGATGCAGCATGGGCCGACATATTACAATATGATGAGGTGAATCCGATTATCGAAAAGATGTTATCCATCTAACATGAAACAGTGATGCGACAGGCGAGGAGATCTACCTACTGCCTATGCTTCATTTCAAGATTTATATCAGTGCATCACCTCGTCTCTTACCGCATATTCAAAAGCATTCCAAAGCACTATCTTTTCGACCATTTCTGCAAATCGTGGCCCGAAAACATGGCGATGCTTCTAAAGAGGCATATGATATCTTCGGTGGCACCGTCACAGATGACTTGAGCCACTCGGTGAAAATGAATCTGAATCCGGGAGAGTCGCTGGATGATTTGAATCTGAGAATGGGTAAACGGGCATTGCTCGAGGTGAATGCTCTGAGTGAAAAGATAGGACAGCAAATCTACTTACTAGAATGGGCTCGACATGCAGTTATCCAAGCTACGAGCTGCGCTGTCTACGGCGACAAACACCCATTCCTAGATCCTGATGTTGAAACTGCATTCTGGAAATGGCAGACGTATCTCACTGCCCATCTGGCAGGATGGCTGGATCCCTTTGGCACAGGCTACGCAGCCCGAGATAAGGTCTTCAACGCATATATCCAATACTTCGAGCAGATCTCCAAAGACGGGTCACAACTTGCTCGAGACCACCAACAAGTCCTCCGTGAAGCCGGTATTCCAGACATCGACAACGCCAAACAAGCCGCCATCTTCACCATTGCCTCCTTCAGCAACTCCGCGCCAACCCTATACTGGACGCTATGGGAGCTGTTTTCCCGTCCGACCATCCTGACCCAAGTCCGCGACGAACTAGAAACTCACGCCATCACCGGCTCACTCGAAACCGGCTTCACCCTCGACGTCGCAGCCGTCAAATCCAAATGTCCCCTCCTCGTCTCCATGTTCCAAGAAACCCAACGATCGCGCCACGTCAACCCCAGCTTCCGCAAAGTCCTCTCCGACACATGGCTCGACGGCAAATACCTCCTCAAAGCAGGCAACTACCTCCAAATGCCCGGCTACCCGATCCACACGAACCCGCACGTCTGGGGACAAGCAACAGAATTCGATCCCTACCGCTTCGTGCCCAAGACAGGGAGTCATGAGAAGGAGGTCTCGACGAGCGGGTTTGTGGCGTGGGGTGCTGCCCCGTATCTGTGTCCGGCGAGACAGTTTGCCGCGACGGAGATTCTGGTCGTGGCGGCATTGATGGCGATCCGGTACGAGATGAGGCCGGTGGGTGGGGTGTGGGAGAAGTCGCCGGCGTTGAACTTTGAGGATTTGTCAACATTGTCGAATCCGAAGAAGGATGTTAAGATGGATGTCAGTGTGAGGGGGGAGTGGGCTGGGGAATGGAGGTTGAAGATGGGGGAGAGTAAAAGTCGGATTTCGCTTGCTTCGGGGTGATCTACAATCTTATACTTGTTTCATTTATAAACTACTTATTCTGGCTAGAGATAATCCCTCCTTCAACTGCCTACCTCATCTCGTTTATCTGCAAATCCCATACATCCTTATGTCTAATATCGACATCAAATCATCCGAGGTTGAATTCCTCCGAAGGCTAAAACAAAGTCAGAACTCGGTGGTGTTCAAAGTCCGTTTCCAGGAAAAGATATGTGCCATGAAAGTGGTAAATATATCCATCCATATACTGGCTTTTGCTTTGCTGGTAGTCAAAGTACCACGACAGAGGCCCATTCGAGCACGATCCACACTACTGCGAAGTCAATCTCTTCATCTCCGAGTCAACCGCATACCATCGACTGAAATCGAAAGGCTTGTGCAGGAAAGGCATCATCCCAAACTTCTATGGAACGATACGAAACATCCAACCGGCATTCTGGCCAGATCTCGACATGTTTCTCAATGACAGACTACCCCCCAACGCCATCCTGATCGAATAAATCCCAAACCTGCGCCCGATAGATCTATCCAACTATACAGAGCAGCACCTGGCTAAACTCCGCCAGAGCCTCGACGAGATCCACACGGCAAACGTTTACCATGCTGATGCGAAGCCGCGGAATATGATGGTATTGTCAGGGGAGTATGAGAGGTACTCAAGATTGACTTTGATTCTGCTCAGATATTTTCAGAGGGCGGAAGATCGGCAAGGCAGGAAAGATGGATTAAACAGGAGGTTGAGATGGTGGGTTATTTTGTTGATGCTTTGGTAGGTTCGAGTGGTTTGGCTATGGCTTTGCTGACTGGAACAGGCTCAGGATTATGAGGGGAGGGTTAATCGTACATTTTCTTATTATTATGAATATATGTAGGAGGGGCTTGGTGCTCTAGGTGTCAGATGCTGTTCATCATGGAGTCAGGTGGACCTCTCATAGTAGTATTAATCAAAGTACTATTAAAGTAAAGATTTTCTAGGTTGTCAGGATAATAAAAATTCAACTGTATAAACTATATATGAATGGGTTTTTATCATTTATCTCAGTATTCACATTGTATGTGTAGTCGGTATATGGTTCTCTAACCATCCCCTCAACATGCATTATATATCATAATATTAAACATCATTAATCATAATCTAAAAGTCCGCCGGGTTAGGCAGAGTCTCAGGAGTGTCATCACGGTGCTTGTTGGTAATCAAGCTCGAGAAGCTAGCCGAGTATTGCACACGAGGAGTGAGAATGTCCAAGTCCCACAGCTCAGCAACGTACTTGAGAATGGAAGTGTGCGTGAACTCGCCACTCTCGCCATCGGGCTTGTTCTGGACAATACCCTTGCCCACCCAGGGAGACATGAGGACAGTGGGGACACGGATACCGAGACGGTCAAAGTGGAAGGTGGTGGGCTTGCCGTCGCCGGCGGTCTCGGTGTAGGTGAGGTCATCACCGGCGGGAACGTCCTCGGGAGGCGAGACGTGGTCGGCGAAACCACCGTGCTCGTCAAAGGTGAGGATGAAGAGAGTCTCGTTCCACTGCGGGGAAGAGCGGAGGGCCTCGTAGACGCCCTTGATCCAGTTCTCGCCCATGTTGATGGGGGAGGGAGGGTGGAAGGACATGTACGAGCAGCACTCGGGGTTGATCCAGGTGAACTGGGGCAGGGTGCCTGCCTTGGCGTCTTTGTAGAATTGGTCAATGGGCTTGACGTTGGTTTCGCCCTTGCCGGACTTGGCGGTCCATTCGTAGAACAGAGCGTCGGGCAGGAAGTCGGTGGTGTTGGAGTAGTTGATCCAGCTGATGCCGGCCTCGGACAGCTGCTCAAAGATAGACTTTTGAGGCAGAGCAGAGGTCAAGAAAGCGTCGTCGTTCTGACCATGGCCGTGGGAGGTTCCCGAGGTGAGATAGGCCCGGTTAGGGTTGGTTGGGCCAGGAACCGAGGCAAACCAGCGGTCAAAGAGAACATAGTTCTCAGCCATGGCATTGAAGACAGGCACATGTTCGGGGGTGTAGTAGTTGATGACCTCTGCCGCGCGGGACAAATCATGGGTGCCGTAGGCGTGGATCTGCTCGGAGACAAAGCCATTCATGTTGGGCGTATCCTTGTCCATGTTAGGGTGATAGTTGCTGTAGACCTGCATGTTACCACCGCTAATGCTGTGATCCGGATCGTCCGGTGCAACATTTTTGGCGATCGGCTTCGCACAGACAAGCTTGGAATGGGGGTCTGAGACATTCGAGGGATTGCAGTACTCGCGGTTGACGAGACCGTCGATCTTGTCGTTGTACGTCAGACCTCCGGCGAAGTTGTCAAAGGACAGGTTCTCCTGCACCAGAACAACAACGTTCTTAATGGGGCTCTTGTCGGTGGACTTGGGGACATTGGGAACAGCGGAAATGCCGATGCCCAGGGAGAGCAGGACGGCAGCAGAGAGGAAGACCATGATGGCGGTCGCAATGAGGCAGAAGAAGAGGATTGCTGGCCATCGCGATCGTCTCTGCTGCCACCTGGGCACAGTATTTATAATATCGAGATTCGGATGCTTCATGTCGGACATTGTAGATGAAATCTTCCCACGTGGTGATGCAGCGAGGTATCATTGCCCGTCGTTAAGGGAATCACTCGGAGGTTGTCTGTATAGCTGGAAGTTGCGATCGATAACACTAGTAAGCAGCGTGTCCGTCTGGATTGGGCGACGCGAGGGGGGAATGCGGGGTCCGGTGGGGCCCAGCAGCCCCGGTTACTGGCCAGTCATGCCAACGCATGGCGGCCTGGTCCCGTCTGATTGGGTCAGAGGACGTCGGTCCGTGGCTCCGATAGGCCCAGCAAAGTGGTCCCTGGCCAACCAGTCAAATGATGGAATGGCCATTGGGCGGTGAAGGCCCACCTGACAAGGCTTAAAAGGCATGTGAGCAAATCATTGGGTCTGAGTGGTTATGCGATGGCACGTGCTGGAGCTGTGGATGTTGAAGCGATTGTACAATATCAGAAGATAAAGAGGGCTCGACAAGGTACACTCCGAGATACCCTATCTGATCGGTTCTGTCCCGTTCGATGGAGGCAAAATGACTCACAGTTCCCTGGTTCCTGCTGATGTGGAACAACACATGCAGACCCGACATGGATATCCCAGCCGGTCATGTAACCCTCCTGCAGTAAACACAGGAACAAACCCGTTGTTTTCACGATATCTGCCGTCTGCCGTCTGCCGTCCTTTGCTCACCGTCAAGTCCATCTCACAGGGGCCATTGCGTGCCGATTTCCGCCATCTTGGTGATTTTGAGAGACCACTCGAACCACACAAAGGGCAGTGACATCATAGCTGTATACGAAAGCTTATTCTGGCACTATTGATCCTGAAGCTACATCAAAGCAGCCGATACAAGCCGAGACAGCATGACAATAATGTTTGATCAGATGCAGTAGTCAGGCATCAAAGTCGCATTCTGAAGTCCAACAGTAAGGAGTAGGAAAGTTAAAGTTGAGCAATGTAGAATGGTAGACAATAGCGAGAAACGAAGAAATGACAAAGTAGAGTCATTGATCATTATAATTTACAATAAAGAAAGATGTAGATATGGTTATCATATATCTATCTGAATAAGAGGTCAATCTGATATCGATGATCGACTCGGTGGCTGATGGCTGATGCTCAGATCTACATTCTGATCAGTGATGACAGTTGATCCCGACATCATGCTGTGCTTACCGGTACCTGCAAGATGCCGGCCAAGCATGTTGAATAACTTCAATCCACCCCGGTTGATGGTATTCCTGATGGAATGCTCGTGAAACCATTGAAATTATAAATGCCCCGAAGATGAGACATTCTCCTATCCACCATTCCCAGCCTTGTGAGATTCTGAATAAAAGTCAATCTACATTCTTATTTAATATCGATCGACTCTTCAAGATATACGCATACATACCACGATCACTATAGATATTATAGACAGGTGAAACACCTCAAACCACAACCTTCCCCAACACCCTCAAAATCACCAACGTCAACAGCCCTTCTACACAACTCCGAATCATAACACCCTCCACCCGCCACAGATCCCATGATGCACCCTGTTGAACATCCTTAAGACCCTCCCGGACAAGTTCCGCCGAAAACGCCGCAAAGCAGAGAGTGAATGCAAAGAATACCCCGCAAAGATGCGCGAGTTGCTCAGGGTGATAGTTGGGTGTCTTTGTTGGGTTGCCGTACTGGTCTTGTGATTCAGTCACAAAAGGCTTGAAAAGGCCCGCGAGGAACTGGCCGATGGGATAGCCGAGGTACGAGCCTGCTTTGTAGATGATGGCTGTTCCGACGGTGAAGGTGACTATGGGGAGGGTGATTATCATGGTGACATGGAGGCATGCGAGGATTTCCGAACGGAGATCCATGGTGGTGTTGATATGTTTGTTGATGTGGTGATTGTGGTGATGGCGGTGAGAGGAAAAGAGAGCCGCGGATTCTGGAAGAACAGGCAAGTCAACACGTGCTCTTACTAAGTGACAATTTTCGCGTCAGATAAAAAAAAAAAAAAAAATAGATGAAACTACCTACGGAGTAAAACTCAGCACGATAGGGGCAGAAAAAAAATGAAATGAAAAAGAAAAAAGAAACGTCCCCGGGCAGGATCGAACTGCCGATCTCCCGATTGTGGTTGTTTAGTTGTTTAAACTAACAGTCGGACGCCTTAACCAGCTGGGCCACGGAGACGGATTCGTTGACGTCCGGCTGAATTCTATGCCTAATCAGTAAGACAGCATAGGTAACACAGAGCTTACCGTTTACTTCCCAATTCCAACATCCATTGACAAGACAGAAAATATCCCGAAATTAATCATTTGCGAGTTGAGTTTCTGGATTCCAAGCTTTAAATTACATTCTACCGATACTTAAACCGCGAAGGAATTACATTACTGTCAAATGTATAGTCTTGAAAAATAATATTTGAACATAATATATATCCTGGCCCTCTGCAAATCATGTTGCCACAAACTCTCAGTAATGCAAATAACCCACCCGAGGCCTATTCTGGCCATAAACTGAAATGGAAAACAGGACGATAGTGTGAGCCATAAAACTGAAGCCCATAAAAGAAGAAGAGAAACAGTAGGCATGAGCATATGACGTATATGGAAAGTCCTCCATAACGCCAAGAATCTCCAAATTGCCAAGACTGTCTATCTCTTGTCTTGCAATGAGAATGAATAGCCTTGATGGCTTTTCTTGGGAAATATAATGAAATAGCATGTACAATGTCCCAGTTAGTAGTCTGTCTGCGTTATGGCTTTGCCCTGTTGAATATGACTCTACAAAAGATCAACTAGATATACGTGTAGCCTAATATATATCTCGACGTATAATTAACAATGAATGAATTTTTGACCACAACTATGATAACTTAGGTTCCAAGGACTATCCAGAACTATCTATATCTATTTCGACTCTGGCCTGTAAACACTCATCTCAAACCCATTCGTAAAGGGCAAAGTCTGATTGAAGAATCCATTCTCGGGTGCTCGCAAATACGCCAGCAAGTCTGCATAGCCCTTTGCCCCCGAGATGGTATTGTCAGTGAGCACAACAGCTCCAGGTCGGAGGCGAGGCAGAACAGTCTTGAGGGTCGGGAGCGACAAAGGCGCCCAAACTGTAATCTAGATTAGAATACCAATATGGACAGAGCCCAGCATAAGGAGAGACTTACTGTCGAGAAGGAGAAGGTCGACTTGTGGCAGCCCCTCCTTCAGGGTTTCCAGCAGATCGCCCTCCCTCAGATCGATTTCCTGTTCAACGGCTGGCCCACACTGCGCCCAGTATTGCCGGGCAATGGCAGCCTTCTCCTTTTCCTTTTCTGTCGCGATGACAATCCCCGATTTGCCCGTGGCGGTTTTGGTCCCGGCAACAGCCAGCGCGAGGTAGATTGTGCTGACGCCGAAACTGGTCCCCGCCTCGACAATGTTGGTCGCGCCCATGGCGTGGATCAGTTGATATGTGAACTCGCATTTATCTTGATCCAACGCGATGAATTTGTCCAGCATGAGGCGGTCAAAATCATCTTTTGGATTGCTAGCCTGCTTATCCTCGAAGTCTCCCAGAATGTCGGAAGAGAACACCTTTTTCTTGTCTGAAATAGTGGCCTCTTGTTTCAATGAGGTTTCATGGAGTTGGGAGAGAAGTTGCAGAATATGCGGGGCAGCTTTGACGGGGGATGGAAGTGACATTGTGGAGGATGTGAGGTATTTGAACGTATGTTGCAATGACTGGATCTGTAGATCGAGTGTGGTTGATCGGGCCTTAAATCCCAACCGGTCTTGGCATTTTGGAGAAGCGATGCCACGTACAATATGTCTATTGTCCGAGGGCCTTTCCAGATAAAATTATTTCCTTGTCACAAGTCCTTGAATTTTCTTTCGCTTCAATTATTCAAAATGACCATGCCAGCCATCACCCGCAATATCCTCGACGCCATCGGAAACACACCCTGCGTCGAGCTCAACCACATCGTTCCCGATGGCTGCGCTCGTGTTTTTATCAAGCTCGAGGGCCTGAATCCCACAGGTTCTTACAAGGATCGCATGGCAAGATCTATTATCGAGGAAGCAGAGCGCCGGGGCGACCTGAAGCCAGGCATGACCGTTGTCGAAGCCACCGGCGGCAGCACTGGATCCTCAATCGCTTTTGTCTGCGCTATCAAAGGATACAACTTCACAGTCGTATCTTCAGATGCGTTTGCAGAGGAAAAGCTCAAGACAATGTCTGCCTTCGGAGCCACCGTGGATATCGTCCACAGTCCGAGTGGGAAGATCACACCCCAGTTGATTCCTGCCATGCGCGAGCGAGCCGAAAAGTTATCCCACGGGGAAAGCTTTTACTACGCAGACCAATTCAGCAATTCCGATGTCCTTGTTGGATATGGAAGCTTAGGCCGGGAACTTTTGGATCAAATCCCTGAAGGTATTGATGCCTTTTGTGGTGCAGTGGGTGGTGCAGGAATGGCCATGGGAGTGGCCAGAGTATTAAAGCAAAAGCTGCCCGATGTACGGGTCACTGTCTTGGAGCCTGCCTCTGCGCCTGTAATCACTAAGGGTCACGGTGGCCAGCACGGAGTCGAAGGCATTGGGATTGGCTTTCTTCCACCCCTTTTGGATAAGCATCTGTACGACGATGCTCTTGCAATTGATGAAGCTGAAGGCCGTGCCATGGCGCGACGGTTGGCCAGGGAAGAGGGGATTCTAGCTGGTATTTCGACGGGCCTCAATGTGGTGGCTGCACTTGAGATAGCGAAACAACTTGGTCCTGGGAAGATTGTAGCCACTGTTGCTTGTGACACTGGGTTGAAATATGTCCGGGGAGATCTGTATACGGGAAAGTGAGAAGAGCCTTTCTCATCATCCATGTAGAATAGATTACCCTTCCTATCCAGGTGATTGAAGACCGATTCTAGGTCAATCCTTCTGCTCTATCACTTCCAATACAAATTCAAGGGAGGCAACTGTCTCTAACCGAGCCGACGCTCCAGAATTTGAGCGTAGGCCTCTAGAACCTTTCCAATCATCCGTACCACATTCCAAACAGCCTTTCCACTCAGTATTCGTGCCCAGATCCTAACAACCTGAGTACACAAATCAGGCCCAGAAGACCCAATCTCACCCCCGGCCTTTGCTTCAGTGACCATGTCTTCTATATACGCATATAACCTCGCTTCCTCTTCATCTACAGCACCATTGGAAATATGAGGCTCGATAGCAATCAACCACTTGCTGATGATAAAGGCACACTCAAGGGCACAGAGTGAATGCTGGAGCGACCATGAAAATGCTTGATTATGCGTTACGATATTGACGCCGATTTTCACCGGTATACTTAATGCGTGTGCCGAGTAGAGTACTGCGCGGGTGAGTTTGCGATTTGTCGTCAGAGGCGGACTTTGGTATATCGAGTTCGCAACTTCATCTGGGTCGTGGGTGTTCAACGCACGCCACGGACCGAGGTCAACGTGGAGGCGGATATAGGCCATTCGAAGAAGAGCAGTGGAGTTGAAGGAGATAGGACCTAGTGGGCTTGAGGGGCCCAGGAACGATTCTGGATCGTGATTCCAGAGACTCTGCCAGTTTCTCAGTGCTTGTTCTACCTTAGTTACATCGCTAGGAGAGATCCGGTCATCTCCTTCAACTTGGCGCTTTGAGGCTGATCGTAGGAAGTAGATGTGCTGAATTAACGCAAGGATCAAAGTGTAGCTACCCAGTGACGAGCAGTATCGAGGAAACCCGTCTTCATGAGCACGGAAAAGCATAGAATAGAGCGTGTCAAAGTGACATTCAGGCTCGTGTTCACTCCGGGCCTGTTTCCACGCCTCTTCGCTCTGGGCTTCCCATTCTTTCTCGCGGGAGGGTAAAAGGAGATTGAGTTCTGAGTTGAGGATCGGAGGAGGGGTGTCGTAGACGATGGTATAGAACATGAAAAAGCAAAAAATGACGACAATGGTCCTTCGGAAGCCCTCCTCATGGATCCAGATCTTCCACGGGGTGTTTCTTACTTCTTGTGGTGCTAAAAGCTTCTCGGCTCTGAGGTAGTTGGCGAGAATGTTTTGGATCCCAACTGCTTCGTCGAATATGGCTCCTGAATTGCCCCAGGTTGCCATTGCCATTATGATGAGTAGTGTTTGTGCAAGAGGCAACGGGTTGAACTGATCCGTCTGTTCGGCATTCAAGTCGCATTGTTGTCGCATCGTAGAAGGTGTTTCTGGCATGGGTTCACTTGCTTGAGATTGCCCTAACGTGTCTTTCTTGGTCTGATATATCGACTTGCGTCGCTCTTCTTTACGACAACAGAGTCTCTCTTGCGCTATAGCAAAGGAAGCCCTGAACAGCATGATTGCATTATGATGGTCAAATGCAGATTGTGCTCCAATTGTAGCCATGGCCAAAATCAACTCAACTGGGCAATCCACACCTGAGAATGTCGGAACATGGAGGAATGGCAGGTGGCGATGGAATCCCGTAAAGTAGGTTGTAATATAGCGAGTCATGGTGTGCCGCGAAGGGAGAACGAAACCTGGGGGAATGACTGACTTGAAGGGCTGAACCTTGGATAAGAGGTGGTCCCAGTCCTGCTGTGTGACTTTCCACGGCTCTTTCTGCGCTTTCAAGGATGGCGATGGTTCGAATGAAGGAAAGGCGGATGTAAATTCATCATACAGATGGGAGGATGCTGGACGTGCGGTTGATTCAGAGGAATTGGGATCAGATTCAGCAGTAGGGAAGAGTGGAGCTGGATGGGATGGCAACAGCGGCTGCTCGAAGAAAAAGGACGATAGGCCGCTGCCGTATGATCCACTGATGCTGTCAATGAACAGGTCAAAATCACCAAAGGTGTTGTTCTCCGGAACTGAGTGCATATCCACCGGCGAAGTCAGCGGCAACGCACTGGAGTAACCCATTGGCAAGTCTTGAAATGACAGATCGCTGTTCACCGTTGATATAGATTCAGGCAGTGATTTTTCCATTGCCTCAGTTGGTCGTTGGTTTTGCCTCCCAGATCTAAGCAGATCCTCTGGGGAAGCCCCAATCAGCGATGAATTCTCATGGCCGGGAGTAGCGATTGAGTCACTGCCATGAGTCAAGCGAGCATGTCGAGCGAGTAGATCACTGTTCAGCTGTCAGCCACTTCAGCCAACGTGCAATGGAAAAAGGACGTACCTCCGAGCGAAGCCAGCAGAACAGATGGTGCAGCGAAAGGGCTTCTCCTTGGTATCTAAAGAAGATCAGTATCATGGAGATTCAATTTCAAGGAGCCCATACGTAGTCTTTCATGTCGCTGTAGATGCTCCTTACGAAGAAATGCCTTGGCGCAGAATTGGCAGCGAAACGCTCTTTCTTCGCCTCGAGGAGTTGAGATGGGATGGAGAGTATCTGCATCGACTGGATTGCCTCGCTTCTCGATGGTGGGTCTACTTTTTTTCCTCGGGTGCATCCTGCATGGATTATGTGTAATATAATGATTTAACGATGCAGAAGTTGAGAATGACGCTGATGCTTAGTCACCCTCGCCTAAAATCTTATACAGTATTTAAGACGAACATATTGCCTTCTCAGCATCCAGCAGAGTCAGTTCAAGACTGACAAGCTTGTGTATTAAAATTCATGCATATTATTCAATATCGAAATTGTATCTCAACTTAATTCTGGCCAGGGTATGACGCTTTTGTGAGATATCATCCCCGTTTTTTCCATTGATTTTCCTTTTTCTCTGTCCCATTCACTGCGACGACCTCAGTGACTCATAGACTCCCAATACGTATATATATTCTCTACCAATTCTATTACAGAAATTTAGGAATATCTTCATTTCTCCAAAATGCCAAGATGGACTATGCCCAAAGCAGTAGTCATTCACGGAGTCAATGGACTGGAAGACGCGCGCTGCGCACGCTGTAGGCCCTGAAATGATGACAAGGGAAGGAGGAAGGTTATATGAGCTCCTGATATATTCAAGTTTGAATTGAAAGGGCATAATGGAATAAGGAAACAAAATAGGTTAAGTGGACAAGAACTGAGGTTGATGACAATTGGCAAGTAGCCAAGGTTTATTTTAATTGGACAAGTAAATCAGCCCATACACTCATTTACATACATACAAGTGTAACATTAATGCAGCAGTAGTGCGGTCATAATGACAGAACATTGCAGTATCAAAACTGGAGCCCCAGCATGTTTCGAGACAGAATGGTATGGCATAGAATAATGAAATGGCTGAGAAGGATTTGTTTTGACAGTACTGGGAATTAAGTTTTATATACCCTACAATATCTTTAAAGGCATCCTTAATGTATAAACTCTGCAGCCTAGAGCGCGAAATATTGAACCTTGTCGGGAAATAATGATTGCTTATAAAGCCACATCCGAAGCTGCCTCCCATATCATACACAGAGATTTATTTCCAAACCCAAAAGTTCTCTACATGAATAAGCCAAAGTCATCATGTCTTTTTCATGGCAGTGCACGGACTCTTTCTCGAAGAAACGCCTAGAATTTATCACTCCAATAGGAGCAAGTTAATGTGCAGGGCAGTGTTGTCAACGTAAGCATGCGGGGTAAAGCTGTGCGACAACTCGACTTGCCTGTAGACAGCTTTAAAGATGTCCCTGGACCATAGAGGCCAGCACGATCATCAAATATATTTAAGAGACTTAGGTTCAGCATCTGCGATATTATCAAAACGCAACAAGATACAGTTGGTTCCCAAGATCCTATCTAATGGCACCTCATCATAAAATGACTCCCAAGGAAAAGAAAAGGATTGCCTTGCGCAAACGAATTGTTCCAAGCAAATCCGAAAGCCTTACGTTTGACGCGACGGAACTCAACGCAGAAGCATCCAATAAATTATTCTCTTATCTATCCGAGAACAGGATTCGTCTGATAAATCTATATCCTGGCTGCCTTGACGATGAGATCAAATGCAGTGTTCAAGAAGCCACATTGTCAGATCCATCTCTGTCTTACTATGCCTTGTCTTATGTCTGGGGGACCTTCGACGAAGAGAGCTATATAGAACTCAACGGAGAAAGGTTTCGTGTCACAAAAAACCTAGCAGAGGCTCTTAGGAGACTGAGACAAGCAGATCAAATAGAGACCATATGGATTGATGCACTATGCATAAATCAGACAGATAAAAAGGAGAAAGACACACAAGTCCCACTGATGGGATCGATCTATAAAACGGCCAAGAAAGTGGTCGCCTTTCTAGGCAAACATGACGAGACAAGTCCTATACTGTTTCGGGTTCTCAAAGACCTCGAAAGAAGAGGTGACACACAGCTTGCATTGAATCTCCTGGACTTTGAAGAACTGAGCACTCTTATTCCCGCGTTACATACGTTCTTGCGTCGAGGATATTGGACACGTGCTTGGGTTGTCCAGGAACTTGTACTTGCTCGGGATAAATGGATTCAATGTGAATATGATAGAGTCTTATACTCGACGTTGGAAGCTTTCCAAGAGTCCATTATGAGCTACCTCCCACTTATCACCATATCACCAATGGGTCCGGTTCATATTCGGGGAGTTGCCTATTCAAACGAATGGCACTCGCGGTTCCCACAACTCGGTTCGATGGAGAAAGAGTTGTCTACAAATGGCTTTCTTGAAGGTTTTCTAGATGTTCGATGCTCAAACCCTCGAGATCACATATATGCGTTCTACAATTTGCTTGATTCCAACATTCAAAATCATATAGAGGTTGACTACGAGAAAAGACCGGCGGAAATCATTTACCAAGCAGCAAAGGGTATCATCATGGAAACCCAAAGTCTACATATAATCACCCTTAGAGGACGACAAGTTTGGCCATTGGAAGCATGGCAATACACGATGCCCTCTTGGTGTCCTTTCTTTGGGGTTCCATATATCAACGATTCATTACCTCCTCGAGATTATACACGCCCCTATATAACTGAAGGAATCGCAAAATTTTCAACAGATGGCAAAGTCATGCACGTGAAGGGTGTGGTATTGGGTATAATCTACGAGACTGTTCCTCGAATCCCGCTTGTCCACCATCCTTTCAACAATATCAGTATCAAGGATAAGGCGAGAGTCGACGATGAGCTGGAGTATGCTTATAAGTGCATTGAATTTATCGAAGCAAGAGCTGACAATGATGTCGAGCTGAACTGCACAGTTCTAGGCGACATTATGGCTGGTGAAGATGGGCTTCTATCTTACCTGAAAAAAACGTCTGAACTTGGCTCGGCGCGCATGAGCCGCTTAAATGACTTCGCACGATACTTTATTTCAAGACAACTTTCCTTTTTCAGGTACGATGACTCGTTCATCGATAAATCCGGCTCTAATAAAATAGCGCCCGATAGAATTATATCGGATTTTGCAATTATTCCTGGAAGGGCATACACCAGGGATATACTATGCGCTATACTCGGCTCTGAGAATCTGATAGTACTGCGACAACAGGGTGAACATTATACAGTTGTGGGTGAAGCAAAAACTTTTACTCGGACAGGCGATAATATCCTAGCAAAAGTTGATCCTTCAAAATATAGAGCTTTTTCACTTGTGTGATATAAATTACAATTTTTATTTTTTATTTCTATTTTTGAGGCAGTTATGGTGCTTAGTAGCCTTCAATCTACCAGAAAAGATACTGTGAGTTTCTCCCAAGGGATGAACAGACCTGGGATTACTTCAGCAATATCATTCAGCATTGTATTTGTGGCAGGGTGGCCATTCAGTAAGGAGTCTTCAGCAGTCTGGAATCCAGTCAGTTAGTCTCGAAGGATTACAGTTGCTATTTGAGACGAAGATAGAACCAGACATTGTACGTATATGAGGTGCCTAGGATGGCTTGAGTTGAAGCATATGTTCTATGTTTGACCAACATGCGGTTTTTGAATATGAAAATGGAGGATAGAAGCCCACCACATCATTTATAGTTGCTAAAGAGACTTGCGAGGACAGTTATAACATAAGTTATAACTATAGGACTCTTCTGCTGGATGGCTGGATGATCTAGGTGTTTAGGAATGAGTTGATTAAATAACAAAGGACCTGGTGTATGCCACTAAGAGAAACAAGCCTGCCACATGAAAAACAAGTTATCTCTTTCGCTAGCAGCTATAATCCTATTCTCATAATGGGTAATAGATGACCCGGGCGCCTGCAAAAATAGTTGCTCTCACGCGGTCATGCAGCAAAAGGGTTACCACAGTCATAACTAAGGATAGGGTGGGTGAGAGAGATAAGTAGTCTGCAAAGATCAACAGAGAATGTCAGATGACTAAACATGATAACGTCTTAACAATATTAATAAGACAACATCATTGAGCAGCAAACTTCCAAGTGTCTGATTGTGCAGATTATAAATGGCCAATATGAAGGGCGACATTTTGAAAAGGCATGTGTAGGTCTCAAATAGTAGGGCTGTTAGTGTAAGAACTTAGGTCATTATTTAAAGGAGAGGTCATAGGATCGCACTTGATGCACAACACAGATCACAGTTCAAAAGAATGTATAAGGCAGATCAAATATCTCTGTAGGGCTACATGTGGTTGTATGTTAAAGTATATTATGGTATATAAGTGCAGTAGGGCAGAAAATGGCATTATCATGAAAGAGGAACATGCAGTTGAAGCCCTCAAACCCTAAAGCCAAGATAATAACAATTCTAGAAGGGTAACCTGGAAGTGAATGAGAAGTGCACGTGGGAATAAGCTTTCTACAGAAACGCAACTATTTTCTGGATACAGCCTTACAGGCTCATTCACCTTTTCCCTTCCTCTCACTACGTTGTTCGTTTCAGGGCACTCAGTCACATTTTGGACGAGATTAAAAAATCTCAGCATTTCCATTGAAATGGCTCGCTCCGGTTCTAAAGGTTGCTATCAACATCCCCCAAATGATAGCTCTTGTGGGACAACAGTCCGTCGTGGGAAAGTGTATTCCGTTCGGATTCAAATACCGAAAAAAATTGCATTACGAACTGAGTCTAATCAGTTATTGGGTGAAGGTGTATGGAGAAATCAGGGGTATCTGCCGCAGTCTACTCAGAAAGGGCAAATTCGTCTTTCGCCTTTAACCTACCGAGATTCAAATGTTGGATAAGGGTTGATACTCTGTAGGGTAAGAATGCTGATCCTGTGTGATTACTAGGCTAAAATTGTCATGCGATCTGAAAAATAGAAGGTAAATAAGTAAATAAATACATATATGAAAGTCAAGATACAATTCAGTGTTTCAAACTGTAGGCAGAAATTATGAACTATTATCCTCGCGCTGGCAATATTCTCTTTGAATTGTGTTGCTCTATATCATTATTATTGTGTATATTACTCAAAGTCCTTCTGTAGCATGATGAACAGGGACCCAATAGACCCGCCAGTCATTAAAGCTGGACCCCAAAGTGCCGGGACGAAGCTTCCTCGCAATAGCTTCTGCCTCACGGACATGTACCGGAAGAATCCGTATGCAAACGACCAAGCACTAAGGCCCTGGCACACCCGGCTGGCGAGAACTCGTTCTTGATCGATTGACTGAGAAGTCCTTTCGCTACTGCCGGCTTCCTGTTTGTTTGACGATTGGGTCTCTGCTGGTTTGATCAAGTGGCTATTGAACACGCGGTCGATCATCCCCAGCCGACTGAGGGCCAGGGACAGGGCACCAAAAGCAAGTCCCATGCGTGTCCACGAAAGGAATGTTCGCTCATTGGCTTGGTGATCGCGCAGTTGAGACCCATTGTTGGCTACTGCCTTGGGGATCAACAATTGGCGGATTCGTGTGAAAACCATGACTTGGTACTGTCTTGTTGACTTATATTGGTTGTCGAGACCCGTTTGAAATCTAGGACAAGTTAGCCTCCCAATGATCTCAGAGTAATAGCCTTATCGACATTGCTAGATATGGCTTTCAGGGGTTGGGCTTGGGATAGGGGGGTGGTTTTAATTTGACTTGGTCGTGGATTTCCTTTCTTTGGTGTTGCTTGAAACTTACTGCGTTGTTTTTCTTGTTTGTATCAGATATCAAACAACCGATTCAGACTATTTACTAGGTGTGGCCCAATATTCATGAAATTACCTGAAATGCCTTAAAACTCTTGACTGTTCGGAGTCTTCGGTCCGAGCTTTTGGTCCGAGCTTTCTATTCATTGGCCAATCGTGTCAAGGAAACCCAAGCATATTAAATCCATTTCCATGGCAGACAGACGTGCTATAGTACCTGTTGTCAGATTAGATTGCATGTTTTATCGGGTGACCCTCGATTATCAGCAATTGCCCAGCCATTTAAGTGCTGGCAGGTCTTATTCTTTATTCAAGGTAGATGGCATGTCCAACAGCGAGTGGCAAGTGGAGTACAAAAGGGCGATGTCTCAATCTTTATACGACAGGTCACTCAAGATTGCAGTCGTTGATTGTACATCTGCAGTGACTGTGTTCTGGGTGCAGATGGCAGATTTGCTCTTTACGCTTTATTAAGAGGTAGCTTGAACACAGTAGATTATTAACAGAAAAGAAAATCTCATTTACTAACATTATACCATTACAAATCCACAAACTCTCCCTTGACCAACTCTCCCTTCGCCAATCCATCCAGATACTGTGTCACCTTGTCTGCCATCACCCCCGTCTCATATCCAAAGAACTTGTACGCAGCCTTACCCGGCAGACTGTGTCCGAATCGTCGGATGGAGATACCCGCATCGGCATATCTCTCCCATCCATTCGGTGCATACGGCTCAATCACCACAGCCGGAATGCCCTTGTGTCGTCGCAGAGTCTCACGACGGTATTCAACACTTTGTTGCTCAAAGAGGCGCTGGGAGGGGAAGCTGATGACACGCGCCACGATGCCCTTGCTCTTGAGTTGCTCGGCCACGTCCAAGGCGAAGGAGAGTTCAGCGCCCACACCGATGAGCGTGATGATGGCGTTGTCTGCTTCCTCGAGAACGTACGCACCCTTGGCTACGCCGTCGCGACGAGTCTGCTTCAGTTGCGGCAGGGCGTGGCGCGATGTGGAGATGATGGTGGGTGTCTTTTTCGCTTCGATGGCGGTGATCCATGCGCCGGCTGTTTCCTCGCTGTCGCCGGGTCGGATGTACAGCAGGTTTGGCATGGCGCGGTACAGCGCGGCCAGTTCGATGGGCTGGTGGGTTGGGCCGTCCTCGCCCATACCGATGGAGTCGTGGGTGGCGCAGTGGATGACCTGGAGGTGCTGGAGAGCGCCCATGCGGACGGCGGGGGCGGCGTAGAGGTAGAACATGAAGAAGGAGGAGGTGGTGGGGATGATGGTGTTGGGGGCGTAGGCTGCGAGGCCGTTGGAGATGGCGCACATGGCGTGTTCGCGGATGCCATAGTGGATATAGCGGCCAGAGTAGTTGCCGTTGATGTTGCAGGTGGTGCGGAGGTCAGGGTGCTGGAAGTCGACCTTGCCGGGCCAGATCATGTTGACGGAGGGCGACAGATCGGCGGTTCCGACCATGAAGGAAGGGATGTCCTTGGCCATGGGGTTGAAGATGAGTCCGGAGGATGCGCGAGATGCGGTGGGCTTGTCGGGGAAGCTGGTGGGAACGAGATCCTTCCAGTTGGAGGGCAACTCGCCGCGCACTCGCTGCTGGAATTGATTTCCTAATTCAGGATACTTGACGGTATACTCGTCGACCAGCTGTTTCCAGTTCTGCACGAGGCTTTGTCCGCGCTCAGGCAGATCTTGGAAGAACTCGCGAACAGTCTCGCCGACGACAAAATGCTCGTCTGGGTTGAAACCATTCGCCTTCTTCATGTCGGCAACATTGGGGACTCCAAAGGCTGCGCCGTGAGCAGTCGCAGTGCCGGCGACATGGCTGCCCAGACCGATGACAGTCCGGACGTTGATGAAGGTGGGCTTTTCTGTCGCTGCGCGTCCCTGTTCCAGCGCCTTGACGAGGCCCTCAATATCGTAGCATCCATCTTCAACGTCAATCACGTCCCACCCCGAGGCGCGCATTTTGGCGTTGATATCCTCGGTGTTGGTGAGATCCACCGATCCATCACAGGTGATCTGGTTATTGTCGTAGATGACAGTGAGGTTGTTGAGCTTGAGATGACCAGCGAAAGAAATCGCCTCGAGTCCAACACCTTCCTGCAGACAGGCATCGCCAATCATGCACCAGGTGTGGTTGTTGACGACGTCGTAGCCGGGCTTGTTGAAGGTGGCGGCCAGGTTCTTCGTGGCCATGGCCAGTCCGACGGCGTTGGCGATCCCCTGGCCCAGAGGACCGGTGGTGACTTCGATACCTTCATGTTCGATTTCCGGATGTCCGGGACAGAGCGCATCGACACGGTCTGAGTGGTAGGATTTGAGCTGGTCAAAGGTCATGGCTTTGTAGCCGGTGAGATGGAGGAAGCTGTATTGGAAGAGACAGGTGTGGCCTATGGAGTTAGAATTATCGCAAAATAAGTAAACAGAAAGACAAACCATTCGACAAGACGAAGCGATCACGGTTAAAGTAATCCGGAGTGTGAGGCGCATATCGCATCACATATCGCCAGAGCGCAACGCCAATAGCGGCCATGCCAATGGCACCTCTGCATGGATTAGCATTGTCGCGATGAAATTGAAGAAGACTTACCCAGGATGACCACCGCCGAATTGCTGGCACAGATCGGCAATGAGCATGCGGAAAGTGCGCAACACCAAGTCATGATCTTTGGATAGTTTCTCGACGAGCGCAAGCGACGACTTGCCGCCGTTGGCGGCTCCATTGCTAAGTCCAATAGCCATGATGTGTAGTTGTTTATTGTGCGATTAGATTAGGGAAGGACATCTTGTATTTATAAAGCAGGTAAAGTGACAGGCATTACCCGAGTAGGAAATGGTGAGGTCAATATCCCGATGCGGCAAGTCGTGCCACTTTCTGCCCAAACAGGAAATTCACTAGATCTGCACACACAGTCATTCCATGTTGTGCACTTTTTTTCATGCCAATAAAAATGCAGTGGTTCCCCTTCCCTTTTTCATTTCTGCTACCCCGCCCTTTGCAACTCGGAATCATGGGTTTCTCCAAGTGGGTGCCATGTATAAATCAAGACGGTTGTCGGTCTGATTCTGTCTTACACATCTACATTTGACCGTCAACATGGCTCCTTCAGTGTTGGTTGAGCAGTCGACTAGTGTCGCCATTTCGGCCAAAACACAGAGCAACACATTGCAGACCTCGCTGCCAAATCCTTCTTTGCAAGTAACGGCAGACCATAAAATCAAACAAGTCGATGCACCAGTTTACGCGCCACAGAAAGGAGAAGTGTTGCTTCACATTAAAGCGACTGGGATCTGCGGGTAATTCCATCCACCAGATGATATGAATATGAAGTAACCGGACAGATCCGATATTCATTTCTGGAAAACGGGCCAGATTGGAGATATCGTCTTCAAAGATGACTGCATCATCGGCCATGAAGCATCGGGAATTGTCATCCAATGCGGCGAAGATGTCACTCATCTCAAACCTGGTTTGTATTGTTCTTCTTATTCTATACTCTGTCTAACTTCTACAGGCGACAGAGTAGCAGTCGAACCCGGTGTTTCCTGCGACAAATGCTTCCTCTGCAACGATGGCCGCTACAATCTCTGCGAAGACGTCCAATTCGCCGGTGCCTATCCTTACAGTGGTACAATGCAGCGATACAAAGTGCATCCAGCTAAATGGCTTCACAAGTATGTACCCCCATCATCCACCAATCACATCTAACAATACAGACTCCCCGACAACGTCACCTACGCCGAAGGAGCCATGCTCGAACCCCTCTCCGTCGTGATGCAAGGAATCAAAACCGCCAGACTCACTCTCGGGCGGGGCGCCGTCGTCTGCGGTGCTGGTCCTATCGGTCTGATTGCCCTTGCCGCAGCCCGTGCATCTGGCGCCCATCCCCTCGTTATCACCGACATTGACGCCAGCCGACTCGCATTCGCAAAGGAATTCGTCCCAAGTTGCATGACATACCAGATGGACTTGGCAAAGGACGCAGAAGGAAACGCCAAAGGCATCCGCGCCCTGTTCGGAGAGGAGGAATACTTTGCCCCTGAGACTGTGCTGGAATGCACTGGCGTCGAGAGCAGTGTGTGTACGGCGGCATTTACGGCCAGAAGAGGAGGAGCAGTGGTGGTGATTGGGGTTGGAAAGGCTATCATGAACAATTTGCCGTTTATGCATATTTCCATGGCTGAGGTGAGCACATCTTATTCTATTTATACTTGATATACTAATCTGTTTAGATTGATCTTCGCTTCATCAATCGCTATAGAGATACTTGGCCTCCTGCTATCTCTTGTATCAGTGGTGGCATTTTGGATTTGAAGAAACTGGTATCGCATACAATTCCGTTGGAGAAAGCGATGGATGCATTGCAGCTGTGTGCTGATCGAAGCACACCGAGTATCAAGATTTTGGTGGTGGATGAGGCAGAGGATAGACTGTAATATACGTGAATAAACCATCTCTTACTATAATGATGTTCATCACTACTACTGTCAATTTTGATCTATCCTGACTGGCGGGGTACTGTAACTGTATGTTCTAGAGTAACATTCACCTCCAACCATATCCCTAAGCCATCTTTGAATAACCACTGAATGCTTAATGATTGACTACCCTATGTTCATCACATCAAATAATTAGTTGTGCCAAACATAATTAAGTCACATAAACATCCCATCCTCAAACGCAACTCCATTGTTATGATGCAACCCAAAACAGCATCCGTGGCTACGCCTTCCTAATCCAGCCAGCGGGGCATCGGCAATTCTCCGTGTGGGGAACCAATCCGTAACAATGTGGGGTTGGTCTAAAATTGCCCGATCGGGAGTTATTCCCCCCACCTCGGCTGCACCTCCAAATGGATTGTCACTGTTCACTTTCCTTTTTCCTTCTCTGGCAAACATCACCAAAAGCGATTTATCACTAGGTACGGAGTACGGGGGTACTGTATTCTGAATAAACCAATAGGCGACGCGACGCGACCTCCATGGTCGAGGGAACTCGTCAGACGCGCCGGACCCGATGCAGGACGGGTTGTATGCGGTGTCGGGTGCGGCGGAGGAAGTGTAAGCACCCACTGCTATGCTGAATGGTGGTTATTAACAGCTGCTCCAGGCGATGAGACTAAACCGCGCTGTCGCAATTGCATCGAGAAGAACTTCACCTGCCAGTATGGGCCCAAGTTGACATTTTTGCAAAAGAATGCGTTTACGGTTACCCCGGCGGAGATTCCGAAACCTGCTAGTGGAGCATATGATGCTATTCAGGTATGAATCAGCTATATTATGGGAGGGCTTTCTAATGATGACAGTTCGTCAATGAAGACATCCAAAGCTATCGCGATGCGACGTGGGATGAAGCTTCCGATACATCAATTCATCCACCCTCTGATCCAGCTACGCCTCGTCCAAACAATCAAGATACACTAGATGCGCCAGCCGAGCTGGATGATATTAGCAACCTTCCTGCCTGGCCACCTGATACACCAAATAATCCTCCTCATGCAAGATTCAGCGATGGCGATGAATCAGCAGTCCAAGGACTGTTGGCATTAGGAAATACAGCAGAAACATCAGTTCTATCGAATATAAGCGATTTTGCAGGTCTGGATACACCTCGACTCAATCCATCGCGATCTGTTTATTCCGATCAGTTCAGTCATCGCGTATCGAATGCTGGGGTTTCTATCACCGATGATAGTATCATTTCTCAGACTCGGATTCTGCAGTTGCTGCGGCATTATCGATATGAGGTGGCATCTTGGGTATGTTCTTCGTGTCTATATGTGGATGAAGCTGACAAAGTAGCTTGATATATGCGATGTGTGGCAGTCATTTGGGATCCCGGCATTGCAGATGGCCGTGTTGTCGAAGGCGACATTATCGACTGTGTTAAGGCTGTCTGAGATGTCTTTTAATTTGCTTCATCGGATGAATCCGTATGATTCAGTTAGCAGTCATATCAGTCCAGAAGACAAGGATATGACTATGAATATCACGAGCAAAGCTCTCTTGAGTGCTTTTCAGACGGTGCATTTCTTCATCTCTAACATTCCACGGGCTTGGACGGATCCTCCCAGAATTAACTTGGATCTACTGAGCAATCTGGGACTGCATGCATCTGAAATGAACATCAATTCTGCTATTTACTGGCTGTTTCTGCGATTAGGTATGATGTTCATTCTTATTGTAATATTGACTAACAAAGATAGATCTCAGCGTCGCCCTAGCCACCGATACATCCATCACAATTCCCCTCCCAATGTTTCCCGCTTTCAGTCCATCAGGTATCGACCACGCAGACTCTGGACGAGTCTTTCACCTTGCGCATATTCCCCTCTTCCTCTGCGCCAAGGCACTGCAATTCTGTAACGACGAAACACAACCCTCGCACCGTAGGACTGATAATTGGATGTCGCTCGTGGATCAACTGGAGCAGTGGTATCATCATCGATCACAGGAGTTTCATCCCATGCTTGAACTGGATCTGCATGATCCTTCTATGAATACAGATGGCAGTTTCCCTGTTATTTTATTCACCAACGGTGCGGGGATATTTGGGAATCAGCTCTATCACACGGCGATGCTGCTGTTGCTTCTGAATAGACCTCGCACGGCACGACATGTTCAACTGCAGCCATCTGCCATGTCGCCATTATGGCATGCCCGACGTATTTGTAGTATTGCTCTGAATAATGACCGCCGGGAATGCTGGGATTTATCTCTGCTCGCTTCGTTCCTCGTTGCAGCCAGACGTATGACCCACGAGTCCCAGCAGCAGGAGATACTGCACGGCTTCGAGCAGATCCGGACCGTGACTGGATGGGACATCAGCGAGTATTTAGGGAGCCTGCGCGAAGAATGGGGCATTCACGACTCCTGATGACTGATTACCCCGTGGAAAATATCTCCTGATTCTCCATCCTTGGAGCTCTCGAGACCTTGTATCCCCAAGCGATCTCGAGGTCTCTGATACGCCAGCACGCACCCCAACCAGTATGTGCCTCGATATTCCGAATCAGATTGACGATAACCTCATGTTCAGACGCATGACTGAACAACCTCCCCGCAATCCACAACGGCTGAATCGCATTATTCAAACACCCCTGATGCGGATTCGCCAGCGAAATCCCACAAATGCGCCGTGCATGCCACAACGCCGACACCGCAGACCCCGTCGCCAGCTTGACACTCTTCGGCATCACATTTAACAGCAGTATACACGCCGTATGATACAGCTGATTCGACGAAATAGCAGCCCAATGCACAAACAGCACATGCGGGAACGGCTTCGTATTCGTCGTCTGGATAGGCAGTAACTCGTCGGGCCGTTGGGCCAGCCAGTCCTGCAGTTCCTCCCAGACTTGCAGCCAGCGCCGGTGGAAGGTTTCGCCCGTGCACCCGTTTTCGTCGCCGAGTTCGATGAATTTCGTACGGTCGGAGACGAGCTCGCAGGTGCGGGCGCAGAGATACACGGCGTAGTTGGCGTGCATGTCGGGGGATCGGGCGTCGTGGAATAATCGTGCTGCTTGGTCGTCTTCCCAGCCTGGACCGAGCCATTTGGAGGGTTTGAGGAGTGTGCTTTGCGTGCCGTCAGAAATAAGAGCACCGCATAAATCTAAATCAGTTAGACAATAAAGTAGATATTGAAGGATGAAGAAACTCACCCATTCTCGCATAACACCAAAAAACAGCCTGTAGCAACCCATTACAAAACCCATGAATTCCAAACGCATCAAACAGCGCCGCACAACCTTCCAGATGGCGCCGCCAGTCCTGCGCCCGGGCGGACATCATCTCCAAACAGCACAGCATTACACACGCAGCGACGACTTTCGGATCCCGGACTTGCAATAGAGGACTAAGTAAGCGAATAGCCTCCTGGTACAATTCCAGACTCTCAAACGCATGCTGAATGCCCTCCTTGCGCTCCATCTGCCGCGCGGAAATGGCGAGAATGGCGTATCCCAGAGCGGGGAAATTGCGGGCGAGAGCGGGCAGTTGCACGCGGAATGTGCACTGCGAGTCGAACATGTCCAGCTACATTAGTTAGTATATATATATCATATAAAATATCATATAGGAGAGGAGAATACCCAAGGCGCAACCTGCCCAACATAATTCTTCAAATAAACCACTCTCCTCTGATTCGAAAAAGCCGGCCTCATCACCCTCTGCCCCGGTGGCAAACCGCGCTCACTCTCATCGACAACTGGGCTTCCTGCGCGAGTCGGAACGGCGGATTGTGCAATAGTGAAGAGCATACATCGTAATTCTTCCTGTGAAGCCAGATAACCTGGATCGTGGGAGAAGCCATCTTGGTACCAGCTGCCGAGGGGGGAGGAAAAGGGGTCGACGACGGTGGAGGGGCTGCAGTGAGGCCATTCGGGGGATGAGGGTTGGGGGTACATATTGATTTAATGGGTTATTGGGGAGGTTTATTCATTGGGATTTTGAAGAGTTGGTGGTGGATGGAGAGAATCTAGGGAAGATGAATCTGAATCGGAAAAAAGCCGATTGTGGAGATACTGGGTTGTCATACTGCAAATAAGAAGTTTAAATGTTTATGAGAGATAAAATAGTAGACTTGGCTAGATGTGAACAGAATATTTAAACAGGTAGACAATTTAGACCGTCCTCGCCAGCATTGAATCTGATGAATGACACACTGCCAGATGCATGCCCAATTGCAACCATATCGCCCTCAACCACAGGTCGTATTGCTCGGTACTCAGCAGGAAGCCACAGAACCTTCTCTCGTCCATGATAAATCCACGCATCTTTGACTGCAGGGCCTTCGACTCGAGATGAAGAAAGAGAATTATCTTCATGCCTCTTGATGTGATACAACCCATTGTCTGTCTTCAGGTAGGCTCCACACGCAGAGAACGAAAGGCGGAACAATTGATAATCATCTTCAAAGCTATGTTGTAGTGTGGATGAAGCCACATCCCACAGATTCACAATATTGCGATGATATAATACGGCCAGCAGCTTACTGTCAGGTGAGAAGGCCGCTGAGCTGTATAGTCCTTCAAATAGGCTTTTGAAGGTAGCCTTTTGTGTGCCTAAAGATACATCCCATATCTCCACAGCGTGGCCGTAAGATTTACCTGCAGCTAATAGCTTGTTATCAGGAGAGAATGCCAACGAATCATAAAGTTTATCACCACCAAATTTTATGGTCTGCAGTGCCCTGTAGGAGTTTAAATCCCACACCTTTATGCCGTCGTCTGAGACTGAGGCCAGCAGTTGGTTATCAAATGAAAACGCTGTTGACAAGATCGGTTTCTTATATCTAAGCTCATGTATCAGCATGCCTGTGGCTGTGTTCCATAAGCCCACAAAACCATTATCCAATCTTGAGGCGACCATCTTGCTGTCATGAGAGAAAACCACTAGTTCCCGAGATGGTTTATCCACATCAAGAGTGTGCTGAAGCTTGCCTGAGGCTGGATCCCATAAAAATATATTATTGTTATGGACTGAGACAGCCTGCCTATTATCAGGCGAGAATAGCACTAATTTGACTTGACCACAGCCTTTTAGACTCTGCTGAATACCCAGAGACATATCCCAGAGCCGGACAGTTTCGTCAATCGCGCCCGAAGTCATCAGCTTGCCATCTGGTGAGAATGCTACTGATTGAACAAATTCAGAATGCCCTTCCGGTGTCTGCTGGACTGTAAATTTATCCGAGGTTATGTTCCATAGTTTTATTGTTTTATCCCATGAGCCTGAAGCCAGGAGCTTGCCGTCGGGTGAGAATGCGACTGATTGGATACATTCAGAATGCCCTTCCAGTGTCTGCTGGACTGTAAATTTATCCGAGGTTATGTTCCATAGTTTTATTGTTTTATCCCATGAGCCTGAAGCCAGGAGCTTGCCGTCGGGTGAGAATGCGAGTGACTTAACAAGATCAGAATGCTCCTCAAGGGTTTGCTGCAGAGTTACTGACTCTGGAGTCACCTTCCATAATTTTACCGGGTGGTCATCGGATGCTAAAGCTAACAGTTTGCTGTCAGGTGAGAATGCCACTGAGTAGACTGTTTTGGAATGCCCTAAAAATGTCTGTCGCAGTGTGGCTGTCCCTGAGGTGATCTTCCATAGTTTTATTGTATTGTCGGATGACCCTGAAGCCAGAATGCTCCCGTCATGCGAGAACGCCACTGAATTGACCAAACTAGAGTGTTCTTCAATGGTCTGGTGTAATGTACCCGAAACTGCATTCCATATCTTTATTGTGTAGTCATCAGATCCTGAAGCTAGGAATTTTCCGTCAGGCGAATATGCCACCGAAGTAACTGCTTTGGAATGCCCTTTAAGAGTCTTCTGGGGTGTGACTGTCTCTGGGGCTATCTCCCATAGCTTTACAGTATGGTCACGAGACCCTGAAGCCAGAATCTTTCCATCTGGTGAGAATGCCACTGAAGAGACATCATGAGAATGTTCTTGAAGAGTCTGCCAAAGTGTTCCTGAGACTGTATCCCACAGTTTCACAGTGCAATCCCATGAGCCCGATGCCACCAGCTTATTATCAGGCGAGAATGTCACTGTCGTAACAGCACTTGAATGGCCTTCAAGGGTCTGTAAATCCATTCCCCAGTTTGCCTCCACTACTGGTAACTGGGCAAGGCATCGAGGAATATGCTGCTGGAAAGAATTCCGAATGACGCATTTACATGGTGCGAATACAAGTGCAGAGGAATAAAGCTGAAGAGGCGCTGTTTCCGCAATTCCAATATTTTTGAGGGCAAATCTCTTTGCATCATGTAAGATTTTCGATACAGTAGATCCAGTCTGAGCCGATGATTGTCAGCGCTTGCTCAAATATTGTGGATTTGGATGGTTTACCTGCACCAAAGACTGTAATATATTTATCCCCGAAATAATCTCCGATAAATACCCTAAGATACTCATACCTTCTAACCACTGAATAAAGTGGCCTTCAAGAAACTTATGCACTTCATCTTGGTCAGTCAAGGCAGCCTCTCCTTGCTGCAGGTGATAGATCCAGTATCGACATGCATATCGAAGCTCTTTGGGAAAATGGCTTTCGACTGCTTGATCATCAATCTCTGTTCGCAGTGTTCCATAACTCGGTAGGTTGCAGATGTTCTTTTTCAAACCTCCAATGTCCCTTTTCATCAGTCTGATGCAGCCAAATGCTACCTTTTCGTTCATTTTGACTCTGTCAATCCAGAACTCATTCTTGGTGCGTGTTTCGGGATCAAGAAGGAAGTCTCGGAATGAAAGATGAAAAGGTCGCACTGGGTCTTCTTTCCTTGTCGGTATTCTAAGCACAGAGTGGAGTGAATTCAGCCTGGTTTGGAGGGCTCTTCCAGAGATATTGATGAGCTTCGCGAGAGGAACCACTGGGAGAGGATCCTCAAGGATGATAATGGTCCCAATCACTTGTTGATATTCCTCAATCAGTCGGTGCCTTTTGGTTCCTTCTTGGTCCACAAGGATCCTGTCAAAAACGGGCAGATATGTTCTAGCTACTTTTGAATCCTCATCTTTATGTTCCAGGATTTTCTTTAGACTATCCTCTGCGTCCAATCGATAATCTCTCAAAACACGACAAATGGTGGCGGCAAAGATAAAAAGCGGCACTGCCATTGCAACCAGCTGTCGAGTAGTATCTTCTCCGGGCCATTCTGGATCATCAAGTTTCTGATCCTTCCTGATTTCAGGGAGCTTGTGTTGGAAGAAAATGGAAATGTCATTCTCGACAACAGATGCAGCAATTTCATGGAGGACAGCATCCTGGTGCTTATCCGGGACTTTTTCAAATCCAAGGCGAATTGGAACCTCTGGCCTGCTCGTGACGAAGAACCGGATTTGAATAGAAGAGTAGCTCTGCTGAAGCTTGGGCAAAAGCCTGATGATGGTTCTGATATTGCCCCAATCGTCGCACTCATCCAAGGCGTCGATTACAACAACTAATGGTAATGCCTGGTTCTTACTCGTTTTGACATTCGACAGTGGCTGTAAGAGGAGTTTGTTAAACTGCTCGTCCAAAGAGCTCGTGACAACTTCCGAGTCATTTTCTATCGCTTCCTTGACGGGTTTCTTCAAATGAGGAATAGTATCCATCAACTGTCTTACCATCGTGGTGAAAAGCTTTGACGAGTTGGAACGGTCGCCCTCCCCTCGTTTGAAGAAAAAGCTTGCTCCCAGGAGTCCTCTATTCTGCATCTCTCTGGCCACTGTACGGGAAATGGTGGACTTTCCAGTTCCTGCCATGCCGTTGAGCCAGAAGAGAGATCTTCCCTGTGGATCGTCCACCCAGTCTGTAATATCCTGAAGAAGATCAACACGGGTGCCTTCAAGACAGTATTCTGCTTCTGTAGGATCCGCCGTATGTGAATTGAAGGAAGCCTTTTCAGCCTTTGGAAGCTTCAACAGTTCGAATTTCTCTTCGATACTTTGAGTGACTGTCAACACCTCCTCTACCTGGGCCTGCATTTCTTCCGTTTTGAGATATTGGTGGATGCCGGTCCACTGACCCAAACGTTTCTCTACGTTCTGAATGGCTGTTTCGATCCCCGATAGAGGCAAGTCTTTCAATGCAAAAATACTCTTCAGCAATAGCTTTCCTGTGTTCGACTGGTGTATTTTCATCACTTCTGCCGAGTACCGCAGAATGCTCAAGTACAGTTGGACGAGGGCATTTTTGATGCCATCTTTCGTCGCAGGGTTGTCATTACGATAGTAGTGTATCTCGATGAGGGTGTTGCGGGAAAGAACGTCCGAGAGAAAGGCAGAGGATTGGAACCAGGCATCCTGTTGATCGCGATAATTCTGCGTCATCTTTCACGTTCATTTTCATTAGCATGTTATGATGATTACTTTGTCTTTCTTACATACCATCAATCCAAGAGACACGACTGCCCAGGCAGTAGATGCGTGACCGGTAGGATCACAGCCCACAACTTTGGAAATGCTATCTTGGAGAATAAATGCAGCATTCAGTATGGTACCGGCATGCTTTCTAACCTGGGTGCTGTTCTCCCGTTTGAGCTCTCGAATCTCATGTTGCTTTTGGACTGTCTCAATAACACCGCCTAGAATGACCTCTAATTTCGAAGAGGCTGCGTCGTCCTCGTTGCTAACGTTGATATCGGGATGACCAATCTCGAGAATAAGTCGTTTGTCCTCTTCGAGCTGATCGTAAGCGGCTTGCCATAGATCCGGTGGATGATATTCCTCTTCAGGCTTTGTGTTCGGTTTATCAGAGTCACGGACGGAATTCGCTGATACCGTAACTGACGGTGATGGTGATTGACTGCCAGGTTGACTTGGATGAAGTTTTTCAGTAGCACCTTCCTTGCCTGGCTTGGAACGCCGATTTTTGTAATTATTTTTAATTTTCCTGGGCGCTCCACAAACCATGGTTGGTGAAGATGATTTTGATTATTATCTCTCGGGGAAAATGTTGCAGTGTGCGAGGAAAGGTTCACGGAAAGATGAGATGCCAGCTGGACGGGAATGAGGGGCTGGGAGTGGAGAAACCATATTTCTTTTTCTTCTTCTGTGGCTGAATGTGTTCATTGTACAGATCCATTTTACAGCCTGGCGCAATCATTGTGCAGTCGATCCTAATTTGTAGGGTATCCGGCGGCTAAAAACATATGAAAGTGGCAGCCTCACAGCCAATGACTGGCAGAAGATGAGCAAATTCTGATAAACCCCCAGTCCCAATCTATACCACAATAGGAAAGTGGTGAAGTTGTCTATTTGTACAAATTATATGCGCACAGCCTGGCCTACCAATTCCACAGCCTCAGTAAGTGACTTCTAACAAACACCTCTATAGTAAATAGAGAACTCCCTAAAAACCCTAATCTTAACCTTAAATCTTACGCGGAATTAGTGTATGGTCGAATTAATAATTTTGGATATCATGGACTATTCTGAAGCTCTTATAACTTTATCCTATAAACCCACAACAGAGATTTAATATGACAGAATGTATTCAAATCATGTCTGAGCCCGGATGGTCACTGAGAATTTTTAGCTCCTGATCATCGGTCTTTTTTCCTTCCTGGCAAAGGCTGTTAGACAGCCACGCTTCCCTATGAACGCACAAAAGCTGTTGGTGTTGCTGTGCGAAAATATAATCTGTGAGAGCCTATCTAGACTGCTATACCTTTGGGAACATTCTAATCTCTTCCACCGGCTCACTGGCTAAATGCCGAACAAATAAATCAAACGGCGCAATTTCATATCGAGAAAAGTCGAACAGCGGACTTTTACGCAAGAGAAGATTTTGACCGTCATGGTACGCCTGTATCACCCTGCCTGAGGTATTCATAAAAGAAAAGACCATTTATCTGTCAATATCAGGAACAGTCATTGTAATCAGTATATACATACCGGGATGACCAGATGCTCCTTGAACATGTCAGGCACCAGTCGACTCCTCAATGCCGCAATGATGGCGAGTACTTCGCCTCGGAGAAGTCTAACATCACCAATAATATCATGTTTCATGGTGAAAATGAGATGAGGCTTATGTTTATACTTTCCCTTTACTTCCCATGCACCAGCTGGGTTGAATGTATGCGATGGCTCGATGAATATGGTATCCATATTTTGTTCTTTGAACAATGCATATGAGAATCCCCTATAACTGTCAGCCAGTGACTATACTAAACAGCGAGACATACTCGTAATATCGCCTCTCAGTCAGTCCCATAAGAGTCCCTCCGAATCTATTCTCATCATCTGAAACACTCGCCCTGAACGCACCACAAAATTCCCACGCAAGATGGCAGCAGAGGGTGTCAGCACGGTGATGGCAGAGGATACTGGTGTTGTCATGATATTTTTTAAACCGTTTAGACGACATCTTGTCTCCTCGTCTTCTGCCGTTGGATGCATCTGTAGCTTTTCCCTGGGAAGCGGTTTGAAGAATTCCGGTACTGTTGACGTGTCCCCTGTCATGTCAAGGGCTTTGACTTCAAGATTCAACCTTAGTATATCTTCTTCCTCCATAAAAGGCTCTTGCGGTTCTTCCACAGCCCAAAATATGGTACGGAGGTCTTTCAATAGGCATTTTCTTTCTATATCGCTGGAACTGGTTCGGTCGACATGGTTTATTATGTAATATCTTGAGGACATCGTATATTTTGTAAACGGCGGACCTGTGAATTACTGTATATGGCTAGTTTTACCTGTATAGGTTTAGTACCATAATATGATGTTCTATAAGCTCCGCCTTCGATTTCTCTAGTATAAAAGCTAACTATATCTTTTTAACCTCTTTTCTCTTTCTTGCCTTCCCTTTAACTCCATTATCTTACACTTATTACCACTCCCTTAATTTTCCTCTCACCCCTACTAATAGCTTGCAGCCTTATGCTCTGCCCCTTTAATTTTAATGGAGAAGCTGCTTAATCTAACGCTGAGCCTGCAGTAATCCAGGCCGCAGTGGTAATAGTTATCTCATATTAATACTCCTTCTCCTTTCTTGATAAATGAATTTTATACCATGCTATGGAGCTATCTAGATCTTCCTCTACTAATATACTATATTTATATCTTATTCTGTCTACCCCCGTATCCTGTAAAACAGAACCATTTTGGTGAGCTGAGATGCAGCTGAAAGGCAACTGAGATGCAGGATGTTTTTCTGTATCAGTGGCGGCCCGACCACCCACCGCCTCCGCTAGTGGGTGGTCGGCGGCGTAAAGGAATTTTCAGTGTAGAGGAAAAAAATGAAGCTATTCGCATTTTTATCACTAAACTCTGGTAGAATCCATAAAATAAAGCTGATCAACCAATTCTCCTGCCAATTCTCTATATGAAGCTGTAGAATTATCTTCTTCCAAAGGTATGGGTGGGAGACAGCTGTACACCTCTTTATAAGCCTTATCCACCTTCTTCTTCTTAGCTACCTCTTCTTTAGCCCTCCTATCAGCAATAGAGCAATTTACATCCTATACAGTCAGTATCCCACTATCTCCAAGGCATTAAACCTCTCACTTAGTGGTTCTGCGCTGGCGAGGTGCCTGGGCTTGCTCAATTTAGCTAAGAGTAGCATTCATAATAGCGAGCTGCTCAGACTGATATTTTTATTATTAAAATATGCAATCTAGGCCATGCTTAAGCTGTGGAGAGGCTTCTATATTATCTATTAGATAGAATACCTTCTTGTGGTTCTTTTCAGCTTATTAAGTGGTCTTTGGAGGTGTGTTTTTAATACTTGAAGATTAAGGATACAGAGGAGGTGTAGTATCTAGCATTAATATCTCTAGAATTAATGGTAAAGTATTCTGAATAGCTTTAATAATAGAAGACCTATCTAGCGGGAAAATGCCCCATTCTTTAAAGGAATTACAGATGATTTATAAGGTAAAGGTCTTCTCTCATACAGCTATAATATTATAGAGGAAATTTACCTTATCTCCAGGGACCCCACTCCACTGTAAGATAAGGTTATTCATACTGCAAAAATATATTTTATATATAAGAAAAGGCTTTCCATCAAGTGGTTAATACAGATGAGTTGTATAAGGTTAAAAGCAGAATGGGAGGATCTTATAGGTCTTATAGAGCTATAGGAATTTAACTATTTAATGAGCTGTATAGCTGTTAAAGATAAGAATGCATTTTTCCCCCTTGTTCATATAATCTTTTATCTTATTATAGAAGTTTTGAAGCCATTCAACTGCAAGTTTATTATATATCTAGCCTTTCTCAGAGGTTGCAGTATAGTAGTTTAGTAGCCCTTCTTTAAACTATAACTCCATAACTTTCTTACCTTTAAATATAAAAAATAGAGTTATAATCCAACCATCTACAGTAATATATTTAAGTGCAGTTATATTCTCTACATGCTCAGCTCCAGTAAGATCATGGACTTTCCCCTTTATACCAAGCACTTTTTGTACCTTTCCCTGGCCTAGTTAAAAGCCGCATTTATTAAAGTTATATACTGTCACACCCTGGGATCTCGCAATGGTACCTAACCTGTAACCTGTGAGTCAAGCCGGGGTAATACTAACCTGTGACCCTAATCCAAGGATGTTAACAGTAACTGGGGTGCTCCTAATGAGCCATGGTGCTTAAGAATATAGTAAGGTAGTTAAGGAGAGAAGCAAGGCTAAGAAGTATATATACTTCTTAATTAAGCTGGAGATATATGAATAAGTAGGTAGAATGATTAGAGTGGTGGTAGAATAGTAACTATAGAATAATAACTTATATTAATTATAAAGAACTATCTAAGTACATAAAATAAGTGTCCTTATATATCCTTTACTAAGTATACCATCCTATATACCACCTATGGTATTCCTATGGTACCCTTATATACCATTCTGTATACCATTCATGGTATAATAAATAGTATTCTTGTTATGTGATGTGGTTGCCTGCTAGATAGTAGCTGTAAAGGGTGTTAAGTAAGCAATTTGTAATTCTCTATAATAAGAATATCCATTTCTCCTGACCGCCTGATTCTGCCTGGTTTGGTCACTGATAAGGGTGCCGTAACATATACCAGGCAAGCGGGGACATTATAAAGTAATATTTTTAGCTGATTATACTAAAATTAAAGCTGTCTAATATCCTCTGCCTCCAGCCACTTTTTCTCCTTTATTTTCTGAATCACTGGTCTTAATTTAAGCTCAGGAGGAAGCCTTTCAGCAAAGTGATACGCCTATAATTGATTAAGGTGTTATTTAGGATTAATATGCTGGATAGTAAGGTTTGCTATCTTATGAAGTAATGTAATCATGATAGGAAGGTATATATTATTTATATAGGTAACCCAGTCTCTTAGAGCGGCCTCCTGGTACTGATTAAGCGCTTTATTTAGAGGGATTTGAGCGGTTCAAGGCTTTCTTTGATTATTGAGGCGGCCTGTCACACCCTGGGATCTCGCAATGGTACCTAATCCGTAAACTGAGAGTCAAGCCGGGGAAATACTAACCTGTGATCCTAACCCAAAGACGTCGACAGTAACTGGGGTGCTCTTGTGAGCCGTGGTGCTTGAGAACGCAGTAAGGTAGGCAAAGAGAGAAGCAAGGCCAAGAAGTATATATACTTCTTAATTAAGCTAGAGATGTGCGAACAAGTGGGTAGAACAATCAGAAAGGTAATGGAATAGTAACTGTAGAATAATGACTTGTATTAATCATGAAGAACTATCTAAGTACATGGGATGAGTATCCTTATATATCTTTCTCCAATATCTATGGTCCTTCAGATGGTCCTCCACAGGGTATGCCAGTGGTATACCATCCTATATACCAGGGTGTATACCATTCATGATGGTATACCAGATGGTATGTTTGCCAAGACATGGTACCTGTATACTATATCACGTGAGTGTGGCGGTGTTTGCCAGATGGTGGCCATAAAGAGTGTGATAATAGCAAATTATAATTCTCTGTAATAAGAATATCCTTTCCTCTTAACTGCCTGATTCTGCCTGATACAGTCACTGATAAAGGTGCCATAACATAATCCCCCTCTCCTGGGATTGTCATCCCTTGACAATCATAAATTCATCATATCCCCCATTCAGGTGAGTTTCCTGTTAACTTCTTTTCTTATTTTTCCTGATGACTCATTATGCTAGAGAAGCATAATCATTACCATGAACATGCTTTACAGGCAGATAGAATCCTAAAAAACGGTTTCCCTTCCTATCTTCCTTATATCTGTTATTCTTCCCGCGGGGTTCCTTACATCATGGATTTGAGAAGTAAGAACTGTGCTTCGTGTACTCATTGCAGTCAGAAGTGTGAACGCCAATTTCATAATAAGTGAGAGTGGCATGTGCTTCAACAAGAGCAAGAGCGCATTGATCAGGAAATCTAGGAGGCTGAGGAGGCTTCCGCGAAAATATTTACAAAACTAATGCGCCTTTAAAAATATTAAAAATTCTTAAGAGAGCGTGGTGGTTAGATGTCAGAGCATGACTCCAACCTTCTTAAGTCACTGGATGAGGAGGATCCCCTAAGCGCTAAGGATCTCCAAGAGCTGGACTGTCTTACTAATAAGCAAGAGGCTGCTTAACTTGCCACTGTATTAGATAATCCTAGTCTGACTTAAATAATGAATTCCCCTTCCTTCTGGGCTGACTTTAATCCATCCGCCAGTGGAATTCTTTTACTAACTGAGGGCAACCTATCAGATTCAAGATAGGTTCCCATGTGTTTTCTGAGGTATCATATCCTTTCCATCTCACCAGGTAAAGTGGTTTGCCGCTAACTTTTCAATGTCCTAAGATTTTTTCAACTTTATATTCTTATTTATCATCATTGTTAATTTCCACATTTTAAGTGAGTTTAGCGTTGACTGGTGCTGGTTCTAATAATGAAATATAAAAGACTGGGTGTATGCATTTCATTGATTCTGGTAATCATAAACAGTAGTTAACTGGTCCCATCTTTTCTTTAATCATAAATGGTCCTAATTTTTAATGGTCAAGTTTTATGCTTAGTCTTCTTGTTTTAATGTTTCTGTAGAGTAGGAACACTTTCCCCCCCTTTTTAAGATCTGGTCCTTTGTCATGTTTTTTGTCATAGTAACTGGCCATCCATAGATTTATGAATTCTAAATCTATTAAGAGTTATCAGTAGTATTATTCTATTATTATCACCAGTTGTTCTACTTCTTCCAAGTTTGATTCTTATTAGATTAGTTTTCCAATGATGTTCAGATGTCTGTGGTGATTTATATAAAATGGTGTTTATTTTATGATAGAGTATACTAAGTTATTAAACACAAATTATGCCAGGGGCAATAATTCACTCTAGTCATTTTATTAATGGTTAACATAGTGTCATAAATATTATTTAATTGTCTGATTAGTTTATTCAGTTTACCTGTTCACCTGCAGGTAGTAAGCAGTGGTTAACTAGTAATAAACTCCCATTATCCTTGTGAGGGATATCTAGAATTTTAAGGTGAAGAGTTTATCTCTATCTGAGGTAATATTTTCTAGTAAACTATGGTTTACAATGATTTCCTTTAAAAAGATGAATACCATCTATTTTATATCAAGTGTGCCTTTTGCTGGTGTGAGTTAAATATATTTAGTGAGTTAGTTAGTGAAAACTATAATAGTATCCCATCCACTTAAGGGTGGTAACTAAGTGATAAAGTCC